GGATAAAGTGTGCAAGCGGTAATGCGTAGAGTCGGAGTCCCCTATAGTTCAAACCTAATATCACAACCCTTTTAACGAATTAACGCCAGGGGCAGAGACTAGGACTCAAACAAAAGGTATCACAAAAAAAGAAGATATGAGCAGGGACATCTTAGGATTGCTAGCAGTGAGCTAATACAAAAGAGGTTTGAACTAAAGAACTACTGACTACAATGAGCTACCTATATACATATATTGAAGCGGAGACTGAATCTGAATCTGAACTAACTAGCCAATCATTAAATAGAAAAGGGAATCGTACGATGATCTAAATATAACTACACCTATGATGTCATGAAACGTGTAACAGCTGTGCAAGGGTTCTTGAAGGTTCTAGAGTCACGTGACTTAATCGCTTGTGAAAGGAAGTCGAAATCAGGGATGTCGGAGATAAAGGTAGTGGGTGCTAATGGAATAGAGAAGTTCGGAAATGTAAAGGATGAATTCGGGTTAGGGTTTGTGAAGGTTATCAGTACAGACGCTGACTGAGCGCTAACGACAGGCGCTTGTGACGGGCGCTTAACGGGTGTCTTACGAATGTCTTTGCAGGTTTCACGAGTGTTCAAGAAAGAATAATGGTTTGTGTTTGGAATTCGTGACAGTTCCTTCGCATTGCAAGGCCTCAAAGGCAGATAAGTATGAGAAGAATAAAATATTAGAAAACAACATACAAAAGATTTGCACGGCCCCATTCTGCAAGGTGATAGCGTACACCTCAATAGGGTACAAGCAATTCATCGCATGCAGCGAATCCGGCGTCTGCTAGATAAAACTTCCCTGGCGGAATGGTGAAGTCCGTCAAACGCACAGTGTGATAGACACGAGCGTCTGCTGCGGACCCCTGGAAACCGCTCAGCATGTACATAAAGCACATGTCAAAATCACAGGCAGCAAGACAATTCTGTGTCAAGTTGCCCTTGCGGTCACAGGCAGCATGACGATCAGATGCTGTGGGGTGACACGCGATATGCGTGCCATCGATGGCGCCGATAACATCGGCAAAGTACGGGTAAAATTTCCTGGTTTTGAGGATAGTGGGGGGAGTGGGGGCCTGTGGACTGGGGAGACGGACATACGTGGTATAGATCAGCTGAGATGAGAATGCGATCAAAATTCATTTAAAATACCTAGAAAGGAGCTATTGAGTTAGTACAGCTGGGTTCAAAGTCATTGGAGGACGTACTTCGATATAGTGTCGTTTGAGCGTTGAAAACGCTCACCAAGATGGCATACAGAAAGCCCAGTGACACAGGCATATAAGAAGATAGCAAGCTGTTCCTCCAGCAGCACATTCTTTGAGTTGTCTATTCCGCTTTCACGAAGCACATTCAATAATACAAAGAAAACATGGCAGCGGACGCCAAGCTCGCATCGCACATGTTCAGGGTGGCCAGTAAGGAGCTCGTTGACCCAAGCGATCCCCGATAGCGCCGAGGTATGGTATGGTTCTTTCTCATAGTGGGTTTGTATGTAGGAGTTATAGGTGTCCACTGCGATGTCAACCACTCCAGTGGCCGATACCATCAGGTTCTGAAACACATTGATGATTTGTTGCAGGCGTTTTAGATCTCCCTTCTCTGTGTCATTTGGATCCCCCTCATCATCTCTATCATCTTCCACATCTCTATCATCTGACTGATCACCCGTGTCATCGGAATTAGTAGCGTCGTCCTGGTGGTGCCAAAGACGCGAAAGCATACTGTTGGTATTATTGTACAATGAGCTCTGCAGCGTGCGGTGTGCGGTGTGCGACGTGCTCAGATCCTCGAGTCTGTAGCGTGACAGTGCAGAATTCAAACTCCGAGCTTACTTAAGTTCGAAGTTCAAAATCTCGTCGAAACTTAGCCAGATTCGAGTTCCCGAACGGAGTGGGTTTAACATATATGTCAATTTGGCCACTGCACATAAGTAGTGGTCTCTAAGTGATCGGCACCATAGCTGTAAGTGAGTCATTGAGGCGTGCCAATCCACGTCTACCCTGGGTATAATGTCAAGTCAACGTCATGATCTACGTGTGTGAATGTTACGACATCCCTATTCACGTTATTAAAACCCCCCTCTGTGCCACGATGCAGTGCAACCCCAGCTACTTGCCTTTAAGTGATAAAAAATCCACAGTTGCCTGTGAGTTTTAACAAACTGGTGTTATTTTTTGCATTGACCCTGCCTTTGACGCTCAAGCTGGGATGTAGGTGTTTCTACCAAGACGCTCTGCCACTAGTTGCACAGGCTGCTCGTACGAATACACGGTATACGGCACTTACGGAGGCAAATCCAGGTGTGACCGTATTATACATATTTGACCTCCAACTAACACGCATTTATTGTGGTCTAATGCGCCAAGGCCGAGGTAGGCGAAGCTTAAGGTTCGCAAGTGTGGAGACATGGGTATGCTGAGTGTTTGTAGCATTATGATTGGCTACCGCCGAACCACAGGGTTGAAAACGTTGATGTGGGAGACTCGGTGTATGTATCTACTCACTCCGCTCGTCGTCCTAATAAGCGGGAAATTTTCTAGTCGACAAGGTGTCATTCCCGCAACGCACTAAACGTACATCTATCACATCTAATCTACCCAATTCTCATTATGGTGGACTGGAACGATCCTGACCTCGAAGCGAAATTGGGGATACTTGCAGTACAATTGTTGTATGCTATCCTTGGTTTATACGGGTGAGTGCTGGGCGTTGTAATGCTATTAAATGCGGTACCAATTAGCCTGCGTCTGCGTCTGTAGCTGGGAGTATATACGGTCCTCACACGTGGAGATAGCACTACTTCGAAGGCAACTTCCATTTCGATGGCCTTTGGTGCGCATTCTTAAGGAAGCGTCGGACGCTTGCCACTTACACATACCCAGCTCTCGTACATTACCGCCAGATTTAGCTTCTTGATTGCGGTCATTTTACAGTGAGCCAACAGAGAGAAAACGACAAGCGTACTGACATCACATGTCAGGGCGACGCAATGTAGTCCCTTCTATACAATCGTTGATTGTCAGAGTGAGTGTTTTGTAGAATTTGATCTTCGTCGATGAGACTTACCTCTATTTAGGGATGATTTTTATGATCATAGTGAGTACAGGAGCACCTACTGGGTTGCTGATTTACCTTCATATCATCTAGTTCTGGACAAACGTCGCCGTCGGCTGCTCTACAACAAACCTGGCGATCAGAACGCACGCCCATATTTATCTCTCGTACTATACTCGATCTCATGATATATATGTGCAGGTGGCTGATTTGGAAGACCAGTGACCTGCTGCGCCTTTTGCTAGTCTTCTTCTCACTAGGTCATTGGACATTGCTCGCTCTCTGTGCGTATTTGCTACCCTCTAGTTTGACTGATTTGACTATTTGTAGTCCTGGCAACCGCTCGTGCATCCACTATAAACGGGGTGTGCATGATCTCATTTGTGAATCCCGTATATGCTAGTGCGGTGGTCATATATGGTACGCATGTTGCATTTATGATCAATGGATACGCGGTGATCAGTACCTCGGGTGCAGGCATGCTGTATGATTTGGCACTTTTGGTCTTTACCGTTATTGGACTTTTGAGGATGCCATCGTCTTCTACGCTATGGAAGACGCTCGTGAAACAAGGGGTGGTGTATTTCATCATCAATTTTCTAGCGAACCTTATCCTACTGGTGTGTTCCTTCTTGTGAGACAGGGTGGTCGCAGACTAAACTTTGTAGGGCTTGAATCGTTTGAACCTGAATTGTAAGACTGTTTCGCTGCATTGCAAACGCCTACTCAGTCCGTGTCGTCAGTTATTATGAATGTTATTTTCGGAACGCCTGGTATGTGCACATGGTTTCACTGAGTTCATGTTGCTGACCTTCCAAAAGCGGCGTGCATCTGGTCAGGACTCTCGTTACGACTTCTGATTTAGACGCATGACCTACTTTCATTTGCAGCACGATTGCATCTAACCAAGTAGTCCTCTCGCTTCTCCGTCCTTCATCCAGTTATGAAAGGTTTTTCCTTTTTTTCCATCTGTATGTTTCACCAATCTCATTTGTGACAAACAGCGACAGCACCTCGTCGGCTAAAGTGCATCCTCTGACGACTGACGTCGCCGTCGCGGCGCCATGGTAAAAGTTCTTTGTTTGAGATGCGTGTACGGTGGTTCATTGTGCGTTCAGGTTCCCGTCCGTGGCTGAGGCCTAAGAGCGTATTTGTTTAGAATCACCTCAAGTACTGCATCGTCCCTAGTTTCATGAGGATTCGTATTTCGCCTTCGACGTACGGCGGTGCACCCTAAACTTGTCTATCTTGTCTCCATAATGCAAGACTCGAATTTTCGATATGCCAGCGCTCGCAGGTTTGATGGAGCCTTCATGCATGATTAGATCTTGTGGAGGGGTAAACGATAGCGTATGCAGACTGGACATCCAACTTGAAGCGAACATTCGCGTAATCCTTTTAAGCCAGCAAAGCACTTGGCAGACTTTTGTCCCTCTACGGTTACCGGTGCGCTTTCATTTATAACTACAAAATGTAGCACGCATATGTCCGTGTTGTTCAGACATGAAGGGACTCTGAGACAATAGGACAACAGTGACCTTCCCAGGGGTCCTGAGTCTCGAGGGTGGAAGGTCATCTATATAATAAAATGACTCGTTCCCGTTATAGAACACCACTACATCTCCCCTGATCATTTTTACACAGGAAGTGGAGAAGAATGTAGTTTGTTGATAACGCACTAGTCACTGATTTCCATATACAACATAACTATCGCCTTAAGAGCTGAGCATGTGTGGATATTAGATAATACAATGACACAAATCCACATTGGGACACCCAGCACGATCTAGAAGCAGAAACACGACCGGCCACTCCCATGTTCTCCCGAGTTAGCCTGGACTGCTACAGAAGTAGCCTGCTGTTGTGATTCAGGCTCCTCATCGAGATATTCATAAGGTACCACGTCCTTGTCAGGGCCAGGATCATCCGCTGCAGCGTTGCGCTGTAAATTTACACATGAAACAGAATGAACAGCGATAAATCAATCGGGCGCACCTCTTTACCCTTCGCGTAAGCAACATCGACGATAGGCGGTGCTGTATGGAGAGCGTGCCGCCTGGGTAGTAGGCGTTGTAGGCGGGTATTGAAGGTGATTGGAGCGCTGGTGGAGGATAGGGTAGTGGGCTGCGCAGGTGGAGCACTTGGACGAGCGGTATTCGCGACAGCGAGCCTGAGTCTTTTAAGGAACGCAAAGCGCTGCCGGGGTTGTGGTTGGGAAATATGGCGATACTGCAACGAATGATGTGAGTGAGATATGAAACATACGCTATTGCACGTACTTCATTGTTTCCCCGGAAGAATTCATTATCTTGCATATAGTCATGATCCTGGTCAGAAATTTCTGCCTGTGTAACCGTCAGTAGTGAAAAGGATAAAGAGAGGGATTGCATATATGAAATACCTGGTCATTGGGTGGTCATGCGATACAATGCTAGTGAGTAAGGGGGTCTGAAGGAGAAAAAGAAGCGTACATTCGGGATATTGCGTGCACTATCCTAGCACAAGATGAGAGGACAAAGGGACTCAAAAACAACGCGAACTTACTTGTTCTCTCAGCGCGTCATCAGGTACTTCCCACTCCAAGATCTGCTTATCCTGACCTCCACTGAGAATATGCTTACCATCCGTAGAGAAGGCGGCACAGTATACCCAGTTAGAGTGCTGGAAGATGGCAATGGTTCGTCGATCTGAGAGTCGCCAGAGGCGCACATGATTATCACCACATGCGGATACGACGAGAGTTCCAGCGGAATTCACAACAATTGCATTGATGATGCTAGTGTGGCCGGTCCATGGATGACCGACTTGCTTCCCTTTTGATGGATCCCACTCCCGTATGGTGGGATCATCCACATCGCCTGCTGAGAGGAGGCGTGTGCTATCGGGCGTCCACGCGAGGGAAATGTTCCTCGGTAAACCATTTGGTAGACCGACTGCGTGACCGTCAAAGTTTGAGATGCACTCCCCTGTGTCTGGATTGCATATTTGGATTTGAAGGTCTGTCGCGATGGCAAGAAGTTTACCAGACGGCGAATACCGAACGCAGTAGACACGATCAGCGCAAGGGATTAGTTCCCCTTGCAGCTCCCACGTTTCCGTGTTCCAAAGCTTCGTCGTTTCGTCTGATGAACCTGTCGCTAGGACTGCTCCGTCTGGAGAAAAGTCCAGCGAGTAGATCGACCAAGAGTGGGCTTCGAGTGCTTGGGTGACAGATTCACCGCTCTGACCATCCCAGGCGATGAGCTCTCCGCAGATATCACCGCTTGCTATCAATTTCCCATTCCCTGATACCGCAACGGTCTCCACCCCACGACGATGCCCCTCCATTTTCTTCAACACAACGCTGTCCTTCATGTTCCACAGACGAAGCGTATTATCTCCCGAGCCCGTCACCATACGCCGTCCATCGGGGAAGACCGCGACTGTTGATATGAATTCCTTGTCATTTTCTTCATTTTCAAATGCTCGAACGGGCGTGGTGATTGGAATGATGGGCTGCACTGTTTCTTCAGCCATTCGGGTAGAAGTGGATGGTATTCAGCACGGTCGATTCAGGTAGACTTGCTGTAATTATGACCCGTGTTTTTCTTGCTTATGCTGCTGAAGTGCATGTACTGTGCGTTTGTTTTCGTGTCGGCATTGTGTCAATAATGATAACTCGCCTCGGGCCCCTGTTAGACGCTCAGGACACGAGGCAGTTCTTCCCAGAACCTCTTTTCTTGCCAAGACCACAGTCAAGTTATCATATTACGTGTCTTACTCGACCACTGGACGTCGTCATGCACCTCTGTACATGGTTCCAACTTGTATCGCCGCAGCTTTCCGCGCTGAACCAGATAAAGTGCGCTTGTTACTTCTCAACTCACCTTCAATGTGTCTGCCTAACAATCCCGGCCGGATGGCATCGGCACCTCAACTGTTAGACTAAACCCAGTGCGGGCCCAGGTTGATTATGTCCTGCTTCTCATGTGGGAGTGCTACTCCAACACATCACCATGGAACCTGAACGATCTGGCGAACGTTCTTCCCCTGCTCGTTTCTCGCCTATCTTTCACGACGTTGGGTCTCTGATACATTGCTCACTGTCCCGTCGCCTGGTCCATCCTCTAGACTTCCAAGATCGGATGGGTATCATATTTAGTTCGACAGTTTTACTTCCCCTGCTACTTTATATGCAAAGCACACGAATACTCCTCATCCAAGCGGTCGCAGCATTTTGGAATCCTTGACGGTCTTTGAGTATGCTGGCTGAAAGGGCACATATGATTAGTACAACCATCCGATAATGCTTGTAATCTGGTATTTGTGCACTTTCCTCTCCCCGATTATTATGTGTATTAGTGAAATCCCAGAGCCCTTGTGACTGCTGCTATAAGTATTTGACCTAGTGTTTCCAGCAAGGGACGAGAATACAAAACTAGTGCTTTACACGTCTTTCGATTTGTCTTTAAGACACAGGAACGGGTCCCAATTTACCACTAGTAAAGCCTAGTCTCCCCAAAAGTAGGTCATCGCCAGTTATCAGCAGTCAATAAAGTGAATGTTAAGCTTCAATCAGAAGAGGTTCCCCTTCAGCGTATGCTTCATAAATCAACCATCTGCAACATATCCTGAACCACATAAGCATACCACTCAACACACAATCCACGTTTTACACTTACCAGGCGATAGTGACTCGAATACTGCACGAAAAAAACCTTAGTGTGACGAACTTCACTGGGCTATGTCGAACGCACCGAAGGCCGCTGAGAGGACAGGTTGCTGTCTTTATTCTCCTTTCCGACTTTATATTTCGACAGTGCCTGAAGATGATGTGACTGGTGATTTGTCTCACGTATCGTTATTCTCACCTGTGTTCGTCTCAGAGTTATTCCGTCAACCTTGTGCCTGTGCAGAGCGCGTCAGCTCCTCGAATGAGAGACACAAGTGTCACCCACCGTATGTAGGAGAGTAGATCGTGATATGAAGCCTCAGGATTGCGTTCTACGAAGAATAAGTTGGGAGCATTCGGTTCTCTAAATATGCTTCTCACCGAGATAGTCAATAAAAAACTGGGCCACCTTCAGTCAGACCAGAAATGTCATGTTTGAATCTTGTATTGTACCTTCGTTAGAGTTTCACCTGTGGCATTGTCATCATATGCCAGCTCATCATCCCTGCATGCGGACAACGAAACCTTGGGGTCATCCAGTTCAAATTTTGACGAAGATATCAATAAGAGAAACACGCACGACGTGGGGCTTGACCCGCTCTTCTGGGAGTTTCAGAGGACAGTCAAGAGTGCATTTAGGCAGGTAAGTATCAGGGGAATATGCTCTAGGCCCAAGACCCATGTTGTCAGTTGTCAACGACCCAAATCTTGTTTGAGGGTCATCGTTTATCGAAGACTGATCATCGGAGCTGTCCTTCAAAAAGCTGGCGCTAGGGCTTTCGCCTGCACGGCGAATATTCAGGTAATAATCAACAGAGTGATCGGAAACACTTGCCAAAGCCTTTAGTTTTCCTTCCCAAAGCTAGAGTCATCAACATTAGCTCGAGCACACGATCGAGAATAACCATCACCTGACAGGACTTTGAAGGGCGCCGACAGTAACTCGTTACACTCATAATGCTCCAAATCTTTGACAATTGGATGAGTACGGAAACGAACCCGAATTGTAGACCTACATACCCAATATAGTGTGAGAGTGGGTACAATCCCATAAAGCCTGTTTACAGAACGACATCGTTAGGACTAGGTACAACTTCGATAACAATGATCATGATCATAATAAATCAAATCAGAACACGCACGAAAAGCTTGGCACCAGAAGGTAATGGATCAACGAGGTGTTTCTTCAACACCTTGAGGGTCGTTCAGGGTCACGAACTGGTTGACAACCCACAAGCCGGAGCTTACATTATCAATGATGTGCTTGCCAGTATAGGTGATTATAGCTACATCCAATAGATTAACACGCATTCAAGAAACGAGGGTTTGACACTACCTTCATCTTTACCATCGCTTTCGGTGTTATGCTTGCAAGTAACCTGGTCTCCATGTCCAGTGTCTAAAGGAAAGTTAGCGCTCGAAATGATACACTGGTGTCACACCAATACAAGGCCTTACTGACAGTAGAAGAATAAGTGGTCGTGTGGTGATGTACATCGGACCATCAAGTCAATCTCACGCAGCTACATTCTATGATCAGAGATGCTAGAGCATACTAATATCAGGATTAGGATGCTTACTATATTCGCTCTACTGGGATAAAGTTTCGGGGAAATACTCTTGTGATGCATCATGATTGTGATGTTTTCAGGTAGGTAGTCACGAGCTGCAGTGAAGTATTGATAAATCATGAAATATCAATCATGAAATGTGCGTACACTTGACGAGGAAGTCTCTCATTCTGAGAGCATCCACGTGTGCTCGGGGCAGATTGGGGAAACCAGTCACTTTATCCACAGCAACAATAAGTGCCCTACACGGGCGTACTTCTGCTCGCCACTCTGATATCTTCTGATCATCACCACCACTGAGGATGTGCTTGCCATCCATAAAGAAAGTGACACAGTTCACGCTGTCGGAGTGCTTAAATATGGCTATGGTTCGTCGATCGGAGAGCTGCCAGAGGTGGACATGGTTGTCACGCGATGCGGAGGCAATCATAGTGCCACCAAAGTTAACAGCAATGGCAGTGATACCCTCAGTGTGGCCCGTCCAGGGATCCCCAACCTGTGTCCAGGTTGATGCATCCCACTCTCGTATGGTGGGATCGCGATGATCGCCCGCTGAGAGAAGGCAGGTACTATCGGGCGTCCACACGAGTGAAACGTTGGATGACGTGGAACCCTTCAGGTTTGCAACGTTGGATGACATGGGACCCTTTAGGTTTGCAACGGATTCCCTCGTGCTTGAATTGTAAATTGAGATATCGTGGTCTATCGCGATGGCAAGAAATTCTCCAGACGGCGAATACCGAACGCAGCAGACCAAGGCACCACATTGGATTGGATCTCCTTGTACCTGCCATGTTGTCGTACTCCACAGTTTTATCGTCTGGTCGAATGAGCCGCTTGCCATCATTGTACAATCTGGAGAAAAGTCCAGGGAGCAAATGCATTTTGAGTGGGCATCGATGCATTCATAGGATTGAGTAAGAGGTTCGCCTGTTTTTCCGTGCCAGGCGATGAGCTTTCCCTCCCGATCACCGCTGGCTATCAACCGTCCATCTCGTGATACCGCAACTGTGTGCACGTTGCTGCGATGCCCTTCCATTTCCTTCAACACAATCATGCCCTTCAAGTCCCACAGACGCAGCGTTGTACCCGATCCAGTCACCATGCGTCGTCTATGGGGAAGACTGCGACAGTCTTTATTATTCCTTCAGGGTCTTCTTGGTATACTCGAATGGGTGTGGTGATTGGAATGACTTCCGACATTTTGCTGGAGCTTGATTGTGTGCTCCTTCAACCTGAGGCCTGAAGCACTGGCAGCTGGGTATTGACCTGTCCGAAGTAGATCGGCTCCCAACAGGTGGGAAACTGCACCGACGTTATTTGGTACCATGTCAGGTGGAACACAGGGAGTCACACGAATTGCTTCCGCGGGATCAAAGTTTTGTTCCGTCCGAGACCCCGCAAACATTGTCGGAAAGGTACGAGTCATTTTTTTTGTATCTTCATTGTCCGAACTACACGACGTCCTACCAAGCCCTCTGAGGGCCTCATTCCGCCCACAACTGAACCCACTCTCAATCCTCCTTATTACTTTGCTTCATTACATCATCATCCCCGATTGCTCGAAGGTTAATATTCCATTAGACTTGAGCTTGAAGGAAGGTCCCTCCATATGATCACTTGGCATGTAATCCGTGATCCTCACGACCTATCTAACTCATCAGCGCAAAAATCTCAACGCCCCTTCCGAGCACATTACCGTAAGGCGTTTACACATCCATCAACGTCAACTCCAGGAGCCGCTGGAGATCAGCCATCAGAGTCTTATTATCCAATGAACTTGTGCGGGGCGATACTGTGACCCTATAAAGTCCGTGGAGACTTTCGGATCCCGTTAGATGATGGAATGACCTACTTGATCGTGGAGATGAACCTTTCGGCAAGTAACCTGGTTCTCATTCATGCAGATGTATGAAAATCCCGTGGATTCAGAGGCCACCATTGTACATACTTGCGACAATCAGGATGGTGCACTGTTTGATGTAGGTGACACCAGCCTCTGTCTGTTTTCTTGTGCTGACTAAACGCCAACTGTAGTATATCATTGAATGTGAGGTCGCTTAAGACCAAGGCGCAGGTCACGCACGATTTGCAGAATACATGACATGCAAGAGGGCCTCTGACATGAATGATGCTGTGGAGCATTTTCAGTCCTGCTAGGTCGACCATCACGCAGCGGCTCTCCCCAACTTCGCGTGCACACGCTTGAAGGCTATATTCGCAAGGATCTTCCCGCCAATACATCGATCTTACGACTTCTCTCTTTTCCGCGATACTCTTGCGTTGCGTTTGCAATGCCACCTCGGTCACGTATGAACTCTATCATCTCGCCGAAGCACTGATCTGGCGCTACACCACGGATCGTACTTCCGTCTATTCACGAATCCGTGTAGCTGTATGCAAGTTACTGTTTTCCCCTGTCCAGACGGCCCCCTACCTTAGGAGCATCGGCGTGGACAGTGCTGTCGAATATGATCAGCGGATGCAATCATCTTCTAATAGACACATCTGATGAAGGCATCCGATTCTCACGTGAATCCACGACGAAACCTTCATGAGCACATCAGAACACAATATCTGGTGTCAACCTCACGGCTGTCCGATGGAGACTCCCGTTGAACCTGCTTGTTCCTGGCTTTCGCAAGCGCTGAAGCGAGTCACAAGTTCTCCCATTAAGTTGATGGAATAGCTTTAATGGGCATGGAAAGGGACTGCGGAATCTGCATTTGAGGAAGCCACGAGGGATCTTTGAGGCGATCCTAGCACTATCGGACAGTGGACCCGAATCGCTGCTCGAATCGATCCAGAGAATGGGGTCATGGAGGTAATGTCCATGATCGTGTAGTATGCACATCGGTCTTCTGACATGTGCTGCTTTCGTCCTTATGTTGCTTGCGATGCTGTGATCTGTTGTAGTCAATGTTTCTCGGGTTCTTGTGGATTAGGAGTACAGCCTCAACCCGTGCTGAGGTATTTAAGCGAGCTATAGCCAACGATCAGCGAATAGGAAGAATAATGCCGTTTTGCACAGCGGCACGGCCCTTGATCCTATAGATTCTGAACGTTGCATGAGCAGGACATTGGCGGGCGCCTGCAAACGAGCTGAGTGATGGATGTTTTAGGTTAGAGTTGGCTCTATTTGTAATTGCACTGCAACTTCAGGGACTTGTAACATCGCCACCACAACGTGGGCCTCCGAGTTAGCACAATCCATCCAACGAAGCTAAGCTTTCATAGTGTTGGACATCTTCTCTTTCTTGTACCGTTCAAGTAGCCCGCATCTGGCACTGCGCTCCTGATCTCATCGAAAGCGTTCTAAGGGCGTGGACGAGTATCGATCGAGTATCTGACATGTCCACAATATCCACTCAGCTGCGCAACTTCAAGGAACCTACTAAGGATCAGTTAACTCATGTTTTCTTCTCAATACCGGAGGTGCCTCCTGTGCCTCTCAAGGATACGGAGAAACAGGTTTCTGGAGATATAGAGAAGATGGAGATCAACGCCATTCTCAGCTTCGGTGCGCAAGAAGTGGAGGATTCGTATGTGAGTGCCATGTCTCCGTCTATGTACGATATCTCATCATTCGAGTGGACTCAGGCAGGAAAGTTACACTTGCTTCCACCATATCTCGCATTTTCCTCCCTGGATCGCAAATCCGTCAGGTTCACATTGCCCCTCTCCACAGTACGACGCGTCGAACGCCTTAATGCGCGTGCTGGAGTTTATGCCTTGAGTCTCTCCACTTGGCACGGCATGAAGATAGTAAGTGACGTCAACATCATTTGATGCCTTCATTAACACCTGTTTAGATTGTGCAGTTAACCTCCCTTCGACCCACCGCCGACCTATTTTGCAGCCTCTTGCGGGAAGCACTCAAAGCGGAGCTGCAGCGTGGTCACATGAAAGCTGTGAAAGGCTTTGTGAAGACTTGCTACTCTGAGGGGCTTGTGTCGTTATCGGGTGTCTCAGACAACGAGCGGGAGGATGGAAGTCTTATCACGGAGACAAAAGAAGGATGTCCGCCTCCAGAAACAGAATTTCACGGTGGCCTAGGGTTGCAGTTTAAATTTCCTGGTGACCCAAAAAAGTTAGTCTTTTTATGGGTGCTTCATGCCTTGCACTGACGCGTTTCAGGTTGCGCGAGGCTTCAAAAATCAAGCTATGGACGACATATTTAAAGAGTACGCCTTATGGTTGTGTTGCATATGAAACGATTGATTATGATGTAGATCACGGTCGCAATCTTACGTTACTAAGATACCCACAGTGTACTCGATTGGTTCAGGTCGGCCTCCCCAATCGTCTTCGTGGTGAGATGTGGGAGACATTGTCTGGATCTATATATCTTCGTTACTCCAATCCTGGAGTATACGAACAATTACTGTTGGACATTCAAGGCACGAACAGTACAAGTTTTGAGGATATTGAGAAGGATTTGCACAGGAGTCTTCCGGAATATGCAGGCTATCAAGCTGACGAGGGTATCAGCGCTCTTCGTAGAGTACTACAAGCCTACTCGCACAGGAACCCAGAAGTTGGCTATTGCCAGGTACGTTTTTCTTGTGTTTTGCCATTCCTTAATTCTGATTCATGTTTAGGCGATGAATATACTGGCAGCTGCGATTCTAATGTAAGTGGTCCACTTACACGGAACGTATATCTCATGTTGGTGAAGTTACATGTCAGAAGAACAAGCCTTTTGGCTTCTGGAGGTTCTGTGCGATAGACTTCTGCCTGGCTACTACAGGTATGTCCTACACACCGATATGCTGTCGCTATCACTAAACACATCTAGCCCAACTATGCATGGAACACTTCTGGATCAACGAGTTTTTGAGTCTCTTGTGACACGGTGCTTGCCAATGATAAGCGATCACTTTCAGGCGGTTGATGTACAACTCTCAGTCGCGTCTTTGCCATGGTTCTTGAGTCTGTCAGTGTTCATGAGAATTTATACTCTACGCAGGACATGACTCGCTCTTCTCAGGTACATCAATAGTATGCCTATGGTTTTTGCCTTTCGCATTGCAGACTGCTTCTTCTGCATGGGTCCGAAAGTACTTTTCCAAGTAGGGTGAGTCTTTTCTTGTCATTTCGACCTTTTGCATAACTCAAAGTCTTGGCAGACTGGGTCAGTGCACCTCGCTTCTAATTCAATATATCCGTCTGACTGATAGAGTAAAGCCATTCTTAAGATTAATGGTGAAAAGCTATTGCAAATTCAAGATGATGGGGGATTCTTAAGGTGGGTTAATGTTAACCATTGACGGCCTATACCTATACTCACTATGATTAGCTTGATGCGCGAATACTTCGCCTCGCTTGGTGACTCTGCGCATCCAGAGTCTGCAGATCCTCGAACAAGGGCGATAACACGCTTCCAAGAGCTACTTCTCATCTCGTTCCGGGAGTTCGCTGTGATTTCCGACGAGACCATTCTCTCCGAACGTAGAAAGCACAGAAACGAAATCGTCAACAGCATTGAGTCCTTCTCTAAGCGTTCGGCAATCAGAAACTTGAAGACGCTCGAAAGATTTACCAAAGAGCAGGCTGGGTTCATATACGATGCTTTGTACAAGGCCATGTGTGAAGTTCCACCACCACCAGCTGTTGCTCCACCGCCATCGCTCTTGGCCACGAATGATGGGCACCAAGAACGAGCGGAGACTAGGATTGGTATACCGACTTTCCAAGTTTTCCTCGGTGAAATCTTGACCTGGGCACGGAACGAGAAGATTGTGATCAATGGTTTCCAGGTAGTCCCACAATCTTTATGTCTCGATTACTGACCTTGACGCGAATAAAGCAACGCATCGACCGCGAGGTTGCAGAACACGAGCTCATCGACCGTCTCTTTTACTTTTGGGACACTTCGTGCAAAGGCTCTCTGTCGTTCCAGGCATGTTTCTTGATGAAGGGAAAAAAATTAATGCTCACGAATACCCCTAGGATCTCGTGTCTGGTCTAGATGGTGTGATGCTCAATGATTTGATGGAGAACATTGAATGGTTCTTTAATCTGCACGACAAGAACAAAGATGGGTATTTGACCAAGGATGAAGTCCTGACCCTCTCCGAGTCATTTCTCGTCAGTCTATCCGCTTTGTCTGACGTTCAAGGCTGACTAGCCTTAGTTCATTTTCCGTCATGAGATCGGTGACGCCTACCTAGGAGCCGTCAGCAAATTTATGACCAACGCTTTCGAGTATGGTGATAGTCTTCTGCCACAGCACACCGATAGCAAGACTGGAGCAACGGAACCTCAAGCTATTGGGCACAACCAGCCATACCTCAACCTTGCTACGTGTGTCACCTACGTATGACCCCACACGATCAATCTTACACTTGCCACAGGTTCCGGATGGTCGTTCTAGCTGACGAGGTCTTGGAGTCGTTCTTCGAAACTGATCTTTCTGCCTCATTCAGGCTGGAGCCCGTTCCTGACCTTGAGTTACCTCCGGCATCAAGCGGCTTCTTGGGTGATCTGTGGTCTAACATCGCTACCCAGGACAACAGGAAGATGTTCAACAGACTGAGCGATGAGCTTGGCAAGACCATAGGCAAGCATCAGGTATGACAGTTAGTATAATTATCACTCCACAAAGTTAACGTTCTGCTTGCAGGTTATCTATCGTCCTACAATCGGACGATTCACAAAACTCGAAGAACCGACGGCTCGGGAGTCGCTCATTTCTCCACCAACCAAGGCCACCTCCTCGGGAGGTTCTTTGAATACCGTGGTAGTATCGGGCTCATCTTCAACTCTCGACACATCATCCGTCCACGACAATGGTCCGTCGTCCGCCTCAGTGTTTTCTCCGATGCCCCATTTCAAAGCGGTCAATGCGGCATTTATGGAGCGCACGCCGTTTGCCATCGATGACGCAGGTGATGATGACGATGATAGTGAATTAGATATGGTCCATGGTGAAGATGATGATCAAGTTATGGACGAGGTGCGTGGTTTTCTTCATGTAAGTATATTCGATGATACTCAACGCCGTAGGTGGATGCCTTTTTGGAGGCACATGATTCAGGGCTTTCTGAAGCAGACAAGGAGGTTGCAAAGGGTAAGATATCAGTTTTCGTATGTATACATAACTTCTGATCACATTCAATCAAACCCAGATCTTCTTAATGCTGAACCCGTCAAGTAAACGGGTGCTTAGTGTTAAAACACACTTGCTATTGTTCAGCTTTCCATGCATTTGCGAGTTATATATCAAGTGTAGGATAGTGTACAAGACAGATAAACCGATACTAGAACTAGGTATGCAGTACCAGCACGCAGTGCACGTCTGTCACGGTCGATCAGCATGTCGAGCCACGATCAGACCATATGCGAACTGTAAGGTCTGGCTCGATGGAGCCAGACGCAATCATGTTTTGCTGTGGGTGAGTAGCTACAGCGACAACGACACCTGGACACCCAATTAAGTTGCCATCAAACCCGACAAGGAAATATTATCCTCACCTTCATGTCCTTCAAGAATCTGCACTACCTCACGACTTTGAAGATCCCATATATAAACCTTTTGGTCTTCGCTCCCAGAGACAATCCATTTCCCCCCGGTAACACTGAAACAGGCCGCTATACAGAACTTCTCATTGCGATGACCTGTGTATGTTTTCAAGCAGCGCGACGTGTGATAGTCCCATAGTCTGATCGCACTGTCATGAGCAGTTGAGAGAATGTACTTGGAGTTGGGTGAGAACTGTACGTGTTGGCTGAAGATCCATAAGAGATTAGAGAACGAGATGAGCAGTGGCAGCTGACGGACATACCATACAGCATCGTGTCCTTCAGCGAGGGTTTTCAAACATTGACCCGTTGTGGTATTCCATATCCGGCTGTGGTTGCGTCAGACAGGCAAAGAAGTAATATGTTGCACTCACATTAGCCCGTCAAGAGCACACGAGACAATCAGGGTGGCATCTCTGTTGAAGTGCACGGCAGTAACATAGTCAAGATGCGCATGCAAAGTCTTCATGCATTTTCCTTGACTTGAAGTGAGAGACTGGACAGCTGGATGCAAAGCAACCTTTGCGCACCTCTTGCGACATTCCATATTCGAACATCACCATCACAACCTCCGGAAACAAGGAGGTTGGATGCTGTGTTGTAATTTACACAAAACACGAAACTCGAGTGCCCTTTGAGATGTTTCGTTGTTAATCCCTGACTTGCGGTATGAGTCGACCGGAGGATAATTCCGTCATTAAGATGACTTACAGAATCAACGTTCCATATCCGTACACTGGTGTCATCAGACGCTGATGCGAGATACACACCATCTGTTGACCACGCGATATCTGAGAGTCCTTTGGTATGGCCACTCAAGTTTCTGATCAAATCCCCCGTGAATGGAGACCATATTTTTACCAGATTATCTGCAGCTATACAAACGAAAACTATTTCAAACACAACCAGTCCTAGCGAGCTGCATACGAACCGCAAGATGCAAGTAGCGTTCCATCTGGACTGAATTTGACGGCAGATATAGATTGCGTATGCCCCCTCAGTGTATGACGAAGTTCATAATTTGGCCTTTCTCTGCCTGATGTTGCTGGTGGAAGCGCTTCAGGGACTGGTTGCGGTACTGGCTGGGGAGGTTGTGGTACGGGAGGATGATTGTCCGGTACCTGAGGGTCGTCCTCAGTTGTTTGAGAAGCATTATCATCATCAGTTGTAGAATCGTCCATTCCGGCGAGTGGGTCCATGACGATTATACCAAATGTCGAACTTCAAAAAGGCATGTACTACAATTCCGAGCCGTTGATGGCGTTTGTGTATATTTGTTAGATAACCTTGTGATTTCAACAAACCACAACAACATTCAGTACTTGGTCATTTTTCTTTCTTCATGAAGTTCAGACGTTGCAGGCTCCATGCTGGTATCCACCCCTAATGTAGCAAGAGCATTTCACGTATTTTCTACGCTACAGGCAGGGAGTAGTGGCAGTTCGAGGTGTATATCGTCCAGGGCCAATGCTATTTTCAAGGATGCGAAGTCCGCAGAATTTCTTGCTGCTGTTGGTGATAAAGAATCTCTTTCTTTGTTAGGTGGGCTTCCCGAGGTGAGTCACTTAGATGTCGAGCACTCCACATGATGCAGGCTTGTGAAGGTAGTTGTAACAGGTCGAGCGAATGTCGGAAAATCATCCTTGCTTAATTCTGTGATTGGGCGTAGAGATCTTCTTTTCACCAGCAAAAAAGCCGTGAGTCGTTATAGACTTAGCGCTGTATTCTACTACATGCTGATTTTGCGCAGGGCCGAACACAAACACTCAACTTTTTCCGTGTTGGATCTCCTCCTGGTCGCTTGGTCGTTGTCGACTCTCCGGGATATGGCGCTAGGGGCCGACCTGAGTGGGGTGCCCTTTTCAACCATTATCTAGAAACTCGGAAAGCAGTAAGTTCTCATGCCATTTTAAGTACATTTGACACCATGTTACAGGTTATGCCGCGTCTTCATCTTGATATCCGCTGCCCACGGTATGGGTGCTACGGACGAGGCAATGCTTTCTTCGTTGGATGCTCAGATCCAGTCACTCGACGGCACCTGCTGGACACTTCAAGCAATCATTACTAGGGCCGACGTACTGAAAGCAAATGGTCGCACTCAAATAAATCAGATTGAGCAAGATATCTTTCGCATTGCCCCAACATGCTTACCCCCTATCATCACCTCATGTCCGTCCAAGGGAATTGCTTTTGGCATCGATGAAGTTAGGAAGTCGATTTATCATGCGTGTGGGATCCTCCCATAGAGACTTACTCCTAGTGACTTCCTGGGGAATCGACTATATGTTTTGGTATGACTAGAGGGCCGAACTTCATCGGCAGGGACCTTTCATCGTACTATTTACTTGTTAATGATAGATTGGCATTTGCTTTAGCAAGATCTTTGCGCTAATCTGTGTGGTGATTAATTGATCATGCACAAAACATCACGATAGAAATACAAAGTCGAAGTAGAAACACAACTTTGTACAATATGATTTGTGTCATGACTTGATACCGTCGATGATGGTAAATAGTCACATGCGCTTCGACAAGTGCACCTTTGAGTTTTGATTGAAACAAAACTAGTACTCAAAGGTTGACTCAGTGGCCAGGATGAGATCATAGTTTTAATCACATGCAGGCATAGCTAAAGGTTTTCGACACGCGTCAAGTAGTGGGAGGAGGTTCTGTCGAAGACAAAAAAATTCCCATCACCGAAAATATGTGCATCATGAATCGATACTTTCATGTCGATTTTCACCAACTCACAGAGAAAAGATAGACAATTTTAGCCATACGTCGAAGCTGGAATACGAATCCTCTCATGAAACTATGTAGGGACGGTGTAGTACTTGGGTCATTCTAAAAAAATACTCTCAGAGGCTTGAGCCACGGATGGGGACCTGAACGCACGATGAACCACCGTACACGCATCTCGAACAAAGAACTTTTACCATGGCACCCTTACGGTGAGGTTAGACGTCAGAGGATGCACTTTACCCGACGAGGGGCTGTCACTATTTGTCACGAATGAGACTGGTGATACATACAGATGAAAAAAAGGAAAAACCTTTCATAATTGGATGAGGGACGGAGAAGCGAGAGAACCACTTGGTTAGATGCAATCGTGCTGTAAATAAAAGTAGGTCATGCGTCGAAATCAGAAGTCATAATGAGAGTCCCGACCAGATGCATGCCGCTTTCGAAAGGTCAGCGACATGAACTCAGTCAAGCCACGGGCACATACCAGGCATTCCGAAAATAGCATTCATAATAGCTGACGACACACACTGAGTAGGCGTCTGAAATGAAGCGAAATAGTCTTACAATTCAGGTTCAAACGTTTCAGGACCTACAAAGTTTAGCCCGCGACAACCCTGTCTCGCAACAAGGAACACACCAGGAAGATAAGGTTCGCTAGAAAATTGAAGATGAAATATATCACTCCTTGTTTCACGAGCGTCTTCCATAGCGTAGAAGACGATGGCATCCTCAAAAGTCCAACAACGGTAAAGATCAAAAGTGCCAAATCATATAACATGGCTACACCCGGGGTACTGATCATCACATATCCATGGATCATAAATGCGATATGCGTACCATATATGATCATCGCACTAGTATATACGGGATTGACAAAATTGATCACGCACACCCCGTTTATGGGAGATGCACGAGCGGTTGCCAGGACTAAGAATAATCGAATCAATCACACTAGAGGGTAGCAAATACGCACAGAGTGTGAGCAATGTCCAATGGCCTAGTGATAGGAGGACTAGCAAAGGCGCAGCAGGTAACTGGTCTTCCAAATCAGCCACCTGCATATATATCATGAGATCGAGATAGTACGAGAGATAATTATGGGCGTGCGTTCTGATCATCAGGTTTGTTGTGGAGCAGCCGATGGCGACGTTTGTCCAGAACTGGATGATATGACGGTAAATCAGCAACCTAGTGGGTACTCCCGTGCTCACTATGACTGCAAAATTCATGCCTAAATCGAGGTAAATCTCATCGGCGAAGATCAAGTCCACAAAACACTCACTCTGACAATCAACGCTTGTGTAGAAGGGACTAGATTGTATCGCACTGAAAAGAGATGTCAGCACGCTTGTCGTTTTCTCTCTGTTGGCTCACTGTAAAATGATTGCAATCAAGAAGCTGAATCTGGCGGTAATGTACGAGAGCTGGGTATGTGTAAGTAGTAAGCATCCACCACTTCCCCGAAAATGCGCACCAAAGGCCATCGAAATGGAAGCTGCCTCCGAAGTAATGCTATCTCCATGTATGAGGAACGTATATATTCCCAGCTACGGAGGTAGACGCAGGCTAATTAGTACCACATTCGAGAGCATTACAATGCGCAGCACTCACCCGTATAAGCCAAGGATAACATACAACAACTGTACTAACAGTATCCCCAATTTCGCTTCGAGGTCAGGATCGTTCCAGTTCACCATAGTGAGAATTGGATGGAAATGGAAGATATACGTTGAGAGCGTTGCGGGAATGACACCCTGTTGACTAGAAAATCTCCGGCTTATTAGGACGACGTGCGGAGTAGGTACATACATACAAGTCTCCCACACCAATGGTTTCAACCCTGTGGAGCCTCTGCGGTAGCCAATCATAATGATACAGGCACTCGGGATACCCATGTCTTCACACTTGCGACCCTTCGTCTACCTTGACAATAGGCAAGCAGGGGTTGCATCCCTGAGGAGGGTTTTAATAATGCGAGTCGGGATGGCATAATATTCACACAGGTAGATGACATTGACTTGACATTTGAGCTAGGCAAGGCCTGGAATGACACGCCTCAATGATGTAATGACACACTCACTTAAATCGATAAAAATTGAGTAACGATATACATGGGTTAATAATCCTCACTTACCTGATATCAATAGGCAACCTACTCAAGTTCTTATGCCTTCAGCTCGCGTATAAAATCCACATTAATCATTGACTTGAAGATATGGTCTTGCAGTCCTCCCAAACACGAATCTTTGTAGATCAAGACGCAATCAATTTCCGTTCCGGGTTGAATTGGTATGATACACACCTCCACTCAGGCAGTACTCGAGCGAGTACTAGAAATAAATTCAGAAATATTTTGGAGAAGGCTGGGCTTTACGCAATTGCCTCCAAGTTATAGTTGCTTGTCTCCTTCAGTAGTGCAGCAGGAGTGGAGATCCCACCTGTAGTGACTCGGATGTTGGGGGTGAGTAATTGTCCGGAGCGTCTATGAAATACAAGCCACGTGAAAGGCAACGAAGCAGTATCAAAACACAGCAATGTACTCACGATCTTCCACCAAGACCACTTTCGTGCTCAGTGCTCAAGACGATCAGCCTCGACCGAGATAACAGAGTAGTTCATCGTTCCAATCAAAACACCTGTTAAAGAATTTGACCATGAATCGATACTTTCATGTCGACTTTCATCGACTCATAGGGAAAAGATAGACATGTTTAGCCATACGTCGAATCTGAAATACAAATCCTCTCATGAAACTACGTAGGGACGGTGTAGTACTTGTGGTGACTCTGAACAAATACTCTCAGAGGCTTCAGCCACAGACGGGGACCTGAACGCACAACTGAACCACCGTACACGCATCTCAAACAAAGAACTTTTACCATGGCACGGTGACGGTGAGGTCAGTCGTCACAGGATGCACTTTAGCCGACGAAGTATTGTCACTATTTGTCATGAATCAGACTGGTGATACATACAGATGAGAAAAAAGGGAAAAACCTTTCATAATCGGACGAAGGACGGAGAAGCGAGAGAACCACTTGGTTAGATGCAATCGTGCTGCAAATAAAAGTAGGTCATGCGTCGAAACCGGAAGTCGTAATGAGAGTCCTGACCAAATGCATGCCGCTTTCGAAAGGTCAGCGATATGAACTCAGTCAAGCCACGGGCACATACCAGGCATTCCGAACATAACATTCATGATAGCTGACGATACAGACTGAGTAGGCGTTTACAATGCAACGAAACAGTCCTACGATTCAGGTTCAAACGATTCAGGACCTACAAAGTTTAGCCCGCGACAACCCTGTCTCGCAACAAGGAACACACCAATAGGATAAGGTTCGCTAGAAAATTGAAGATGAAATATATCACCCCTTGTTTCACAAGCGTCTTCCATAGCGTAGAAGACGATGGTATCCTCGATAGTCCAATAACGGTAAAGACCAAAAGTGCCAAATCATATAACATGGCTACACCCGGGGTGCTGATCATCACATATCCATTGATCATAAATACGCCATGCGTACCATATATGATCACCGCACTAGCATATGCGGGATTGACAGAATTGATCACGCACACCCCATTTATGGTGGATGCACGAACGGTTACCAAGACTAAAAATAATTAAATCAACCACACTAGAGAGTAGCAAATACGCACAGAGAGTGAGCAATGACCAATGACCTAGTGATAAGAGGACTAGCAAAAGGCGCAGCAGGTAACTGGTCTTCCAAATCAGCCACCTGCATATATATCATGAGATCGAGATAGTACGAGAGATAAATATGGGCGTGCGTTCTGATCATCAGGTTTGTTGTGGAGCAGTAGATGGCAACGTTTGTCGAGAACTGGATGATATGACATTAAATCAGCAACCCGGTAGGTGCTCCAGTACTCACCAGGATCATAAAATTCATGCCTAAATCGAGGTAAGCCTCATCGACGAAGATCAAAGTCTACAAAACACTCACTCTGACAATCAATTCTTGTGTAGAAGGGACTAGATTGCGTCGCGCTGACAAGGGATGTCAGTACGCTTGTTGTTTTCTCTCTGTTGGCTCACTGTAAAATAGTCACAATCAAGAAGCTGAATCTGGCGGTAATGTACGAGAGCTGGGCATGTGTAAGTAGCGTCCACCACTTCCTCAAGAATGCGCACCAAAGGCCATCGAAATGGAAGCTGCCTCCGAAGTAGTGCTATCTCCACGTGTGAGGAGCGTATATATTCCCAGCTACGGCAGTAGACGCAGGCTAATTGGTACCCACGTGTAAGAGCATTACAACGCGCAGCACTCACCCGTATAAGCCAAGGATAGCATACAACAACTGTACTAACAGTATCCCCAATTTCGCTTCGAGGTCAGGATCGTTCCAGTTCACCATAGTGAGAATTGGGTGGAAATGGAAGATATACGTTGAGAGCGTTGCGGGAATGACACCCTGTTGACTAGAAAATCTCCGGCTTATTAGGACGGCGTGCGGAGTAGGTACATACATACAAGTCTCCCACATCAATGGTTTCAACCCTGTGGAGCCTCTGCGGTAGCCAATCATAATGATACAGGCACTCGGGATACCCATGTCTTCACACTTGCGACCCTTCGTCTACCTTGACAATAGGCAAGCAGGGGTTGCATCCCTGAGGAGGGTTTTAATAATGCGAGTCGGGATGGCATAATATTCACACAGGTAGATGACATTGACTTGACATTCAAGTTTGAGCCAGGCAAGGCGTGGATCGGCATGCCTCAATGATGTCATGACACACTCACTTAAATCGATAAAAATTGAGTAACGATATACATGGGTTAATAATCCTCACTTACCTGATATCAATAGGCGACCTACTCAAGTTCTTATGCCTTCTGTTGAGAGGTGATCCGTCAGAGCACTGAGCCGGTTCCAGATAGATATATCTAACGGTTCCAGTTCTATGTACCTTAGCTGCCACTGTTACTGACTGTCATCCACCCTAGTTACTGACCATTTTTCTCTTTGCTACTTAAGGATGGCTAGACGCTACACCCGCACCTCAGTCTTTCTTCCATTGACTGAGGTGCGTATACCATTCACATTATACTATACATGATACTTACTAGCGCCCTACAGACTCGCGTTACCTTAGGTTAGCATACATGAACTAGTCTTTCTTCCATTGACTGAGACTCGCGTTACCTTAGTTCTCGCTCTCTAACAGGTTATGAGCCCTGCCTAAAGGGTAGCGCCATCTTCTCCTCAAAATCTCTCATTCCCGCCGATAATACTCGGCTCTGACGTTACCATGTCGTCTTCGGACTCCCTTCCCAAAACTGAACGATATCCGCATGAGAAGCTCACCCTCGACGGATCCAACTATTCTCAATGGGCCACTGGCTTTAAAATGTGGTCCGGCGGCATTGGGCTATGGCCATATGTCAACGGCGACGAGAAGGAGCCATCCCCCCCAGCCACACTCACGGACGTGGATCAAAACATCATTCGCGCAGAGAAACACGCTGAACGAGTACAAGTCTATAAACAACGCCGACTTCTCGCCCTCAGCGCTATGTCCACGGCGATTGATGCGCAGGACTTCGTCCACCTCCGCGATATAGATGACCCGCACATGGCGTGGATTGCTCTAGAAAAGAAGTACCTTCCCCAAAAGGCTATTCGATTCAATCAATACCTGGACCGCCTGTTCACCATTCCCAAGGCGCATGATAGTTCCTCCATCGCCCAAACTATGCAAACCCTCACCGTGCTAAAATCCGACCTTGCAGCTCTCTCTGTCACCACAGCAGTCGCACCCTCCACTTCCAGTGTCGTTACAACTGCGGCAAAGGACGAGTACAAGATCCCGGACGCGATCTTCGTGCACGTCCTGTTGCGCACCCTACCTGACTACTACGACCCCCTTCGTCAAAACCCTCGTCAACAGCGATACTTCGCTGGACTTCAGCGATGTCGTAACCGCCTGAAGACTCAGGAATTACACCGCGCTGGAACCAGTGGCAGTGACCATGTGGCCATGCTGTCTGGACATCGAGGAGGAAACTCCTCCAACCCCAAGACCAGCGATCGTGTCCCGCCGAAAGGTTTTGATGAGACAAAAGGAGATGGGTGGATAGTAGGATGGCGACCTAAGTGCGGCCATTGTCAAAAGGCCGGCCATGTCTGGGTACAGTGTCGCGCACGGCTCTCTAAGGACGACAAAACTCCAAAGTCAGCACCTCGTCCTTCCTCCCCTGCCACAACCGCCGCTAACCCGGTGCCCTCCCTGCCAGACCCAACTGACGAGTCTACCATACCACCTCCATTCGTCCTTACGCTGAAGGATCACTCAGCCAGTATCTCATCAGCCCTTGCTTTACCGGCTGGGTCCTTCCACGTAGACTCTGCCTCGACGGCTCACATGGAGCCTGAAATATCACGCTTTTCTCACTATACGAAACTGCGTGAACCTATCCGTGTGACCTTAGCTGATGAGCATGTGGTGTTAGCTCCAGGATGGGGTAAAGTGAAACTTGTACTGCGGTTTGGTGATTCGTTGACTGGAACACGAGCTCGAGTTCCTGCATGTCCCCGATTTGCGCTGTACGCTCATTTCGGTATCCACCCTCGCCTCTGCTCGTATATCCTTCGCGACTACTTCTGAAGGAGGAACGCTGCGCTCTAACAACGGCAATGGGCCATACATCGCCCACGTGCACCAGAAAGACGGATTGTATCTGCTGGATGCAACGTACCATACGGTTGATTCCACCCCTGCACGCGCAATGCTCACAAAGTCCATGCCTCCATCTCTTAATACGTGGCATCGTCGCCTTGGGCATGCTGGTTTTTCGACCATTATGAAGGCCACGGGACATGTCAGCGGGATGAACATCGATGAGACCACCCTGCATCATGACGTCGGCGGCGCCGACACGATACATTGCGTGTCCTGCGTTATGGGAAAACATAAACGGCTTCCCTTTCCTACCATCGCACGCCGCGCTAAAGCGACAGCTGACCTCATTCACTCTGACGTTTGGGGACCGGTCAACATCACCTCCTCTACCGGTGATCACTACTTTGTGGTGTTCACTGATGACTACACAAGGTACTCCGTAGTTTACTTGATGCGTGCCAAATCCGAGGTCTTTGATCGTTTCCGGAATTTTATCCCCTGGATAGAAACACAATCTGGGGGGCGCGTCAAACGGCTTCGCAGTGACAACGGAGGCGAGTACATGTCGAGGGAGTTTCTGGCCTACCTTGGGGAACATGGCATTGAGCATGAGACCACCATGCCCTACACTCCCCAACAGAATGGCGTCGCGGAACGCGGACACCAAACCATCGTCACCCGTGCACTCAGTTCGCACCACCTGAGCGGTTTCCCGCGTTCGTTCTGGGGCTGGGCGATTCTTAACTCAGCCCACATCAAGAACATGCTCCCTTCCTCATCTCTCGCTGGTCGCACACCCTTTGAGGCGTTCTATGGTCGCAAGCCGGATGTTGGCTACCTTCGTCCATTCGGTTGCCTTGCCTATGCGCACATACCAGAGGACACTCGTCGCAAGTACGACTTTGTCTCTCGTCGCTGCTTCCTACTCGGCCATGTGCGGAATGCAGGCTACACTCTCTGGGATCCCTCTACCAAACGCGTCGTGCGTTCCCGTCACGTCCACTTCGATGAACACGTATTCTACGGGGATCCTGCTTCCTCACCCCTCGCTCCTCTCCTTCTTGACTCGGCGGATCTCCCTGGTGCCACTTCATCAGGTGGGAGGTGTCACTCAGCCAGTGGGAGCACAGGCTGGTGAGCCACCGCTATTGACCCCTGCTGACTGCGTACCACAGGTGTCAGTGGGAGAACGTGACAACCCACCTGACCATAACGATCCGCCAACAATCCCTGGCCCAACCGAACAGGCAACACTGCTTATCCCCCCACAGCAACCTCCAGTACCTCCTCCTCCTGCACCTCCTTCAGATGTTCCGCGTCGCAGCACTCGTTCACGCCAACCGGTACAAGCAGGTCATATCGCACCCTCTGGGACCAGCGCAATGGCCATACCAACGCGACGAGTTCCCGTCGCCGAACGCTGGACATATGTACCAGAGTCCTCGACCAGTCAGCACGACAACGACAGTACCGAATCCGCAATGCACACAGCTACCGAACCTCCCAAACGCTCAAACATAATCATACCCGAAACCATCAACAAAGCTCGGTCATTACCTGAGTGGCCTCAATGGTCAGACGCCTGCAAATCTGAGCTGCAGTCAATGCAGGACCTCAAAACTCACAAACTCACGCCACTCCCAGAAGGACGCAAAGCGATTGGTTCGAGATGGGTATTCACGGTAAAAACTGACGAAGAAGGCAACATCACACGTCACAAGGCACGCCTCGTTGCGCAGGGATACACGCAAGTCGAGGGGATCGACTATACAGAAACGTTCGCGGCTGTCGCCAAGTACGACACGGTTCGTATTCTCCTCGCCCTCGCGGCGAAATTCGACCTTGAACTAGACCAGATGGACGTACGTACTGCCTTCCTCAACGCTGACCTCAAGGAGGACATCTACCTCAAGCAACCGGCTGGTTTTGAAGACCCTGAACATCCGGACCTGGGTGTGGAAGCTGGAGAAAGCGCTTTATGGGTTGAAGCAGGCAGGGTATGAGTGGAACCAGACGCTGGATGAGTACTTGCGGATAGAGGGGTTCAGATTCGTAAGGAGCGAAGCTGACCACAGTCTATATGTCCTCCACGAGGGGGACAAAGTCATATGGCTAGTCGTCTACGTCGACGACATGCTCGCAGCGTCGAACTCTCGCGATTACCTGGACAAGTTCAAGACAGAGCTAAAGCGACGCTTCGACTTATCAGATCTCGGTCCCGCTCGCCACTTCCTTGGCATGCACATTACGCGCGACCGAGAGAAGAGGCTCCTCACCATTAGCCAGAAGGCTTACCTTGAGAAGATTCTCAAGAACGCCGGCATGACACTGTGCAATCCCGTCAGTACGCCTATGACACCTGGAGTAACCTTGCAGAAGGCCACTCGCCCCCCAACGAGTGAAGAAGCGGACGCCATTGCGTCAATCCCATATCGCCGAACTATCGGGGAACTCAACTACGCTATGCGAACCACTCGCCCCGACATCGCTTACCCAGTTTCATGCCTCTCCCGATACATGGAGAATCCCAGTATCGACCATCATCGTCAACTCAAACATCTTCTCCGGTACATTCGTGGAACTACGGATTTAGTACTTATCTTCGGCTCGTCAAACGAGGGACTCGTTGGGCACTCGGATTCGGACTATGCTGCAGATCGGGACGATAGCAAGTCCACCAGCGCTTATGTTTATCAACTCTTCGGAGGGCCCATTAGTTGGAAGTCGCAGAAGCAATCTGTGGTCGCTACCCTCGACCACGGAAGCCGAATATATCGGTCTATCGAACGCTTCACGCGAGGCCTTATATCTGATCCAGCTTCTACATGACTTCCGCCTCGACCCTGAACTCTACGACCCCGCACTCCTATATGGAGACAACCAGTCCAGTATTGCACTCTCGAAGAATCCAAGGTTCCACGAAAGAGCCAAGCACATTCACGTCCACTACCATCTCATCCGTGACCTCGTCGACACAAACAAGATCGAACTCCAGTACAAATCCACCTCAGAGATGATTGCTGATAGTCTAACGAAGGCGTTACCCTCGCCCAGCTGGGGTCCAGCATCGGGAAAACATGGGACTACGTCGTCAAGACCTGCCAGGCGCTCTGACGAGTGGGAGTGTTGAGAGGTGATCCGTCAGAGCACTGAGCCGGTTCCAGATAGATATATCTAACGGTTCCAGTTCTATGTACCTTAGCTGCCACTGTTACTGACTGTCATCCACCCTAGTTACTGACCATTTTTCTCTTTGCTACTTAAGGATGGCTAGACGCTACACCCGCACCTCAGTCTTTCTTCCATTGACTGAGGTGCGTATACCATTCACATTATACTATACATGATACTTACTAGCGCCCTACAGACTCGCGTTACCTTAGGTTAGCATACATGAACTAGTCTTTCTTCCATTGACTGAGACTCGCGTTACCTTAGTTCTCGCTCTCTAACACCTTCTTCCTAGATGTAACTATCAATATGGCTGTCACCGTTACAGTAGTCAAAACTCACGTTGACCCTTCAGCTCGCGTATAAAATCCACATTAATCATTGGCTTGGAGATATGGTCTTGTAGCCCTCCCAAACATGAATCTTTGTAGATCAAGACGCAATCGATTTCCGTTCCGGGTTGAATTGGTATGATACACACCTCCACTCAAGCTGTACTCGAGCGAGTAGAAATAAATTCAGAAATCTTTTGGAGAAGGCTGGGCTTTACGCAGTTGCCTTCAAGGTATAGTTGTCTATCTCCTTCGTTACTACAGCAGAAGTGGAGATCCCACCTGTAGTGATGTTGGGGGTGAGTAATTGTCCGGAGCGTCTATGAAATACAAGCCACGTGAAAGGCAACGAAGCAGTATCAAAACACACAGCAATGTACTCACGATCTTTCACCAAGACCACCTTCGTGCTCACTGCTCAAGATGATCAGCCTCGACCTGGATAACAGAGTAGTTCATCGTTCCAATCAAAACACCTGTTAAAGAATTTGACCATGAATCGATACTTTCATGTCAACTTTCATCGGCTCATAGAGAAAAGATAGACAAGTTTAGCCATACGTCGAGACTGAAATATGAATCCTCTGATGAAACTAAATAGGGACGATGTAGTGCTTAGGGTAATTCTAAACAAATAATCTCTTAGGCTTCAGTCGCGGATGGGGACCTGAACGCACAATGAATCACCGCACACGCATCTCGAACAAAGAACTTTTACCATGGCACCGTGACGGTGAGGTTAGTTGTTAGAGGATGCACTTTAGCCGACGAGTTGTTGTCACTATTTATCACGAATGAGACTGGTGATACATGCAGAAAAAAAGGAAAACCTTTCACAATTGGATGAAGGACGGAGAAGCCAGAGGACCACTTGGTTAGATGCAATCGTGCTGCAAATAAAATTAGGTCATGCGTCGAAACCGGAAGTCGTAATGAGAGTCCTGACCAGATGCATGCCGCTTTGGAAAGGTCAGCGACATGAACTCAGTCAAACCACAGGCACATACCAGGCGTTCCGAAAATAACATTCATAATAACTGACGACACGGACTAAGTAGGCTTTTGCAATACAGCGAAACAGTCTTACGATTCAGGTTCAAACGATTCAGGACCTACAAATTTTAGCCCGCGATAACCCTGTAGAGAAACAAGGAACACACCAGTAAAATAAGGTTCGCTAGAAAATTGAAGATGAAATATATCACCCCTTGTTTCATGAGCGTCTTCCATAGCGGGGAAGACGATGGCAATGGCATCCTCAAAAGTCCAATAACGGTAAAGACCAAAAGTGCTAAATCATACAACATGACTACACCCGAGGTACACATCATCACGTATCCACTGATCATAAATGCGAAATGCGTACTATATATGACCAACACATTAGCATATGCGGGATTGACAAAGTGGGTCACGCACACCCCGTTTTGGGTGGACGCACGAGCGGTTGCCAGGACTAAACATGGTCAAATCAATCACACCAGAGGGTAGAAAATACGCACGGAGAGTGAGCACTGTCCAATGACCTAGTGATAACAGGACTAGCAAACAGCGCAGCACGCGACTGGTCTTCCAAATCAGCCACCTGCACATACATATTATGAGATCGAGTATGGTACGAGAGATAAACATGGGCGTGCGTTCTGATCATCAGGTTTGTTGTGGAGCAGCAGACGGCGACATTTGTCCAGAACTGGATGATATGACGGTAAATCAGCAACCTAGTAGGTACTCCCGTGCTCACTATGATTGCAAAATTTATGCCTAAATCGAGGTAAGCCTCATCGACGAAGATCAAGTCTACAAAATACTCACTCTGACAATAAACGCTTGTGTAGAAGGGACTTGATTGCGTCGCACTGACAAAGGATGTCAGTACGCTTGTCGTTTTCTCTCTGTTGGCTCACTGTAAAATGACCGCAATCAAGAAGCTGAATCTGGCGGTAATGTACGAGAGCTGGGCATCTGTAAGTAGCAAGCGTCCACCACTTCCTCGAGAATGCGCACCAAAGGCCATCGAAATGGAAGCTGCCTCCGAAGTAATGCTATCTCCACATGTGAGGAGCGTATATATTCCCAGCTACAGACACAGACACAAGCTAATTGGTAACACATGTAAGACTGTTACAACGTGTAGCACTCACCCATATAGGCCAAGGATAGCATACAACAACTGTACTGAAACCACCTCCAATTTCGCTTCGAGGTCAGGATCGTTCCAGTCCACCATAGTGAGAATATGGTAGAAATGGAATATATACGTTGAGAGCGTTGCGGGAATGACACCCTGTTGACTAGAAAATCTCCGGCTTATTAGGACAACGAGCGGAGTAGGTACATACATACAAGTCTCCCACATCAACGTTTCCACCCTGTTGCTGTACAAGCAATCAGGAGTCAGGATACCCATGTATTCACACTTGCGACCCTTCACCTACCTTGGCCTTGGCGCCACAATAAATGCGTGTCAGTTGAAAGTCAAAGATGTAATACTAATACAGTTGCACCTTGAGGTGCCTCCGTAAATGCCATTATGCCATAGACCGCGTGCAACTAGCAGAGAACCTTGGTGGTGGCACCCATGTCAGTTTGAGCGTCAAAAGCAGGATCATTGCAAAAATAACGAGTTTGTTGAAATTGTCAGGTAACTGGTTTTTTTATTACTTAAAAGCAAGCAGGGCCCATTACATCGCTGAGGAGTTTTTTTAGTAATGTGTAGGGATGGCATGACAGTCACACAGGTACTACCGTAGATGCCAGAATTTCAAGTTGACTTGACATTTGACCCAGGGTAGAAGTGAATTCAATGGCACCCCTCAATGACTCACTCACTTAATCTGATAACAATTGGTAACGACACATATGGGTTGATAATAAAAGTGACAGCTTGAGTAGTTGCCTATTGGTATCAGGTAAGTGAGAATTACGATAGCCAAAACTCACCTTGACCCTTCAGCTCGCGTCTACAATCCACATTGATCATTGACCTGGAGACACGGTCCTGCAGCCCTCTCAAACATGAGTCTCTGTGCCTCAAGACGCAATCGATTTCCGTTCCGGGTCGAATTGGTATAATACTAAGCGGTACTTGAGCGAGTAAGAACGAATTCGGGAAATGAATGGATTTTACGTAGTTGCCTCCGAGGTATAGTTGCTTGTCTCCTTCGGTACTGTAGCAGAAGCGGAAGTTGCACGTTTTCCTACCTCGGGTAGTGATGTTGGGGATGAGTGATTGCCCTGAGCCGGAGCGTCTATGAAACACAAGCCACGTGCAAAACAACAAAGCGCCGCAGTGTACAAACACACAGCAACTTGGCACCCACTCGGATTCTCCACCAAGACTACCTCCGTGCTCACTGCTCAAGACGATCAGCCTCCACCAGGATGGTAGAGTAGTTCATCATTCCAATCAAAACATCTGTTAAAGAATTTGATCATGAATCGATACTTTCATGTCGACCTTTCATCGACTCATAGAGACAAGATAAACAAGTTTAGCCATACATGGAAGCCGAAATAACCTCTCATGAAACTACATAGGGACCTGATAGGGACAGTATAGTATTTGGATAAATACTCTCTTAGGCTTCAGCCACCGACGGGGACCTGAACGCACAATGAACGTTAACCACTGTAGATGCATGTCAATCAAAGAACCTTTACCATGGCACCGCGACGTCAGTTGTCAGAGGATGCACTTTAGCCGACGAGGTGCTGTCACTATTTGTCACGAATGAGACCTGGTGACACATACAGATGAAAAAAAGGAAAAAACCTTTCATGACTGGATGAAGGATGGAGAAGCGAGAGGACCACTTGGTTAGATGCAATCGTGCTGCAAATGAAAGTAGGTCATGCGCCTAAATCGGAAATCGTAACGAGAGTCCTGACCAGATGCATGCCGCTGTCGAAAGGTCAGCGACATGAACTCAGTCAAACCACGGGCACATACCAGGCGTTCCGAAAATAGCATTCATGATAGCTGATGATACAGAGTGAGTACGTGTTTAGAATGCAGCGAAACAGTCTTACGATTCAGGTTTAAACGAGTCAGGGTCTGCAAAGTTTAGTCTGCGACAACCCTGTCTCGTAACAAGGAACGCACCAGTAGGATAGGTTCGCTAGAAAATTGAAGATGAAAAATACTACCCCTTGTTTCACGAGCGCCTTCCATAGCGTAGAAGACGATGGCATCTTCAATAGTCCAATAACTGTAAAGACCAAAAGTGACAAATCATACAACATGACTACACCCGAGGTACTCATCATTGCGTATCCATTGATCATAAATGCGACATGCGTACCATATATGACCACTGCACTAGCATATGCGGGATTGACAAATTTGATCATGCACACCCCGTTTATGGTGGATGAACGAGCGGATGCCAGGACTAAAAATAGTCAAATCAATCATACCAGAGGGCAGCAAATACGCACAGAGAGTGAGCAATGTCCAATAACCTAGTGATGAGAGGACTAGCAAGAGGCGCCAGTACGCGACTGGTCTTCCAAATCACCCACCTGCACATATATGTCATGAGATCGAATATGGTACGAGAAATAAATATGGGCGTGCGTTCTGATCATCAGGTTCGTTGAGGAGCAGCCGATGGCAACGTTTGTCCAGAACTAGATGATATGAAGGTAAATTAGCAACATAGTAGGTGCTCCCGTGCTCACCATGATCACAAAATTCATGCCTAAAAGCCAGGTAAGTCTCGTCGACGAAGATCAGATTCTACAAAACACTCACCCTGACAATCAACGATTGTGTAGAAGGGACTAGATCGCATCGCACTGACAAAGGATTTCAGTACGCTTATCGTTTTCTCTCTGTTGACTCACAGTAAAATGGTCGCAATCAGGAAGCTTAACCTGGCAGTAATGTACGAGACCTGGGCATGTGTAAGTGGCAAACGTCCACCACTTGCTCGAGAATGCACACCAAAGGCCATCGAAATGGAAGCTGCCTCCGAAGTAGCGCTATCTCCACGTGTGAGGAGCGTATATATTCCCAGCTACAGACGCAGACGCAGGCTAATTGGTACCACGTTTAAGAGCATTACAACGCGCAGCACTTACCTATATAAGCCAAAGATAGCATACAACAACTGTACTGAAACCACCTCCAATTTCGCTTCGAGGTCAGGATCGTTCCAGTCCACCATAGTGAGAATTGAGTAGAAGTGGAATATGTGCGTTGAGGGTGTTGCGGGAATGACACCCTATCGACTAGAAAATCTCCGGCTTATTAGGACGACGAGCGGAGTAGGTACATACATACAAGTCTCCCACATCAACGTTTTCGACCCTATGGAGCCTCTGCGGGAGCCAATCATCAATGAGACCAAGGATACCCGTGCCTTCGCAACATGCAACCCTTCACCTACTTGGCCTTGGCGCCATTACAACCACCACGATAAATGCGTGTTAGTTGAAGGTCAAAGATATATAATAAGGGTCAACACCTGGATTTGCCTCCGAAAGTGCCATAGACCGTGTATTCGTAGGAGTTGTGTGTGCAACTAGCAAAGCATCTTGGTGGTAACACCCACGTCCCAGTCTGAGCGTCAAAGGCAGGGTCAATGCAGAAAAATAACAGAGTTTGTTGAGTTGTCAGGCAAATTTCGTTACTTAAAGTAGGGTTGCATCCCTGAGGGGTTTTTAACAATGTGAGTAGGGAGGGCATGTCGTGCACACAGGTAAATGGCATTGACATGACATTTCACTCAGGGTAGACGTGGACTGACACATCTCAATCACTTAATCGCTTAAATCGAGTAACGACATACATGGGCTGATAATTCTCACTTATCTGATACCAATGGGCAATCTACTCGAACTCTTATGCCTTTTTCCTAGATGTGATTATCAACATGGCTGTCACTTTCGTTACAGCAGCCAAAACTCACCTCGACCCTTCAGCTCGCGTCTAAAATCCACATTAATCATTAACCAGGAGACATGGTCTTGCAGCCCCAAACATGAATCTCTGTACATCAAGACGCGATCGATTTCGGTTTTGGGTTGAATTGGTGTAATACACTCCAGCGATACTTCAGTGAGTAAGAACAAATTCAGAAGTCTTTTGGAGAAGGCCGGATTTTACAGTAGCAGAAGTGGAGTTGCACCTCAGGTAGTGATTTTGAGGGTCAGTAATTGTCTATGAAACACAAGCCACGTGAAAGACAGCGAACCAGTAGTATAAAAGCAAACAGACCTCCACAGCATCGGAAAGGCACCCCGGACGATCTTTCATCAAGACCACCTGCGTGTTCACTGCTCAAGACGATCGGCGTCCACCAGGATGGCAGAACAGTTCATCGTTCCAAAAACACTTGTTAAAGAATTCGATCATGAAGAGATCGTAAAGTCTGACAACATACAGTCTGAGTGAGAGCGGAATGCAGGGCATTTTCATCTGTGGGAGAGTGGTCTTGGGTTCGAAAATTATGTAATGTCACGTTCGATATGGAAACCAATCTGGACATGGACATTCTCATCAAGATGAATCATACATAGGTAGCCCAACTCCATGATTCACGGAAAAAATGTCTTACCGCTACTAGTTCCGCTGAAATGCACATTTACAATTGTTACAGGAAAGGGCCAGACATGATATCAGTTATGGAGACAACTGCCTATGGCATAGGTTACAAGGTCAGACGATCAGTAACTCCATCATAGATATTGCAACACCTCCTAGTGGTGGACTCACACCATTCAATATGTCTATGTTGTCCTGTCACGAGGCCGCGCCTGTGGCGGTATTTGACTGTTGCAAGATTTCGATGAAAAGTTGCTGATGATCCATCCCTGCGAACTTGAACACTTGCGAAATTGCGAATTGAAGGCTTGGATGAGAGATTGGCATGGTTGGATGTGGAGGCGGAGAAATGGTGGTATGATAAGATGCGAAAATCAGGATCCGGAGAAGAACATCGATACGTATCAGCAGTAGCTATGGTATCCTAACGGTGCGAGTCCCGGCCGACTCCGACAACTTCTGTTACGCCCAGGTGTCCTATGCTTGATTCCCAACCTAAATGTTTCACTTACGCGCTTTTCACATTGGTACTTAGCTTTTCAAACTGCGGGACGACGAAGCTACTTGGTTTGCCGCGGATCACTGTTTTTGAATAGGATAATGTTTCTCGGACATTCCCGACGATCTCCCACAATACACTAGCAAGCTCCTTCGCATCATCGCTCTCCAGGCCCATGCTCATAAGCACACCATCACTCCTTCGCGCCCTTGCAGTTTTTTTCCACAAACCTACATCGACGTTGGTCCCCGATACCCACTTTAGTGGGAAGAGGGTTCTATAGAATATAAATATCATGCCGTCCGTCATTTCATGCGTGGAAAATTCGTTCTGGTGGCCGATAATCATGCCAATGGTCATCTGTTGGTCATTGATGGCTGCGCGTTTATATCTCATATGTAGATGTAACTCTGCCTGTCGATTCTGGATCTGGATGATTTCCTCCTCACTTACAGCACTGTTCATCGATGAACGAATGTAGGAGGTACCAGAGACCCTGCTGGCCATAGTATACATTGTCCAGATAACTGGCGCCCAATGCATATTTGGTTTGACATTTCACGGTCGAAATTTGCACGACAAATTCGAATTCTATCCAAATACAAATGTGTCGGGGACTGGCGCAGCCGAGCGCCGTTACGATTTGTATGCCGGAATATAGATGTAAAAGATGTCGGCACGAGATAAGCAGGTGTGGATACCCCGTGACATGAATGAGTTCAAATACACGCCACACGATTGAGCGAGCCGTTGCATACCTGGAGATCAGACATTTCTCCAGCGATGACAAGTCACACCACGCATCGAATGCTGCCAGCTTTTGATCCAGTGACCCTCGAGTAACGTTTCGCCTCGCAAAAAACAATATGCTTGTCCTAGAATCGCTTACTGCTTCGTCATGAGTCGTGCGATCAAGGCATCAACGTGATACATAATCTTTATTTGATAAACCAGTCGAGAAGTTGCAGTACAGATCAGTGAAGGTTGCCTCTGTCGCTGGAAAAGATAGGGTGAGCATGCCTCCCAGTTGTCCCAATCAAGTGGCACTGCAGACGTATGATACAAGCTGTTTTACTGTAATGTTTCCGTCAGGAGACAAATATCACAAGCATGCCATCGACGTGGAAGCGCATTCACTCACATTATCGATGCCAGGATGATTCGGGTCAGCGCCCGAAAGGAAGCTGAAGTTTAGTGTAAAAGCCTTGAGAATCCCGTCGCGGAAGCAAGTCAGGAAAGCATGTGAGTGGGTGTATCGTGCATCATTTGCAATCCCCGCAGTGGGGGACGATTCAGCAGATGGTTGGAAATGGTATGAAATAAGGCCTACCTGGAAATTATCGCAGTTCTTGACGAGTAGATGATACACCCCTTCCATGAGCTCTGAATCCTGGAGAAGTATTATAAATACCACGAGACGGGGAGAAAATACTCAGCAAGTATCTCATTCTATCACCGGAAGAGATCCTGACTCGGAGTCTTCGGATGAGTCCAAGACATTGAAACAAACCAGCGGAAACAATGGCACTCGCAGGACCGGTCCCGAAAGAAATATGGAATAGATTTTCCACAGATTGGGGAAAGCTTTGGGGGTTGATGATGAGGCAGGATAGGTTGACCCGGATAAGCCTGGCATGAATTGCGCCTTCAATATTTCAGTAGCCTCGGTGACACGGAAATGAAGCCAAATTACGCCATACTGCATTTGCTGGCCGTCCCTTGCTAATGCCGATCTGCAAGGTCCGGCGTCAGCTCGTTCCGAACCGAAATTAGCACCATGTACGTGACCGGGATGATCAGAGCTTTCCAATAACAAATAAAAAGCGGCTAAGTGAAAATTTCAAATTCTGGCCCATCGATATGAAGATAGCTATAAGGGATATCGCATAGCGATGTACCCACATCGACAACGCCGCTCACAAGGCAAGTCTCCGACTCCATCTCGATTGCACTTTTCTTTCTGCAGCAAGACTCCTTACTTCGAACTCCGTTGCCAGTCTACTGAGTGTCACTTGATATAACTGAGAATGTTCTCGCAATCTAACGAACACTGAATTTCAACTTATCCTCCATCTCCAGAACCCAGGCTGATATACTGATCTGCTCTTTGTGAGTAGATACATTATGATATGTATCTTTGGCTTACTGTGTAACGATCCCATTGGCCCGCGGCAGGTCTTCTTCTCCACAGTCCATAACCTTGCGTTTATTCCCTCGCACGTGTTTGACCGATGACACGTTTCCAGTAACACCGTCTGTGTTCGACGTCATCCTACAATCTCACGAATCAAAGCATTTGGTGCGCGTGTACCAATGGATGTTCTCGAATGAACGTGTACCCAGATGCTGGGGGGAATACCCGTAATGAGATTGTAGGTGTTACGAAGCCGCCCTGTAGGCGAGACAAAGAGATCTGGGCCGAACTGATTGACCTTGTGGGTCACTTGGAGTTACGAGATGTCGATCACTATCTCCGCGTCGTCCCGGAGTGGGAGTGACACCACGTGCGGAGTTATCGCGCTACTGACAGTCATATTGCGACAAAGGTGGCAATGCGATGTCGGTGCAGTTACAGAATCATGGCAGACGTTGGTATAGCCTGGCTGCTAGGGACAGAAAATTAATCGGTCAATGACATTACTGAGGCGACATTTTGACGAGATGGGGGACCGGCAGGGAGCGAAGAAAAGTTGCCGTTCGAAGAGCGTAAGAAGAGAAGGTCGCTGGAAGTGTTGAAAACAGGTTTGTGCGGTGGCAAGAAGTAGAGCGAGAGAGGAATGACGGGGACCTGTAAGGATCCAGACTGGCAAAGGAATAAAATTAAGGTTGCAAGAGCCGGTAGTGAAATTAGACGTAAGGAACTAACAAAAGTCTCCATTCTCCATCTCCACACTAACGTGGGAGTCGGGAGGAGTCGGGGAAGAGCGTGACATATCATACAAGTTCAATTGGATAAGAATCCCCTTGGGGAGTCGGGGAATCCAGAATTGGTCATCATTTCCCACGGCTGCTCCTTCAGCCACAATTACAACCTGGCAACTATTCTTCCTCAACTTCACAATTCACCGCCTTGTTCTGCAAAGATACGGTGTCTTTGTCGCACCGACGCTCCGATCCCGCTTCTCAAATTCCATCTGTGGTGTATACTGACCACGGATCTTGGTCCGTGATGTGTTATCTCGCTGAAGGTATCAATGTTACTGCACGTATCACACTTGGTAAATATGCGGATTCAAATTTTGTGTGTTCGAACCAAGGAATTCGAACGTCTAAAATCCGCTACTGCCTCCACTCCGGTAATACGCCCACTGTATGTGCGCTCAGGCGACATGTGATGATTATCTTGAGGTAATAGTGAAAGACACATGATTCTATTAACACGTACTGGTCGGCAGGGATAAGCGACATGACTTCGTAAGTGTTGCGTTCAGAGTTTTACCAATGTAGGCAGAGATCTGCTGACCCATATATATTGTGACAATTGGTTTGCTTAAATCGGTGTACCAAAAGTGCCCATATTATTGTACTTCTCAACGCCGCCCACCCAACAACGTCCCGCACATTTCACCTCCTCGTCGACGTTGCCCATCATCCCAATATCCCCTGCCTGCCCACTCTAAGCTACTCAACTCTCACGGGTAATTCACCATGCCCTCAAATTTCAGTCTTGGAGCCTGTGCTGCTATATTTTCTTCTATTCTTATGTCGCTATCATTACCGCTGCACTTGTCATCTAGCCCACCGCCCTATAATCACACACAATCATCGCATCATGATCATTCCCTACGCAAAAGTCGGCAATGTCAGGATCTATTGATCCCTTTGACACCTTCTGTCTTGATCCACATCCCAAATCCTACTTCCTATAATCCGCGTAGTGCACATCGCAGGAAGCGGAATACACAGAGCATTCCTATGGTGAACATTGTGCATCATGGAGCAGTAAGGCGATCGACAGTGAGTCAATAACCTGTAGCACTGCGATAAAGTACCCCAACTAATGCAACGATGTTATTCCTAGTTCAACGCATAGCATGCAAGAATAACATAAGGAATCGGTGAAAAATCTCATTGAGGTGAGGGTGGACTTGGAGATTGTCGGCTTTAATTGATCAATTTCTGATGTAGATCATGATGCGGTTTGACGCCGTTCGTAATGGAACCCTGCCCCTTTCTGCCCTTTACGAAAATTTTGACTACTGCGATATCGTTGATATGATTGTATTGCCCAGCTTTTCTTCCCATTGCATTTCTTCATCTTCAGACACGATGTACTTGTATTGCTAAAACATCTTCATATCGCTTCAGACTAGTCATACAAAATCAAGGCTTTTGGTGCTCCGATTTCAAGGTCGTCCCTCAAATTGTTCGTTTCAAACCAGCTGTGGTGTATAATCTCTCCAGTCCCTCAGCAGCACCGTCACCGTAATATCTTGAATTTTTTACTCTGCTCGTTTCTTAACCTTGAACTAATCACAATCACTTGTCACTCATAGAACTACTCTAGTTTGGCCCTTGTTCATGTAATACTCTACAGCTCAGACGAGTACGACCTGGACCAGGACAACCCGGACTCTATTACGTTGTAAGACTAAACCGGCTACGTTTCACGCGATTGACAGGAATAAGAACACTTCCGTCATACTAAACGGATGGATTTAGAACGATATGGTAGGTGCGTAGCGGGAGACATCGGGTTCGACGAAAGGACATCCAGGCCCTATTTGTCACTTGGACTCACCATCTTCGCATACAAGGCCTGAGCTAGGCCTGCCTAGTAAATTGCATTCTGGCCCCTTTCCTAGTTAGTAGTGTCCTGCATAGGTTATTTTACCCCGAATGAATCAAAATTTGATTGTTTTTAAGGTTGCATTCTGGGGTGGTCCCGATTACGCCGGCACTCGCAGTTTCGACTAGCTGGTTTTGATATTGTTTGTCCTCTGAGACATCTGGATCACTTCATTTGAGGGCCCAGCTAGAAGCAAGGCAGGGAATACCACCTGTGTCGTTACTTATTAGTAATGGTGACCTCATCGGATGTTTATTAACTAGGGGCGGCAACCTGTGGTAATTCAGGAGTGATGAATTGATGGTGCCGTGTTACAAGGTACGCGCAGCGTATTACACGTAAAAACATTATTCATGACAAGACCTCGAAAACTTCGTCAGCAGTACTAGTAGTAGGAGCGGTAACAAAAACCTCCTGACTGCGAAGCAACGAACAGGACAAATTTGATACCCATTCGTGCTCATCCAGCCCCCAAGTCAAGTTTCATCAGTGCTTGTTACGGCGTGCGCCCTCCATCGCACCAAACTCCACTCGTCCATCACCTTCGTCCTTCTGATCGAAGGTGCGCTTTTGGCACCCACGCCCTCTGTCATTCTCTCCCAACGCCTGCCTTCCCTCCGCCAAATTCAGCCTACATTATCCTTCCGATAACGCCGGACACGCTGTCACTGACTCACCGAGTTATTCAGCATCGATGTCTCCAACCTTAACCGCATCTCCCCTAGGTATGGAGGATTGTACTGCTTGTATCTTATCGTGATCGCCAGGTATTCCAAAACACGAGCCTGCATTGGTAACTCCTATCAACCATCATCATCCTCGCACTCGCGAACAGCGACAATCAAGTTGTTCGTTTCAGGATCCGTCGTTGAAATTGGACAAGCTTTAAAAAAAAAATAGAGATACGTTTCCTTCATTTTGTTGCTTGGAAATAAATTTTTCTTATGTCTCCTTTTTCAAAAATCGAATTTATTGTCCTTTTGGGATCGAAGACTCTACGTCGGACACTCTTACTCCCGCGAAACTATCTCTCGTTATCTTGCGTGTTGTCTTCCTTAGTTAGAGAGTGGTCAAATTTGCTTGTATTCCCTAAATCACGTTCCGTCTTATGCTATTTCAAGTTGCTAAGTAGGCTAAATAAACACTGTCATTTTCCTGAACTTGAAGTTACTGGGCGACAGCAGGGGGCAGAAGTAAACGTGCGATGGATCATGGCAAGGTGCTTAACCTTGTACACCAGCAGAAAATACCTCACCGAGCGGTGCTAGAGGTATTGACCTCTGCTGTGAGGTAGCCCAGGTACCTTGTTTTCGGGAGTTTCAAGTGGGGAGCCGAAGTACCTCCGAGTCGGAAATGCAACAGTGTACCTACGCTTTCACCTTGACGATGAAAATATACAACAAAATGTGTATAAATAATAAGCTTAGATTATCTATTTATGGGTCCTCGGAACGAGGAATAACTCCGTATCAGACGTGGTGGCACGATAAGCCATATAAAATGGTCAAACCATTACCCACAAATGTACGTACAGCACGCAATGTGTACAGATTAGATACGAGTACATCGCTCACCGGCACCTTCGGACGGTTACCGTGAATTACAATAAGAGATATCTGTACACTACGTGGCTCAAAAGTAGCGTTTTGGATACTAACAATGCCTTGAAAGAGCAGGCAGAAGCCGCGGGTAAAAGAACAGGAGCATAGTTAGGAGAAAAATCAAAGGGTGGAGACATTGGAAAAGGTGGAGTACCGACAGACCAGTGGAAATAAGCGTACAGCGCGCCGAAACAGGAGACTGCCGAGCACAGTGAACTGTGGAGCTCAGGTGGAGTACGCATATGGGAGTCACGCGAATAGTTAGGAGAAAATCAACGATCGAAGGGTAGAAACGCGCATTGGAAAGAGTGGAGTGCAGACGAGGAGATAAGCGCACAGCGCAGCAAAACAGGAGATTGCCGAGCGCACAGTGAGCGGTGGAGTACATTTACTACGAGCTCAGGTGGAGTATGGATTCACGCGAATTGCTTCCGCGGGATCGACTGTTCCGAAAGCATGCTAACTATATATTAGCTCCAGCTTAATGTCCTAGATGCCAGAGGTGACGGTGACCCCTAAGGCCGGCGCCTAAGGCCTAAGGGTGATTGGTGCATGTTTTAAGTTCTGAGCTGAATCAAATAGACCCATCATGATAGCTATTATGACGCTCCGAAGCGAACTTTAATAAATTGCGCGATACACAACATCGAGTGCGCAATACAACATCGATTGCGTGAGATACAACATCGAGTGCGCGATACACCACTGAGTCCAGGATACAATCTGTCATTTTTGTAGCTACTTCTCTCGAAAACAACACGGTCCGTTTGCGGGCGTGACGCTTCGGGTTTCTCCGTTTCGTCCGATGACGTGAGCGACGAACGTCTTTCTTGCTTCTCGATCGCGGTGGCGCAGACCCCCGGAACCGCAGCCGCAGATCGAACGTCGGTCTCAGCCCCGTTCGTCGTCGTCGTCGTCGTTCCATTGGGCCGTTTTCTGCTGTACGTTCTTTGGCTAGGACGATTGCTGACACCCGCCTGCTTTTCCCCAGATCAATATCCCTCTCGCTGTCCTCCACAGCGAGATCGCACGCAGGAACGAGTCAAACGACTCTGCAAGCCCCTCAGGAGGCCTGCACGTGGGCGGAGCGCTCATCCTCGTCGCTGTGTTACTCTCTCTCGGCCTCCTGGTCACCTACCACTGGTGGAGGCCAAAGATCCCTGTCAACTCGTTCTGCAACTGTTGTCCTTGCCTCATTCCCATCTGCCATCGCGACCGTGACGTCGGAATGACGTCCATTACTACTTTGACGCCCTCTCCTGATCTCCGCACCCAGCTCACCACTGCTACAGCAGGGTCTACTGCTGAACATGGGTCTTTCTGGAGCGTGGCTGGCACGGTCGAAAATGTCGATGGGCCATCAGGGTCCCTGCCTCTCCCGCTCCGCTTTCGATCGGATGGAGAGCCAGAAATCGAGCATGTTGAAATGTGAGGCTGTTGTTCCCCTTTCCTTTGCTTTTCGGTGGGCTGAATCCTTGCATCATGCAGCTACAGTATGGCTGGAAAAACCCTGAAGCAAAAGTGTGTCCAACTTGGCCTCCCTACCTCTGGTAACAAGACAGTCCTTCGCGAACGACTGGAGGAATTCAGTCGTAACCGCGATGCATGGGACAGGTGCGTCGGAGCAGTCTGCTCAAAATAATGTTCACTCATCCATCTCCTTCCCAAGGCTCAAACCAGGGGCTCACAAGGCCCACAAGGGCCCGCGAGTGCGTTCGACGAGCAAGCCCAAGGCAGGCAGCCGCCCAAAGCAATCTATGCAGCGCCATGAGCAGCTGCTTGGCACGACAGCATCTGATGCTGCAGCCACTGACGTCAGTCGGTCCAAGGACACACGGACGGCACCAGAAATCAGCGCACTGCTGCCTTGGGTGAGTACTTTCGTGCTCACTCTGGCTTTGTCCCACTGAACTGAATACACTGGCGGGCAGGCTGATACCATCACCAGCATGTATCCGTATGCACTGATGGACGGTATGCCCATGCCAGCAAGCACCCCAAACCCGCCTGCTCTTAGCAGCAACACCACGCCGCAATCTTTCCCTGCTGATGGCCTCTTGGAAGAGGCCATCATCCAGAACGTGGGCACGAGGCTTGTCAAAATTGTTCAAGGTGCCCTCCAGCCAAGCGCTGCTGGTTTGTCTCCATCTGTTCGACCCCAGGTGGCTGAAACGGTGGACATGGTGAGTGGCTATTTCCCCCACATCGCTCCATTCAAACTGACGGTAGCATGTTTGAGCAGGGTGCGAGTGGCGCAGCTACAACTGCCTGCCAACAACCTCCTTTGGAACCAGGCAGCTTGAACAAGCTGCGCATTCTCAATCTCGGGGACGGCACTACTCTCCAACTGGCGGATAACGACATCCCAGATCCCCCTGCTGTCAGCTTCGCCAATGATATACTACGTCTCAATGCAATGTGGGACGACCACACGACGCACTGGAAGAACGAGTCCATCATCACCATTCAAGGCCACCCCATCGCTATCACGTACTGGCCATTGCTCTACCGCTACGGTCATGATCAGCAATGGAAGGGTACGAAAAGCAAGTGGACCGACTGGCGGGTGAGTGCCTCTATCACAACTTCCCTTCCTACTTCTGATCCTCCTTCTGGTTGTGCAGGATGTCATCGAACGCTACAGGCGGGGCACCCCAGATCAATTCTGGGCAGACTTTACGGCTGACAATGGTGAGCGGATGAAATTCACTGCCATTGTCCACAAACTTCGTGATGAGCGCAAGGCAGAACATGCTGCACTGGTGGAGCGTGCTCACCGAGAATTCCATGCCGAATTCGACGACCTTTTCACTTACCGGCGAGGAGGAGAGGAGCATGTGATGACGAAGCCATCTGCCATTGCGAAGAAATACATCAAATTGACGACTGGACTCGTGGTCCGTGACTGACGATGGACAGTAACTAGTAGTAATACCATAGCTTTCTGTGAATAATGATCAATGCTACACGTTCTGTTGACTTGGAGGCTCGGAGTAAGCTTGTGTGTGTGTGTGTTTGTTTGAACACATTGAGGAAAAAAGGGGCCATACTTCAAATAAGGGGCTCTCGCTTCAATCTCACCATCTCCCATATCAACCATAACTACATCGTACACCAGACTCATTCAAACACAGGCAAGGTAGGCCTCATGGATGACAGTACCACGATACTGACAGATCAGAATAGCATCCACAAGCATGTCAACACCAGTCACAAACAACGATACTAAAACTAGAGTGATGGGCGACGGTGATGCAAGTCCAGAGCCCGAACTTATGATGGATGTCGAGATACACGACAGTGATGTTAGGCACTTTGCCCAGCTTGGCTTCGCGCTGTCAGTCAAGGACCTCGCAAAACAACACGGATTTCATGAAAATGCTATTCGGAACGTTTACATGCAACTGAACGGCTATGCAGAGGCAATGGAAGTCATCGAGGAGATGCGGGATGCTGCAGAGGAGAAAGCTGTGGCCGCGATACTGAAAAGAAAGGAGGAGGACATCAAGGAAGAGGAAGAGGAGTAAACATTCAATGCCATCAATACAAGTAGTATCTATGTCCCAGCCCGCTACAATATGACACCTTTGAAGTTCTTCCTCCAGCGTCCGAGTTCAAAAGAGTCCTTGTCGACACCTTCACAATCAGTCTTTGAAGTTCTTCCTCCAGTGTCCATCCAGTCTTTAAAGTTCTTCCTCCGGCGTCCATCAGTCTTTAAAGTTCTTCCTCTGGCGTCCAAGGTCAAAATTGTGCAAGCAGACAATCAGTCTGGAAGATGATGTGCACCAAACCACTCTGAGAAGGGCTTCCTCCAGCGTCCAAGGTCAAAACTGCACAAGAAGACAGTCAGTCTGGAAGATGATGTGCACCAAACCACTCTGAGAAGGGCGCCTACAGTCTTCCTTCCTCGAAAGCAACACCAAAGATGGAGGACAAGGACTTAGGATCTGGGGCCCGAGTTATGAATATTGATACCACAGGGGATCACCATGCTAAGAATCTGCTTCCCGGACCACATGGGTTTTGGCACGATGATAACAGGTATTGGTATACTGCCGTCTCAGCCAGGGACCTACAACAAGATGTTCTGAACCTGGTTCCAGTCCATGGGGAACCCATGCTATTTGCGACAGTTCAGCATATGTTTCACTCCGTGGAATGCCCAGGATTCAGCGTCCAAGGCCAAGAGAGTCCTTGTTGACACCTTGCGTGAACAGACAATCGGTCTTCGAAGTTCCTCCAGCGTCTGAGGCCGAAATAGTCCTTGTTGCTAAGAAAATGCGCTATACAAACAGTGACTGGTAAAATGCAAGGCAAAGAAAGGGAAAATAATGTAATGTAGTACGGACGGCGAGCAGAGTTTAGCCACAGGAACAGCATCTCCCGCACTGAGAGCACTTCACCATCGGCCGTCTGTTAGGGTTCAGGAATTGCTCCCTTGGCTCAGTGGGATCATCATTCGAAGAAATGAGATACTTCACGATTGTCATGTTCGTAAATTCCACACTCCACCCTCCCCACTCGCAGATTCTCCGCAGTGACCAACGCTTCTCGACATGCAGGAACTGGCACCCCCCCCCTCCGGAACGAATGTGTGCCATATGGAGTAGGGTCGATGTCAACATCGAGGAGGTTGTTCCGAAAAAGCTCCAGGAACTGCTCAGAGGACTGACGAGTTGAGCGTGAATCATAGTAAGCTGTCAGACAATTGACATACCATGGGACTATTGGCCTCTGAGATTCGGTCACCTGAAGCAATCTTTCGAAAGAGGTAGCCCGACGTGACTTTCGACTCCTTCAGCCAGGCAGCAAGTGCTCTCACTGGGCAGAGGTGTGCCTCGGACGATGAAAAGGGCCAGAGGTGAAACGGTTTGATGTCTAGGTAAGTGGGCACATCCATGAGTCAATAGTTCACGGTCAAGAGTGGAGTCACATACCGCCATTTTGATGAGTTTTGCGGAAGGGAAGGTGTAGCACTATCTGGGTATCGTGCACGCGAAGATCGTGTACCTGTATCTTCAGAACCTCGTCAAAACGAAGCATGCATATGAATGCCACAGTATAGGCAGCTGACAGAAGCCGCCGTACACGCCCACCACCCCATCGACTCAGGTCATTACCAGAGCCACCACGCACGCGCTCGCCAGGCTGGTAGGCACGAATGGTCCAATTTTCAGGGAGGTGGTTGTAATGATACAGTTTTAGCAATATTTCCTGTCAACTTCGCTAATCAGTCAATTTCAGAGCTGGGGGCACCCAAAAACTCACCGAGGTAATAGCCCGGGCACTGTTTGCAACCTCGCCCGCTTGCACCTATGAAGAAGAGAAGGTGAATCATGCGGGCAAAGGGAGAAGAATAATACTACCTTGCGCCTGCGGAGCGAGCACATGTAGGATGATACCTCGATGGAAATGGAAGGGTTTCCAACCATCAGCCCACCTCCAATATCCGACTCGTGCCATGTCAGATTGCCTAGACCACTAAGCCTCCCAAATGCGTATGTCATGGACGCCCGCATCTTCTGTGCATGCCCATAGGTGCCCCGCTCGACATGAGATGGCTTGGGTGTGCCATCGAGGTTGATTGAGTCACACCTGCCACAGAAACATGTTGACCATCAGCAATTGGTCATACTGGATGGAACCATACCACTCACGCACTCATGATCCAGGCCACGATCAACCACGGTGTATCAGACCGTGGCTTTTTGCTGAAAAAATCTTCGCTCGGCCCCAAGAGATGGAGGCCTCTGAGAAAGGACACACACGAGTTCATCAGCCTGTCAAGGATGAGTGCCACTTTGGCCGTTAACAAGAAAGAACCTCCCGCACCTCTTATATTCGGCATTGGTGCCCTCTGTGACACCCTTTGAGGCCTCCATCAGCGTGGACTGCAATGTCGTATCGATCGAGCTGGTGCCAACTGCGTGACGCGACTCTGAAGTAGTGGACGTGATGTTCGTGTTGCTCTTGCATGGTTCAGCGAGCATAGTCTCTTGTTCCGCAGTGAAGTCCTCGGTGATGTCGTCCATTTCAGGACTGCTGACAGTAGCAGGCATGAGCAGGCCATGCAGACCTGGAAAGCTCTGGACAGCGTCGATGATAGTTGCCATTGTCAGTGGTCAACGTCTGAGTTGAAGAGGGCTGAGACCCCTTTGTTGCCAGGCCAATTTGCAATTTGGCGGGTCTCTGATATGCAAATGCAAACAATCAGCATGCGGGACAGTAGAAGGATGCCTCATGGTTGACATAACAGAGCGAAACTTGATAAGAGAGCTGGACCGTCCTATGACTCACATGCGACCGTCTTAGCGCCCATGAGGACCGTCTTTTTCGTGTCTGGCAGGCTCTGCTTTCCCTCATCCCCCCTGGGCTTTGCAGGCAGTTCTGACCGTCCACCAGAGGTTTCTTTGGCAGAAAAAGACGGTCTCACCTGCGTGACATCGTGAGCCCACATTCTTCCGAGAACAGTGACTCACCAACAGCCCAACGGCACTCGATCGTCATATCAAAATCGGCGGCACTCTGCGAGTCGTCGGCCCTTAGCAAGATTTATTTCAAGTTAGGTGCGTGGCAAGCAAGATCGAAGTCGTGTTACTTACCGTTGCAATTGGTCACCAAATCGCCCCGATCCCACCGGTCCAACGCTCCCGCAGCGGATCCGAACAGAGATGTCACTTAGAGATCTGCAGGAAGGGCCCAAACTTCGGGGGAGCAGAAGAAAGGAAGGTTGACAGCACACTCATGCACCATATAACATGGGACTCACCCTCCGAGCATTGCTCTCTTTTCCCCCACCACTCCATCCTCGAAATCCTGCCAGTGGTATCGATTCTGCAACCACACAGCACACTCCTTTACTACATCCGTCCGTCAGCAAAACACGATGCCTTCGGTGAGTAACGCAAACCACCTACGATTCTCGATTTCCGCCCCTTGCCGTTCCGTGATGCGTGGCGTGTCAGTGTTCCGCGCTAGGCCTAGCGCTCTTGTTTTCTCTTGGGTCCCCCAATAGAACCGGTTGGGGTTGCCAGGGGTTGGCTAGAGAGGGCTGAGCGAGCAAGCAACGGTGGATCCAGATCGGAGGTGCCTTGAGCTGACAGCCCGTATGGCATGGGCCCAGGAGGAGATGGGCGGGTCACGACCAGTAACGATTGGTCACGCGTGACTCGACCGTCGTTTTTCCGGTTTGAAACCATACTTCCAGTAAACTGGACGGCTACAGATATTCGAAGCTGGGCTCGACAATCAAGTATTTGCGAGATCATCAGCTGTATGAGCAACGAGTTTTTGCTGTGATCAAAAGCACTCTGGGGTTTCACAATGTATAACCCATTCCGTTCCATCACAGCTGCTTCCAGTCCTTGCATCTCTTTTGCTTCGCGCAAGTTCCTGCATGCACCATCCCAGTAGTGGTGAACAGGTCCAGATATGAACCGCGGTTTGAACCTGACCGAAGTCTGATTCGAAGTTCCAATAGGAGGAACTGAACCAGCCATTGGTCCGACGGTCTACGGTTCAAGGACTTGCGGGATTCTTGAACTCGTTCCAAACCTCTTCAAACTGATTGTTGTGCGCATGCCGCAGGTACGATGGCAAGAACCCGAGAGAGACGTTAGCTATCAGAAAGGACACCAGTTCGTTCAATCAGACTGGTGTAACTGTATTGAATTCAAGTCAGGATTCGAGAAATTTGTTCTGCGGGACTTGCCGAGACTGACGCCAATTCCCGAAGCGTTGTCTCACGTCTGGGCTTCATTGGAAACGTCTAGGCTCGTGACCAGCCTGGCGTATACTACCACGGATACTCGAGTGGTGTAGCCAGGCTGGTCGATCTCGGAGTGGCGTGGCAGGGCGAAGCGAGGAGTTTGAAATTTAGCAGGTGCCGGTCGTGCCGGTGGTACTCGATCGTATGTAGGACAACTCATGCGTCTACCGTCGTTCATGACGTTCAGACTGTATAATATGTTAGGTTCTAACGTTTAACGATGAGTTCCGTACGACCTTAATCGCTCGCTGCTCAAGATGCGATTGAAGATCTCCCGATGGACTTTACGAGTGCCCTTTCAACGACACAACACCCGCAAGTTCTCGAGGTCTTCTCGCAACTCGATCTTATTTCCCAAGGATCACAACGTCCGATCAACATTCTGATGTTTGTTCTCCTTCACAGCTCGTATCATCTGCATAGCTGACAGAAGAATGCGACCGTAGCAACGGAGTAGTTTCTTGTAACGGCTCTGTCAACAACGTGTCGAGATTAAATGAGAAGAGTAGTTCGGGGGTGACATCTTTGGGCCTCCATTTCAGCGTCAACCTCGTCAACAACCATTGCAATAGCAAGGGGTCGTAAACTGACACGAAGTTGCTTGCTCGCTCGTCGGTGCCCAACACGTTAAGAAATTGCACAAGCGCCTTGCTCCGAAAAAAAACCTTCCCTCCAAGTTGCCATGGAGGGGTCTTTGTGAGATTGAGTGCAACATGAGGTCCATGACTGTCATCCGCAATCCAAGAAGTATCTTGAGGACAGCGAGAATTTTTCCTCGTCCAGGCTGGAAGGATTGACCATCCAAGCCAAAGGTTCAGGCTGCATCATGGGTGGGTATAATGCATGAAATTGTATCATTTGATTGTCCTAGTTAACATTTAGTACTGCTGCTCGATGTGCTATGATCAGTGAGAGGCATACGATACTTTGTACGATGCGAATGAAGGAACTTTGTATGGTCAACGCTGTCCAAATACAATGACTACCCAAAGCGGCACGACCGGCACCTGCCAAATTTCAAACTCCTCGCTTCGCCTGCTAAATCACTCCGAGTTCGACCAGTCTGACTACGTCAAAAAATCTCACCATCTCAAATTGACGCATAGTCAGACTGGTTACGAGTCTAGGAAACGTCGGCGTAGGGCTCTGCCTCATTGAGGAGCCTTGTCTGCCGTTGTCTACAGTGCGATCTTTCACTTTCTATAGCTAACGAGTAGCGCAGGATTTTCACCTTTTGAAAGGACCGTTCACCTTCTCCGTTTCTGCCTCTCGCCACTTAGTGGCACTCACCACAGCCCGAAATCACTCAAGTTTCAAAACCCGTGACTAGGCGGGGCCACTATCGAGTCTGCCTCCATCTACTAAGTTCCCAAGGTCACCTGCATCTAGCTCTTCGCTGCATCAATCAATCTTTATGTCATTCTTGTTTGGTTCCTGGTTCAGGCCTTTGTTGACCGGAAATTAGACCACTGGTAGACCGAACGGACTCTGGTTCAGTCCATGGTTCCGCTTGTTGGGAGAACCTGGCTAGACCCATCCATCACTAGCGCTGATTTACCAAGTGTTCTTCGTCATGTGGCCATACCACCTGACTTGGTAAAGCCCCAACCATCCGATATAATCTTTGCGTGGTATCCGTAACCCTTATATCCCATCTGCCCCTCGTCGTATTGATACCTGGTCTCAGGATTATTTTATCGGCGACGTGAATATTGCCGTCTAATCTCTCGTGCCCTACAGACTACTACCATCTACTTGGTATCTTTTCTAGTGCAATAATTATGCAGCTTCCACTGCCTATACCTTACCACCCTGACCAAACTCGTCCTGCTGTGATATATATAAGTTGATACTAAGTTTTGAAACACAACACTTGTGGGTTGTGTGTGTGTTGTGCACTCCCCGACCGTTGTTTGTGTATTACGCACTTGATGTTATATCGCGCTTTCGATGTTGTGTGTCGCGCACTCGATAGTGTATCGCACAATTCATTAAGTTCGCTTTGGAGCGTCATAAATTATAACATGATTTTACAGTCAAGTTACCTAGAATAGTGGCCATGAAGCGTTTAGAGTTGGTTTTACTCCATGTCAAATAATAAAAATTCAACCGCATCCTCCCCTGCATTCTCAACCTTCAGTACAGCATCCTTTCCCACAAATAGATATGAACCATCTCCCTCCCTGAGCTCGATTATCGGCCCCTCGATTTGAGCACCAACGCGCAATTTGACGCCCTTGGCGTTACCAGGATTGTACCCAGATTTTTGAACGACATGAATATATGCTTTACGCCCTTCAGGACTGCGGCTTGGGTGGAATGCATGCACGAAGGATATACCAGGGTCCATGAGCGACGCATATACGCGAAGCTGCGAGCGAATTGGAGCAGGGCCATCAGCCTCCCTGTCAAGCGAGACTTCAGACGAATTGGAAGGCGCAACGATGAGCCTGAATTGGTTTCGCTTGTCTTCATCAGTAAAATGTCTGCAAGAACCAAACGGTTCATCTAACATGTATAAGTAGGATCGTCAGATATGTCTACCTGGTAAAATATGCGGGTTTGCCTTTGCCTTCTCCGGGACGAGGAGATGCCCATATTTGACAGAAATGTACCTCTTGAGAGCCATGGGATTTCTCAGAGTGAGAGATGCCAGTGCCAGTGGAGGTCATCTGAACGGCACCGCGAGATAGTATTTCGGTGTTGCCCATAGAATCTTGGCTGCACAATGATGTAGTCAGTCAAACATTAAATAACAATCGACAGAATGCTCACTGCTCGAGCGAACCACTGATCACATAGGAGAAAATTTCATATTCTCGATGGCTGTGGGTGCCAAAACCAGTGCGAGGCGCCACGCGGTCCTCGTTCAAGACACGGAGAGAACCAAAAGACTCGTGTTCTGAGTCATGGTAACTGCAAAGTGGTCACATGATCATGTAATGAAGATCAAGGTTAAAGGTCCATACTTGGCGAACGAGAATGTATGAAAAGTTTTGAGCCAGCCATGATCTGCGTGAGCTCGTTCGGTGTTCCTTCGGGGAATCATTTCGATGGATCTGCTGGAAGACATCTTTCCTGCAGTATGATATGGAGCCACGAAGGTTTTCAGCAATAATGGCTTGGTTTGGGCTGCAGTATTCCGGGTAGTAAAGCTGTAGTTCGAAAAGTTGGAGACACTTTCAACGATGAGATTAAGAGAGAAGGAAATGTTGAATAAAAGCGAGCTCCTAGCCTCGAATTTATAATCAGCGGCCACATTGATCGGTACCCATCATGTCTCAGGGGTTACCAATGACTCCCTTTCCTGGTCTTCCTTACCCACACATTCTCACCGCCCTCTTGCTTATTACAGGTCGGGGGAGGTCGGGGGTCATTGGTGATTTAATTGACGATTTGAATGTGACCTAAAGTGCCACATGATTGTTCGAGCCCAGAACACCTGGCATCGGTTACCAATCAGAATCGATAATTCTGCAGGAATCATCCAAAAGCGAGTGCCTTATTCTGTCAGCATCATACCAGCATGTTGCTGTGTCGGTCTACATCTTCCTTTGAAAGTTTAGTCACATGGACTCATAGCCGCAACCTGGTCAGGATCAAACTCACGACACCAAAGCCCTGAAGAACGAAACACCGCATTCAGTCCATGAAGAAGACAGAAGTGGACGGGCTCTATCTGCATATGATCTGGTAGTAATTAATTTATGACACATCTGGGATAGTTTAAAATGATTGTTATCACTCACTATCAGCAACGGTAGCCACGGGTGCCTTCTATCTATAATACTACGTGCCCTGCCTTTGTAGTTGGTCCAAGTTCCGTCAAAAAAAAACTGGCTATTTCGTCAAGCAAAGGACGTCTTCCGCTACATGAACAGAGGGTCTTTATTGGTAAAGAGATCGAGAAACCGGTCTACCCACCAATCTCTAACGTTTTGTTCGAGTTGAGACGCTAGCATCAATAATTATCGCGTTATGGGGCTCTGGCATGCTGTGGTGCTGAAGCCAACGAAACGCCGCTTCGACTCCGGATATATTATGTTTGGCCTGTACGGACACAGATAAGTGATGAAATACGGGTATATGCAGTACTTACCCACCAACGACTCTCGCAATGACTGAAAGGCGATTTCCCACTTTTGGTACTTGCTCGCAATCCTACAGCCATCACAGAACTTTTCTATATCCTAACGGTTTGCCTGGCGTAGGAGATGCAATACTTGTACCTGCAGTCAGCCGCTACTAATAAGAGACGGTGTCAGAAGAAACGTGTAAAGATATCAAGGTAAACTTAGCGTACGCCAGAGAGGACTCCCATAGAATCGAATCCCAAATTTCCGTAACAAGGGAACAGTCTTAACAGAAAGGATAAGTTTGAGAGGTGTACGTGAGATTCTGGAATATCAACTGACTCGGACTCGAACGTTCCTCTCCAGGGCATTGTAAAACCCCTCGTAGACCTTCGGTATGATCCACCCCATTACTCTTGGCAATCGTCACTATCTCTGCCACCTGTTTCAGAACTAAATTAGACAAGTTCAGTATTAGTAACAGCATTAGTGGCGTCACAGCTCACCTGCCTCCAACTGTAAAATGACTCAGGGCCAAATTCATCGCTGGTGTATTCCGCTAATCAGCTAGGGACTCTGTTTAAATTAGAGGCACATGGAAAGGCCTTCCTGATACAGTTCATTTACACCTCGAAGCATTTCATCATAAGATATGCTCCGGTCGGGTACATGCAAGAAACACGCGGATCTTATACGGAGCTTGCAAGGGCTGTCAAAGAAGTTTGTGGCCCTCTGAATCTCTGGGGAGAATGATCGCTCGGCTTATAAACTGCAGCCCTGTGAGACCACTAGTGGTGAACATCCACTCCGAAATTACACAAGGGCGACTGACTGACTTGGTGTCTATCGCGGGGGCCCTTGATATCCAGTTGGCCAAAGTACTGCCAGTGCATTTCTCAGATAAGTGCCTCATGAATAGATACGAACATGGGACATACCTCCTCCGAGATACTATCGCCGTAGATCCGTACAGTATCAATTACACATATCCCTTTGCCCACGAAGCAATCTATTGATTTCTGGCACTCCGACAAGTCATGGGTGTGAATTGTGAGTGTTCTTTCGGCACCGAATGCACATGCGCTCTAAAAAACTTTTCAATTAGATTCGTGAATACCGCTGGACGTATATAGATCAAGGGGGTTCGGGTGATCTAAGTCAGTGGTATTCACTGGGATAGTCTCCGGCATGCATACACTGCAGTGTCGATATAACTTGACTGGCCATAACTTGCCTAGCCATAACTTGACTAGCCAACTTGACTAGCCCTAACTTGACTGGCCATATAATACAACATTCCGGCACCTATGAAACATTCAGATGTTTGAAACACACCAGGAAACACTAGTATGTCCAATAGGTTCCAGCGGCCGCCTGAGAGAATTGAACGGACAGAACAAACTGCCGGCACGCAGGAAGTCTCCAGGTATAAATCTGTTAGCTGGGATAGGCTGGGATGTTGTCCGAACTTAGCTCGAACCGGTACCGAGGAATGTGCCATTGGTGGCAGTGTCTGACAATGCGGCTTACCCCAACTTGGGCCAAGGCTTTTTTTCTCTCCTGATCATCGAATGACAGTTCAAATGTACCTGTTCATAAGTTTAATGGAATATAACAGATAACAGATCCGTGTCTTGACATGTTAATCGTACTGACATCGCGGCTACCGGATCATTTACTTTCTGGATTTCACTCAACGGTTGCGACGTCCGACTCTCTGTTTTCCCTACGTCGTTTGCAACGTCACCTTGGTTCCCGCATGCAGTCGCCCCTTTCTTCCCAGGGGTTTATTCTGCTCAGTATCTTGTATGTGTCCGGACTTCAAAGAACAGAGACCGATGTAAACACAAACACATGCACCACAAATAATCAAGGGGCCAGAAACACATGCAAGAAAGGAAAGGATTTCCCGCTGTGCGAAAGCGAGCCAGGTGCCTGAATATCTCTACTTCGATCATTGAGTTGAGGACTTGTGCATGTGAGCACTCATCGCAGGCTCGCAAGCCCTGGAATGAGGAGATACGTGTTTCCGCAAATAATTACCGAGGGTATATGACAAGGGGTATAACTGAGTAATATACAAAAACAAACAGTGAAAGAGTGGTAGCGATGTGGGGAGGCTAGACAAATAGATACATTCATGAGTACCGACTCCGGACATTCGTGAAGTGACCCCAAAGGTTGGGAGAAGCCGTCAGTGACTCAATAAGATAGGAGGGCTACGCAACATCACTCCAATAAACGGGAAACCACCCTCACCAGAACCGATTATCTTCCGGAGGAATGTCCCCCAACATGCGCAACATCACGATGTTGGATGTTAAGCTTGAAAACTACAACACCAGTCAGTCTAATGGTTATGGAAAGTAATTCGCAACGTACCCCGTTACCTATTAGCACCTGAGCACGCTGACCGATCAGCATGTCCACGGCCTGTGCGACAGGTTTTGCCTCCCAGCTCAACTTCAAATCCCTGCTGGTAGCAATAGCATCCCATTTTCTTCACCCGCATAAGAGCCTCCTTAGCCGGTGCAGCCACTCCACGTCTCCATTCGTCATAACGTATATGCTCTTCAACTCCTTTGTGGGTCCATATAGACGCCTTTGATCAGCAACCACGTTCTGGACTTTCTCGACAATCTGTTCAATCGTTGGGAAACACGCTTTGAAGTACATGTTCGTGTTTGCCTGCGTGGTCTCGCCCCAACCACCGTCTGTAGGGACTCTGAACTTGTCAGGGAGGGCAGAGAACTGGTTGAACCCGTTCCAATCTGAGGACCAGTTAGCAAGATGTGAACAATGACCGCGAAGTCGCCTCGGCGAATATGAAGAGCCAGTAACCCAGTTACAGTATCCAGGTCCTTTGCTTTGACAATAGGATGGACGTCGTGTAGTGTTGTAGGAGTTGGTGACTGATTGGAAGGGCGCATGAACGAGGGGAAAAATCGGAACGAGGAAGGCGTAAACAAATGAGCATTATCCGCGTATGCCTGAAGAATAAGCGGAGACCAAGAAAAATCTGTGAAGACAGGCGACTTGGATAGGATAGGCCAGATTGAAAGTATGCGTTTTGAACCAAATAGCCTATTGAAAGTTTGAGAGCTGACAACAGCACAGCCAGATGACTTACCAAATCTCAAATAGTTGGTATGACTCCTGTTTTATCTCAACGCATGGGTCGTCGATGGAATTCAATTTCTCCACCCACTTCTCAAATATTTCCAAAGCAGGCACGTTATTGTCCAGCCTGAGATGCTCGTTCACATCCCAGCTGTCGATGATAGTGGGATTTGGGCAAACTTTCTTGAAGTACTCCCGTGAGACAGCACGAGGGGCAGCATCCCTGGGGGGAAATGACGACCCTATTATGGGGCCTGCACAAGAGAACGGCTTTAGCATGAACGGAGACGATGTGCACTGATAACGTACCACTGATAATAGCTGACAAAGGTATACGTGAAGGTATGAGTTTGCCATTGAACGTTGAGTAATCGATAGAATCTCGTTCCCATGTGAAATTATCGAACACGAAGCTAGCGGGAAATATTGAGGATGAATTAAGGACATGGAAACATGGACGTACGCTCGTTTAGTTGTATGAGCCAGTACCGCATTCATCACAAGCTCCTGCATGGCATTTCCCCATCCCGAACCTGGCAGTTGTAAGCTCTAGCCTGAATGCAAAAATAACAAATTCATACTAGTGACATGATTGGCGGCCCAAAAGAACTTCGCGTCGCGCCCCTCTGGGAAAGGCAATGAAAGATTATGCTGTGGCAAGTGTCGTTCATAATCATGATATTCTTCGTACAACGGCGGGTAATGAGTGCTGTTCCGCGAATGACTGCTCCAGCAGCTGGGATGGCCCAGTCGGGCTGCTGCGCGAGAAGAATAGAAATAGGCAAACCAAGATTAGTCCCGTTAAAAGGCGAGTACACCGCCTCGTTAGTGAAAATCGTGAAATAGGTGACCTCGTATCGGAATTGCTGAGAGGTAAAGTCGAGCCATCTGACAGTCTGGAGTGCTTATTTGCCTTGAATGTTGACTTGAACGATTGCATGGTCGCTGCGGCAGTGTGCTATGCAGCATATTGAAATTGGCGCGCTTCGGCACGCCTGACCAGTAGAGTTTACATTTCACACTCCGTTGTGTAGGCTTCATACTCCGCTGGAATAGTACCGTACGACTATGCCGCACAATATTATTAAGGTGATGACATGAACCAGGTGAGTACCTTCATTAATAACAACATTCCCCAAATGACAACATGCTTGCAGGAGATTCTGGCTAGGGCCCGCTTGGCTGCTGGCAGCACGTGCAGCATTTGGCAAATACGCTATCTGATGCGGCAGGCCGTGACAGGCTACTGCTGCATGTGAAGAGTGCCAACTAGACAACCACAGACACCCTGATGCATATGCTGTCGCGAAGTAAAGCCTTTGTCACAACGTCACTGGAAGTCACTTCTGTTTCAGGCAGCAGACTTTCATTATCACTGCTTGGATACCGCTAAGTAGCAGGCGCAGCCAACCTTCACACGTTGGACAATCTTAAACCTCCCGAAAGAGGGTAATGACATTCTGTTAAAGGGGAAAGTGTCCAGATGATGGGGACTTGATTTTAGTGATAACTTGATCAACGGGAACTGGTTCTAGAAGTACGAATTCTAGGTCGATAAGAGCGATTCCTAGGTTCTTATCCGAAATACGAGCCCACCTTCTGATCGTTCTTCTTCAGACTAGCCATGGTCACAGAGGGTGTACTTTGTAGCGGTACTGCGTTCCGAAGAAAAAGAGACAATAACACATGCTAGCTTCTACTTCTCTCTCTGTGACACCCGAATTGCTTGATTCATTTATAGAATGCGACCATCGTCAAAGCTTCAAGCGCCGCGAAGATCAACGCCTGTCCTCTCATCATAGATGCGGGACGATACGAGAAACCGTGGGTGAACCAATTCCCCGAGGTTGTGCCCGACCGAATATTAACCAAATTGCCTCTGGTTCTGATCGGGAACCAAGTTCCGGTACTCGTCTGAGATAGAGACACATTGTACACGACTATGTTCTGTTCTGTAGGTGGCGTACAGGGTCAGCTCCATGGTAATGACGATGATAGGCTACTTGGAAGGCCACTATCTAATGGAGAAACCCTGAGTATCTGTGGTGCCCCCTGGATTAATGGCTTTTTCATATTCCAATGATCGCGATGTGCACATAACAAGAAACTGCGCACGGTACTATGAAATTAAACCCAGGAATGGTTTGATATAGGGCTCATGCTCGCCGCTCACACCCACAGTTATATGCAATGAATGAACGATTATCAGCAGAGAAAGTCCAGGCATCGTGGGAAATGTTGTTCGGCTCGACATGCCGTAGGTATGGATGGAAAAGGTGAAGCTTAAAATGTACAATCACATCATTATCAGTCCCATCACAGATTCATACATACCCTTCGCAATGATGCAAATAACATGAGACGAAGTGACCTGTACACGTGAGGCGGGATAGCCCGTCGAGGAACATGCTACACCGTTCTTGAAGCAAGCCGTGTTCTGATAGGTGAATTTACCCCGAGGGAATCATCCTTTAGAAGGGTTGCTTGTAGAGTGCCAAACGCGCCCACGGTCTTGAAATAGACATAGAGTTTCTGGGTCGATGCCCAGTGGGTAGGTGGACCTCTAGGCTCTAGCCGATCACCTCGATGTATCATATAGCTACTCTCTACAAGGGTATAGGCGCTCCCAGGCTCGAATAGCTCAAGAACGCTCCCATGCAATATTACAATGGAATGTGTGAGTGCGACCAGCACCAGCACTACGTTCTTCCATTTTTACGCATGTTCCTTGTTATTACTAGTAGCGTCACGAATGACCTGGCTAGTACATGTTTAGAGTGTTCGCCTGCGGTACCGTACCCAAGAATAAGTAGGCACCCTAGAAAGTGCAAGGCGCCGAGGCATTGCTTGAGAATGCCGCATTGCAACGTAGCCTCGACCTGCAGGCCCGACCGACCGTATGTGAGTGTGAAATGGGGTTTTGTCGAGAAATCATAAGCTTCCTGTTTCCTGATTTTGCAATATGAGAGTATACAACGGCGAGTCACAGAACAAGGAGGAACGTATGAGAAGAGATGGAAATAAGGTACTTAAAGGGTCGAACGACCGCGGTCGATAACGTATTGCATGCGCACCGCCTGAAAGTAGCACAAAGGCGCGAGAAGCTCTGCTTCTGCCTCGAGGCCTGCAGCCACTATCATCGATACCACCTCGTACACACGAGTAGCAATAGCTACATTTGTAATGTTTCAGTGGTGTACCATGAGGCATTCAAAATCATCTCCGTAGATGTGGAACGTCATATTATGAGCTGTCCACTGACGCTTAGTCCAGCGTTGTGACACCTGACAGCTCTATTGGTGGTGATGACGCTGATGATGACGATATGCTCCACGGGCAGTACCATACAAGCACACGACTACCTCGGATCGTTTCACAGCAAGCTTTCTTGTAACAAAATTAGACCAAGAGATCATACAAGCTAACAAGACGCTCACAGAGTTCCCACCGTCGTCCGTTCCTGCACTGATGACGATGACATGCTGATGCTGTCTTCGCGCTACACGGACATATGTGCCGGTGGAGTACACAATCATACAATGGCCTCGGACCGTCCCTCGGCAAGTTGGGTCTGCAACAAAATTAGCAAAGCTAAGAAGACATATGTACAAGCAAAGGAGAAACTCACATGTCTTCCCACCGTAACACGTTCCTGCATTGAAGCGTAGCGACGTTCGGACCGATGTGTACATCCGCGAAACGACTTGGTATACTCACATTCATTATGATACGATGGAAGCCCGTCGAATTCATGATTGAGTCGGACAACAGCGGATCGATGAACACGATGATCGATGAACTCGCGTAGTAGATTGGCTTGGAGAGCTAAACATAGCGTTCTAGGGTGTTTTCTCGGATCTGTTTCCTGATTGTTCTCGAGAATCAATTTAGACTTGAGAGCGTGTAAGCGCCCGTGGAGTACGGTCTATCGATGGGCAAGCAACGGCAATCCGAGGGCGGACATGAGCTGAATGGAGAATGATGTGGTTCTTGACGTGAGTGCGAAGCCAAAGTGCCGTGTCGTTGAACGTAGTTCGGTAGGGCCATGGGAATGCCTTTTAGTTTTGAGAGCTCTCGTGACTTCGTCCGGGGCAGGGTAGAAGCTCTAACCGCGCGGGAGAAGCCACGACCCACACACAACATTGACGGCCTTTTGCTGTCAAAGGGCTATCTAGTGTGTACTTCTCCAGCTGATAGTCGTGATCAAGTTGCCAGCTGCAGGGCTTTTTGGCCTTTACGTTTACGTGAGCTTTCTTCCGTTGAAAACGAGCGTACTCTAATTGGTGGAGAGACTCGGCTATCATGTAAATCGGGATATCCCAGAAGGAGCGCTCATGAGCTGGTCAAATGAGCGACCAAGGCCCAGGTATATACATAGGCTAAAACCATTCTCACAACAGCGGTGCACTGGAGCAAGAAGGGTACTTCTCACACTGGACGGGGATTACTCTGCATTCGGAACGATCCATTGTCTAGGCCAATGTATATGTTTTGGGTTTTTGACAGGTACCTTGCTGCGTTCATAATTCATTGCTTCACGGGAAAGTATTCGTGATCGGACACTGGACTGGGTCCATTGAGGTACAGAGACACAACTGTCAGCCAGCAAAGTGCGGGGTTACGCGCCTGAGTAAAAACGGACTCATCTGTCGTACGAGCCATCCAGTCGTCTACGGGCAAGTAGGATGAGAAAATCCAAATGCAATCTCCTTGATCGTCGTGGGTACTCGCATCAGGTGCGGAGATCATCGAGACCTTCCAAGCTCTGCTCTGCCACTCCCAGTCACGTTATACAAGGCATTGGAAGGTCTTTTTCAAGCATGTGAACGAAGCTTCGAAGGGCCTACTGCCGCACGTCCTTGTCACAATATGTACGTCAGTGAATAGGCCTTCCTCGACTTTTCGGGGAGTAAAGTTTAAGGAAGCTTTCACAAGTTTGGAAGACTTCCGGACTCGGATGGTGAATTACCGGTCGAGCGTCAAACTGCGGGGGTAGCATCGACTCCGATCAATAACAGGAACTTGGAGGCATTGTGCTGAACTGTGCAGCCTACTACTAGCAAGTGGGCCACTGCCACGTCGGTCCCGTATCTTTGAGAGAAAAACTATCCATATTTGTGTGGGTCACAGGCACTAACTTGGCTCCGGAGTTGATCACAAGGGGAGACACGGTTGCACCCCGTTGCACCCAACAGACCGAGACCTTTCCGTCCTCTACGTGGGAGCGGGAGTGGCCAGGAGTGGTCAAAGAGTGATAGTGATGCTCCGGCGCTGCGGAAGATGGAGAATACAAGATCATGATGTATCATGACTCGTACAGCCAATTCCCATTCCCATGCTTGCTCCGCAGAACGTCATTTCGGACTCTGAGATTCACAGTCAAATGCAAAGTTCATTGTATCATGTCTGTTGACACGGAGGGTATCGACCCTAGTAGGTGTGGAAGTACTAGTGAACTAATATGGTATAATTAAGAGGGTCAGGTCTGTAGTGATCAATAATGTACAGAAACAAACATGGCTTCAACTTCATCCGTTGGTGGTACACAGTATGGGTAAATGAGTGTGTACGATACCGAAGATGAATAAAAAAATAATTGTGGGTTATCGTACAGCAATGCAAATGCTAGGGTCATAATCGTCGTAAGAGTAAACATAACTGGGGACGAAAATGGGACAATCAATGCAAAGAGTAGGCGGTTATTCGAAATTGTATTCGACCGCTATCCGACAAGCCTCAGATATATAAGGGGTGCGACCATGTTGTCGCAGGCTTTGTCTCGATGGGAAGGGGGTATCGCACGCAGTACATGAATGGCCGAGCAATCTGGATGCGTTATGGGGATCCCGCGAGCGTGATCTTTTTGGGGTGTGCGAGACCTGATGAGTGTGAGCTTAATACGAAGTCCGAGGCATACCACAATGAAGACTCACAAGATCATCATCAGTCTGATTTTGATTCAACTTTCGTTTTAGTGATGGTGAGCGGTGCTCTGCTATAGATGATTTAGTCAAGAGCGCAGTAGACGATGGGGGGAAAGAACATACCGGCTGAAGCGCTCATTGCTTTTATCGAATTATCCCTCCAATTATGTATGCGCTTCATGCGAACATCATATGTATCATCTGTCCAAACGACAGGTTCTCTGTCCTGGGAAGGATGGGGAGGGGTAACAAAAGAGGAACAATATGATGAGCAATCCTCCTCGTCTTCTGAGTCTGATGTAGAGGGATATGAGGATCCAGAGGAGAAGCCATATGAGGTTGAGTCGATGTCACGACGTGGAGGAGGTGAAGCCTCTACGAGCTGGATGATCTGGATGGCGTCGTGGGGTTGACGGACATAGAGATGACCTGGGTTGACCTTTTCCTTGTAAGGATCAAAGATATGAGGTGAGACACCAGAGTGTAGCATGGTGTATTGGTCGAACATTTGTGATAGAAGTGGGGGGTGTCAAGTGTAAAGATTGAGAATCAGGTGGACCTTAAATTTGAATGGAGAGGCGCCACGCGAGCGACATGCATATTCGATTGTAGATTTGTGTGGCAGCTGTTCAAAAAAAAAGCGAAGCAGAGCCCTGAGAAGTCAGAAACCTGGGGATCGGGCGATAAACAGCGAGATGGCCCACTTACTACTTTTAGATATCCTGTTCTTGGCGTCATTCCAGATTAGGTATCATTGAACATCTGAGATCTAAGATGGGTTCAGTAACATCCCACCATCTCAGCAGTATCTGTATTTCCTTTTCAAGGTATTCTACTTCCCATGCCTCCCTCTCCATGTTCCATTCCTTTCCCATCGTCTCCTCCGTCGCTCCTTGTATCCTTTCTAACGGCCTTTGTGTTCCATTGTAATTGATCGCTTCCTTACTTCCGAATAAATCGCACTGTCACAATAGGCTATATTCTATTCGAAACTACACAACACCTCAACAGGGCTCACCACACCCACCCTCAGTGCGATCGAAAAATATTTTCAAGTGTCAATCAAGTGCCTATCATATTCAATCTTGGACATGCCCAATCGATAATCTCATGGCCGCATCGGCGCAAGCCACGCCTCCGCTGCTTCAAACTGGTCAATCAACTCGCGAAGGACAGCACCCTCTGAGTGAAGTTGCCTCATGGCAGACAGCGCCTGTCAACCACAACAACACATGTTAGCCAACGGGTGATTCTACAATCAAACAAAGTTACTAACAATGTCCCAGAACCGGAATCCTCGTTCCACTTCTTGTTTCGGGTTTTTCACTCCCGGAAACGTGTCTTCACATATCTCAAGGGCCATCGCCTTCGACTCTCTAACGCCTTCTGCGTTAGGGTCTAGTACTCGCGTTTGATTATTGAGGTGTGTCAGGGCATCCAGGTACACCTTGGCAAGTACTCCGAATCCAGTGTTTACCTCCGATTGGAAAGGCAGGGAGATAGTAATGTCCAAAAGATCTTCCCGTGCTCGGCGTGCGTCCGAACGCAGTAACATGTTCAGTGTCGTCACCTCAAGTAGCGTTCGAAGCGCCCGAGTCAATGAACGCACAAATGAGTTGAATACCAGTAATTCACGTGATAATGGTGCCGACCATGGTTGTGGCTAGATTAGGAAATAGCATCAAGGTGCGATTCGCCAGATATGGAAAAAAATTACCTTGAAGTTCAAAGGCACGATGCTGAGCACTCTCATGACCAGCAGCATGCAAGATTTCTCATCATCTGCGTGGGATAATCATTTATCAATCCAAAGAAATCCTGTATGTGAGTTCCGCTCACCGGTCCCGAAACTTGGTCCCCCACTGAACGCTCGGCCTGACCATAAGTGACCGTGCATTACCCCAGCCCTTACCAGCTCCAGAAACAGATACAGAGGATCCTGGAATTTGTCATTCAAACGGGCTTGTTTAATTGCGGTGTACATGGCGCGCGCTAGTGGCGAGTGTGTGTGAGAGTTGAGGAGGAATCTATGGTGGCAGTGTCACAAGAGTGCTAGGCTGGCAGGGCAGCGCTTACCCTCTGAGTTCCAGGAACCGCCATACCACATTAGCGACGACCTCATCCTTTTTGTCCAATTGCCCATTCGGGACGCTTGACTTTCCCTTGGTACGCGATGCAAGTTTTTCCGTTGCTGTCGCTCCAAGGCAAAGTGCGAAATCAATGGTGGAAGACTGCATCAACCAACCCAGACTGTCAGGTGACTCGACTCATAAGCGACTTCGGAAACTCACGTTCTGTCTCCGGAGCTCTTCCTCCACAATTGCATAGCTAACGTTCCAGCCCGCCACGCGTTCGGCAAGCTGTACAGTTTGTGGTGAATTATGTTGCACAAACTTCTGACCGTGAGGTGCGGGGCTCTCAAACCAAAAGTTGCCCGCAACTTTCCGATTGTTCCAAAATTGATGGGAAACGCTGCTAATGAGCGCGAGAGCGGTCGCGCGTGGCCCTGTCTGGCCATCGGTGATAACCTCCTTGACAAACCGCTTGTACTCAGTTGTCTCACCGTTATCAAGCGGTGGTGGTTCGACGATCTGACCACTAGTCAACCAAACGAGCGCTTGAGGCCCCAAGAGTCCACGTGAGAGATAGAAATAGATTTCGTCGGGAAGACGGTGGGTGAATATTTCATGAAGATCTGAAGGAATATCCGCAGCTGTCGGATGGTGGGGATGATTAGGACCGTGTGCTGGTGTGGTGATTGCAAGGGGAAGTGGCGTAACACTTCCCTCAGAAGAGAATATGAGAGAGTATTTGATCATCGAGCGCGTGCGCGCGTACTGATCGGGATACTGCATACTCTTGACTGCGGGATGTTCCGCGAATGCAGAAACGGCAGCATGGCCAGACTTGTAGTATTTGACCATGTCAACCGTAGCCTTCAATGCTTGTTCATGCACAGTTGGTGGAAATGGTGGCGAGTGCTCGAAACCAACAAGGATGCCAACATCAAGGAATTGGTCCTCGCTAAGGCCCAAGTCATTCAAGATAGTGCGTTTGGATACGAAGGAAAAAGATGGTGTCGCAGAGGTGAGATCCAGCGAAGTAATCAATTTGTCTACACCTGGATAGAGTAGGGTGTCTGTCGGTCCAAAGATCGCATGGATATATGATTTCGGGTGTCGTTGCATATAAATCAACTGTTCAGGATGAATCAGCAGAGTATCCAGCAAGAGATGGTTTCGGCCTACCTGAGCCCAAGCGACGTATGGAGCAACCAAAAACTCAACATTCCTATGTCTGAATATCCTCAAGACCATGCGCCATAAGTCCCATTGCTGGAGCCCACTTCTGCCCTCGAACAGTTTTATAGCGGATTCTTCCTGGCCAGCCTCGTATTTTGCCCAAGCATCCCTCCGGTCCCTGCATCCATCGTTGTGCTCCACGTGATGTTGGTATTGCTTCCAGCGCTTGCTTGGTAAAAGGCCAGGAAAAACGAACACAGGTTTTATTCGTAGTTTTTCGAGCGTACGCAAATCAGACTCGATGCGTGTCGTTAGCGCCAAGGGCAAGCCACCAGTCGCAGCGAGAAGAGGCTCGCGTGAGGGTGGGTTATCCGTCAATATTTTGAGGTAGTAAGAAGCATCAATTCCTAGCCGTGAGTCGGATAACACAGACAGAGCAAATGACTGTGTGTGCTTCCGCTCGGAGAGGTAGTCTGTTTCGTTTTTAGGTTACACGTCAATTTTAACTGCAGTTCTTCTACTCCTACATTCGATGGGAAATAAAACGTACTTTCCAGGTGCTTGATGGGCATCGCAGTCTTTGAATGAGCTCACTGTGCTCGTCGTACCAACTTGAGTACTTGAACAACGTGCAACAAGGCAACCAACTTTCAGATTATGTAAGCGCGCAGGGTTTTTCTCTGCTTCTTACTCAGGCCTTGCAGGGATAATCCAGTGGAGTACTTACAATTAACACCTTGCTCAATGCCACGTCCAAATTGTCAGCTCAGGACTGAAGGCTGCATTCTCATCCAAGAACTTCCGCCAAGTTACACGTCTTGTCAATACTTTCATCAATGTGGCGCCAATTTGAATGTGTATGACATTGCCATTCATGTCATTAACCCCATTCTACACAGGAACTTGTGGTTCGTCCTAGTCCATCTGAGAATTCTGGGCCAGGGCTTTCACCGCTTTGTTAGATTGCCAACATGTGGGTTCATTGCTAAATCCGCTGCTCACGGGGTCTTGGTGCAGATTTGCTGTCTCGTTGAGATATCAAGGCTGCCAGTTGTTGCGCGTCACGCATTTGGTCAAATGTTGTTCAGTTACTACGCAAGGCCAGTAATTTCATGAAGGGGCACCTATGAAGGGGGGCGTGGTGACAGTCTAGTGGGGCATGCCGCTACTGCGGTCATTGCGGCTATGCATTATACCACGCCGATGTTTTTGCCGACTCGAAGGGCGTTCAACATTTATCTGATAAGTCAAGAAGCCCCTTTGTTTTTCTTCTTGCGCTTTAATTTCCGGATCCTGTGCGAAACAGACACCAGTGCCTGTGAACAACCTCAGCTGGATCTGGCTAGTTTGTTCTCGTGACGAGCTCAAGGGTCCTGAAGCACGGCAGTGCAGTCAGTTTCCAACAAGCGCCACAGGTCTAAGGCAGATGAAGTTGGCCACCTTAAAGCATGGTTTCAGTCTGTCTCCGAATTGATGTGTTCTACTACCGATGATGACATTTGGTGCGGGTATAAACGATCAAACTGAGTGCGCCTAAAAGGTTGCTCGGCCAGACGGGGACGTCACGCCTTCTGTTACTACAGGTTACCACTCGGGAAAGTACCATTTTAACACTGTGTGAGCGTTTAATCTGATAACGTTCGTTCACACACATAGGGTTTCTTTTCTATGGGATCTGATAACTGCTAAGAGACGGTCACACCCAGGCCCCATGACTACACAGCAAAGTCGATCCAACGGCTTTAATGGAGCCTTATTAGGCCCTTGCTTTAGGATGTTTCAAGTCTAGTCCTTCCACACAGGATTGCCTTTATTGCAACCTGATACCTCCTGAGAGGCAGCCACTACGTTGGCCCCACGACTGCACAATAGTCGATGCGGTGATCGTAATAGGGCCTTGGTGGGAGTTTGCTCCGGAATGATGCATGAAGCTCGAGCTGTATTTCAGATTTCAGGTTTAGATCTCTCGCCAACGGTTTCATCTTTATTATGCTGTGCTCTACCCATATGCAACGGCTGTGGTTTCATGGCAAGTATCTCCGGAATAAGCGAGCGCGCTGGCAGGACCCATCTCTCGGCCGTTTGCGTCTCCTTGGATCTTGCCTCCCACAGTATTGTCTTCGAGTTGTACGCGAACTTTAGCGCCGAACGCATAATATTGTACGGGAAACCTTGGGCTTGTCTGCCCCACAGTTTGAATATGCTCCGGGCACTTGATTTACTCGTCTAAATGTTTCGTCACTGTGGTGCGCTGATGGGCCATCCTTGTTTCGACGACGTTAGAGTTATTGCTGGCCCTAAGAGAGCAAAAACAAATCCTGGAGAGTCCACTTCTCTGGACGCGAGCAGTGTGAGATGCTGTTGGTCGGCAAGAAGATCTCGAGTCTCAGCATCAGAAGCGCAGATCCGTCTACATTTGAGTATCTGATCGGACTGGGGCCATGCCTGCCATGCAACCCGGCGGTTGGCGTTCGGCGATCTCCAGATACGATGACCGTGTATACTACTAGCATGTACGCGAGCTCGCTGGGATCACGACCAAGATATCTTGCACAGCGCCTGTGAGTTTAATTAGTCTTTCTCATCAACGATCAACTCTTGTCAACCGAAGCGAATACAGCATCACTGGCACTCACGAGCCTCGAGCCTGTTCAAACTCACGGCGTCGTGACGATATTCGCGTGTTGCTCACTGCCGGCATTCCGCGAGAAACCTTCGTGATGATGATCCATTCGCTTGTCAAGCGAGTGGTTCTATTTTTTTTTACCTCAGCCTTTGCACTTTCCAAGGAACACAATTCAAATATTCACCCACGAACGACAGCTATTGTAGGTTTAGATATTGGAATCCTGTTTTTTTTTTCAGCGTCAAGAACTTTTCGGCAAGTCTTCGCTTAAAATCGCTTAGGCGGCTTGAATTAGATGCCATTGTCCATCCGTTGTCTTCGTGTTCGTGGAATAGGTTAAAATACCCGGGCATGTCAACAAGCAGAATAAGCTGTGTAAAGGAATGGTATTATCAGGTAGCGTACCGTCAGTATTTATCCGTTTGTGTCAAGAAGCGTGCTCACCAGAACCTCCCGCAGAAGCTCTCTTCCTCGGAGTTGTTGAGAGCTTATGTATGTATATCAGGTGCGATACGAAGGTCATTGAATGTGTTCTCACAGACTGAATAGGCAGACAAGGTACGTGTACTTTGTCTCGTCCTCGACCTCACCTTCCGACGAATCTCGCTGATATCATACTCCTTTTCCATTATGGTGTCAGAAGATTGATAGCCTGAGGGGATCGATAGCCATGAACACTGGGTGCTGAAGCTAAGTTGTAGGTCACCTGTTATCATTCCCAAGTGACAAGTAACTTACAATACTTACTCCCTGAATTCTATATGGCGACTGCACCTGCTTAACTGTGATATTGGACTATAGGACGTCTGCAAACCCGACTGGGTGCCATAACCTTAAACCAGCAGGTCTCGTGGTTTGATAGCTGAAGCGCTGACCGTGTATATAAACACTCCGCCAATGTAATTTCGGGGACTTGGTGTTTTCCTCATTCGGACTTGCGGCGCAGTGGTTGTCATGGTCTTAGAAATCTCTAATTAACCGTGATCATATACAAGCAGCAGACGCAAATACAATGTGCATCATCTCATAGTACCACTTCAAACTCCCGGTGCTCATAGTGGTCTCAAAAAACCTATTTCCTGTCCATCCTCCTTCCTGCCCTCATGCATCCGAACAAGTCAGCACTCGCATATCCAGGCGTAAAATACCAGTACCAGCTACATGCATTCTACAGTGTTTGGTGAGCGTGTGTATTTTCTAAGAGAAGCGATTTGACCGGGATGCCGCGCCCACTGAACCATCCGCCGCGGCTCGAGGAGATAGGAAACGTCTGTCCGTGCGTATGAAGTGACATGGGCTATATTTGAGAATAGCTCTTTCGCGGTGAATCAAATAACGATGAATAGACAAGTGATCGCCTAGCGTGTAATTAACTTGCTTCTGTCCTCGCTCTTCTGCATACTAGACACAGTGGTTGGCTTGAAAGGAGAAATTCCTAAGTCGGCTAGGATAGTTTTGTTGCGGGCAATGTTCCATTCTCGCTACTCTGTGCTGGTCGACTGATTCATAAGGTTGGGTTGGGTTTGACGAAATCTAAATCGGCAAGGAGATTGCGCGCGACGTTCTATTCTAACTCTTCTGCGTAGGAAGTGGTTGCAATTTCTATGGACGACAGATGAAAAACTAAAAATACAATAGAAAAGGATCACGCACGTCATGAGCGAGAGGTGCAAAGTATGAGCAGACGCCCCTCGTCATCGAATCAACTATGGGACCGATAGTGCGTGTTTGGTTTGCAGTCGAGGAAATTGTGCATCTGATCTTCAAGCTTCAAGCTAAGGCTCATTTGGGGTGTATTTCACATATAACCCTCGCGGTTTGCAAGTGTCATGTAAACGAAAGATCTTGCTCAGATCTGCGACCAGCGCTACACCAACTCGGTTGTGGCAATAATTAACAGTGTGCTGCACCTCTTCTCCGCCCTCCATGACATTCTTTGCCAAGTATATTGTAATGGCATCCAGCGACGATCGTGGAATAGCTCGTTGTCAGTTTGATTAGTACATGTTGCTGTTGGGTTGGTGGGGTGTTGTGTAGAATACGTCTATTGGAATCAAGATCCTGTGGCACAGCTGTGCGATCAAGAGAGTACCAAGCTTTCAAGAGTTGTTACGCGTTAAGTACTAAGTATCGAACTTTCTATGTTACAGTTGAATTTGCTTACTAAGCATATTGTGGTCCAGGGTTTGCAGTGACAACTTGAAAGTTGTTAGTCTCGCAAGACCGGAGACTCCCATGCTACTAGACAGACCTCTAATGGACCATGGTAGACTCCGAATGAAGATAGCCGTCGTGTAAGGAATAATCGAGTAATGTTCACAGTGCACGCAACCTTCGCCTCCCTTTGTACTTCCCCGGGCCTGGACCCTCACTGGCAGGGCCGCCACGCGGCCGGCGGTAGTACTACTACATAATCCACCCAAAGGCGAAGACTCGCGCGTCGACAACATTAATTCGAATTCGCCTTTATCGTACCCTCTTGATTCACATTCTTCTGACCCTCAAATGGAGATATGATGTAGGAACTTCGAAGTAAATGTTCTGACTCCTAGCTGTGTCAACTTGTCATTACGTGCTTCACAGCTTTCGGAAGAAGTCAACCAAATTCAAAATAGATCTGCGAATAGTCGATTAGGCGCCCAAATTCGAGTTCACTCATGAGCACCATTTTTTTCGAACTTCAGGTCTAGGATACCAGGCTATTCCGTGAAATGCAGCAGGAAGGTGAGCCTAGCACCTAACGTCTCACATACTGTGAACTCACCAAGCGTCATGGTTCTACATCTAATAGCAATTGAAAACACCGTACGACCACGCATGGGAGCGTCTGGTGAAAGCTGCAGTGCACCGCGCTATATACAATGCTGAACCACGAGCACTCTCTCCGTGTCTTGAAAACACGCGAACCACTATTCTGAAGAGCATCCGGCAGATAGTGGATGAGAAGAACCAAAAACATGTCTGGCTGCATGGTTTTCCAGGCTCAGGCAAAACATCCATCTTGTTCACGATTGCAGACGAGCTACGGAGACAGGGACGTCTCGCAGGAACTTTCTTCTTCTCGCACAATAGTGTGGATACTACAATGTGCGATTATATCGTGCCAACTCTTGCCTACCAGTTGGCACTTGCGTTTCCTGCGGTGAAAAGCGAGATCGTTAAAACCATTGTTGATGATCCTGCATTACTATCAGATCTCAAAGCTCGAAAGGATCAGATCCAATGTCTCATCACCAAACATCTTTGGAGACTCCAATTCAGGCCTCCTGTAGCATTCATCATCGATGCACTGGATGAATCCTGCTCCCCCGTCGAGGCTGTACGGGTGGCACGCTTACTAGCGGAAGCCATACGCACATGCAGGGTCCTTGGAGAGAAGCCGCTTGACGTCCACATCATTCTAGCTAGCCGTCCCAGCTTGCGCATCGATGAAGGAGCTCCTAAGCAAGGTTTCGGAGATATTCAAGAGCTTTCTTTGCAGGATGATGATGGGGAAACGCACACAGACATCCGTCGCTTCCTTGCGTACGGACTCCAGCGAGTCATCGATTCTCGTAAATTTAGTCTCGGAGACGTACCGGAGTGGCCATCTCCTTGTCAAATGGATAATCTCGCTGTCAAGGTCGGGAACTCATTTCTATGCGCATCCATAGCGATGAAATATATTTCCCACCCGAAAAAATATCCTCCTTCGAGGTTGGATGCGTTCCTTACGGCACCCGGTGCTACGGCAGACGCTTACGCTGACCTGGATCACATGTACCAGGATATCATCAGGGATAATAGCACTTTGGTCAGACATCTGATCAATATCATCAATCTGGCACAACCGCTCTCACGTTCTCAACTCTTACGGTTTTTCCCTTCGGATCAGAGCGAGGGGCTCAACCTTGCTCTAGAAGAATTTTCATCGATTCTAGTCGTTTCACCCGAACAACCCGAGATCCCCATCCAACCTTATCATTCATCACTAATCGAGTTTTTCGCGGACCCAATGCGCTGTCGTGCCCATCACATCGAGCCTACAAAGATTCATAGGGGTCTCGCACTCCAATGTTTTGCGATTCTACGTACACTCAAGGCAAACGTATGCGATCTCTCGGACCACACAACTATGGCCGTCGAAGTCAGTCAGTTCTGGCATAAACGAGACGCCATGCTTCCTGAAAGCATGCAATATGCTTGTCGTAACTGGGTGCACCATCTGTCTCATGGAAATGTCGATGGTATACTTGTCTCCGCATTAGAGAAATTTCTCTCTATGCACATCCTGCAATGGATTGAGGTCTTGTGTCTCCTGGGAGAGCTCAGCGATGCTCCAACAACTTTACGGAAAGCCCGCGCAGCGGTTGTCGTGAGTTCTTGTATCTGTTGAAACGGGTATCTCTTCTCACTATGAAATGCTAGGGATGGGCCCCGAATATGCGACATCGTGATTTTACACTGATAAACAGGTCGCTTGAGACTGCAGAACAAATGATCATCCTATATTTTGATCCCATCAGCCTGTTCCCCCTACAGGTTTACTACATCATAGCGGCACTCGCAGATTTATCTGGAAAACCTCTAGACTCTAGATCTGATGTGCTTGTCCACAGGTGTGGTCCAGCTTCTGATGGTGCATATCGATTTCCCGTGTCCGAACTGCAGTCTTCCCTGGTGAAACCAGGACCATCTCAAGGACAGCATTTCAAGGAGGTGGATCCAGGAGTTTTAGGCATCTTGGCGGATGTAAGCTTTTATCATGATTTAGGCTCAGTATCAGTGTCTGACTGGGTTCCAGTGTAGCCGTTGGTTATTGAATTCCGATTTAGGTGCATTTCAACTGGCAGGTACGCCCACCTGAAGTGCAATGCCTAGACGACGGTTGCTCACGAGCACTTATATTAAGATCTATCTTTGTCTCTACGATTTTCTGGTCGAACCCTTGATGATTTTCGAGGGGTCGTTACACCATTCAGCTCTAATCGACAAAATGTTGATCGAATACCACGCAAACTTTGGGTTTGCCTGGAGATAATATCGGAAAATTCCAAACAAGTATCTTCTATTCAACGGATCACACATGACAATCATTCGCGAGTGGAATTTGGCAATATGACGATGTATGTCACAATAGACCTCATAAGTACAATGCTTAAGCCTTTTATTCTCAGTCTTGCCGAGGCAGATGACCGCTGCCGACTTCGGGTTCTGCTTTCAACTTCGAAAAAGAAGCCCTTAAAACCTGGCATGATTATGGGGGAGTGGTTTTTCAACTTTCGAAGTCTGACAGCGTACGCTGTTTACAAACAAGGTGAGCAGCGTCCATGTGACCACAATCTTTGATCATGATGGTGGGAAGTATAGGGCTCACACTTAAGATGAAACACAAGAACATTCTTGCGGAAGTCGGAACTCTGTGCTTTACTATCACTCCTGTGCCCACTTTTAGCAGCAGTGAGCGGGGGCGGAATATCTCAGAACAGTTCCCTGGACCATATGGATCAAACCAATCGCCCGGGATCCTTACTACCACTCCAGACCTCTCCTCAACCAAATCGCCCGGGCCCTTTACTGCTCCAGACTTCTCCCCAACCAAAAAAATATTCAGTCAAGATATCTTCGCGTACCAGTCACTCAAAAAAGATGGCGACATAGGTTTGCAAGCACCTGAATCACAACCAGAACTGTCCTCTGTCTTGGATCTTAATCTTACTTTCAAGGAACCGGACGAAATCGAGAAGCCTGAACTGCCGCTTATTCGCCAGGTCTTCCATGACCTCAAGAAGGAAGTACGTCTATTCATATTTGTGGGAGTTCGGCACCCTGTCAGATACATACGTGGCAGACGTCAAATGACATAGTCATTTTCCAATTTTAGTGTTACAACCTTTCAAGCGAACTTGTAATAACTCAGACGTTAATATTATGATTATGCGCTATTGCACCGGTGGTTACTCTGCAACTCCCACTCTACATCCAACAGGGTCATTCGCATCAACCTGGGGTATCCAATCTGAGGATTCGGGAAGTATGACGTTCGGACTCCGCTCTGTAGACGTGCAGGTACGACAGAGCCGAGTCAGGACGACATCCTTCCTGCACTGCCTATCCTGATCAAAGACCAAGTTTCGAGTGGTATGCGTCCTCGTCGGAACAAGCCAAGTCTTCTCAATCCAAGATGTGATCTTGGACCTTGGTGAGTTTCCGAGTCAACAATCGAGTTCATGGAAGTTTGGCAGGGGTCGATAGCCACCAGCGCTGTTGTTGTTGCATGACGGTGACCCTCTAGGAATAAGTTCCAGCGTGCCATGTTTAGATGAAGCCTACGGTCCTGTATAAGAATCATCATCACCATTCGTTCGTCCATTATCAACGCAGTCGTTGAAACATCGACGTCTAAATCCGAGCAGGCGGTCACTTACCCAGCTATTTAAAGTATGTGCTATCGTACCGGCAGTTCTTGTCGTTGTTACTGCGTGCTGTTCCTTCGCATTGGCATCTGAGGGGTATCTAATCTGGGGAAGTATACCGGATATATGACGTCCGGAGACTAGCCAATACAGTGGACTGCGCATATATTCTCTGCAGTCAGGCACAATTGTGATGACCTACATGCCAGAAGGAAGGATTGAACAGCACATAGATACTCGATAAAAACACACCTCAATGATCGACTCATTGACGTCTTCCACTGCGGAAGGTAACGATGAAGGACAAAGTTTGTCTCTAATACCAAACAAATGCTATATCCCTCAATCGAGTACCAGTGACCAGCCTCTCATCGTGATTTTTTTACCTGGATAAACTAGTATTAGTACCTTGAGTTCGAGTCTTCCGATCCACATGCAATATAGTTCATATCGACTGGAATACTCGAACTCAAGACACAACATACGCAGGATAAGCAAACCCAACAGCTCTGAGATTGTGAGCCTGTCTTGAGCGAGCGACGGAAGAAAGGAAGATGACTAAGAGAAGACTAGTACAAGGTTTGCATGCACGTCAGAAAAGGAAAAGAAAACCCACAAACTCTGACAGGACTCGTGGGTGTTAATAGTAAAGCCTCCCGGGGATGTATGGAGCGGTGTTGGAATCAGGAATCAGGAATGAACGGCAGACTTGATAGAAATGATCGACTCATTGACGTCCTAGAGGGAGATCCCAGTCTCCCATCGTAATTGTTTACTTAGATATACTAGTACTAGTACCTTGAACTCGAGTCTTCTAGTCCATATGCGATGTCCACACATAGACTGGAAAACTTGAACTCAAGAGACGACATACGTAGGATAAGCAAACTTGTCCGCTTTGAAATCCTGGGCTTGTCATGAGCGAGCGACGATCCACAGAAGAACTTTGGATGATGGATAATGGATGTCATCGATGATGAAGGTCGGAAAAGGAAAAGAAAACCCACAAACTTTCTGCAAGAGACTCAGGTATGCAGCATCATAATCCAATTTTTAACGGTTAACAAACAAAAGCCTACCGAGTCCCGGGGCCGTATGAAGGAGTACTCGAGAACCACGTTATCGGTTGACTGTTACCGCCGGTAAGTCATAAGGCTTGTTCTGCACCTCCATTCACAACCATCCACGTTTCCTCGCATCAACACCTGACGTATTTCCAATCTGGGGGTTCGAGATGTATGACGTCCGCTCTTCGGCTGTAGACGTGAGGTATGATATATCCGGATGATCTCCTTAGGCTTCCTGCCCTCCCAGGTGACCCGGATTTCCAACTGCCGAGTTTTGAGCGGTGTGCATCCTCGTTGGAATCCTGAGTCCGGACTCTCAACGCAAGATCCTGAGCTTCAAGTTGGTGACCTTGCGAATTCACGGACGTATAGTAGGTCATCAATGACCATATTATAACTGGCTATCGTTGTTATCGTTGTTATCGTTGTTACATGGTGACCCTTTGGAAACAGGAATAGGAATAGGTTAGATAGGATAGGTTGGATTGGCCCATGTTCAAGTTTAGACGAAACCCACTTGGAAGTTCCGACCAGGATATGAATCATTCATTACCGATACTGCTCCTGTTGAGTCACCAGCGTCTACATCAGTAACCGGATACTAAGCTACTCAGCTGGGAATAATATACGCTGCAATGTTGCGCGGTTTCTCCATTCAGCACTAGCACATGGTCGTTCACCTTCTTTCGCATCACATCTGAGGTCTCCGATCCGGGGAAGTATACGAAATGTGGACTCTGCTCCTAGACCGTAGACGTGCGGGGTACGATAAATCCGGACGATCTCCTTCCAGCTTTGCTAGGTAATTTCCTGATCAACGACAGAGTGTTAGTTATATGTGCTCGTCAGCATCGGCGTTGGATTCGGGGTTCAAGCTTCAATCCGACTCTGTGGTAAATGTGATTTTCATCTTGGTGAGTTTCCCAGTCGATAGTCGGGGATCGATGTCCGTCATATTATTAGCGGCCATCGTCATCCTTGTCGTCGCTGCATAACGGCCCCTCCATAAATGGGACAAATCCCAGCTGCAGCATGCCGTGCCAGGCCCAGAAAAGATCAAGGACATGACCAACTTCCGACCTAGATGTGAAATCGAAGCTGCTTGATACAAACGCCAGCGTGTACATCCGAGTAAGCGGACTTACACAGCTGTTCCTCGCTATTGTAAGTACCGGTGATAGGTGTGCGTTGTCGCACAGGCGTTTCGTATCGTTGTTGCAGCGTGCTGCATTCGAGCTTCAATATATTGATAGTTCTGCGTTCTCATTCTTCAAGTCCATTGAATCACATTAGTGTTACGTCAGGATCCCATCGCCTGGTCATTGACGTTTCGTTGTATTGATAACGAATACCAGGGGTTTCCCTGGGTTTCCGATCTGGCAAAGGATGATTAATGATGGTGGATGACACGTATACGAGTGAGCTACTTACGGAAAGTATGAGTAAATCTCTGGTGGGAGAAGGATGGAATGTTCACAACTATATGAAGGCAAACAAATCAGGTCAAACACTGGTAGAATTATGAGACGCCACCATTATAGAAGTATGGAACGCCACCCTGGCAAATGCTATGACGCGCGGGGTGTGGCATCCGCGCTGGCCTTGTCAGGGACGTCCGAGTGAGTCGAAACCAGGTAGGGGGCCGGCCACCGGTGGGTCCAAGCCAAGTCGACGGTCTCAACTGAGAGATGTGTTTGCGGTCCACAGTAAATTATGGGGTTGGTGAGCTATGTGGTGCAAGAATGGATAGTGCGAGGAGGTGCCTGAACTAGACCTGGATACTCACTAGAAGATTGAGTAACAGTAAATCCACTGTCCGACCAACGGTACCGAGAAGTACGATTGATATTGGCAAAAGCCACGCAAGTAATTCGAAGCCATGGCCTGATTCTATTTTTGAATGAATAGAGTGCAATGAAAGTTTTAGTTATGTAGAAGGTTTGGTTTCGGTCGTGTTCGGGAGATGTGAGTGTGAGAGTGGATGACTCGTTGGATGGTCATGGAGTGATCCTGGAATAGAAACCAATGGCAAAAGCATGGACTGGGTGGAGCGGGATATTTGTGGTAGTTGTTGGCTGGCAGTGAGACGCGCGGTTGTGGTCTGGAGTGGCCTCGGATCAGATCACGGGATCATCCGTTTCCGTGCATGCCCGATAGGCTTGAAAGAAGAAAGTCTGGCTTTGTGCCAGTTCAAATATTTTACTATGAGCGACGTCGACGAGCCATTACAACACTGCGACGATCCATCAACTTGTAGACCTTCTCTACCAAGAATGAAGTCTTGTTTAAAGTCTCCTTCTCATTCTGGCTCTGCTACTCCATGCACCGTTGACTCTGACACAGACGATGGCACTTGCAAGAAACATGTGGCATTTTGCGAGGAAGGAACTGAACAAGTCTTTCAAGCTGATGAATGGGATCGAACGCCTATGGAAATATCACAACGCCTATCATACGAGTCAGTCACACGAGTTAGTCCATTTCTATATACTGACCTGACTTTGACTAGCGACGTACTCGAGCTCAAGATGATTCAACGTTCTCTACCTCGCGCTCAGCAGAGCCATGACCCTCTTTCGTCCAAGCCTTACTCTGGCGTTTTCCTTCGCAACGTCCCAATTCCACTCCTCCCACTAAATCCAACAACAGTATCAGCTTCGCCACAAATGTCACCACCACCTAAAACGGGCTATACAGCACTCGACCTTCACCCAAATTCCATCTTATTCGCGTCTCCACCGAGGCAATCCCATAAACCAACAGAGCTTAGACCGCACAACATTGCAGTCCCACCACCTCCCCTCCCTCCACAACGCACAACATCGTCTCCTCTCCCCCCAATACAAAGCAACCTACCTCCCCCAAAACGCTTTGCTTTCGTCCCTCTTTTGGACAACACCACAGCTAGTCCAACCAATCCAACCCAAGACTACCCCTTCTCAGATCCAGAACCAGACACAGACTGCTCCCTCTTCGCATCCGATACTGAATTCTCTACTCCCTCTCTCACAACCGCCTCCCTCGCCTCAAGCAGTCCACCAGAATCTCCTGGCAATACAAGTCCCGGACTGGAATACGGCCATTCGCGCGAGTATCCAGAAGAAGGCTTTATTCTGAACTTGGATGTTGATCCGGATGTGGATGGTTCTTCTGTTGAGGATTCCTATTTCCCGCGTATGCATAGGTCTATGCGCGATCAGATGTCGAGCCCAGTATCAAATTTCCACGCACGCTGCACATCATCCTCAGAACTAACCCTATCTGCTGCACCTTCTCCGCTGGAGGTGGGAACGATGCAGATGAAGTCATTGGATGGACCCATGAAGCCCGTAGGTCCACCAAGGAAGAAATTCACGATGCCTATATTAGCACTTGCCGACTCTTCCTCGTCTTCACAACCTTTAGGAATGAGCTGTGAATATGCTCACTTGCTGGCTGGGAGCGATGGACTAGGGCAGGGAAATGGTCAGAGACAAAAGAGCCCTTCGCGCTGTCTGTGAGTCGGACTTTATCTCCCCGGCTAGGAGGTAGAGCGGAGTGGGCTCGGATCGTTCCCCACATGATCGTTCTCAGGCCTGTCGTCCCTCATCACTTGGACTAGTACTATCTCGCCTTTTCCTTTTTTCCTTTCTCCCTCATTACAGACTGGACATTGGATTCCCGTGCTTGTTATCTCATTCGATTACGACAACGCTCCTTTTTCGTTTATTCCTTTTACTATAGACAGCGGACATCCATTCCCGTAGGTGCTTCATCCTCTCTCCCTACCGCCACCCGCCTCATTCTTTCTACCACCCGTCATATATTTATAACTCGGACCCCAAGTTCCAACACATCTCCAGCATAGCACGCGCATCGCTCCGTCGACGCATGTATCATATCATACCTCACTTCAACTCGTCACTCATCAGTTACGGTTGGCTATATATATATATATTTACACACATACAGTCGTATTTGCTTAAGTCTTCCTTACTTTAATTTATTTGGAGGTGCGGAATGTCGGTATTGGTTTTTGGGATGCCTCAAATATTAGACTCGGTTGGTACAAGACTTGCAACGCAGTAAGTACTCCACCCGAGCGAATCTAATACCATCATCTCCTCAACCAAACTAAAAAAACTGCATCACCATGTTCGAATTCCTGAGACAAATCGACACGAGTCGCGATCGGCAGGTTCAGTTTCTCCACTGTCGTCTGGGAACCTTCTAGCGGACCTCTCACGGGAGTTCTAAGAAGCACCGCGTGAGACCGCGCAAGGATAGAATAGAATGGATGGTTTACCTATGGCATGTGGGAGGTGTAGTAAATGTTGGAATCACCGCATAACCTGATGCTATCAACCTGTGCAGAGGTGAGTGAGTGTGAGTGGGTGTGGAAGGGGAGGGGAGTTGTATATGATACAAGTCGCTACAAGTCCCCTCAATGGGCGCACCCAAGAAAAGGAACGAATATTGACAGGAACATACCAGGCCAAGTAAAAAACACATTCATGACATCTTATATCATCCCATCAACCAATCAATCAATACTACCTCGTACACATGGCAGTCACTCACAATTAAGGTTCAGCCGCGAAAACATCTAGACCACATCTCAGTACAAACACGAACACGACAAAGAAAACAAAAGAACGCACAAACGGAACGACACCACTGAGAAACACGATGAAATAGAGGATGATGCCTTGCGTACGAATGATTGTGAAGGGAGACGATGACGAGCGCCAATGGCCAAAGATTACTAATTTGAGAAGTATAAAGTCAAATATCGTAGCTAAACATCAATGATCATTCAAGTACCGCGTTTTAAGACGGGACGACAGGACTCACTGTACATCGCCGAAGCAGCTGAATATGTGGGTTTCACGATTACGGATCCGCATGATTCGGAAGAGGGAGATGATGATGAGATTTGTGTTTCTTTTGAGCCTGTTTTTTCGAGGATATGCCAGGCCAGGTCGTTGGCGCGTGTACGGAATGCGGGGTGCGTACCAAACATCAATGTGAACCAGTGACCTAGGGTAGCGAGCGCCATGAACCACAAACAAAACGACTATTTTTCCAAACGGTCCATCTTGAGCGTCGTGAGTGAGAATCTCAACCAAGAACAGGCGGGAGACTCACGTCTGAATCATGAGATTCGTGGATGTACAAGCCACAACGATATTATTCGAGAACTGAGGAAGGAAACAGGCATCAAAAGAAGTCACACGACAGGAAAATGGAACACCCTACCGCCAGGAATTTCAACACGTTTGCAATGTTTGAGAAGCGTGATTAAAGGGAACCGAGACGCAGTGGTCACTCGGATGCTTACACAATAGCAGTCGGTATGCGGCGGAATGGCAATGCTCGTCACGACACTCAAACTTTGGGTGAGTACGAGCATGAAGTATGTTGTAGGCGGTCACTGGTGATAGTACTAGTATTCCCGCTATGTCAGTAGTGGGTTTGTCCGTGCCATGGGCGTTTGGACCTCATCACCAAAATTTTTTGGTGAAAAACCCATTCCGTATAACAGTCACGCCGAGAGAGCGTTCGACCTGTCAAATAAGAAACCTAAGGAAAGATGCACGCCAAACTCGATAATGAACGATACGATACATCCATATACTTACCATTTGCCATCGAAATGGAGGCGACGACGAAGGAGAGCACTTTCGACCTGGCAGGAGTATATATAGCTCGATGATCTTTCGTTATATCGATCTGTGTGAGCTTCAGTGGAGGGGCGGTGTGGATTGGAAAGCAAATGAAAGTTTGATGTCTTAATACGAGCCAGTAACTATCACTCCAACGACGAGTGGGAGACTGGGAGTGGGCCAAACTAGCAACCAGTTTGGATGAACCTATTAGTCTCGGTGATCTCCACCCATTATGGAAGACAGGACTGCCGCGCTCCGTTACATAGCGTGACCACACTCATATCGGGCAGGTGTGATGCAGGGACTCCGTGCACCTCTAGTGTCATCTACTATATCGTAGCGGCGGCCATGCCGCCAGTCCCCGACTCTGCTTGGTTTTGTTTTCTATATGCTGTACATGCTTGTACCTTCGATATACGACCTCCACCTTTTATTCTATCTGAATCTTGTATGTGGACTGTTGTCAAGGACCATTCACATACTTCTCAATTGCCACTGCATTTGTTAGCAAGTATGATTACGACTTTTTAGCTTTACCCTCCCTTCACAAGTTCAGTGAGCAAGCGCTCCTCATGCTGTGCCCCAAGCTTGGCCATTGTGTCACCCCGAGATGGTCGCATTTTTTGATGGTGAGTTACCCCTGCCTTCTATCCCATTGCGTGCCCGTTGGACCTCTCTCCTGGGCCACCCGCAATGCTCGGTTTGGCCGTTTTGCCCCGGGTTGAGCGAGGTGGTTTCACCCCCACCCTCCCCCATGTCCACATTTGAACTCCTCACCTCCTCCACCCACGATGCTCGGTTTGGCCATTTTGCCCCGGGCTGACTGAGGTGGATTCACGCTCCCCTCTCTATCGTCCACATATACATCACGCAAGGGGGCATGGCCCAATACATTTGTTGATGCCCTTGCATTCCAGAGTTGTTGCGAGTTGAACGTGGAAATCAAGTACGCGTGTCACGACGGACGGTTTTTTCATTCAATACACGTAAGCTGCAACTGATTTACAGACAATTGACCGTTTGCGTCCGACAAAACCCTCCCTACTTCATAGAGTCGGGGACTGTTGTTCATTGCAAATTGTGCAAATTTTAAACACGACTGAGGGGTGTAGCCATGGGTCACTGCTAGTTCAACTAACACAAAAAGACAAACTCTACACTAAGTTAAGTCACCAATCAAATGTTTCATCGTTGTCCTCCTCATCAGAGAATCCCGCAATAACTAATGCCTCTTCCTCTATGATTGGGGCTGTAGGCAGTAAGTGTGCACCTGGTTCGTCCAACTCAGCCAGTTCATCCAGCCGGTGATGATCAGATGCATCTAATGTGCGGTAATTTAGTGCAAACTTGATTCAAACAGAGAAAACGTACCAAGACCTTGTCCGCCGTGAATGCCACCCATATAGTAAGCACCATCAGTATCCTCATGAAAAAAAAGGTCATTTTGGTTTTCGAGGAGAGGCAAAGGCTCTTCATCCGGGTCAGTGCCATCTGTAAGAGACCTGACAACAGCTGGCACCTGCACAGAGCGCTGCATCGAATCATACAAATCTAAGTAGACCGTCCATACAGACTGACGAGTGATTGGAGGGCGGCCTAGGCCTTCATAACAGCCTTGAATGAAGTTGTTGAGGGCTCGGGGAACCAAATCGAAGACCGGATGATCAGGGTTCACATAGAGACGGCGGACATAGTCTATATCGTCTTGTTTGACTGTTACCTAGAATAATAAGCCAGTTAGTGTGACAACGTGGTTCAAGTAGTATTTGAATGAAGCGCACCTTAAAGTTCAAGGCCCCGAAATCTTCTGGAGACTCGTATATTAGATTAGGTACACCGTGTGGAAGCACCTAGATTGTAAGCGCTAAACAAATGTAAATGACTACTATCAAACAATCAAATACCTTGTTACGATCTGGCCTCTTGAGGGTGTTATTAACGCGGTCCTGATACCTATCTAGCTCACACTGAAGCCATGGAATAAAAATCCAGCGGAAGATCATGCTAAATACACCACTGTGAGCAAAGTCGAAATGGTGGAAAGCCAGGCCCGAAGTCACTTACACCTGAAGGGTGTTATCACTATCATACCAGCCGTTCTCCACTCCTTCATCCAAGAGTGTTTCAAAACCAGGAGTAAACCGGCGCCGCAACTGAGACCAAGTGATCTCCGGTTTAACATTCTTCTTGGTCCGCATCCAGCGGTGTTGTAATGTACCTTGCAGTGCCGGATCATACATTTGACGAAGCATAGTGTGTGCATTGGCGATTCCATAGTTTTCAGTGCCGGGATCACTCTGAGTCACTAGTGGCATATCTGTCATACCCAGGCAAGGCAACTTAAATGAGTAACAGTGCGATAGATAGTTATTAAAACGAACTTACGACCCAGTTTCTGGATGGTCTCAAGATAGTAAGTGAGAATGAGCTGGGGGTTGCGGTTGGAATGCCACACTCGGATCCACATGATGCGACCCGAGAATGGCTCCACTCCAGTGTGCAATGCAAGACCGAATCGAAGCCACTTATCATGTTGATCAACAGCAAATAGGTCGTTGACGCCGGCGGCCCAGAACCGCCTCCGCTTGAGACGGCGAGCTTTTCGCTGATGTACGAGGTCTGCTTCATAGATGGCACAGTATGCTATCACTAAATTTCTATTTGGTAGCTAGTCAGATACAGATCAACGTCAAACAAATTAAGTACCTTGAAAACGCTCATTTCTTTCTCGTGAAATTAGCAAAATCACCATTTCCCGCGCACCAGCATTTGGGTATGCCTTGCGAAGCTCGATCATGGCTTCACGGATAGATTCGATGGTGTGGCTCTGCTGGCGGGTACGCAGGAGACCCATGTCATTGCGGATCTCTCTGAACTTCGTGTATCTACACACAAAGATCAGAAAAATAGTATCAATTAGTGGAAATCGACTCACCCTAGTCCATAACGAGACGTGTCAAAATGATTCTGCAAGTTTTCTACAATCTTCCTGTCTGTTTGACGCGCTTTCCAGTACCGAAGGATGTGAGGAGCAATCACCTCAAGAGGTGCTGATATTGCAAGTCATGTTAGCCTTGTAATCACAATACATAGAGAGGTGCATACGGGTTGGTTTGTTTTGGTTGGGCATAGTAGTTTGACTGACGGTCACCATGATAGCTGCACTTTAAAAGCTTCAATGGCAAGTGCTGATAGCAATAAGCGGAATAGGTGCACTGGTCAGCAGAATAGGAACACCAAGATAAGAGTGGAGCCAGCAGAATAGGCGCACTGAATACCAACTTGAACACCACTGGCAAGATAAGAGTTAGCTGAATGAACACCAGGTTGAATGTGACTGCACCCAGTGGAATAGGAACACCAAGATAAGAGTGGAGCCAGCAGAATAGGTGCACTGAGCACCAACTTGAACACCAAGATAAGATTTAGCTGAATGAACACCAGGTTGAATGCGACTGCACCGATAGAGTTGCAGCCTGAGGTTGAATGCGACAAATGGCTAGACTTGAACAGTCAGTACAATTGAATAAAGTCCGCCGTGATAAGTCCGATGCGGAGACTTTCGGATACACTGCGGCAGATAACTTTAATATGTTGAATCTGTGTGCTGTTTCGACCACATGGTGAATCTGTGCATCATTTTGACCATGATCATGGTGACTCACATGTTGCGCACAATGATCCAACTCGCTGAAGAATTTGCTGACTCTCGACTTAGATGCAACTCAGTACTGCGGGATATCAATGACCCTCCACTTACTAGATGCGACTCTTCAGAGCGGTGAGTTTTTCCAAACAGTCTTTATATAAAGCCTGTCTCTGAAGTGTTGTAGGGCCACTGTTATATTCCTTCAATTCCTTCAACTCATCACACAAGCACCTACTAGCATCATGGAACTCGTCTCCTCAGTTTACCGAAGATGCTGTTGCCAAGGAGGACCGTGTCTGTGGTCGACCTGCTTGCCGCAGCACAATACTCAAAGGCGCTCCATGCTATTATGTTGCCACCATTGTGCCTGGCCAACCTGGTCGCTTCGTTTGTGAAGCATGTTACTTGCGATACTCACAGAAGCTTTCAACTTCGGTCCGACCCTCTTCAGTCCACCCTTCTTGTAAGTACACTTGAAACCCCTATATAGCTTTTGATCAATGACGCTATTAATTACATCCAGCCGCACAATCACAGTTACTTCCAAATCCTCATATCATACGCCAGACCGTGAATGCAGCACAACGCAAGTGTAAGTCAAATTTCTCTATTACATATCAAACATGTCTGAATGGCGAAATTCAATAGCAACTATCAATCCACCCCGTGTAGTACCCTTCTTGTCTCAGCCCTCCAGTAGCACTGCGCACATAGGCCGCATTTCAGGCCCAGATATCGCTGTGCCTCTATCATGGCAACAATCGCCGGCTAGTTCCAACCCGAACATGGTATCTGGTGCTGCAGGGTATTCTGTGCACCATGCTCAGTATGGTCTGGAGCGTGAACGATGGGCTAAATTGGCATATGCTCCGCCCCCTGCAGAGACCATCACATTAGAGATATCAGCTGTATACGAGGGAAATTCATGGAAGAAAAGTGGGCGCGGCATTAACTTTGGGGTGCATTTGTTTTTCTTTCTATCTCTCCAGGTTGCTGTTTTTCTGATGCTCATAAATCAGAATATTTGTGAAGGAAAGAAGGACATCGATGCTCGCTTGGACGCCCCTGGGCTTATACAAATCGCTTTAGATACTATTCTACCGAAAATCCTCACATTTGGAAGGGGATTTCCTTGGCGCACAGAAGAATTTGTTGTCCGGGATGCTACCTGGGTTGACCTATCCGGACATTTGCCTGCCATTCCGTACTTCTTAGCTCAGTGCTTAGTCCAATCTCGACGCGGACCAAAGACGACAACTTTCAAGACCAAGCAATTCTTACTCATGGTTGTTGTGCCTGCAGCGCAGTGGAGTGAGTATGAGGCATGGCTGGATAAAACTGAAGAAGAAGTAAGATTCCGCTCATTCGATGTATTGTCACTCTGCTAACTCATAGATTTCTCAGAATATCTTGCGTGAACAGCTCCAACGACACAGATCTATCATTACTGTTACTGAAGAACGAGACCCTCGAACTTCCGGCACCAACTCAGATGACCCATGGGCCGCACAACAAGAGGATGAAGACCCATTTGGTCTTGACTTCGAAGGACCAGATGCCTTATCTACTGTGGGACGTAATTCCACTGTTACTGACAGCTCAGCACATAATCCGACACGTCCATCAGCAAAGCGGGCTCATGTTCGCAGAGAGAGCGACTCCACAAATAGTACTGTGTCACCTCCTCGCAAGAAGCCAGCACCTGGTGTATTCCACCTTCCTGACCGTAATGATTTGAAAGAGGCCTTGAAAAGTGGAGGTAGTGTAGATGCTGTGCGTGCACCTAAAGGTGAGTTCATCCTTTGTCTTGAGGCAGGCATTCTAATGAGTATTGACTTTAGTTTATGACTTCCGCAATGAGGACATTCAATTCCATCCAATCCCTGTGCGCCCACTAGCCGATATCTTGAAGACTCCTCAGTATTGTTCATTCAAACCCAACATCTCAAATTCGTCTATCGGACAACTCACTATCGATGTCCCCATTCGCAGCATGATCGGTATCGGTGCCTTTAAGACAGCTCATCCAGGGTGGCTCACGCTATCTCCCCTATCCTCCAGTGGCCTTGGGTCGCGTGCTCAGCAGGATGTTGTTGTCAAGCGGCCATTTCACAGACCTCCCCCTCACACCCCTGGATCCAGCATCCTCAAGATTTCACGTTACGCACTACCAGATGAGCATGAAAAACTCCTCAATGAATGTAACTTGTTGTACTGGGCAAAATCTCTCCTTGACTTCACTTACGAATACATCGATCACTGTATCAATGCCGCACCAACTCTGCCATCTTTTCCAATACCCCCGTGTGCGTTTCGTGGAAGCGGGCATTGCTTTGGCGTTTTTCTCGACACTCGTCAAACACTCAGGGCACCTCCGAACAAGCTCCCATGGCAGACATTAAGGCGGGGATGTTTTCAGCGGTTTATCTCCTTGAGGAGTGGGTGACGTCTGGTACTCCTAATGATCAGACATTCGTGAAGTTCATCCACAACAAGGACTACGGACCTTCACTTGATGAGGATGAATACGGCTATGACCTAGCCGTCTTTCTCTCGTTTACTCAGCACATCCAGTATGAAAAGACAGAGGGTCTGGCGTTCATTTCTGATTATCAAGGCAGCACCGAGCTTCTGACTGATCCTCAGATTTTGACCCACCGGTATGTGCATTTTCAGCTACTATGGTTGGTGACCTTCATTAACTGCTTCTCTAGCTCAGTCAATGAAGGAATTGATCTTTTCGGTGACGGGAACATTGCAAGTGTGGTGGACGACTTTAAGGCAAGGCACCTCTGTAACCACTATTGCAAGTGGCCAGGATTTGAGTTGGAAGTATATGCTTAGGAGAGTTACTTATTTTGATGAGTTACGATGGACCTTGTAATCCGAGCGCTGCCAGGCAGAGACACTTTCAAGTTGGAAAGAACACTTGTAAATAACTTATTTATTCGAGATTGAAGTGCACGGAGTCCTATTGCCTTATATGCGATTGTGACATGACTAAGTGAGCGCGGCAGTCCTGTCTTCCATAACCCATTCTTAGCGCTTACTAATTAGTGCAATCATACGCTATCGTGCCGAACTGAAAATATGGAAATATGCGTGCATCATATGCATCATGGCCTAGGCCATGGAGGCCTGAGGCCTGAACCCTCAACCTCTTCTCCTCTCCTACTCAGCGAAACTTTATCTACAGTCCCACTCATTGTGAACCCCTCTCTTGACAGTTTCCGATGCTGCATATTTTTCGTCATTTGTTTCGTCCCACCATCCCGCGTAGTAGCTTTGAAAACGAATATATCAGACTCGAAAGTAGGTCACTCCATATTATCTTCGTATCTGTTTCGTGATCCTCACGATCCTTCTGCAGTCATCAACGGAAAGAATCTGAAAGTCCCCTCCGAGCGCATTCCCGCTGGCATTTACGTATCCATCAAAGTCGACTCATGTGGACGCTGGAAATCGGCCGTCAGCGTATTGTCATCTGACGAATCTGTAGCATGGGGGAATACTGTGACTCTGTAAAATCTGCGGAGTATTTTTTCTGACGCGATGCGAGAACTGATCTTCGGTTTCTAGATCATCGCATGCCTCACCTGCATTATCAGTGGAGATCTGAGCGTCTCATGAGGTTGGTCGAATGCTAGGAAGTGGAGAGGTCATCGGGAAACTTCAAACGTCCTGGGATGAGCTACTCGATCATGGAGGTGAACCTTTTGGTGAGTGATTTGCTCCTCATTCACGCACATATACTAATATCTCGCAGTTTTGTCCTTCCCACCCGTTCGTGGTGTCCACCCTTCCCTCACGTTGATGGCCGTCGTCGTACATAGTTTCGACAATCAGGACGGTGCATTGTCTGATGTGGGTGACGCTAGTCTCTACTTTTAGCCTTTGTTGACGGAACGCCAACTGCAGTCCCTCGTAGACTGCAAGATTACTCGAGAGACAGATGCGGGCCACGCACAACTTGCCAAATACGTGACGTGCAAGAGGGTCTCTCACCTGAACGATGCTGTGCAGCATTTTCAGTTGGTTCTGGACCAGTGTCCGGTCGGCCATCCTGACCGCGCAGCAGCCCTCACCAACCTTGCATATGCACGCCTTCGAGGATATATTTACAAGGATCTTCAAGACATTGACACCTCCACTTCCCTCTTTCGCGAAGCCCTTGCATTACGTCCTCAGCGCCATCCCGATCATCCATTGTCTCTATATAATCTCACCAAAGCGCTGACTGGGCGCCACAACAAGAAAAACGCTGCTGCCGACATCCGCGAAGCCGCAAAACTCTTTCACGAACTACTGCCTCTCTGTACAGAGGGCACCTACCTCAGGAGCATCGCGACAGGGGCTAATGGTATCGACTATGTGATCGGCGGATGCAACAAACTTCCAGTAGACGCATCCGATGAGGGCATCCACCTTCGACGAGTCATCCTCGAGCTCTGTCCCCTGGGCCATCAACTGCGTCCCAGTGCCCTTCACTGGCTTGCACAGGCGGTAGAAGCCCGCTTCCAACAGTGTAGCAGCATCGATGATATAGATGAGACTATACAACTTCGTCGTGAAGTCATGTATTTGCACCCCGAGGGTCATCCTCGACGTGGTAGCTACCTGAACAACTTGGCCTTATCACTCGTGCTTCGCTTCAATCACCAAGGCAAATCTAATGACCTCAATGAGGCCATCTTGTTGCACGAAGAAGCGCTGCACCTCCGCCCTGTTGGGCATCAATCTCGTGATTTTTCATTGGATAACCTGGGGGGCGCTCTCATCACCCGTTTCAACAAACGCGGCGACAATGATGACATCATCCGAGCTGTTAGCCTCCTTCGCGAAGCACTGTCATTGCGCCCACACGGACATCCACGTCGTGATACCACACTTAGCAACCTTGCTGCTGCGCTCAACGCCAAATATGATAAATTGCATGTCAGCGAGGATCTTAACGAGGCCATCGATAAATATCGCGAATCCCTTCGGATAAAGCGGCATGACCATCCCGAGCGCCATAGAACTCTTCGCAACTTGAGCTCGGCACTCTGTTCTCGTTTTAAGCAAACTGGAGAGAATGAGGATGTCGAGGAGGCCATTAATCTCTGCCAAGAATCACTGGAGGCTTTGCCTTCACTGCACCCAGACAGGTATTTCGGCTACATGCGGCTGCAGGTGGCCTATTTGTCTCGTTACCGAGTGCAACTCGACCCTCTTGATTTGTCACTCGCTGTAGATAACTTTAGACTGGCGTCGCGGCATCCCACTCAAGGATTCCCAGAACGCCTCATTCAGGTATATAATTGGATTGTTGCAGCAGAGAGGCACAGTCATGCATCTGCGCTAGAAGCCTACGTGACATTTCTGGAGCTTCTTGATGGTCATTTGGCGACACGATCATCCACCATTTCACGGCGTGAAGCTGCCGCTGCCTTCCATTATGCCAGATCACTGCCTGTAGATGCTGCAGCATATACCGCACGCCATGACAATCTACGACTCGCAGTGGAACTCGTAGAGCAGGGCCGTGACCAGCAATGGTCGCTGGCCTTTCGACTCAAGACTCCATTGGGAGACCTCGAGTCGGCAAATCCGACACTGGCGCACAACTATTTACAACTGAGCAGGCGCGTTTCCGATGCCGTTCAGAGTTCTGCAACCATCACCGACAGAGCTGCTGCTGATCGGGCAGCAACCGAGTATTGGAGACTTAAAAAGCAATGGGACGCTGCAGTAGCTGAAATCCGTAATCTTCAAGCGTTCTCGCGATTCCTGCTCCCGCCGTTGTACGAAGACTTGCGAGCGGCAGCACGCAGGGGCCCTGTCATTATCTTTGTTACCAACAATTACTCGTGCAGCGCCATCATTGTCACAACATCAGGAGAGCCCCACCTTGTTCCCTTGTCATCTGTCGTTCTCGCAGATCTAAACAATCTCAAGGATCGCTTCGCCAGGGCGACACGACACGCATCTGTCATGGACCCCAAGGTGCCGCGGAATGATCTAATAGTGCTCTTGCGGACAGTGTGGGATGAGATCATGTTACCCGTCGTCAACGTCCTCCAGCAGGACCTGAAATTAAAATCCCACTCTCGCATCTGGCTGTGTCCAACTGCAGCTTTCACATCTATTCCTCTCCACGCAGCTCACCCGTTTCGAACGAACGCAGATCGCTCCAAGGAGCCATGCCTGGAGGATCTCTACATCTGCTCTTACACGCCGACACTGTCGGCTCTGGTCAGATCTAGGCAGATGATGAAAAGGCGTGTGACTCCGTCCTTTATGACAATCGGACAAGGTCGACCGGGTGCAGGGAAATGCAAGACGCTCTTGGCTGTCGACAGCGAGGTCGAGCTTGTCCATAAGCTCGTCCCCGCGACCGCCAACCGGGGCACTATTTCTGGTAACGCAGCCACACGAGCAGGTGCACTCGAAGCTTTGGAAGAGAATACCTGGGTGCACCTTGCTTGCCATGCCAAGCAGGACCCTATGCAACCTTACAATTCCCATTTTTTCATGAGAGATAAACATCTGACGTTGCTCGATATCATGGAGAAAGATATTCCGCACGCCGAGTTCGCGTTCTTATCCGCTTGTCATACCGCCGTCGGTGATAAGGAGACGCCCGACGAAGTGATTCACCTCGCAGCTGGTCTCCAGTTTTCGGGGTTCAAGAGTGTCGTTGGCACGTTGTGGGAGGTCAACCATGCTGTCGCAAAACACGTTGTCAAAGCGTTCTACGAGAATATGTTCAAAGATTCGAAGGATGGCAGTGTGATGGACTGTACGAAGGCGGCCTGGGCACTCAACCGTGCTACACACGCCGTGAAGATGAAAGTGCCACTCGAGCAGAGGATAGTTTTCATTCATATTGGTGTGTAGTCCCTACTGTATTACTTTCATCTGGTACGGTTTCACGGGTTATTTATATTGCATTATTTTTCGTCTCTATTGTACCTTAGTTGTAGCAATCGCTGTATTAACCTGTTGCGTCTGTCACGTACTCCTATGCTATCTTGCTTTCGCGTTCGCGTCTACTCTTGGAGTCCTCAACAAATTCATTCATTGCTCGACGGTATGTGCATTCGACATCGTTTTTGCGGACTCGACCAGGACCTTCAAGCGCCTATCTCCTTCTGCACAGTAAGTGCCCCGTCACAAGCAATACCAGGCTAGAAGCACAGCTCATCTACAAACCCACTGAATAGGAGCCGCTTATCGGTAGTACCGAGACCTAAGGGAATGCAAAGGTTCAATGCGAGACATTCTAGTTGCCACTTGGTAAAAGTGTGTGAGCAGATACTTAATTAGTTCAGGTGTTTGTCTACACCTTCGAATCTACTTTGATACTGAATAACTTATATAAATACCACGCCCCGCTTCCTGCAGAGAACCAGACCAGCATTCCGTGTGCTACACACCAGACATTCCTGAAAAGCAATCGAAATCATGCTAGATCCTGCATCGGAGTCAGCCACTAGCCGAGCATAATCTGCCCGGATACTAAGGATAAGGTGTGGTCTCGGCCCACACGTCTGCACTGGAAACAGCAAAGCTAGATCGCGGGCAACTTTAGCAGAAAAAGATAGCCGCATTCAAATTAGCTCACTTTACAAAGTAAAGCCGTGATGAAACAGTCGCCAACAGCCCATCTTGTCGATGGTCGTTGCAGTTCGCGGAAGTAATCCAGACTGAAAGACGTTGTGCGAGGACCTCCCATACCGTGTCTAGGATTCAAACCGAATAGAGAAGGTGATTAGCTAGCGCACAAGATCCACTGGCAAGAGGTGGCGGAAGAGACGTTCAATCGCCTGCCTTCTTTCCCCTGGTCCCAGGAGGCACCTATTGAGTCTTGCCTCGGGCAGCCAATCAAAAAAAATCAGCCTATCAGTACCCATGCTGGACGGTGACTTGATGATCGCTTCGCAAATCTGCATAGGGTGGTCGACCTATCACAACCTATGCCAGGATCTTGGTCGCAAACCAACGTAACTACTGGGGCCTCGAACCTAAAACAGGATGCATGTGGACCGTCACGTCAGCGAAATTGAGAGCCTGTGCATACTCGTCAGATTCCCATTGAGCCATCAGAAAGCAGCTATTACGGGTATAAGCTAAATATTTATGTATATCAGCTCAGGCTCCCGCTATTCAAACCAACCTTATGATCTGCACCAAACAACTTTTCGATAGTCAACTGAACGGAGTGCGATGGTTATTTGTGACGAATCCCGGTATCTGCCGGCCGATCGTTCAGTGATGTCATTTTGTGCCGAGCTCCCGAATGTGCGAAAGAATTGATCATGAGCGCTCACTGAGCGCTGAGCGTCTCAAGCTTGATTATCTCGGACAGTATTTATGTTGATTATGGGAACTCAGGTAAGCAACGAGCTTACACATTACATGTCTTCGTTGTCCTACTCGTCGAGCTCGCCGTCTTTGAAGTTTGCAAACAGCATCCTCTGCCTTTTTTTCCAACCCTTGTGCCCATGAATGCCGCCACCTCTCTGCATCCTGCCAATTCCGCGCCCGCTCCTTCAACCTGCAGCCTAGCTATGCCGTCGCCGCCGGTTAATTTTTTCGGAACAGCGCATCGCGACCGGGCGGCATGCCCGCGTCAAGATCTAGCGCTCTCCTTCGCGCTCGTCATCGACATCTCCTCCCTCGTTGTCTCTCCCCACCGGTTATTACACCTACCTGGCTGCAGGCGCCTTCGTATTTTTTCTTCGGTGATCTCCACTGCATCCTGGATTTTTTCCTCACCTATCTTGCGATCCCACCTCGTGCGTACTTCCCTACTGTCTACATACTTATCTCTGTCAAATTTTTGTAGTCATAATTTATATATTGCATCCTCATCTGTGCTCACTCAGTAAACCATAAAATTTCATGACACTAACCCTACCGAGCGGTGGTTTAGGTCTTTGCCACTGATGTAATTGATGCGTTCAGGGACTTGTGTTTTCTACCCTATTGGGAGCCGATCTACTTCGGAATGATAACAGGGCACTACACACTCGGTTTGAGGTTGTTCGAAGGAACCGAGAAGGGTCCGAATGATAACAGGAACTCCATCAGCAAGACTCCCGTTGTCATGACCGTGAAATTTCACTGGTTCTCCTATCATTGCCGTTAACGGTGCCGGCGACTACCTATCTGCACGTTCGTCGTTGAGGCGGGGCAGCAGTTTGATAAAAAGGAAATAAATTCCCGCACTGGCAGATGTTTTGATCCTATAGCATCGTGGAATCGGCGCCGGGGGCTGAAGCGCTGAGGGGGGGCTGGACTTCGTCATGACAGACTTCGATGATCTGTCTAATATGAGGTTCTGTAACTCTTATAAAGGCAGGAATCTTGCCAAGCCTAGCAAATTCTCTCGTTCTTGTCGCTTGTGGTCAACCTGCTCCAACTGGCATATAAAATCGAAATTCATCACGCTGCCAGTGCGACAAATGGTTTTCTTCAAATTCTTTTCTACCTGGATCTTCAGCTTCTTGCCTGAGAACTGGTGGAAAGTCGAGCCGGAAACAGATGTGTCGGGCTCGACGCACCCAGTGGATACAGACGTCGATGATAATGAGTGAGTAGACGTAACCTCTTGTAGAGGATGACTCATGCCACAAAATCTTCAACAAATCTAGATACCTGGTCGAGCTTTCCACGACGCCTGAGATTGTCAAGGAACCGACTGTTGGTATAAGTTTCTTAGTAAGTTCTGACATCTGATGATAAGTTTCAAGGTGGCGATTCTGTATGTAAGGATCGAAATTCAGGATGAATGTTTCAAGGATATCTTCAACAAGGTAGGCCGATATGATGTAGAATACGCACTCTAATGATATGAAAACATTTGCAGAAGTTGATGGATGTCTTCCGCATGTGGAAGCCACTGCGCCATGATATCATTCTTCCCCTGTGCGGGATTACCTACGGGTCTGGTCCAGTACCAGCTATCGTATCTCCATGGATGCCAGACGGCTCCTCGAGCACATATCTCGATAAAAACATTGGAGTGGGCTCGGCTGTTGCGTACACTGGACTCTATGATGTGGAGATGATGTATGTTCTCTCTACTGCTTCCGAGACTCTACTCTAAGGTCCTCACTAGCTCCGCCCCGAACGCCGGTAAACCCCTCTGCCTCCTGACCTCCTCCGTAGGGGTCCCCTACTCCAACAGTCTCTCTGAGACCTACAAATTCGGCTTGGCAAGTATTCCCACATGACATAACTGCACCACAACTCACGAGCGTCGTACCAGCTTGCTGATGTAGTTGCTGGTCTTCAATATCGTATGTCATGTCATTTTCGCATTGCATTAAGATAAGCTGATATATGGTGTATAGTCCACTCCAATGGAGTGGCTCATACAGATCTCACAGGTGTAAGCAACAGTGCGCGGTATGTAGATATGTGACACTTTTCACACCCTCTTAGAGCAATGTACTCATCAATAGCGACGGAAGAGCTCTTGTGGCGGACTATGGGTGCTTGACTACATATTCCAACCTAAACGGGACCTCTTACATCAGGAGTTATGTACGATGGGTTGTGCCTGAGCTTTTCGATGTTCCGGATACCGAGGATGCGCCTAGCTCACCAAAGCTAGAAAGCGACATTTATTCTTTTGGATGCATTGCATACCAGGTCTGTCAACGGCGTATATTTACAGCGCTCTTGTTCTCATTTTTGTTAGGTTTTATCGGGCCAGCAGCCGTACTATAACATTCGCAGTGGTCACCGGGTGGTTGTGGCCATCCTCAGGGGTGTCAAGCTTAAACGTCCCTGCCGTTGAAGATTGTCACTGGAACTTCATCGAGCAATGTTGGGTCGAGCTGTCACAGCGACCTCCCATTGCGGATGTCCGAGATTTGATCTATCACTATAGAGTCGACTTATGTTTTTGTATTAGACAAGTTTGGCGATCGGCGTTCAATCTGTTTCCTGCGAATGAATGAGATGACATAGGCTCATGTGGGCTTCTTCTGTTCTAGCAATGTGCACGTCTCGAGATGAAACTCCACAGGACCACAAAGGCATCACTCGAGCACCCATGCTGACGTGACGGCGATCAACGGATGCTGATGCATGATGAGCCGAAATTTGATATATCCAGTGCCAGTGGCACTAGCAGAAGTCTGCCACTACGGAGCATTAAAGCTACTCAATTCTTAGGGCTCAGTTCGCACTTCGCGAGCTCGGCACCAACATCACCAAAATTACCGAAACCAGACATCACATGATATGTTGAATTTTCTGGCGCCAACAAAATATGGTCATGCGAACTTGAAGGAGCCAGGGCGCCGCAGGCTCGCGAGAACGCTGCGAAGGGGTCCACGGTAGGTCTGTAGCTATTCTCTGACTACCTACCAGTATTGACCATCTCAGGGGTCTTACTATCTTGCGCAAGATATGCTCTTGGGTGCGGGCATTAAGTGAGTCATGTTGTCGTGATTCTCGTGATGAAGCAATCCAGCGGTTTACAAGCGTTCATTGACATCGGTTGAGGGGGCCGAATTGTGAGTGGTTTTTTGGGTGTTTTCTTGATGATGTGATGATGTTCATCAACCAAATCGAAAAATTGTTCGAATTCACTCGGACAAAGTGGCGATTCGCACAAGACTTGCAACGCAGTAGTAAGTACTCCACCCCAGCGAATCCAACACCATCATCTCCTCGACCAAATCGAAAAACTGCATCGCGTCGCCATATTCGAATTCAATCGGACAAAGTGGCGATTCGCACGTTTGGTTTATCCTCCCTCGTAGGAGTACCTTCTGGCGGACCTCTCACAAGAGTTCTGAGAAGCACCGCGTTAGACCGTGCGAGGGTAGAATGGAATGGATGGCTTACCTATGGCTTGTACTCTGAGGCGCGGTGAATGCTGGAATCACTGCGTAGCTTGATGCTATCATCCTGTGCAGGAGCATGAGTGGGCATGAGTGAGGGAGGGAGAGTAAGGGAGTCGTACATGATACAAGTCGCTATAATTCCCATCAGTAAGCATACCAAAAAATCTTGACATGGACATACCAGGCGATGTAAAAAACACATTCATGACATCTTATACCATCCCATCAATCAATCAATCAACATTACCTCATGGTCGCCACTCACAATTAAGGTTCAGCCACGAAACGACCTAGACATACACGCACTTCAGCACAAACACGAACACAGACACGCAGATGAAAAGAACGCACAAACGGAACGATACTAGCGAAAAACACGATGACATAGAGGATGATGCCTTGCGTACGGATGATCGTGAATAGAGACATCGACGAGGAGCGCCAATGGCCGAAGATTGCTAGTTTTAAGAGTACAAAGTCGAATATCGTAGCTAAAAACCAATGATCGTTCAGGTACCGCGCTTTGAGACGAGACGGGACGGGACTCACTGTACAAGGACATAGCAGCTGAATATGTAGGATTCACGATGACGAATCCGCATAATTCGGAAGAGGGAGATGATGTCGGAATTTGTGTTTCTTTTGAGTCTGTTTTTTTCGAGGTGTCAGATCAGGTCGTTGGCACGTGTACAGAATGGGGGTAGGGTACCGCACGGGTAACACCGAGGGTCGGAAAGTTGACACCGCACCCGCACCCGCCAACACCGTACCCTTCACGGGTACGGGTACACACCGACCCGTCAATGTCGCGGTTTATGGAAAACACCGCGGTGTCTCTGAACACCGCGGGTACATTACCAAGAAGAGTGTATTAAGTATTAACAACAATGAAATAAAATAGTACTACTTTTCCTTGTCATTCTCCTCTGCTTCGACTTCATTTCGCTTCCGTTTTTGAGTCCTGACAGCGGCTAAAAGGTCCTCCATCACCAGAAGATCACTTCTGCCCCACGCTCCGAGGCAGAGAAAGGCACGAATTGTTGATGGTGCGAGTCGGTTGCGAGTAAAATGAAGGAGCTGCCGGCCCTGCGAGAAGACACGTTCAACCGCAGTTGATGTTGCTGAGCAAGATAATAAGTATTGATTGATTGAAAGAGGATTCGAAGGAGACATACCTGGGACAGAGAGATAGTCGAGTGCCATCCGATGCAGCATTGGATAAGCACGGCAGTTGTTTTGCCACCATGCGAGTGGGTCCTTGGTTTTCACAGTTGGTAATCGAAGAAACTCATCCAACTCGCTACTAGTAGTACGAGACATGGAACCAAGTGAGTAGTCACCAAAGTCATCCTCGTTCTGTATAGTTGTCAGTGTCAGTGCAAAATTAAATGTTGCCTTACGCGCACCACACGGGAAAAAATGACACAAGCGGCCATTGTGGTGTTGGACCACAACTTCGGATGAAAAGAAACTATAGATAGGTGACCGCCAAGTCTTCTTGAGAGCCTCTGTATCATTGTATAATCAGATATTTGCAAAAATCAATGGAAAGAAACATACCAAGATCTGCAGAAGGATCGGGATCAGGCTCGAATGCACCTGCCGTTGATTTGTTATCGTCAGTGGCAAGTGAATCAGTACTTGATCGCGTAAGATCAACGGTGTCTGTGGGGCTCGATCGAGAAGACCGAGACACAAATGACTGCTTGACCTTCTTCAAGGGGCGGGCCAGAGCCTTAGCACCCTTTGCAACAGCCTTTTTGAGTGACCTGGCCTTCTCGGAGATGGACGACGAGATAGACTTAGATGATGAGTGTGACTGGGTAGACGAAGCATCAGATGCCTTCTTTGTGAGCTTAGTTTTCATGGGGAGACGACTCAGTGGACTTACTGGTCTCGAGTTTTTGCCTTGGCTTTATGGTAGTGACTCGAGCTTCTCTGCAACGAAGTGTCAGCTCAATAAATTGCTAGAATGATTCACGGGGGTACAAAAGACATGACAGAAATCAGTATAGCATTCACTTGTGATCCTCAAGCTCTCAGAGGAAGGAAAAACAGAGAATCAAACACGGTGTTCAATGGCTGTCGCGCGCCTGGTTCCCGATTTGGTATATTATACCCGCCCAAACACCGTCAACCCGCGGTGAATGGCCACGGTATGCTCAAGGGTACGACTATCCTACTCCGTACCCGTACCCTCCAAACCCGTCAGCATAGAACCGCGGTGTTACCCGTACCCGTGCGTTTCCCTAAATGGGGGTGCGTACCGAGTATCAATGTGAACCAGTGCCCTAGGGTAGCGAGCGCCATGAACACGCAGACAAAACGATTGGTCTTCCAAATGCTCCATCTTGAGTGTCGTATGGGTGAAAATCTTCACCAAGAATAGGAGGGAGACTCACGTTCGAATCACGAGATTCGTGGATGTACAACCCACAACGATATTACTCGAGAACTGAAGGAGGAAGCAAGCATCAAAAGAAGTAACACGTCAGGCAAAGGGAACGTCCTACCGCCAGGAATTTCATCACGTCTATAATGTCTAAAAAGCATGATTAAAGGGAACCGAAACGCAGTGGTAATTTTGATGCTTACAATAGCAGTCGACATGTGGCGGAACGACGATGCTCGCCGCAGCACTCAAACTTTGGGTGAGTATGAAGGTGAAGTATGTTGTAGGCGGTCACTGACGATAGTATAACAGTCACGAGAAAGAACGTCCGACCGATCAAATAAGAAACCTAAAGAAAGATGCATGTCAGACTCGATCATAAATGATACCGCACATGCTCACCATTTGCCATCGAAATGGAAGTTGACGACGAAGGAGAGCATTCTCGACCTGGCAGGAATGTATATAACTCCATCTTTTGATATATCGATCTGTGAGCTTCAGTGGGGGTACGTATGTAGGAGGAACGCACCCGTATAATCCTAGCACGACAAAGGTGATATTGACGAGAACAGCGGTCCAGTTCTCGATCACTTCTAAGTCTTGCCAGTTGACCATATTCCGAGTAGTAGTGTAGTGAACGGATGAACCTGGTTGTCACTTATGTAAGGCTCTGAACGAACCTGACGTTAAGGAAGGAGGGCGGTGTGAGATGAGGATGATTGGAAAGCACATGGAAGCTTGATGAGTCTTGATACGATCCGGTGTTACCCATTGAAACAGCTTTTCAGTCGCAAGGTCATGGGAAGGAACGACGACGAGTGGGAGTGGGAGTGGGAGTGGGCCAAGTTGCAAAGTTCCCCCCGCTGGAAAAATACCAGTTTGGATAAACGGTCGCACAGTACTAGGGCGTTGCAGTGTGAACTTTGCTATCGCTCTAATCATAAACTGACGATGAAGCTCAATATTATGATCATGTCATCGATTTTTTCAGTGAAAGGATTCAAGAAACGTGAAAGCAGAAGACTTGTTGTTGTGAAGTTGGTGATTTGTGTCCGATAATTAACCCAAAGCTTGAGCGCTTATATATGACTATCGGGGACAAATCAGCAACTTCAAAGTACGGGTAATTAATTGCAATTGCACACGTTAGAAGCTGCGAGAAAGAAACGAGCGAGTGGAAAAGACTGAGGTGGAAGGAGTCGGAAGGACATGAACGAGTTACAAGACGAATGCTTAGTCAACATGAGCGCTAGCCTTTGCAAATGCCATTACATGGAACTATCCAACCATTGCAATGCAGTGACACGGACTCTGGGACAAGTATTGGAACGCCCTTTGTCGCAGTTCTGCCCGGCAGCAGCCAGGCCCTGTGGAAGGAAACAATCAGCCCTTCTCCACATTCCGTCATGTGTTTGCATTTTGCGTAGTGCCATCTAATAATAACTTGAAGTTCGTCTTTCCGTGATTGACGCTCATGACTCACAACTGGAAATCATGTCTAGCTTGTTAAAGGGCCATTCAATTGCAGGGCCATCATGACCCTGATACTCGCCTGACGCAAATGCAGCCGAACATTAAAAAGTCTTAGATCAACTTGGGAGCGATTAGGCTCCGAACCATTATAATCTAACCGCAAGAGGGGCACCTGAGTTATATAACTCGGTCACTGAAATGCCAAAGTGTCTCTCTCGTCCACAGGAATGTCAGTTCGTCCCCTGCTTGGTTCGGTCGACTGCAGTTCCCGCTATGAGGCCACCTCTAGCAGAGGGAATGATGACGGTCCAACTCTTCCTCTAGATGACATTGACAGACCAATCGTGGAGAAGAGGCTTCTCCGTAAGTTGGACCTTCGAATGGCCTTCCTAGTTCTAATTTACATTATGAATATCGTGAGTCGTTTCACCTAGTGTCTCCACTGCCTAAAACCCCTGCGTAGATGGACCGTTATAATGTAGCGTAAGTGGCCCTTCAAAAACATCTGGAGTAAAGTAACTTAACCACCCGCTTGCAAGTGCGGCGAGGCTGCATGGTTTCGAGGAGGACCTTGGCATGACGGGGAACCAATTCAACACACTTGTCAGCATTCTTTTTGTGGGGTATTTGTTGACGCAGACTCCTTCGTACGTACCGACACCTTGTTATCCTGCGGCATATCTAATACTTTGAAACTCGAAGCAACATAATCTTACATCACATGAAAAGGCCATCATTATACCTCTCGAGCTGCATGATAGCATGGGCCGCTATCACCGTGTTCATGGGTACGTTCAACGTTCACTTGATCGACATTGGCTAACGAGGGTCATGAAAGGCGTAGTGCAAACGTTGGTTACTCGATCTTTTAATGCTGTCCACTGTTAAGCCTGCTCTAGGTATCATGCCGCTCTTATTTTGCGCTTTTTTATTGGATTCGTGGAGGCGACATTCCTTCCCGGAGCTCTATTACTTCTTTCACGATGGTATCATTGCCCAATACCTCCCTGACAGCATATATACTGAAACTCCTCTAGGTATAAGAAAAATGAACTAGCGTTACGCACAGCACTTCTTTTTTGCGGCAGCCCCGTCAGTAATGTTTTTGGTGCTCTTATTGCGTCGGGAATTTTAGAAAGCCTAGACGGTACACTAGGTTTTACGGCTTGGAGGTCTGAGCCGAAATGCGCTCGCTTTCAAGAGTCAAATTGTTCTGATTTTGCTGTTGCAGGTGGCTCTTCTTTGTGGAGGGCGCTTTGACCATCGTGGTCGCAGTGTCTGCAATCTGGATTTTGCCTGATTTTCCTTCAACGCCAAGCGTCTGGCTCTCACCTGATGAACAGACACTGGCCAAACGACGGATGGAGGAAGAAGTTGCGACCATTGAGCGCGAGGGCAAGCCCGAAGGGAACTTCTCTGGTCTTGTCGAGACTCTTATGGATTGGAGGGTATGGTGGCTTGGTGTTGCTCTTCATTTGATGATTTGCTCGCAGTCATTCACCGTTTTTTTCCCGACCCTAATCGCTACAATGGGTTACAACGCGACTACGAGCCTCTTGCTCTGCGCGCCTCCTTGGATTTTGGGAACTGCAACCTCATTTGTTGTGGCCAGGTCAGTATTTACTTCACAGGCCTGATGGGTGAATTAACATTACTGAATTAAGGCACTCCGATGTAACTGGTGATCGCTTCTGGCACATCGTCGGTCCTCTACTTGTCGGTATCGCTGGGTTTATGATGGCGATTTCAACAATGAATACGGCTATACGATATCTATCTCTGTACGAACATTCCTTTCCTCATTCTGTAATTACACGGGCTTATATGCTCCGCGCAGATTCCTTATGGCTCAGAGCCCAGTTGCCTATGTTGTCTCTTTGACCTGGGTCATGAATACGTTTTCCCAGTCACAGTCGAAACGTGCAGCAGCCATCGCACTAGTAAACACTATGGCAGTAGCTAGCCACATTAGTTCATCGTCAGTCCACAGCGACATTGTGCTCTAGCTACTACTGACGCCGTCGCAGATACTTTTGGCCGTCCAGTTGGGGGACCTTCATACGTGAACTCGTATCTCATTTGCATATTGGCAAGCGTCCTGTGCATTGCGATGTGCTGGGTATTTAGGGAGCACCTTTCCCGGTGTAATGAAGCTGCTGAAGCCGAAGAGAAAGTTCTAGGGCTACCTGAGGGTTTTAGATATCTCCTCTAGAGCGTGGTTGGGATCACATTAGTATGAATGTATACTAGCGCACACAAGTAAGACTCTATATCCTGGATCTCTTGTTTAGCGAATCATAGTTTGACGATGCAGAGCTCTATAGTACTTGTTTCTTGCCATTGACTTTTGTCGTCGGATCGATCGATGTGATAATTGCAGTTTACAGAAGACTTGTTGTCGATTTGCTGATCTGTGCATGATGGTGGTATATATTCTTGTCGCACAGAAAGAAAACAAAACATCAACCTTCAGACACAAATCAGCAACTTCAAGTTTTTCACAATGCATCGCAATGAATCACGAATGCCAAAGTAACCCGCTTATATGGCTATGATACGCTAGCCTTAGCCATCAGTGAACTACTTGGCTTTGTGCAGCTCTACAAGTAATAAGACAATCAATATTTGCTTAGTCAACACACGCGGTCGCGCCTTTACGTGGAGGTATCCAAACATATTTGCAGAAGCATCCAAGTGCAATGACACGGACTCTCGGGAAAAGGATTGGAACGCCCTTTTGTCGCAGTTTTGCAGCAGGTAGACTTCTGCATCTTGCATCCAGACTTTCCGTGATTGATGCTCATAACTCACAACTGGAAATCATGTCTAACTTGTGAAAGGGCCATTCAATTGCAGAGCCATCTTGACCCTGATACTCGCCTGACGCAGATGCGGCCGAACATTAAAAAGTCTTAGTTATCAACTTGGGAGCGATTAGGCTCCGAACCATTATAATCTAACCGCAAGAGGGGCACCTGAGTTATATAACTCGGTCACTGAAATGCCAAAGTGTCTCTCTCGTCAACAGGAATGTCAGTTCGTCCCCTGCTTGGTTCGGTCGACTGCAGTTCCCGCTATGAGGCCACCTCTAGCAGAGGGAGTGATGACGGTCCAACTCTTCCTCTAGATGAAATTGACAGACCAATCGTGGAGAAGAGGCTTCTCCGTAAGTTGGACCTTCGAATGGCCTTCCTAGTTCTGGTTTATATTATGAATATCGTGAGTTGTTTCACCTAGTGTCTCTACTGCCTAAAACCCCTGCGTAGATGGACCGTTATAATGTAGCGTAAGTGGCCCTTGGAACACATTTGGAGTAAAGTGGCTTAACCACCCACTCACAAGTGCAGCGCGGCTGCATGGTTTCGAGGAGGACCTTGGCATGATGGGGAACCAATTTAACACACTTGTCAGCATCCTTTATGTTGGATATTTGTTGACGCAGGCTCCTTCGTATGTACCGACACCTTATCATTCTGCGACATATCTAATATTAATTTGAAAGCATATGATCTTAAACCGCATGAAGAGGCCATCATTATACCTCTCGAGCTGCATGATAGCATGGGCTGCTATTACCGGTGTTCATGGGTACGTACAACGTTCACTTGATTGACAATTGGTTAACGAGGGGTTATGAAAGGTGCAGTACAATCGTTGTATCTCGATATTTTAATATTGTCTACTGTTAACCTGCTCCAGATATCATGCCGCTCTTATTTTGCGCTTTTTATTGGATTCGCAGAGGCGGCATTCTTTCCCGGAGCTGTATTCCCTTCTTTCACGATGGTATCAGTGCCCATGCCTCCTGACAGCATATACTGACATATCTCTAGGTATAAAGAAAAATGAATTAGGGTTGCGCACAGCACTTCTTTTTTGCGGCAGCTCCATCAGTAATGCTTTTGGTGCTCTTATTGCGTCGGGAATTTTAGGAAGCCTAGACGGTACACTAGGTTTTTCGGCTTGGAGGTCTGAGCTGAAATGCGCTTGCTTTCAAAAATTCAAATTGTTCTGATTTCGCTCTTGCAGGTGGCTCTTCTTTGTGGAAGGGCGCTTTGACCATCGTGGTCGCAGTGTCTGCAATCTGGATTTTACCAGATTTTCCTTCAACGCCCAGTGTCTGGCTTTCACCTGATGAACAGACACTGGCCAAACGACGGATGGAGGAAGAAATTCTGGCCATTGGACACGAAGGCAAGCCCGAAGAGAACTTCTCTGCTCTTGCCGAGGCTCTTGTGGATTGGAGGGTATGGTGGCTTGGTGTTGCTCTTCATTTGTTGGTTTGCTCGCAGTCATTCAGTCATTTTTTTCCCGACCCTATCCTGCTACAATGGGTTACAGCGCGACTACTAGCCTTCTGCTCTGCGCACCTCCGTGGATTCTGGGAACTGCAACCTCATTTGTTGTGGCCAGGTCTGCATTTATTTCACTGGTCCGATAGGTGAATTAACATCACTGAACTAAGGCACTCCGATGTAACTGGTGATCGCTTCTGGCATATTGTCTGTCCTCTACTTCTCGGTATCGCTGGGTTTACTGATGGCAATTTCTACAATGAATACAGCCGTGCGATATCTATCTTTGTACGAACATTTCCGTTCCTCAGTTCTCTGATTCCACGAGCTTACGTGCCCCACGCAGATTCTTCATGGCTCAGAGCTCAGTTGCCTATGTTGTCTGTTTGACCTGGGCCATGAATACGTTTTCCCAATCACAGTCGAAACGCGCAGCAGCCATTGCACTGGTAAACACCATGGCAGTAGCTGGCTTCATTAGTTCATCGTCAGTTCACAGCGACATTGCTCTCTAGCTGCTACTGACGCCAGTCGCAGATACTTTTGGCCGTCCAGTTGGGGACCTTCATACGTGAATTCGTATCTCATTTGCATCTTGGCAAACGTCCTGTGCATTGCGATGTGCTGGGTATTTAAGGGAGCACCTTTCCCGGTGTAATGAAAGCTGCTGAAGCCGAAGAGAAAGCTCTAGGGCTACCTGAGGGTTTTAGATATCTCCTCTAGAGCCGTGGTTGGGATCCCATTAGTATGAATGTATACCAGCGCAGCACAAGTAAGACTCTACATCCTGGATATCTTATTTCGCGAATCATAAATTGACGATGGATAGCTGATCGGCAACTTCAAGTTTAGTATTGACAATGCATCGCAATGAATAACGAATGTTACAGTTGTTTGAGAAACTAATGTCAGTGGCACATGTGTGTACCAAAAGGGAAATCGATACAACAACGCGTTCTGGACGCTTGTAGCCTTGTAGGTGCTGCGACAGCTTTCATATGCCGTTCATGATCAGACAACGTTCACAACACTACTAGGAGACTCTGAATTTGAATTTCTCTAGTACCTAAACACTATGTTCAACCAAAGAATCAGGCATCATCTCAAACAATGCGCCATTTGACTTTGGGATAACGGATAATAGGAATTGGAGGATGGAACGATTAATGCAGATGAAGCTGTTGGATGGACCGATGAAGCCCGTAGATACACCAAGGAAGAAATTCACGATGCCTATCCTAGCACTCGCCGACTATTCGTCATCGTCACAGCCGTTACGAACGAGCAGGAAAGAAGGATGTGAACATGCCCACTTGCGAGCTGCGAGCGATCGACTAGGGCAGGGAAATGGACAGAGACAACAGAGCCCTTCGCGTTGTCTGTGAGTCGGGCTTTATCTCCCCGGCTAGGAGGTAGAGCGGAGCGAGCTTGTCACTCATGTAAGGCTGTGAACGAATTTGACATTAAGGGAGGAGGGCAGTGTGAGATAGGAAAGCACATGAAAGTTTGATGATTTGATACGATCCGGTATTACCCATTGAAACAGCTTTTCAGGCGCAAGGTCATAGGAAGGAACGACGACGAGTGGGAGTGGGCCAAGTTGCAAAGTTCCCCGCTGGAAAAATACCAGTTTGGATAAACGGTCGCACAGCCTACAGGTACTACTAGTGCATTGCAGTGTGAACTTTGATATCGTTCTAATCATAAACTGATGATGGAGAGCTCAATATTATGATCATGTCGTTGATTTTTTCAGTGAAAGGATTTGAGAAACGTGAAAGCAGAAGACGTGTTGTGAAGTTGGTGATTTGTGACCGATAGCCACCATGGCATGCAGCTGACTATCAGGGACAAATCAGCAACTTCAAAGTACGGGTAATTACATAATTGCAATTGCGGACGTTGGAGACTGCGAGAAAGAAACGAGCAAGTGGAAAAGAGTCAAAAGACTGAGGAGGAAGGACGGAGCTTAATGGATGCTTAGTCAACACACGCGGTCACATTTTTTACGCTGGAACTATCCAACAATCAGTGCACACTGCAGTTACTGCAGTAGCATCCGAGTGCAATGTCACGGTCTCCGGGAGAAGCATTGGAATGCCCTTTTGTCGCAATTTTGCAGTAGGCAGACCCTGTGGAAGGAAACAATCGGCCCTTCTGCGTGACGTTCTTTCAGGTGTCTGCATTTTGCATAATGCCATCTAATAATAAGTGCGTCAGACTTTCCTTGATTGACGCTCACAACTCAAGCTTGTCAAAGGGCCATTCAATTGCAGGGCCAGTGATCCTGACACTCGCCTGATGCAGATGGCCGGCCGAACATCAAACTTAATAGTAGTCCTCGCTGGATTAAATGAATAAGTAAAATTTGTTTTCATGTCAACTTGGGAGCGGTTAGGCTCCGAATAATATTGAACCGGAAAAGGGGAACTTTGACACTACTGCGGCATAGGTACATACTCGGTTACCGAAATGCAAAAGTGCGAGCTTACGTCTATCTCTCTCATTCACAGGAATGTCAGATCTTCCCTTGCTTGGTTCAGTCGACTCCAGCTCCCGCTACAATGCCACCTCTAGCGAGAGGAGTGATGACGGTCCAACTCTTCCTCCAGATGACATTGACAGACCAATCGTGGAGAAGAGGCTTCTCCGTAAGTTAGACCTTCGAGTGGCCTTCCTAGTTCTGATTTACATTATGAACGTCGTGAGTCGTTGTACTTAGTGTTTCCGTAACTGCCTAAAACCCCTGCGCAGATGGACCGTACTAATGTAGCGTAAGTGGCCCTTCGAAAATATTTGGAGTAAAGTGGCTTAACCACCCACTCACAAGTGCAGCGCGGCTGCGTGGTTTCGAGGAGGACCTTGGCATAACGGGGAATCAATTTAACATACTCACCAGCATCCTTTATGTGGGGTATTTGTTGACGCAGGCTCCTTCGTATGTACCGACACCTTATCATTCTGCGGCATATCTTATAATCTGGAAAGTAACATGATCTTACACCATATGAAAAGGCCATCATTATACCTCTCGAGTTGCATGATAGCATGGGCTGCTATTACCGTGTTCATGGGTACGTACAACGTTCACTTGATTGACATTGGTTAACGAGGGGTTATGAAAGGTGCGGTACAAACGTTGGTATCTACATCTTTTAATGTTGTCTACCTGTTAACCCTGCTCCAGATATCATGCCGCTCTTGTCTTGCGCTTTTTTCTTGGATTTGTGGAGGCAACATTCTGGCCCGGAGCTGTATTCCTTCTTTCACGATGGTATCGTTGCCCAATAACTCCGAACAGCATATACTGAAATTTCTCTAGGTATAAGCGAAATGAACTGGGGTTACGCACAGCCCTCCTTTTTTGTGGCAACTCCGTCAGTAATGCTTTTGGTGCTCTTATTGCGTCAGGAATTCTAGGAAGTCTAGACGGTACACTAGGTTTTACGGCTTGGAGGTCTGAGCTGAAATGCGCGTGCTTTCAAATTTTCAAATTGTTCTGATTTTGCTGTTGCAGGTGGCTCTTTTTTGTGGAGGGCGCTTTGAACCATTGTGGTTGCAGTGTCTGCAATCTGGATTTTACCCGATTTTCCTTCAACACCGAGCGTCTGGCTTTCGCCTGATGAACAGATACTGGCTAAACGACGGATGGAGGAACAAGTTGCGGCCATTGGACACGAAGGCAAGCCCGAAGAGAACTTCTCTAGTCTTGCCGAGGTTCTTATGGATTGGAGGGTATGGTGGCTTGGTGTTACTCTTCATTTGATAACTAGCTCGTTGTCATTCACCATTTTTTTCCCGACCCTATCCGCCACAATGGGTTACAACGCGACTACGAGCCTCTTACTCTGCGCACCCCCGTGGATTTTGGGAACTGCAACCTTATTTGTTGCTGGCCAGGTCAATATTTACTTCACAGGTCCGATCGCTGGATTGACATTACTACTGAATTAAGGCACTCCGACGTAACTGGTGATCGCTTCTGGCATATTGTCTGCCCTTTACTTGTCGGTATCGCTGGGTTTGTGATTGCAATTTCTACAATGAATACGGCTATACGATATCTATCCCTGTACGAACATTCCATTCCTCGTACTGTGATTCCCGGGCTTACGTGCTCCATGCAGATTCTTTATGGCTCAAAGCCCAGCTGCCTATGTTGTCTCTTTGACCTGGGTCATTGAATACGTTTTCCCAGTCACAGTCTAAACGCGCTGCAGCCATTGCACTAATAAACACTATATCATCAGCTGGCTTCATCAGTTCATCGTCAGTTCACAGCGACCTTGTGATCTAGCTGCTACTAACGTCATCGCAGATACTTTTGGCCATCCAGTTGGGGACCTTCATACGCGAATTCGTATCTCATCTGCATCTTGGCAAGCGTCATGTCCATTGCGATGTGCTGGGTATTTAGGGGGCACCTTTCCCGGTGTAATGAAGCTGCTGAAGCTGAAGAGAAAGTTCTAGGGCTACCCGAGGGTTTTAGATATATCCTCTAGAGCGTGGTTGGCAACTGATAGGATCTCGTCTTCTCATATATGGATGGATACCAGGGCACAAGATATTCTAGATATCTTATTTGGCGAGTCATAAATTGACGATGGAGAGCTCCATAGTTGCTCCATAGTACTTGTTTCATACCGATTGACTTTTATCGTCGGATCGATCGATATGATAATTGCAGCTTGCAGAAGACTTGCTGCCAGATCTGTGCATGAAGGCAGTGTTCTTGCAGTGAGCTGATTATTAACCGGTTAGTAACTGATGTTTGAGCTTGTTTGAGTCATCCGATACTATTTCTCACCGAGCCATGAAATTGGCGCTTGCACAAATGTAGCGGCGTTGAGCGAACTGCACCTAGGAGGAATCTCTGTCGTTTCACAGGAATGTCAGATCATCCCCTGCTTGGTTCAGTTGATTGCAGTTCCCGCTATGATGTCACCTCTAGCAGAAGGAGTGATGATAGTCCAACTCTTCCTCTAGATGTCATTGACAGACCAATCACGGAGAAGAGCCTTCTCCATAAGTTGGACCTTCGAGTGGCATTCTTAGTTCTGGTTTACATTATGAACATCGTGAGTCGTTGCACCTGATATTTCCGTAACTGCCTGAAACCCCTGCGTAGATGGACCGTTATAATGTAGCGTAAGTGGCCCTTCAAAAGCATTTGGAGTAAAGTTGCTTAACCGCGCACTTGCAAGTGCAGCGAGGCTGCATGGTTTCGAGGAGGACCTTGGCATGACAGGGAACCAATTTAACACACTTATCAGCATTCTTTATGTGGGGTATTTGTTGACGCAGGCACCTTCGTATGTACCGACACCTTATCCTTCTGCGGCATCAATCTGAGAATTCAAAAGTAACATGATCTTACACCGCATGAAAAGACCATCACTTTACCTGTCGAGCTGCATGATAGCATGGGCTGCTATCACCATGTGCATGAGTACGTCACACAACTTTCACTTGAGCAATATTGCCTAACGAGGGTCATGATTGAAAGGTGCGGTGCCAACGTAGGTATCTAACATTCTTGCCTCCCTCGAGCCAACTGTTCATTAGATACCATGCTGCTCTTTTCTTGCGCTTTTTTCTTGGATTCGTAGAGGCGACATTCTTTCCCGGAGCTGTGTTCCTTCTTTCACAATGGTATCATTGCCCAATGCCTCTTAACAGCATATACTGAAATTTCTCTAGGTACAAGAAAAATGAACTAGGGTTACGCATAGCAGTTCTTCTTTGCGGCAGCTCCATCAGTAATGCTTTTGGTTCTCTCATTGCGTCGGGGATTTTAGGAAGCCTAGACGGTACACTAGGTTTTACAGCTTGGAGGTTTGAGCTGAAATACGCTTGCTCTCAAAAATTCAAATTGTTCTGATTTTGCTCTTGCAGGTGGCTCTTCTTTGTGGAAGGCGCTTTGACCATTGTGATCGCAGTGTCTGCGATCTGGATTTTACCCGACTTTCCTTCAACACCGAGCATCTGGCTTTCGCCCGATGAACAGATGCTGGCCAAACGACGGATGGAGGAAGAAGTTGCGGTTGTCGAGCGCGAAAGCAAGCCTGAAGAGAACTTATCTGGTCTTACCCAGGCTCTTATAGATTGGAGGGTATGGTGGCTTGGTGTTACTCTTCATTTGATAGCTTGCTCGCAGTCATTCACCATTTTCTTCCCAACCCTATCCGCTACAATGGGTTACAGCGCGACTGCTAGCCTTTTGCTCTGCGCACCTCCATGGATTTTGGGAACCGCAACCTCATTTGTTGTGGCCAGGTCAGTACCTACCTTACCGGTCCGACAGGTGAATTGATATTACTGAACTAAGGCACTCCGACATAACTGGTGATCGCTTCTGGCATATTGTCGGTCCTCTACTCGTCGGCATTGCTGGGTTTATGATCGCGATTTCAACGATGAATACGGCTATGCGATATCTGTCACTGTACGAACCTTCCTATCCTCGTTCTGTGATTCCACGGGTTTACATGCTCCACGCAGATTCTTTATGGCTCAGAACACAGTCGCCTTTGTTGTTTCTTTGGCTTGGGTCATGGATACATTTTCCCAATCACAGTCTAAATGCGCTGCGGCTGTCGCACTGATAAACACCATGTCATCAGCTGGCTTCATCAGTTCATCGTCAGTTCACAGTGACATTGCGCTCTAACTGCTACTGACGCAGTGGCAGATACATTTGGCCTTCCAGTTGGGGACCTTCATATGTGAACTCGTATCTCATTTGCATCTTGGCAAGCGTCGCGTGCATTGCGATGTGCTGGGTGTTTAGGGAGCACCTTTCCCGGTGTAATGAAGCTGCTGAAGCTGAAGAGAACGTTCTAGGGCTACCTAAGGGTTTTAGATATCTCCTCTAGAGCGTAGTTGGGAACTGATGGGATCCCGTCAGTGAGAATATATATGAATCGATACCAGGGCACGAGCCTGAGAGATCCCGGATATCTTATTTGACGAGTCATAAATTGACGATGGAGTTCTATAGTATTTGTTTCTTGCCATCGTCGGATCGATAGATGTGCTTGCAGAAGACTTGCTGTCAATTTGCTGATCCGTGCGTGATAGTGGTATTCTAGTCGCACAGAAAGAAAACATCAACCCTCAGACACAAATCAGCAACTTCCAGTTAAGTATTGACAATGCATTACAATGAATCACGAATGTCAAAGTAACCCGTCTAAGTACTGAGAGGGAAAGTGTGACCAAGAAACGAGCGTCGCTGCTAAAGACCGGCGGCGGAATGACTTAGACCATAGACAAAGAGAAACCTTTCAATGTCTTGGGCCCTTGAGGTTGCGAAGTGGAGTTAACTTCAAGTTTGATGCGATTCAGTTACTGAGTACTATGCAATGTATACATAGACTATGATGTAAAAGTGTAAAGTTGGTTCCGGCTGTGACAGCGTCTGACTCGCACGGAATATGGGGTTCGGAAGCAAATATCGGAACGCACTTTTGTTGCAGTTTTGCAGTTTTTCCTAGGCAAACCATGTACTAGTAGTAGTGGGAAGGGACAATTGATCTTTCTAAATGTCCCTGCACCCCGCGTAGTGCTAGCATCTGATCAGTGAGTTAAACTTTGCCTGCCTGATCGAAAATGAGACTCACAACTAACTCACAACATATAACCATGCAGGCCTGTTAATCAAGTCGAGGGCCGTCACTTAATTTCAACAGGGCCATGATCAAACCATGACTACGCAGTCCTGAGGCCTTCCTAATATGTAGATGGTACGTAACCGACGCAGTTCCAGGCAACTGCCGTCCTACTTAACTGCCGTAAGTAATGATGTTGTAAAGGTATTTTCCCTCCAACTTGGTAGTCTCGACATTATCATGATTGAACTTGGAAGACTCTACGCATCTATTGGTACTTGGTTGCCGAGATGGAAACCACTGATTCTTTCATCCTCAGGAATATCGTATCGTCCCCTGCGTGCTACAGTCGACTACAGTTCCCAATACGAAATTTCTGGTAGAATCAGTGATGACAATCCGGCGCTTGCTTTGGACTACATCGACATATCAACTCTGGAGAAGAGGCTTGTCCGTAAGTTGGACCTTCGGGTAGCTTTCCTGGTTCTGGTTTTCATTATTAACAATGTGAGTTGAGGCACCTAGTGTTCCCTTGACTGCCTAAAATCCGTTCACAGATGGACCGCACTAATGCAGCGTACGTGGCCTTCGAAATTACTTGGAGTAGATTGGCTTAACCGTCTGCTTGCAAGTGCAGCGAGGCTGCGTGGTTACGAGGAGGACCTTGGCATGACGGGGAACCAATTTAACACACTTACCAGCATGCTTTATGTCGGATATTTGTTGACTCAGACTCCTTCGTATGTTCTGGCACCTGATCATTTTGCAGCATATCTGATGATTGAAAAGTAACATGGTCTTACACCACATGAAAAGGCCATCACTATACCTCTCGAGCTGCATGTCAATATGGGGTGTTTTCACCGTGTTGATGGGTACGTACAACGTTCACTTCATCGACATTGGCTAACGAGGGGTCATGAAAGGTGCGGTACAAACGTTGGTATCTACATATTTTAATGCTATCCACCGTTAACACTGCTTTAGATATCACGCCGCTCTTATTTTGCGCTTCTTTATTGGATTTGTGGAGGCGGCATTCTTTCCCGGAGCTGTATTCCTTCTTTCACGATGGTATCATCGCCTAATGACTCTGCACAGCATATACTGAAATTCCTTTAGGTACAAGCGCAATGAACTAGGGCTACGCACAGCATTTCTTGCTTGTGGCGCATCGATTAGTAACGCTTTTGGTGCTCTTTTTGCATCAGGGATCTTGGGAAGCCTAGATGGTACACTAGGTTTTACGGCTTGGAGGTCTGAGCCGAAATGCGCGTGCTTTTAAGAAGTCAAGTTGTTCTGATTTTGCTGCTGCAGGTGGCTCTTTTTTGTGGAGGGCGCTTTGACCATCGTGGTCGCAGTGTCTGCATCCTGGATTTTACCTGATTTTCCTTCAACGCCGAACCTCTGGCTTTTGCCTGACGAACAGACACTGGCCAAACAACGGATGGAGGAGGAAGTCGCGAGCGAAAATGAGCACAAAAGTAAACCCGAAGAATATTATTCTGGTCTCGTCGAGGCTCTTATGGATTGGAGGGTATGGTGGGTTGGTGCTGCCCTTAACTTGATGAGTTCCTCGATGTCATTCGGTATTTACTTCCCGACGCTATCCGCTACAATGGGTTACAGCGCGACTACGAGCCTCTTGCTCTGCGCACCTCCGTGGATTTTGGGAACTGCAACCTCATTTGTTGTGGCCAGGTCGGTATTTACTTCACAGGTCCGATAAATGAATTAACAATACTGAATTAAGGCACTCCGACGTAACTGGTGATCGCTTCTGGCATATTGTTAGTCCTATGCTCATTGGCATCGCTGGATTTATACTCGCAATTTCCACCATGAATACGACTATGCGATATATATCCCTGTACGAACTCTCCCATCCTCATTCTGCGATTCCAGGGACTTACGTGTACCGTTGAGATTCTTGATGACTCAGGGCCCAGTTGCCTATGTTGTCTGTTTGACCTGGGTCATGAATACATTTTCCCAATCACAGTCGAAACGTGCTGCAGCCATCGCACTCATAAACTCCATGGCATCAGCTGGCGTGATCAGTTCATCGTCAGTTTACAGTGACCTCGTGCTACATGCTACTACTGACGCCGTCACAGATACTTCTGGCCATCCAGTTGGGGACCTTCATATGTGAACTCATATCTTATTTGCATCTTGACAAGCGTCTTGTGCATTGCGATGTTATGGGTATTTAGGAGGCACCTTTCACGGTGTAATGAAGCTGCTGAAGCCCAAGAGCAATCTCTAGGTCTGCCCAAGGGTTTGAGATATATCCTCTAGCACTGTGAGTCGCTGCTCGGCTGTCTTCAGCATCGCAGCAGTGTTTGGTAGCGGAAACTGTGGGAGTGGGTCTGATTATTAGCATATATTATGCACGCAAGCACCAAAATATATTAATGTGCTGTTCGAGTCGCACTCTCCTAAATCATCAACTACCTCGGGTGTAGTGGAGAATGTATGCAATCACTTATACTGTACTGTAATAAATCCATGGCATCTACCCTGCCATGACACCTACAGTGTCCACCATTGTACCAGTGGTGGTATTGTGTGCGGTAAGAAGACTTATTTACCCTTACCATCACTCCCTATACTACTATGCAACCTTGTCAGCAAATATTTTCTAGCTCCTCAACCACATCGCTTTTCCTTTCAAAAATTTCATCCATCATAGATTAGTTTATCCTCTATATGGATCTGATTTTTACTGATTTTTAGGATGATGTGGTGTGGGGTCGGAGCAAGCCTGAGAAAACTCAGGGTCTACCTTCTAATCTGCACAATCTGGTGTAGTTGATGCTCATAGATAGTGCACAAGGCCCTAAATGAGTAAGCTGATTATGATTCAGGAGGCTAAGTATTGATGGTGCTGACCGCAGTTGCAGAGATTCAAGATCTTGCCTGGTTCCCGCATGCCATGTGTTCGCCTACTGTGTCCTGCTTGCCAAATGAATTAAGTGTGGAAAGCCAGACAACCGCGCTCAACTTCTCTCATGCATGCTTCTCCCGGCACACCATATAAGGCAGGTAGCTTCTGTAGGACCTTGAATACCCTATCTGAGAATCAAATAGTGCTGTCGCCATTTTCCTATGCTTAAAGACAGTGTACGTTTGTAACAGCTGTATTTTACTAGTCCGTCATATACAGTACAACCTCGTGCAAGAAAGATAAAGAATCACCCCCAGTGAAAACGAGCAAGATAGAGATGGATATGTATTGGTAGATGTTGATAGAAATTGGTAGTTCAATATTAATCAATGTATATCGCGAAAAATGAGACTTTTATCAACTTTATTGATAGAGAACGAATGAGGAATATTTGTGTTTTCATATTTGCAGTTGAACCGCATTGATACACAATGAAACACATGAATTGGATGATAGGTATCGCTACACAGGGATATACATTGATGCAGAACGAAACACGACTGATGCAGAGTGAAAATGATGAAAATGAAAAACGATGAAAAAAAACCAGCGCTGTTGATCCTGCTCATGCCCACCATTCGCTACTCGTCTCCGTCAGATCCAGCGAACTCCTCCTCAGTGTTTCCTCAAGGCCCACTGCCAGTGGTAGCGACTGATGCCAATGTGCTCGTAGCCAGCTGTAGAAGGTAGTTAGTGTGTGTATACTGATTAGTAGAAAAAAATGCACCAATGTTTTAGCTTGCGCTTCGAATACCTGAGGAATACATCAGATCATTGAGTAGTAATAAAAAAAACACATACTGCTTTCTCTGCAGTGGGAAGTTGTTCCCAGTATCCTTTGAATTGTTTGGCTGTTCCCAGTAGATTGCCAGCGGCTTTCCATGCAGCTGCACAAAGATTCCTGTTGAGGACTGTCAGAATTGCCCTGCCATTGAGAAAACATACACACCGTGCATTGATTGTCTTCTGGATATGCATTGCCTTGGCTTTGTTTGGCGTGTTTGGAGCTTTTGGCACTGCGGGAGTCTTCGATTTGACTGGACGAGGCTTTGGTTTTGATTTTGTGTTGGTGGTGGGGGGCGCAGGAGTCTCTGCAGTGACAGGAATGATGGGTGGTGTCGGTGATGTCGTGGGAATAGAAGGTATTGCGGGAATAGGAATAGGTGTTGCAGGAATTGATGGTGTCGATGAGCTCAAAGGTGTCTGTCAGAAGGTGCCTGAAACACCTGCTACTCTAGAGTTGAGTCTAAGAGGATTCTTCACCTTGGTATTCAATGTCAGAACCAATCAATTGAAAGGTGGATGTGCTACATACCTGAGGAACAAAGGAAGCTGGTGGGACCTTGGGTGTGTTGATGTGAGTGGGATTGACAATGGCTGGATCAGCCACTGCTGTAGTCTTTGCGACAGTGTCACTCACTGCAAGCAGATCACTGGAGCTGTGATTACTGATCGCTTTCAACGCAGGATCTATGAGGTGGTCGAGAGAGACAGGGTTCATAGCAGTGATAGGGATGGTAGGGGTGTCGAAGATGATGGGGATCACATTAGGCTCGACGGGCATGGTAGACTCAACGGGGAGCTCTGAAGTAGCAAGGATAGGGATGGTGGGGGTGTTGAAGACGACGGAAGTCACATCAGGCTGTCCACATACTCGAGTTCTTCATCCTCTAGTGGAATCTCCTCGACTTTTGCTTCTTGCTGCGCGATGATGATGAGTCTGTATTTGTGCACTTCTTGCCATTAGTGATATGATACTTGTACCACTGCGAGCCGTTGTGTGTCGCGAGAAGATCTGCTTTCCAGTTGTCTGAACAGTACCAAAACTCGACAAAATTCAACCAGATGGTATGGTAGAATGTTTGTTTGACATCGAGTGCCACTTGCGACCATCCGGAGGGAAGCTTTAAATTCCCTTGATTGAGCTGATGGAGGTAAGCAAAAAAAATGTTGCACATAATCTTCGCATGATGACCTGTCAATGGGCACCCCATCAGCACCTTCGATGTATAGACAGGCTACGTTTTAACCCTTGGCAAGTCTGGATGATCCACGCGTGCTTGCGGATAAGCCAAGCTTGGTAACACTCTTTTCAGCATGGAGGTGCTGCGACCATTTTGACCGAGTCCAAAATTTGATGGAGGGGAAATTCGCAGGACTGAGTTCTTTATTGACATCATCCTAGTGCGGGAATTGTTGGTGGATCTTGAGGATTGCGTCCAAGGGAGTTCGAAAGGGTGATAAATGAGCCTCTGCAATCTTTGTTAGGATGTAAATGACATAAAAAATCAACTCACTGTAATGTGTCTAGTTTTGCCGCAAGGAGTTCTCTATCCCATGCTAATTGATGGTTCTGTTGCTCGAGTGCGTGAATGTGCTGCTTGGACTCCTCTAGTTGATTCTCAAGACGCATATATGCACTACTATTGTTGGAGTCCAGGGACAAGTGACTGCTGCTTCAGAGAGAAAAGGGAGCTGCGCTGAAGATGTACCACTCGAAATGCTTGCTGAGTCAAATGGGGGTGATTCAAATCCATCAATTGGTGGGGTGGGATGCCCATACTGAGGTGTATCTCTAAGTTGTCCCAAGAAATCCCTAGAGAAATTAAATGGTTGGTGAGAGTCATGTGTGTTGTTATTCATAGTGTGTAAGTGAGAGTGAAGGGATGTTGCGCAATGGTGGCAGGAAGAAAGGGGTGTCGTCGATGTTACTGGGTTGAGAACTCGAACTATTAAGTCTTTCAAACTCCTGATTGATGTACTGCTGCGTCACAATTCACTAAGTCCCTCTCACATATGCTATGTCACTACCACAGGCTCTTCAAGACTTTTTTGACATGTTGTCTGATCCAGATATTGAAGGTTATGATGCCGATACAAGGTAATGTACATTCCATCTGTCAAAATCTTAATGTTTAATGCTGTAACTATGATAGCCTTAGTCTCCCTGAGTCCAACATGCCTCCAGGTCTGATGACACCATCAGATGATCTTGTTGTTGACCCTGCATACTGGCTTGCAAATCTGGAGCGAGAGCATCTCATGAGACAACAGTTTAATGAGTCTGTTAATATGTGAGTGTGTTATTTTGTCTTAATTCTCGCTATTGAATCAATTCACTTGAAGGTGTCCTACATCTACAGCACTGGAGTCTGACTTGACCATTACTATTCTCCCTCAAACTCTCAATACTGGCAGTGCGATGGAGTCTGAGAGTGATCCGACAACTCCCACTATGGCTCACATTCCACCTTGTCCTTATCAAGATGACACTGGTAGCACTACGGAGTCCGAGAGCGAAACGGACAGCTTACTCGATGGGTATTTTAATGTATGCCCCTCTATGTCTACAGCTCGTCCTACATCTACAGCACTGGAGTCTGACTTGACCATTACTATTCTCCCTCAAACTCTCGATACTGGCAGTGCAACGGAGTCTGAGAGTGATCCGACAACTCCCACTATGGCTCACATTCCTTGTTGTCCTTATCAAGATGACACTGGTAGCACCACAGAGTCTGAGAGCGAAACGGACAGCTTACTCAATGGCTATTTTGTCATATGATCCATTGTAGTACATACTTTGAAATACATTCATACCTCATCTCTGTCTCTGTCTCTGTCTCCATCTCCATCTCCATCTCCTTCCTCGTCCTCATCAACATGGCCTGCGAATTGAGCAACATCAAGACCAGGTTTTTCAACGAGGAAAAAATGAAGTTCTGGGTTGTTGGGGAGCTTATGGGGGACCATTGCGATGACAGCTTGAATTGCAAAGACCTCGACAACCACAAGTGCTTCGTTGCCTTGATGTGTGCATGAGTATAAAGTATTGTAAGACTCTCATAGAAGCTCGTAATCAGGTGCCAAATATAGGGATACAAGAGTGAGAGTTTTGACAGCTCCATTCAAGTTCATCTGAAAATAAAACTGAACCTCACCGAATTGTATGCGGTCATTGATACAAAGCTGGAGTATTGTTTTTAGCTGGAGTATCACAATTTGAAGTAGTGCCAACTTACCTTCACATTGCGGGCCATGTGTGGCATACGTGTCATAGTATTTTCCTTCCAACTCGATCGTGCAACTTGGCCATTCGGAATTCGCAGATGATGTAGAGGCTCACACTCCTACAGGCGCATATCTAGCATTTTCCCTCTTCCACTATAGGCGCCCTCTCATAGATAGAAGACCCGTGCACCTTATAGGCGCACCACACTACAAGCACTTGCAGCCGCTCGCGCACTGGATCCCATCGCCTGTCCTCTGCACGTCATATCCATGTCCTCCCCGGTCCATTGGTGCGTGTTTCCTTTGTTTGAGTCACGCTGACAATAACTCCGCATTGTACGACACTATTCGTGTTATGGACCCTTACTTATGCGCTGTTACATACCGTACGTACTCGCTTGCTCGGCTCCACACCATGGGAAAGCACTTAGCGGTACTTACACATTAGAATTAGTTTTGATACTTACTTCCGTTCCATGAGCATCGCAGTCCATAGCCCCAGTTATTATTTGAATCCACTCGAGTTTTCTTATCTGCACTTGAAATTATCAGCGTGCGCCTTATATTTGGCGGCCGCATCTTCAGCGCATTCAAAGCGCTTCACGCAGTTTATACTCTTTTCAGCACATTTAGGCTTTAGTGCTCTACTTAGGTTTTCTAGACCGAAGTTCTAGTCTTGGATCTCCCTCACTTATATTAGAGGAATCTATTCTCAGTAGCAATCCCCTTGGGACAACTGTTGCTCGCTTCCAGAGGAGCACTTGAGAGCCTCACTACACACTCCCCCCTAGTATCCATTTATCATTCCTCACCCTCAACTGGAGCCCACCGTGAGGGGATCATCTGAGAGGACTAGCAGGTCACTCAGGCCTACCGCCGAGCGCAAAGCCAGACAAGATTTCATTGAAGAATTCAGGAACGCAATCTCGGACCCGTGAGTCGCTGCCACAGAAGATCTATTTGTCCCTGTTTCCTAAGCGCGCGCGTGGAACTTTTCAGAACCCACGCGCCTGGACCTTTCGCTCTTCGCGCCAAACCCGCGCACACCAGCTTCACCCGTCACACCTTCACCAAAAGACTCTGCGAAAGGCGAATCGTCAGACGAGTTCGAGGCACAAGATAACCCAAGGAACTTACCTCCTGGGGCATTTATTAGCACGCCCAAGCGCATAACGCCCGCAAGCGCTAGTACTCTTTCCTCCTTAACAGCGCTAACCGCTTCTAGTGAAATCCCTCCTAAGTCCATAGACACACGAGGAAGTGCAACCTTAATGACAGAAGCTTGACCGATCAAGCAAGAAAATATCAGCGCTCTACCCACGCAGAAGCTGATCAAATCGAGAAAAGCGGTTATTGTCCAATCCAATCCAGTCTCGCTACCACAGCCGCAAGCACTGGTCATAATAGTTCCCTCTTCTATTCCCGTCTTACCCACTAATCCACCACTAGCAAACATGGCAGCAGTACCCTTCAGAATGCCCAGCCACGGCACCACTAGGTTCAGTCCCGCTGTGGGAAACACAACCTGACTAGGCACTTGTAAAGGTACTAAGCCAGTATATGTCTAATGCTCTGCCTATGCTGCTATACTTGCAACAAAGATGCAAGAACGTTCAACCCGAGGGAAAAGCTACTAAGGACAACTCAAGATCAAAAGACCCGAAAGAGCGCTAAAGCGCGGGAATAGCGCGTCGCAAGATAGAGTGCTAATGCGTGGGAAAGAGCAGAAGTCAAGAAAGCAGATACTGAGTCAAAGGAGGGTAATGGATAGTGAGTGAGATCAAAGGTATTGATTGCAAGGGTAAGGAAAGTCAAATAGGGGCTATAGAGCGCAACTAAAGGGTGACTACTTCTAAGTAAAACCTAAGGGAAGGAAATACAGTCGAAGGGAAGTAATGTTGAAGTAGTCACCACAGGCTTCTTATACTAGTAAACTATACCATCTCGGACTCGGAAGGGATAGGATATACATGTAATAAGACTGTAGCACTTGTTACACACTCGGGGCAAGGCAAATTACATACCAATGAGGTAGGATGGACAATGGATGGATTCCGACATTTCAGGTGAATCCTAGAGCGCGAGAACAGCGCGCTAGATAAGCGCTAAGTGTGGGAACAAGCGCTAGATAGAGCAGACATGCACTAATGCTCCAATAGACACATTGCTGGTAGTTCTGATAGCGCTATAAGCGCGGGAATAGCATCGGATAAGTCGTGGGAGCATGAATAGCGCTGCGGGAATGTGCGTGCATAGTGCGGGAAAGTGCGGAATAGCGTTGGACAAGGGTTATGGCTGAGACAAGTGAAGACTGCTGATAGGGGGGGTAGTGAATAATATGAGGAATAACTTTGGTCCACCTATTGAATGCTTATGCAGGTATACATGCCTAGCACCAATATGATTGTTGTTAGCTAGTCAATTCATACTCTTGATCTATCTGTTATCTTGACCACCTTCGACACCATACATTGTAGATGCTTCTCAGAACCATGTACCGCATGATACTTCCGCACATCAATTCTCTGGCTTGACTTAGCTAATCATTCCGCTACGTACATAGTCTTCTCGCTCTCGTACGAGCTTCCTCAGTATTGTTCCCTAACACTACTGAGGTATGCATCATTGTTATGTCTCGCACTTATCTTGTACTGATGTACCTTAGCTCGTTCTTGTCTCGCTAGGTACTACCAATTTAGTATTGTTCCCTAACACTGCTGAGCTCATTCTCGTCCCGCTAGTCCAACTAGTGAATAATTGTCACACCACACCAGAAAGTCATAGTCAAGAGACCTTTCATCAAGGTATATCCTCCAAGTGGACCATTGGCAGGCACATACAAAGTTGGATGCTACACTGTGGCCAACGAATTGTCCAAGCAATACAAAGAAGCCAATGTCCTATACTGGGCAAATTCACTGTTAGATCTTACCTATGCCTTCATTAACTGCTGTGTTGCAACCTCATCAAACCCCCCTCCATTTGAGATTCCTCGTCTTCATTTTATTCATGCCAGACTTGCGCTATCCTTCCTACCTGGTCAGATGGTCATTGCCAAACCAGGTGCCAAACCATGCTCGATGTGTGCTGCATTTCTTTTAGAGGAGCTCATTCCAGGTGGGCAAGACACCTTCGTGAACTTCATTCACAACATGGACTGTGATCCTCTCCTTGATCCTGGTGAGGATAGGTACAATACAGCACTTTTTTTGGCATTTACTCAACATGTTCAGTATGAGAAGACAGGGGGATTGGTGTATATCTCCAACTATCAGGGTGTGTAAAAGTCGCTCATGTTTGTTTGCTGGCTGACATGGTGTACTACCACAGGTAGCACAGAGTTGCTGACAGACCCACAAATATTAACACACCTGTAAGTATTCCAGCTGAGACCTTGCTTTCAACTTTTCATGTTCGTTCCAGGTCTGTTTCTGAAGGCAAAGATCTTTTCAGTGATGGAAATATTGAGGATGTGGTGAGCCAGTTCAAGAAGAAACACGTGTGCAACTATTACTGTGAATGGTCTGGTTTCGAGTTGGAGGCATATGGGAGGGAGGAACTCGATGATGTAGTCACCTGATGTCTTGTTTTGAAGTACTATTGTCATTGATTTTTCTTGGTCCAATAACCCCTTGGGAACTGCTGCTTGTTAGACAAGTATGGGTTTGGTGCACTGAGTGTGGTGATTGGTGGATAAGCCTCGGCGCGCACCCAACTCGCATGCTGAACCCTAACCTAGGATTTAATAACCAACCAACCAGTGCATGCTGTCTGATTCATGGTGGCAGCTGTCCTGTAGAAGCATATACCTTATATGGTGCGTCGGGAGAAGCATGCACAAGAAAAATCGAGTGCGGTTGTCTGGCTTTCCATAGGCACCCGTCTCTTCCTGTCCTGTCTGTGGCCCCAGAGTTTGGCTTATTTACATAAATGACTTGAATGCATCTTCGATGAGGTTCGTCCTATCTCTTTCCACTCCTCCAATCAGTCATGCTACAGTTCCCTAACCTACCAATTTATGATAAAACGCAACTCATTCTCAATGCTGCGGCTTGTGTTGGGGTAATAGGAGTGGTTGTTTGGGCTTACCTTCGTAAATCAGATAGCCGCCTTCCTCTCCCACCTTCTCCTCCCACTTGGAGGCTTCGGGGTCACTTCCTACCACCTAACAAGTAAAGTTTCATATTTGCGACCTCGATTTTGTAATCTAATTGTATCACATTTCTGATCAGTGCATCTTCCACTGTCATGCGGTGGATTGACGAGTATGGCCCCTCTGATTACAATTCGCTCAGGAATCCAGACCGTCGTAATTATCGGCCGCTACAAAGTTAGTCCCTTTATGAGGAGTTAGCATCACTGGACTCAACACTCCATGACAGGCTGCGGTGGATATAATGGAGAAGCAGGGTAGAATGCTAGCTGATTGACCTCGCCTTGTTGCTGGAGAAATTATTACATGCGGGCTGGTCATGGTTGTGTCACACGCTGGGGACAGGTTCCGTCGGAAGTGTAGGTTTGTCACCGTGATATGTAAAGGCTCAAACAGTCATCTTACTTTTTGATGCGGTGCAGAGCACTCCATACGCATCTCCAGCCCAAATCAGCTGAGGCGTATCAGCCTCTGCAGATTTCACAAGCGAAAACCATGATTCTCAGCATTCTTGACGATCCATGCAACTTCCAGAACCATGTGACAACGTAAGCGGTTTCCTACATGCGGCCCCAGGGTCTGATAGCATGTTACTTACGGGTTCTTGGAAGTTATGCCACAACAGCGATCATGAAAATTGCATATGGGAAGACCATACCGACATTGGCAACTGACCCTAAAATCAGAGAAGCTCGCCAGCTCATCAGGAGATTAAATCCAATTCTGCACCATGGTTATTACTTGGTGGACTTGATACCGTGGCTCAAATACCTTCCTTGGTATGCGCCAGAATTAAAAGACGAGTTCAAGCGGACCAAGCGACTCTTCACAGACCAGCTGAACCGTGTGAAACTGCAGATGGTACTGCATTGCCTCGGCTGTCTCGACATGATGTCTGAGTTGTTCCACAGCAGAGCAATGAGGACATCGGCCCTTCATTTTCAAAATACATTCTAGAAAATGGGCATCTCTATGGCTTGACAGAGACCGAGATGGCATATCTTGCCGGCTCCTTTTTTGGAGCTGGAATCAAAACTGTGAGGCATCTTTCTTTTTTGTGAACACCATACACTGAGATGAGGTACTAGACTGCTGTGGCGATATCCATGGTGCTAATGGCGGCCGCACATTTTCCTGAAGAGCAGGCTAAAGTTTCAGGTTGAGCTTGATGCAGTCATTGGAAGGGAGCAAGGTAGCTCGATTTTGCATCATAGTTCTGTCAATTCATTCTTTTTTTTTTTGCCGAAGCACCGACTTTCGCCGACAAAACATCCCTTCCTCATCTGGAGGCCTTCATCTCTGAAGCTTTGAGATGGAGACCAGTGACTCCTGAAGGTGAGTCTCTGAATTGTCGGTCCTGCACCTGAAGTCCACACAGCACCCTGCAGGGTTTCCTCACCGAACTACTGAAGACGTGATTTGGGCAAGTGCTCTCTGAATGATTTGTTGTCCTCAGGATAATCTGACATCCGCCAGCAGGAAAACTATTGCATTCCAGCTGGAACTACGGTAACTGGCAACCACTGGTAAGTCGATGTCCTTCAAGATACAACCTATCAAATTGTCACCGCATCAGGGCCATCTCTCGAGATCCAGAAGTCTATCCCGAGCCCGATGCGTTCAAGCCCCAGCGCTGGATTAATGACCAAGGTTGCTTGAGAGACGATCTCACGTTCTTTGTATTTGGGTTTGGTCGGTGGTAAGTACTGTCTTGCAAGATATACTTTCTTTGATTGCCCTTCCTTCCAGCGTATGTCCAGGTCAACATGTTGCGAACAGGTAACAGTTCTTTCCACACACATGATTTTCCGATCTCATTTGGAATGTTACAGATCAGTGTTCATAAATTTGCTTCTTATTCTTTGGGCCTTCCAGCTCAGTCTGGATCCTACGAAGCTGCAGGATGACATGGGGTTCACGAATGTGATGATGCTAAATGACCCTTGCACTATTGAATTTCAGACAAGGGTTCCAGAAGCGGAGCTTAGGCGTATGATGCAGAATCATCCTGAGTCTGGGTGAGAAGCCATAAATTAATATTCCAATACCAATACTAGAAATGGGGCCAAACTTCGTTGGCAGTAACCTTGTTTACTGTTTCTGTACAGTTTAAAGTAGCAAACGAGCTTCCGAAGTTCTGGGAAGTTTTGTGTACAAACATTACATAGTGAGATACATTTTTGTACAGAGGTGCGAGGCTGCAATCCTTGAGTTATTGAGTGATGAATTTTTGAGCATATTGGTAGGAATATATGTAGTACAACAACATTTGTTACACATTTGGAGATCCTTTGAGTACTAGCCTGCACAATGTTCAACTGTGGAAGGTAATTAGTGTATGAACAATGATGATGCCAATGCTGAGTGAATAGACTGAACACATACCACAAATTTTCAAGGTGAAGACCCAGATCCTCTGATTGGTCATTTTCCTTTATTGGGTCGTTCTGTTGAAGGTCCTGCATTGAGGTGGTGATGTTTAAAGGGGCTGGTTGGCATGGCTGCTGGTGGTGAGAGTACAATGAGTTCTTGTAAAATGGAATTGAAAATGTTGTGCTTCGATTTGTTGATGCAATGATGGCAACATGCCATGTGAACTTCCACAAGTGCTCCTTTGAGTTTTGATTCGTATTGAAGGGGTGGGATCAGAACGTGGTTCTCGTCGTATGCTGGTAACAGGCATATATCATGAGTGGATACAAGATCCTCCAAATGACCTTTACACCGTTCCGCAACTGGCCAAGTTGCAATGTTAAATTCGGACCCAAGGCTACTATCTACCGTTGCTAATGAAAATAGATAAATTAGCATATTGACAGTTGAAGATTGTTGTTGTATGTACTGGTCGAGTCATTTCTGTCATTGTCACTCGCATTAGGATCACGCTGGTTTTCGTTGTCTGTTGTCTTAGCCTATTTTATGATATATTGAGTATTGTTAGGGAAGAAGACTGACGAGTGATAGGAACTAGTACTCACTTCGAAGAGGCTGTGAGTTAGTTTAATTGTTCTGTGTCTGAGAGAATCATGGATAACGCTGAGTGTCTCATAATCCCTTTTGCTGGGAACAAGTTTCTCGAAGGCATGGAGATTGTTGAGAATAGCAGGGAAGTCTTCTGATGCAAACTTAAACGAGTTGTTATGCCCTGCAGTGAGCCGACAACTCAATTTTACATCTGATAAGCGGCCGTGAAAGACGTTCGAAGGATCAAAATTGGCGTCTGGCGTGAGATAAAAATCATTCCGACTGATCTGGAATATGCCGCGGACAATAAATTCTTGGTCATCATCTCGACCCTTGGCAATGAGGATGTTGCCTTCCCATTCACCTGGAAATATTCAGCGCGATAAGCGAGCTTTGGTGTAGCAGTGTAGAACCCTCCAGGAGAATTCTGCAGCTTGTCCAATACTGCGGATGCAGCAGAAATTGGAGTACAAGTACTAGAGGATGATGTGGGGGGAGTGGTAGGTGTGTTCGGAGCCATGTGCATTGTGGAATCGTTTGAGATGGTGTCAAGTTAAGGAGACAATGTACTGGTAGCTTGTTTGGCTGTATCTTATGAGGAAAGATGATTATGATCCGTGCAGGGACATGACTCACGCGAGCAGTGGCAATGGCAATGTGACTTCAGATGTAGTCTAAGCAAAATATTTGAAACCTGGAAGTTTTTGTGATCATTTTGGTGACGACATTTGGTGACGTGAATGGGCGCTGGTCAATATTGTTTGACTGACACTGAAGGTAAGGTTGAGTGGTCATTGGATCAGATTTGCGTTCAGAATGAAGAGATTACTAAATTGCCTTCTTTAAAATGGATCATAATTGTGAATTCATCAGTGACCAAGTTAAAATGAGTTTAGACTGTGTGAAGGCAGCAATAGATCGCACAATAGTTGCTGTGTAATAGAGATGAACCTGCATACATGATGTCATGTAGGTCTGCAGACTTTGACTGAGGATGTACAATGGAAGAACTAAGCTAGAGCAACTCATTCAAGTTAGAACATCACACAATGAGAAACATAAGACTTTGAAGTTGAATTCGGTTTCCATGAAGCGGAGCAGCAATGGCTACCATGCTGACTGATGTCCTCTTTGACGATGCTCTCAATATCCTGACCAAGGCAGAAATTTTCGCAGCGGTCCCTCGTTACACTATCACTGAGCGTGTGCTGCGGATGCCATGGCGGGACATATTCCCACTGCTACATGTGCAGCCTGATCACATCAAGGAACTCATTATTGCGGCGGCAGCAAGAAAGTGTTCTGCATCACAAGCAAAGCACACAGAACGTCATGCAGCATGCATGTCTGCTAAGAAACAAGTAAGTTGTGACAGAACCAATAGGATTGCAGATGGGATGACGAACCTTTTAATTGGCAGACTAGTAGTACTTCAGGTGACGTCACAGTGCAATGGACCTTCTGTGCCAGTGCAGGCGGCATGCCCTGAGATTGCTGTGAGCATCCAGCCTGTTTAATCAGAAGAGCCGTCTCCAAGTAGCATGGTAGGGCGCTCCTTTGAGGACTTCATAAGTATTCCAACTGTCGAGGAGAAAAAGGTGTGTTACCGGGAGTTCATAGCAGCAACAAGCAATGATGCGTTCGTAATGTCTATTTGTGTAGTGTGCGTGAGAGAGTTGAGTCAGCAGTGATGGTAAGTAGTTCCCAGCACGGTTCAAAATTACCGAGACTTACTAAGTTGAACACATGAAGGAAAGCAACATCAACTGTTGGACATTCCCAACATAACAGAACTTCTTGTTCCTCAAAAACCTCATGCCTGCCAACAATTATGGGAGGGAATTCTCATGGAGCATACCTTTATTGAAGGAGCAGGAGCGACAGCAATGGGATGGGTGTGCAATGAGTGTCACTGCTCATTGGTCTCGAAGTCTCTACCGAAGTTTTTCGCTGGCAAATAACCTTTGGGTTGGTGCTATTCCATTCGAACTTAGTCGACTTTCCTTTCTGGAATCACTACTGATTGCAAGGCACTATCCTCAATGCTACATCACCAAACTTTTCCGAAGGATGGTCGTTGCGATCCTGCGCACCTACAGCATTCAATTATGGGCAACTGTGTCTCTTTTTGACATGAACACAAGTGGAAGTTACCAAAATGGTGGAAGGGCAACTGATGCCACAACCAGGAGTGGCGCTGGCATCTGTGCTTGCGGTGACATTTTTAGGGAAGCAGAAGCTACCTAAAAACTGGTTGAAATCAACATTTTGTGTCCAATGTTCTGCAGTCCATGATGCACTGTGATGGTTGAAATCAAACAATGCCATGTACACTGACATCAAAATCTCACAAGAGCGTCTTCAAGCATTGCCTAGAGGATGATGTACCCAATGAAATCACTGACCTTATTCGCCATGAGGAGGATGATGTGGTCAGCAGAACGTGAGCGTGCATCGTACATTCCAAGTGATGGTGAGTGGCAACTGGAATTTGAAGAGACCTGGATTGTTGATTATAATTGTCGAAGTTGAACCGGATGTGGAAAACGACAATGAGTTAGGAGAAGTGGGGAGCGAAAATGGCAGCATAATGGAGAATGATGTTTCAGGGAACGGTACTTACACATCTCCCAATGTTCTCTATACATATTGATGAGACGTAAAATCTTAAGGCGCGAATGTAATTCCCTTACAATACTTAGGAGTTTCAGATGTGGATTTAAGCAACCTCCCATTGAATGAAGTGATGATGTTTGCACTCACAAATATTGAGGACACATCAAAAGAAGGGGGATATGCTGTTTGCCATAGCCATGCTCCAGGTATTGGACTTTGGCATGCCCTGTCCTGGAGAGTCCCATGGCCCGCGTCATAGTCAATCCACTGGCAGCTGCCTTTCCTCTTCTATTTCCATATGGCATTGGAGAAATTGAGGAAGAGAGAAAGAAGTCCATAGGATTCAACTGAGCATGTCCGATGGGCCTTGCAGTATCATGATCGGCGTTTCCGCACATACCACTCTTTTCCGTTTGTCATCTTCGGGATTTCACAGAAGTGGGAAGCTCTTGGATCTGCGAGGGTACAGATGAAGCGGCGCGACTTTGATAGCGATGCTTTGGCTCTGGCTTCGCTGATGGTTGCAGATTTGAAGAAGGCTGAAAAGGAAGAGGCGAACAGATTGCCGATCAGTAATCCCCATGTTTGCCTTCTCCGAAAGCATGTCTTTGCCACCAGTGGGCGTGTCATGGGCTCAGATCCCTCACATGCAGCTTATCAAGGAAAGATTTGGGGAACATGTTTGACTCTCTGTGGTCCATCAATCTGGTTGACCATCAACCCAAGCGATCTTCACGATCCAATTGCCCAGGTGCTCGTTGGAGAGGATATCAATATGGATGCATTCAACTCTTTCCTTGGCCCAAACAGCAATAAACGAGCACACAATATAGCTAAGGACCCATATGCAGCGGCCAAGGTCTTCTTCTTTGTTGTAGAGACGGTCCTTGAAACACTGTTCCAGATCAGAGTGAAAGGCTCGCACGTTCTGCACAAAAAGGGCTTACTTGGTCATATGAGTGGGTATTTTGGTGTTGTTGAATCACAGGGTCGAGGAATGTTGCACATCCATACACTTATTTGGCTGAAGGATGCTCCCAATAGTGAGGAGATGCGTCATCTCTTGCAGTCAGAGGATTTCCGCGAGCGCATCAGGGCATATATTCGTGAAAACATCAAGGCACATCTTGATGCCCTTTCCGAGGATACCATTCGAGCCATGCCCCGCGAGAGCAAGCTTCCATACTCTCGCCCTCCTAATCCAGGTCTACCTGACTGGGAGGCACAGCTGAAGGAGCAAGAATGTCGAGCAGTGCGCTCGCAGCAAATTCATACCTGCAAACAGTCAACTTGTCTTCGTATCAATCAGTTTGGAAAACTGGAGTGTAAGCGACAGGCACCTTGGGAGTTATTGGACGATGATGTCATTGATGAGCACGGCAATTGGAGACCACGGCGATCCTATGCATACTTGAACAACTATTGTCCAACAATATCGACGACACTGCATTGCAATAACAACATCAAGCTGATTACAAACGGCCACTGATACAAATGATGTTACATGGTACATGTCAGCCTATCAAACCAAGAAGCAGGGGAATACACACAACCTTTCTGCACTTATGGCAAACTCTCTCATGTACCATCAAGAGCACTCCTCACCTGATGATGACCTTTTTGAACGAAATCGGCTTCTCTTATTTCGCTGCCACCACACTATAAATCGCAAAGCTGAGATTGCTGGTCCCCTTGTCATGGCTTACCTGATGGGCTGGGGAGACACCATCTGTTCACATCATTTATGTCTCACTCATAATATGTGAAGTCCCATTGAAGCAGAGGTCAGTTCCTGCAAGTGAATTCGTAAATCATTCCTTACCATTACTACTCCAGAGATACATCCAACCAGCAAGAACAAGGTGCTGAGGATTCAGACTCGGAGGCAGATGAGCACCAACAAGGTGATATCGACAATGTTGACATTGTGAGTACACCTGAAGGGCACGTGTCAATACAGTCAATTGAGTTGTTTTATACAGGGCAATGAAGATGTTACCCTTAGAATAGACTCCAACGGCAAGCTGTCCACACATTCGCAGATACTCGACTACCAGCTGAGAGGAGAGGAGTCAGAAGACGTGTCAATTCTTGCATTCTTGATCAATACATACGAGGAGAGAATCACTGCGCCAAAGCAGCAAGCAGTGATGTCCATGTCAGAACAAACACCTTCATCTCCGAGAGGGCGGCCACGTAATCCTCGCTCCTGCTACCTATCTGATCATCCAAAACATTCAACACACTGGCGAGTTACACGCTCTGCAGGGCATAACACTCTCCCTAATATAGTCGGGCCCTGGTTTCCTCGAAGTGATGATGAAGTTATCCACAATTACTACTGCGCTTCAATGCTGTCCCTGTTGAAACCTTGGCGGCAGTTGGCACAGCTGAAAACCGAGCAGCAGACATAGGAGGAAGCATTTTGAGCCTTCACAGCGACTGCCAGCATGTGGGAACGAGACATTGTGGCTGGTGCTCAGTATTATTATGAGTGGAAGACAGCTGCTGAGAGACAATCGAAGGAGAGGAATGGAAACAGCAAAGTTGGCGAAGGTCCTGGGTTGCAGCGACAACATCACGCCATCAACAAACCTGGGTCAGACTCAGAACTGCCCCCACCAGAATTCATCACCGAGGTCGTGCAGCTGACGGAGGAGGGCCTCGAGGAGTACAAGAGGACTCAAGTCTCTGTTTGTGAGGAACAGCATGGCATAGCAGCCGTGAACATTGGCCAACTGAAGAATGTGTTCAGCACCGTGGATAACAATGAGTGGGCAGTGTCTCAAACTCACCATATTGGTATTGCTGCTGGAGACGATCTTGCATGACTTGAAAATTGGCGACAGCAGCTGGTGGCCGACAGTGTAAACCACAGCCACAGTGAAGATAGGTTGCATGAAGGAGTGGATCGCGAGGGTGACGTGACAATGATGGGCCCGTTAGACAACCTAAATGACAACGATGAAGATGGCATGGAAAGTGGGAGTGTTGAAGCACTAGCGAATTTGCGTGTCGCATATCTCCAAGATTCTGTTATGCCCATGGACTCCTCTTGCCTGCATCCTGATCAGCAACGAGCCTTCAATATCATTGATTGGCATATGAGGGCAACTCTCGCTGGCCAGAACCCGCCACAGCTACTAATGATCATTCCTGGAGAGGGAGGCGTTGGCAAATCAAAGACTATTCAAACCATCACGGAGAACTTTGTTGCTCATGGAGCTGGAGGGCGTCTGGTGAAAGCTGCATATACAGGCATTGCAGCATCTCTTATTGGTGGAAAAACACTGCACATAGTAGCCTGCATACTAGTCAAGGGAAATTAAAACCAGTCCGCTCGTGTAAAGAGGAAGCTTACAGCATTCTGGGCAGACAAGCTATATCTCATTGTTGATGAGGTTTCAATGGTTGGGCGTGCTTTTCTCGCGAAGTTGTCATGCATACTCTCAATTGCAAAGTCTGGATCTGGCGGCAGTGACAAGGCATTTGGAGGTCTCCACGTCATTATCATTGGAGATTTCCATCAATTTCCCCCTGTAGCAAATCACAAATCTGCCCCACTATTCTGGCCATGCGACACAGCCAGAGACACCACAGACGAGCAGCTGGGTTGAAAATTTTATGAGGAGTTTACAGTAGTGGTCCGATTGAAGGAACAAGTGTGAGTAACAGATCCTGAGTGGCATGATCTATTGCAACATGTTCATTATGGGAACTGTCGCAAACACCACATTGAGCTGCTTTGCTCGCACATTGTCACTAATCCAAACTGTCCTCCGACAAATTTTGGTACAGCTCTATGGAATAGCGCGGTGCTCATAACACCCCGTCATGCTGTGCGCACGTGATGGAATGTTGCCATGGGTCACAAATTCTGCAAGAGAACAAACAGCCAATTATTAGTATCCCCTGCATACGACACAATCCATGGACGCCTACTTACATTAGAAGAGCACTTTGCAGTGGCAATGAAGCCAAAGAAAGGAAGCAGCCGAGGAGCAAGGGGAGGACTGCCAAATGAGGTTGAACTTGCGATCAGGTTGAAGGTGATGGTGACATTCAACATTGAGACAGACCTTGATGTGGCGAATGGAGCACAGGGGGAGATCGTGGATATAGTCTTGGACGAGAGAGAAACAGCATACTCGGGGACGAGTGCCAGGGCCAAACTACAATATCCTCCAGCATATGTTCTTGTCAAGCTAGACCGCATGAAGGCAGCCAAACTTGAGAGCCTAGAGCAAGGTGTGTTACCGATAACGCCGATGCAGAAAACATTCAGCATTCACACACCTGGGGGCAAAAAGAAGACAGTGACACGTAGCCAGCTGCCACTGACATCCACGTATGCATTCACTGACTACAGGTCACAAGGACAAACAATTAGCCACTCAATAATAGACATTGGCACTCCACCCAGCGTGAAACTCACTCTGTTTAACACATATGTTGCACTATCACGTGGACATGGCAAAGATAATATATGTTTGCTCTGAGACTTTGACAAGCACTTGTTTACCACACATCCGTGTGAATATCTCAGAGTGGAGGACAAAAGGCTGGAGAGATTGGATAAAGAGACGAGAATTTGGTGGGAAGAAAAGAAGAAACTCGGGATGTAATCATTAGAACAGATAATATTGATATTTCAATGCATTTGCATGCGAGACACCCCAGCGCAGAAAGAATCTTTGTGCGTTCGACCAGATACCTTGTACTTACTACGGCCAAGAATGTCGCGGGAGCTGATTCAGTGTTGAGACGGAGTGTCAAATTCTGGACACTCGCGCCACAATTATGCCTCTTGGTGACCTTGGTAAACAAGGTAACCAACTCCGCTTGCCCTTCTGACAAATTTGACTTGACACAGTTTAGTGATCAGTGTTTCCTCATGTATATTGTACTATAGCTGCTTGGGTGTATTGTCACTGCATTGCCCAGCACATTTCCATTCAGTCTTTCATGCCCTCCGTGGATGTTGTACCCCAGCTATTGTTTTCCTCCTGACACATGATTTTATCTATGTTTTAGCACACCTTCTTCGTTCCGCGATGGATATTGACAATGTAGTGGCCAGGTGGTTCTAGGCTTACTGTCATACACCATATATCCGGTGACAGATCCGATGATCCGGATCTCAGATCCGATCCAGATCCGATGAACATATCCGTCGTCCGGTCCACAGATCCACTTTGATTCGTATTTCATTTCCTGTTCATATAACTCTAACTATCGTTCATCTCCTTTCGGTATTCCTGTACACCGGTATACTGGTTATCCTTTACTTCCGCTTTGCTTACTGATCCACTACACTTATGAATCCGCTTTTACTTGTACTTCATTCCCGGTTCATGATTCGTGATCCATCCGACTTACCAATACGCTCCACTTAGACTTTGCTTATACTTTCATACATAGCCTCGCACCTTTGCTTATTGATCATTCCGTTAGCTATCCGTAGTATATAAACCTTTGTATATGCGCTGTAGTAGATCAGTTCGAATATCATCTTAGATTGCACTCATTCCGTCTGGACTCTAAAGTCCCTCCGTTATCCGTCCGGACTTGAGTACGCTACTCTTGTCTACTCCGAGACTTAGGATAGATTCCTATAGTCTACATATCCGCCTCTGTCTTCGGACAGTCCTCACCCGTTAGTTTCTAGTCCAGATCCGATCCGGATTAGCCGTTACTCTATACGTTCGATATCCGGAAGTCTTAATGGATCCGTTGCAATACTTATCCATTACAATACTTAACCGTCTCACTAGACACGATACTTTAGCTCTCTGAAATAAGGGGCAAGACTCAAGAAAGGGGCACAGCGCACGAGCTGAGGCCGAAGCCCTTCGGATCCGATACTACTTGAGTACGGTCTTAACACTTACCCTGATTTGACACAGCTGTTTCTTCGGCCAAGTATAAAATATATGTGCACTCCTCATACATTGATATGCTAACCTCAGTCTTCTCTCTTTCAAACCCATCCTACGCAGTGGTACAAGACCCATGAGTCGAAAGCTCCTACCGCAGCAGGTGATATTGGCAATAACCGCACTTTGTCTGCCTCGGACACAGTTGTTTGGGGGCCGCAGTAACCGGACAGCTTCAATCTCCGTAATGTATTTGTGCAAGCGCATATGAAAATACACTTTGATCTGACAGGACCTTCGCTACGAAGTATAGAAAGTCTCTCTCAAGAAAACAGAATTCTTGAATCCTGACAGCCCTTCTGTCCTTCCTGGCACATCCAAGGTTCTTGCCCCAAAAACATTTTCCAGACCCATACTACTTACAAGCTACCACTTGTTTCTTTAACCTGAGGCATGAAATTTTTGTAAATGTGTGGGACCACTGCGATGCCCAGCGCCCTCTTATTTGGTTCAAGTCATTTGACACCTCAAATTCTCGAACACTCTACTACCACCAGCACTGACATGTGCTGCAAGACGACCTACTGTCAGCACATTGATTCAGATCAAAGGTGTCATAACAAAGTTCGGAGGGCTACCACAGACTCGAGGACATTTGCTCCTGCCACTTTTCCACCCTCCAGCCAGCAACCTTCCTCGATGGCGGAGTGGACTCACATGTGGCATGAATTAGTCAGTAAAACCACCCACTGCTAACACTCTCGATGTACTTCCCCATCCTAACTGTGCCAATCTGGTCCGTGGTACTCAAGTTAGCTCAAGCAAGTTGTTGTTGCAACTGTATCTGAGCTGCAAAATATATACGGTGTACGATGGATTACCAGTCTGAGGGAGGTGACACCATTAAATTTATGAATGCTTCAAAGTGCACACGTAAGCTTGACCGTTGTAACGCTGGCCAGTGCTATCAACATATTCACAATTAATGGCTCTCGCTGACCGGACAGACTGGATGTACAGACAGACAGCTGCGGATTTTCGAGAAACCAGGTACCCTCCTCTCTCCGCCAAGTCTTGGGATCCAAAGAATCTTTCTGTCTCCTCATCCAAACAATGAATGTTCAACAAGAGAATCTAGACCTTGTCAAGGAACGAGACTACTACTGGGCTGAATGCGCTACAACAAATACTCAGTTGGCCTCTATGGAGAACACAATCGAAGGCATATCTCATTTGCATCTTGGCAAGTGTCGCGTCCATTGCAATGTGCTGGGTGTTTACGGAGCAACTTTCCCAGTGTAACGAAGCCACTGAAGCCAAAGGGAGCATTCTAGGACTATCCCGGGGTTTCAAATCTCTAGAGCGTGGTTGGTAACTAACAGGACCCCGCCAGTGGGAATATATATGAATGGATACCAAAGCACACGAGATATTTTAGATATCTTATTCGGCAAGTCATAGATCGACGATGGAGAGCTCCATAGTACTCGTTTCTTGCCGTTTGACTTTTATCGTCAGATCGATCGAAGCAACTTGCAGAAGACTTGCTGTTACGCTCGTCAAAAGCTAACCTCGGTTATTGGTCCTAACAACCAATAACCTCGTTGGCATCCTCCTTATTCCTTTACCTTCCTTATTTTTCTTGAGATTACTTCAGACATAGAACCCTACAGTATATAAAGCCTTGTTTACCTACTGCTAGGGTAGTTGATCCTTTCCCCCCTGAATATGATTTAGTTCGGACAGTTCTCCCTCGTTCGAAACCTAAGTTTATTCACTTGAAGTCAACTCTTACCGTGTGAACACTTTACAAGTGCCACATATTTTGAACTTCCTTAAATCTAAATCTACCTCCATACTACGGCCGCCGCCCTCAAAGGACTGATCACCCTTTGAAACGACGACCCTTCTCACTACCCCTATCTCCCAACAACTCCCGCAACTATGTCGACAAAAGAAAATGTACCTGGTACCTATCCACTCGGCTCCCCGACCCCAACAGGCGGGTTGAGCCTCAACGCAGGCGCTCTCCACCTCGGTGTTGAGAGCGCATGGACTCGTGATGAATTAATCATCGCTGGAACCGAGAGATCGAGCAGTAGGGGGGCTGAACCCCCGACTATCGACCAACTCTCAACAGACTCGTGGATGGGTGCTCTGGGAGCCCCATCCAAAGCAAGCACCCTATCCTTAAGGGTAGGCAAAAGTGCAGGCATCGCGCCTGACGATGGCGAGGGTTCTGCCGCAATGAGCATAAGCCCAGTTACTAGGCAGTGTGGATGGGTTGCACACCTCCCACATTAAGCCTCGCGTACATAGAAATGTAAATTTTGACGCCATCAATAACAATATCAGCTGGTTTGACTTAAGGTAGAAGTCACGAAAAAGCAACAAACCTCACGTGAGGTGACAGAGTGTGATGCTGTGCAAGATGGTCGATGCCAAATCTGTCGAACATGCCAGAGTGTATGTAGTGGTGGTGTATATGAAAAGTTGTGTTTATGCTATGATGGATCTGTGATATAAAGTGTATATAAAGTTGAGAAATACACAAATAGTCTTGCAAGTTGCAGGGACATATTGTTTGACAAGATACTAATGTCTGAAGTCCCCCAAGGGGACCTGTACCTGCCAATAGTCAATTCTGGTGGATCTGTACATCCTCTGCAATGAAACTGGGCGCTGATACAGTGTTTTCGAAATTTTCGTCATTCTGTGACTTGGAATTAGAACCTATTTGGTCCTTGGTTTTTTGGATGCTTGCCATGCAGCAAGACCATCAGCAGATTCAGCACACTGTTTTCACCATTTTGTTGTTGCGCTCTGAATCTATGAGTCGGCAATGCCACAGCTTCGCGTCGGACTTTCAGATTTACAGTCTGCCGGCAGCACACTTTCAAGAACATTGATTATCTCACTCACTAGTTCAATTCTTATAGTTCTAAAAAGATGAGTTTATGCATAGAATAACTCTCGTCAATGCCATCTTTTCAACTTTTCTAATCATGAGCTCTACAGTAAGTTAATCGTTATTTTCTATTTGTCACGATTCTGTAACATTTTATCACGTGATGTTTGTCGCTTTTTTCGTGACTTCTACCTTACCTAACGACGGAGACCTCGGCGAGTTCCCAGTACTGAACCCAATAGTGTCAGTCCTCTCTACACCCAGGATTCCCTCTGAATTGAAGGGAAAGGGTATTGACCCGGCTGAAATTCCCCACAATAGGGGTAATGTTGATGAACCTAATGACTGGTTCAATCAGTGGTCTGACCTGGACGATCACGTAGCTAAGTTGAGCAAACCTGGTCCAGGAGAATCGGAAGATTCCCTCCAAGATCTCTGGGATGATAACAACCAGCGTGAATCAATCCAGGTACAAAACCTAGCCTTGCGATGGTTCCGCAAGGCAGCTAAAGAGGACATCAAAGAGCACCTGTCTCGAATTGACATGCTCCAGGAACAAGTCCGTGGACTAGAAAAACTCGTGATCCAAAATCAATTACGAGAAGACGAAGCCTGTCGACAAGTGACGGACACTCACCATGCCCCAACTGCAAGGGCACCACAGACTACTGATCCTCCTAGACCTATTAAGCCTGAGAAGGTTAAATCCTCGGCGAAGGACAGAGGAAACCCTCCAAGAGTGAAATCTGTGGAGAGCTCCTGATTCCAATGAGCCTCATCTGTCCTATCCTACCGGAAGCTCTGTAAAACAAGCAATGACTGGATTGTCCCACGAAGACATTGGTCCAAGCGATTCAGATTCGTCATCCTCTGATGACAATGAGTGGTCTTCTACTGAATCAGAGACCTAAACACCAACCTAAGAAAGGGTCAGCAGAAACCAAGTATCCCAGGAAGATAACTACGGGGTTGACTTCTTAGCATTGGAACCAGAGTTGGATCACGACAGTGACTCACCTGAGACTAAATGAGCTAAGTGAATAGCACGTCGCGAATACAGAGCTGAAACTGAACCTGTTGAAGTATCAACAGAGCTTCATTAAGAATGAACCACCATTTACTTACAATGGGGAAGCGAACGCGACCACATTTAAGAAATGGTTAGAGAAGTCCGTGAGTGGAAAGACCAGGCCAGACTCACCACGACTCAATCCCTTCGAATGATAGGGAAGTATTTAGGAGGCCAGGCCTATAGGTTCTTCGAAAGAGACATCCTTGACCTGAAGAAAGGTTACTCCCTGACAGAGTTCTTCGAGCAACTCTTCAACTATGTGTTCCCACCTGACTTCCGGATGCTACAACGTCAGAAATTCCTAGACTGTATGCAGGAAGGAAAATTCACCATACAGGACTATCTTAGATGATTGCGCGACCTAGCTGACACCACCGGTGACATTGACGAGAGGGAAATAGTGCTGTCAGTTTTGGACGCATTGCAAACCCTATATCAAAGCTTCCTTAGTAGACAAGGGTTACGAACCAAATTCTGTCAGTCTCGACATGATTGAGAAGAAGGCACTGCATACTGAACTGTGCATTCCTTGAGAACTCTCACGACCCCAACATGTTGCTTCGCGTTGAACCCCACCGCTGCCGCGGGAATTACCAGCCAGAGTATGAGGAATGAAAGGCGACCCAGAAACAATTTCAGACCTCGACGAACTGACACAAGGGAACTGTACCTCTTCCATATCTGCTAACTGCTGTTCACTCCTCTGGCGACCAACATAGTAGGACTAAGAGACGAGACCACCACGGGACGCGACAGTCTGCTCCCCAAAGAACTCCTGGAAATGCACCTAAAAGAAGTGCTGATGAGATCAAGCGCCTAAGAGACAATGATCAGTGCTTTGAATGTGAGCAGAGAGGACACTTAGCCAAAGATTGCCCTAAATACCATAGACTGCCCTACAAACCCCAGTCTAAAGTATCTAACCTCCAAGTACACTCAGTTGCTGTAACCGACGCAGATATCAGAGCTGCTGCGATAGAAGAAGGGGTTGCTCATGGTCTATATGGAATGGCTGTCAGCCTTGACAAGCCATCGGAACTCGATGCTACTGAAAGGTTGGTTGTCATATCCCAATCTCTGGGTCTCCTTCATCTTGCAGTTCCTTTACCCACGGACAAACTCCATGACCCCTTGTATGACCCCTATGGGAAAGATTGGTTTAGCCTAGCGATGCATGGAGGACCAAACACCTTCCTCCTATCCGATAAACACAACTACGACGATTATATCGTCTACTACAAACAGTTGTGCGACCCCACATTTGACATAGTGGCTTGGCTGATTGATTTAAAGCTAAAGTTTGTTCAAGATTTAGTACGTACCAAATCTTCCTTCAAACCAACCTGGGGTGGTGTAGTTCACGACTCCACATGGGTTTCCCCCAACGTGAAATGCCTAGAGGACAACCCTGTGTGCAAACTCCCAGTACCATTCCCTGCCCCTGAGGAACAGGACTCCGAGTCAGAATGGGAGACTACAGACGAGGAAGACTTTACTAGCGGGTTCTCATCTTGGGAGACCATTGAGGATGGTGATGTTCCTGTCCTTGTAGACTACGAGACGTCCGACAGTGAAGACTCCATAGGAAAAGATAGAGAGGAGACGGCGGAAGAGGACTCTGACCCTGAAGGACCAATGTTCTCATTCCTAGACCCCACTGAATTCCTTGAGACTGAAGAACCTACCAATGAGCTGTACTGTGCCGGCAACTCGAAACAAGCTGACCTACCTGACCTTCAATCCCTCCAAAGACAGGCAGCCCGGTGTGATGACAAGATATGGCTGGGCTGTAGGTAAAAGCACCAAACCAAAATATATGAGTCTCCTGCTCTCCTAGCTGCTACTCTTGCTAGCAAGAACGTTCGACCCTAACGCTCCTAGATGGAAAAGATGCTTACGAGCAGATCTGGGTCATACCCGAAGACATACACAAAACCCTCTTTGCTACCCCTGATGGTACAATGATCAGCCATGTTATGCAAATAGGAGACTGCAACGCAGGAGCAACGTACCAGTCGCTGATGAACCACATATTTGGCCTGCACTTAGGCATCTTCATGGACGTCTACCTAGACGACATAGTGATCTACTCAGATACCGCTGAGGATCATGTCAAACACGTTAAGATCGTTATTGATACCCTACAGGAGCATCACTTTTACCTTAGCAAGCACAAATTGCAGTTCTTCAAGCATGAGCTCTCAATCCTGGGTCATGTCATTGATGATGGAGGAATCCGCCTTGATCCACATAAAGTCGATAAGATAGTGAGCTGGAAAACACCTACCTCCAAGGAACTCTTGATGCAGTTTATAGGCTCAGTAGGTTACCTAGCTACTGGATGCAAAGGTGTGCGTGTTGACATGCAGCACTTGTCCAAGGTCGCAGCTCAGACAACTAAGTGGTACTGGAACCCCTCTAATCAGCGGGCTTTCGACTTGGTCAAAGCATGCATCGAGACACACCGGAATGTAAGGCGTAAAGCCCTCGACCTACCCTCTGCTCTGAATGGGACGACATTAGTGAACCTAATGACCGACGCTTCTCTAACAGGCGCGAGTGGAGTCCTGTCTCAAGGCAATGACCTACCCAAAGCTGATGTCATTGCCTTCTGGTCCGGCAAGTTTAACTCTGCGCAACAAAATTACCCTGTTCACGAACAGGAACTGTTAGCAATTGTCGAGTCCCTTAAGCGATTCCGACACTTACTCATTGGACTCAGGTTCAGAATCTTTACTGATCACAAGGGCCTGGAGTGGATTACCACCCAAAGCAAACTCTCCCCTAGACAAGCACGCTGGCTAGAAGCATTGAGCGAGTTTGACTTTGAGATCATTTACATACTGGGCTTCAAAAACACTCTGGCCAATGCTCTTTCACGCATGTACAGCAATGAACCTCGCGGTACTGTGCAAGCATTTAGTGAATATGTGAGTGTAGAGGAGGAAGACTCACCTCAGGCTCTCCTCCTTAATTTCATAACGGCCCCTGTCTACACTGGTACCCCCCTGTTCCTGGGCGCGACCGAGGCATGTCGTTCTGCTCGCATAGCCCAAACTCAAGTCAGCAGTGGCCTATCACCTGGAGTGACCCCACCTACAAGCCAAAAGCGTAAGTCGTGCGTCGCCGATACCCCAGCCGCACCACTGAGTGAGCCCAATCCAACGACTGAAGAGAAACCGGTGTCACCAGTGTACCTGGACGCATATTACCCTCCTGCAGAACAGGACGGTGTGACCATGCCGGAGGGCATGCCCACTGTCAACGACACTGAAAATGACTTGAGATCACTTACCGGTCGAATTCACGCAAAGGGAGGGCATCTCAGCGAACCTATAGTCCACCAGCAGGTGGAAGGAGGAAACCCCGCGCACACAAGCACTGGACAAAGGGCAGCACCAGGAGAGCCAAAGACAAAAGTCAAGAGAGTGATCCTGAAAGTTGGAACCCCATCAGCATCACTGGAGGGCAGGAATAGAGCTAACAAGGAAAACTCACCTGCTAAGCCTGCACTAACTCCACATGTACCTGCTCCAATAACCAGCACCTTGCCATCCACAGAGAGAACACCTAGCATAGGTCAAACGGACAAACTAAGTCCAAATGCAGTCAGCGTGGTAACTGATGTCAACAAACAACCAGCAAACATGGACCTACAAAGTCACGTGACCACTGACATCAATGAACTGAAGCAGGATATTCAACAAAGAGACACTGCTGAAGCCCTACTTGAGAACCCTCCCACCCTCACTGAGGTTATATCTCTTGGTGATCCGTTGACGGACATTCACGCAAGCATCGTAAATAGATACGCTGAGGACCCCTTCTTTGCTAAGATCATTGAAAATCCCGCTGCTTTAAAGAACTTTGAGGTTAGTAATAGAAGAGTCTTCATGAAAGACAAGGGTAAACGGATCCTCTGCATCCCAGATATCTGTCTTGGCGAAAGACGCATCAGGGAGATTCTAATCTCCCATGCACACTCCATCCTCGCGCACCTTGGACCACACAAAACATTACTTTACTTACGCGAAAATGTCTGGTGGAAATGCATCGCATCGGACGTCGACACATTCTGTAAGTCCTGCCTGACTTGCCAAGTCGCCAAACCCTCAAACCACCTACCATATGGTCTACTAGAAACATTAGAGGTCCCCTCATGCCCATGGGAGACCGTAGGAATTGACTTTGTAGGCCCACTCCCCGAATCCAAAACCCTCCACAGCGTTTTCGACATGATCCTGGTTGCCATAGATCACCTTACCTCGATGGTACATTTGACGCCGATGAAACAGATGTATCGCGCCAAGGACATAGCGGAAGTCCTTTTCAACTCCATGTATAAACTTCATGGCATGCCCTCTCACTTAGTAAGTGATAGAGACACCCTCTTCACTAGTACCTTCTGGCAACAGTTCCACCAGCTTACAGGGGTGGAACTTCGCATGTCAACGTCATTTCATCCCCAGTCAGACGGGGCCACAGAATGTGCTAACAGGACACTCGCCCAAATGCTTCACTCATTAGTATCACCGCATCAGTGAGATTGGGCCATTAAGCTTCCGGCCATCGAGTTCGCCATGAACCTTGCATGTTCGAGCACCACCGGGTACCCCCCCGTTCCTACTTAACCATGGTAGGCTACCCACTCCCTTCATTTGGAATACCAATTCTGAATACCCTGGTGTCAGAGTTTACCTCCAATCTATGAAGGATGCAACCATGGCTGCACATGACACAGTCATCGCCGCCCGTGTGAAAAGCACCTCGAGTGCTAACCAAAAGCACAGGGAATCCCCTTTTGTCAAAGGAGATCTCGTTTACCTCTCGACGGAGAACCTCTCCCTACCAAAGGGACGAGCCCGCAAACTCTCACCAAAGTTCATTGGCCCCTTCCGCATCCTAACGGATTACAAGAACAATTCATTCTTGTTGGACTTGCCATCAGAACTCAAACAACGAGGCGTCCACCCCACGTTTCACACCAACCTCCTTCGCCTCCATGTACCGAACAACGATAGATGCTTCCCGGGTCGACAACTCAAGCAGATTGCTGATATCGGGATCTCGGAGGACTGGTCAGTCTCCCGGATCTCGGACCACCACAGTCAAGGTACTGATGCTCTGTTTAAAGTGGAATATACATCTGGCGACCACATTTGGTTGCCCTTCCACTCAATCTCGCGTCTTGAGGCACTTGGTCAGTACCTTGAGGCTCTAGGGTACCCAGGATACACCACTTACTAAAAAAGACCTCGCCTAACGCTACAGATATTGTGTTCACAACGGTTGACTCCTTTGAGGAGGCTCGCAATATTGTGAATTCATCTGTGAGCTCCCTACTTGAGGATCTAAGCGACTCACCCTTCGGACGATTCTCCGATGTCCAGGCCTTAAAAGACGCTGGCCTAAGTCGTCCTCAGTCCCCCTCACCTCGACCCTTGCCTATGTCACTCCCTACCCCTGATCCCATGATGGTTGATGCTCCCTCCACCCTCAGCAAAGCTGGCGAGCTCCCCTACTTCCCTCGTCGCGAGACTTCCTTTCATCGAGGACGCGGTGGTTGTCGCCATGGAGGATGTTGTGGTCGTGGTCACCCTTCCCTCCCTGGAGAGTCAAACTCCGATACTTTCCAGGCATTTACCCAGTTCTTCCGAGCTGAGGCACAGGCTAGTAAGCTTCCTGTGTTTGTTACACCCAGGCGTCATTCTGATCGTGGCAACCCTCACTATACAGAGGAATTAGCCATGCGGAAAGAAGCCCATGCCTTTGAGCAGAAAGTTCGTGCTGAGCGGGCACGCGAGCTTTCCCGTCGTCAGTACTCTCATAGGCCTAGGCACTTGACCCTGGACAACCGCACACTTGAGCGCCACCAACCCCTTCGTGCTCATCCTGCCCCTCCCCAGGCAAAGATCTCCCCTCAGCCTCCTCCTCCCACAGCAGCCCAAGTAATCGCTGCTGTCACCTGCTGCCACACCTGCCTCTCCTCCTTCACCTACTGCACCTCCTGCTACTGCCCCTGTTGACCCTGGGGCAGATATTGACTTGCTCATCGCTGAGTCTGAAGCCATGGATCTTGAAGCAGAAGCGCGCCAGCACGGTTTCACTAATACTGAGGAGATGTTTGGTAGGGTGGTCATTGTTTGCTGCTTGGTGACCAACTTCCTCACCCTGTTTGCCCTTTTAGCGGCCATGAACCTTCAGGCTGCCGCTGCTGCTCAAACCTAGCCATTACTCACTTCACTCTTAGTTGAGGTCACCTCTAGCTGACCTGGAGGGTGTATGTTATGCTTGTCAAAAGCTAACCTCGGTTATTGGTCCTAACAACCAATAACCTCATTGGCATCCTCCTTATTCCTTTACCTTCCTTATTTTTCTTTAGATTACTTAAGACATAGAACCCTACAGTATATAAAGCCTTGTTTACCTACTGCTAGGGTAGTTGATCCTTTCCCCCCCGAATATGATTTAGTTCGGACAGTTCTCCCTCGTTCGAAACCTAAGTTTATTCACTCGAAGTCAACTCTTACCGTGTGAACACTTTACAAGTGCCACACTTGCTGTCAATTTGCTGATCCGTGCATGATGGTGGTATTCTTGTCGCACAGAAAGAAAACATCACCTTCAGACACAAATCAGCAACTTCCAGTTTAGTATTGACAATGCATCACAATGAATCACGAATGTCAAAGTAACCCACTTAAGTACTGAGATGGAAGGTGCCGTGTGACTAAGAAAAGAGTGTCGCTGCTAGAGACGTGGCGGCGGAATGACTCGGACAATGGAGAAAGTGAAGCCTTTGTCCCTTGAGGTTGCGAAGTTAACTTCAAGTTTGATGCGATTCAAGTTACTGAGTACTATCAAAGTACTGTGCAAGGTATTCATAGACTATGATCTAAAAGTGTAAAGTTGTTACAGCGTCTGACTCGCACGGAATATGCAATTCGGACCTGGGCTCGGAAGCAAATATCGGAACGCACTTTTCTTGCAGTTTTGCAGTTTCTCCTAGTACGAAATTGTCTCTTGCTGCCACCAGTACTACGGTAGTACTGGTGGTAGGAAGAGACAATTTCGGATCCCTCTAAATGTCCGCACAGTGCTATATCTGATAAGTGCCTCAGATTTTGCCTACCTCATCGAAAATGAAACTCACATCTAACTCGCAGCATATAACCATGCAGGTCTGTTTACTGGCCAAGTTGAGGGCCGTTACTTCATTTCAAGTTGCATAATCAAACCATGATGCATGACTACGGAGTCCTGCCAGGATACTAGCCCAATGTAGATGGTACGTAACCGACACAGTTCCAGGCGACTGCCGTCCTACTTACTAACTGCCACAAGTAATGACGTGGTAAAGTTATTTTCCCTTCAACTTGGTAGTCTCGACATCATCATGATTGAACTTGGAAGACTCTACGCATCTATTGGTACTTGGTTGCCGAGATGGAAACCACTGATTCTTTCATCCTCAGGAATATCATATCGTCCCCTGCTTGCTACAGTCGACTACAGTTCCCAATGCGAAATTTCTGGCAGAATGAGTGATGACAATCCAACGTTTGCTTTGGATTACATCGACAGATCAACTGTGGAGAAGAGGCTTATTCGTAAGTTGGACCTTCGGGTAGCCTTCCTGGTTCTGGTTTACATTATGAACTATGTGAGTTGAGGCAACTAATGTTCCCTTGACTGCCTAAAATCTGTTCACAGATGGACCGCACTAATGCAGCGTACGTGGCCTTCGAAATTACTTGGAGTAGAGTTGCTTAACCGTCTGCTTGCAAGTGCAGCGAAGGCTGCGTGGTTACGAGGAGGACCTTGGCATGACGGGGAACCAATTTAACACACTCATCAGCATTCTTTATGTGGGGTATTTGTTGACACAAGCACCTTCGTATGTACCGACACCTTATCCTTCTGCGGCATATCTGAGAATTCAAAAGTAACATGATCTTACACCACATGAAAAGGCCATCACTATACCTCTCGAGCTGCATGGCAATATGGGGTGTTCTTACCGTGTCGACGGGTACGTACAACGTTCACTTGATCGACATTGGCTAACGAGGGGTCATCAAAGGTGCGGTACAAACGTTGGTATCTACATCTTTTAATGCTGTCCACTGCTAACCCTGCTCTAGATACCATGCCGCCCTTATTTTGCGCTTCTTTATTGGATTTGTGGAGGCGGCATTCTTTCCCGGAGCTGTATTCCTTCTTTCACGATGGTATCATTGCCTAATGACTCCGAACAGCATATACTGAAATTCCTCTAGGTACAAGCGCAATGAACTAGGATTACGCACAGCACTTCTTACTTGTGGCGCCTCGATCAGTAATGCTTTTGGTGCTCTTTTTGCATCAGGGATCTTGGGAAGCCTAGATGGTACACTAGGTTTTACGGCTTGGAGGTCTGAGCCGAAATGCGGGTTAAGAAGTCAAGCTGTTCTGATTTTGCTGCTGCAGGTGGCTCTTTTTTGTGGAGGGCGCTTTGACCATCGTGATCGCAGTGTCTGCAGCCTGGATTTTGCCTGATTTTCCTTCAACGCCGAACCTCTGGCTGTTGCCTGACGAACAGATACTGGCCAAACAACGGATGGATGAGGAAGTCGCGAGCGAAAATGAGCACAAAAGTAAACCCGAAGAATATTATTTTGGTCTCGTCGAGGCTCTTATGGATTGGAGGGTATGGTGGGTTGGTGCTGCCCTTAACTTGATGAGTTCCTCGCAATCATTCGGCCTTTTTTTTCCCGACCCTAGCAGCTACAATGGGTTACAGCGCGACTACGAGCCTCTTGCTCTGCGCACCTCCGTGGATTTTGGGAACTGCAACCTCATTTGTTGTGGCCAGGTCAGTATTTACTTCACAGGTCCGATAAGTGAATTAACGTAACTGAATTAAGGCACTCCGACGTAACTGGTGATCGCTTCTGGCATATTGTTGGTCCTCTACTCGTCGCCGTCGCTGGATTTATACTCGCAATTTCTACCATGAATACGACTATACGATATATATCCCTGTACGAACTCTCCCATCCTCGTTCTGCGATTCCAGAGACTTACGTGTACCGTTGAGATTTTTGATGACTCAGAGCCCAGTTGCCTATGTTGTCTGTTTGACCTGGGTCATGAATACGTTTTCCCAATCACAGTCGAAACGTGCAGCAGCCATCGCACTAGTAAACACCTTGTCAACAGCTAGCCACATGGGTTCATCGTCAGTTCACAGCGACATTGTGCTCCAGCTGCTACTGACGCCATCACAGATACTTTTGGCCATCCAGTTGGGGACCTTCATATGTGAACTCCTATCTCATTTGCATCTTGACAAGCGTCTTGTGCATTGCGATGTTATGGGTATTTAGGACACACCTTTCCCGGTGTAATGAGGCTGCTGAAGCCGAAGAGCAATCTCTAGGTCTGCCCAAGGGTTTGAGATATATCCTCTAGCACTCCGAGTCGCTGCTCAGCTGTCCTCAGCATTCCAGCAGTGTCTGGTAGCGGAAACTGGGAGTGGGTCTGGTTATTAGCATATACTGTGCACGCAGCACCAAAATACATTAATGCACTGTTGGTCGCGCTCTTCTAGATCATCAACTACGTCGGGCGTAGTGGAGAATGTATGCAGTCACTTGTACTGTGCTGTAATAAATGCATGGCATCTACCCTGCCATGACTCCTACAGCGTCCACTATTATACTAGTGGTGGTATTGTATGCGGTAAGAAGACTTCTTTACCCTTATTTTCTTCATACCAAACTATATCATGTGCTACCAGAACCTGCACCCTCGGGATCTCTAACAACGACCTCATTCTGCGAATGTTTTCCTCCGCGACTTCTTTGTACTGGTGGGCACATGTCACCGCGCCCGTTTTCGCATCGACACGGCACGCAATTTGCATGCTCCCAGTGATCAGATCAGGGTGATGAGCTGAATCTGCGCCTAGCAGGATCCAAGCACCGTCTGGAGAAGTGCGTGCAAGAATGTTGATATGCCCGTCGGCGTGCCCTGCAATAACAAGCCTAAGTGACTTTTCCAGTCTTATGCATGCAGTAGAGACGTACCAGATGCATCAACGATATACATGCTGCCATCACCGAAAATGTCCATTGCGCGCGGGTAGGGACCGATTGCCACGTTTAGGTCAGAAGTTGTAACGAAGCGTAATCGGTCTTCTGGTGGACGAATGGATGAAAAGGATATAGGACTGTGGCAGGAACCAGGGTCTAAAAAAGCTTGCTTCGATCCTTCCCCGAGGACAAACTCGGCAGTGGTAAACGGGGAGGGATCTCCGACGCTGAGGGAAGACACGTCAGGTAATTCATACTATCTCGACGCTGAAAGGCTCACTGATCCCAATGGAGGTGACTGAGGACCACCAAGTCAACTGATGAAGGGGGAACTCCACCAGCCTCCAACGACTCTGACGCAGTCTGCTTCACATCAGGCACTACTGGTATTGCAGCAGGTGCAAACTCTTTGATGTTTCTGTGGATTCCTAGGTCGAAAACAACCCGCTTATTGCTTTTCGAATGACGTAGTAAAAATGCGAGTGAGGGAAAAATTATGGGATCGTCCGATTGATCGGCTGCCATTAGACTCAAAGGAACATTGAGGTGTCCAGCTTCAAGGGCAGATACATACATGTATGCCTGCTCATCAGATGGAGGAGGAAGTGACTGCACGTCTGCGGACATTAGTATCAAGTTCAACGATGAATCAAAACCAAGATTCAAACGTGCCTATACATAAGCAAGGAAAGCAAATGGTGGCACCCTGACTCCACAAAGATCAAATCTTGATAACACAGAGTCACGCTAGCCGGGCCCGTTGCACACTGGCAAATCAATGAATCGATGGAGTAGATTACGCCCTTGCTGTGCATGACTGTCCAGAGTGAAGGCGATGTCGGGCCAAAGATAGTTAATTCAATCAGCAGTCAAGTGAGATATCGATGATAGATGATCGATGATAGATGAGGGCAGAAGGACTTTGCTAGTACTGTTGTATGATGCGGTGTTTCGGAACTAGCCACAACACGCCATACACAAATCTATCAGTATCTTATCGTCATCAATGATAAGTTACATATCCCAAAGCGCGCTGCGCTAGTGACATATCCGACGGGTCCGTCCATCTAGAAAGCTCATGTGGAAGAAGGAAGACAGAGTCATTGACTCATTCGTACTACCAGCCAGGTGTTATATGGGGGTAACTTGGGTTTAGAAAAACGGTCAACCACTCGTTTTGCCAAAGAAAGAAGTTGGTTCCTTGTTGAACGTTCGGCTCGGCCGTCCCCCTTGCCATGACCGGCTGGTGCTGATACGACCGAGTATTCGCTTCCCGGGCCATTAATGTCCGCTATCAATGTGGATTATTTTTGGGTGATATGTATATATATTGGGAGTCGCATAGGCTCCGAAGCTATGAATCGGAACCTGAGGGCTCCCCATATAAACCCATATACCGGTATGCTGATAGGCTAGCGGGAATCTGCTGCTCGGTGTCTCTTTCGTCCACACTCCATAGGAATGTCAGATCACCCCTTGCTTGGTGCAGGCAAAAGTTCCCACTATGGTGCCTCCGACAGAAGCAGCGATAGTCCGGTGCTTCATGAATACGATGGACAGAACAGACAGGTGGTGGAGAAGAGGCTTCTCCATAAGTTAGACATTCGAGTTGCCTTCCTAGTTCTGATCTACATTATGAGCTGCGTGAGTCAGTGTATCTAGTATTTCCGCTATTGCATTAATTTCTTGCTTAGATGGACCGCACTAATGCAGCGTACGTAGCCCTTCGAACTCACGATTGGAATGGCTTAATCGCCTCTCGGTTAAAATAGTGCAGCAAGGCTGCGTGGTCTTGAGGAGGACCTTGGTATGACGGGGAATCAGTTTAATACACTCATGAGCATCTTTTACGTGGGGTATTTGTTGACGCAAGCTCCTTCGTATGTTCCAGCACGTTATCCTTATGTGGCCCATCCGAGAATTCAAAAGCAACATGTTCTTAGATCGCATGACGAGGCCATCGCTGTACCTCTCAAGCTGCATGGCAATATGGGGTGCTATCACCGTGATCATGGGTACGTACATCATTCTCATTCACTTAATCGATATTGCCTAACGAGGGTCATGAAAAGGCGTAGCACAAACGTTAGTATGTATTACTTTTGCCGCTCTTGAGTTAACGCTACTTTAATCAGGTATCATGCCATTCTTATCTTGCGCCTCATGCTTGGATTTGTTGAGGCGGCGTTTTTCCCTGGGGCTATTTTCCTTCTTTCACGATGGTATAGTTGCCCAATACCTCCGAACAGCGTATCCTGAAAATTTGCTAGGTACAAGCGCAATGAGCTAGGGTTCCGCACAGCGCTTCTTGCTTGCGGTAGCTCAATCAGTAATGCTTTCAGTGCTCTTATAGCGTCAGGAATTTTGGCAAGCCTAGATGGCACACTAGGTTTTACGGGTTGGAGGTCAGAGGCGAAATAAGCATGCTCTCAAAGTAGAACTGCTCTGACTGCTGCTGCAGGTGGCTCTTCTTTGTAGAGGGGACTTTGACAATTGTGGTTGCAGTGTCTGCAATCTGGATTTTGCCAGACTTTCCATCATCGCCAAGTGTTTGGCTTTTTACCTGATGAACAGACCCTGGCCAAACGACGGATGGAGGAGGAAGTTATGGTCGGAAATGAGCACGAAGGGACGCCCGCGGAGAGTTGGTCTGGTCTTGTTGAGGCACTTACAGATTGGAGGGTATGGTGGCTTGGTGTTGCTCTTATTTTCATGGACGCTTCTTTGTCGTTCCGCATTTTTTTTCCCGACACTATCTGCTACAATGGGTTACAACTCGACCATAACCCTCTTGCTCTGTGCACCTCCGTGGATTTTGGGAACTGCAACATCGTTTCTTGTAGCCAGGTCAGCATCTACTCGACAGTCTCGATTGTTGAATTAACAACAGTCAAGGCACTCTGATGCTACTGGCGATCGCTTCTGGCATACCGCTGGTCCTCTATTTGTCGCCATTGTTGGGTTTATAATTGCATTTTCCACTATGAATACGGCCGTTCGATATTTGTCCCTGTACGAACCTTCTCCTAGTCCTGCAATTCCACAGCCTTAATGTTCTCCGTGAAGATTCTTTATGGCTCAGGCCCCAGTTGCACATATTGTGTCTTTGACCTGGGTCATGAACACATTTTCCCAATCACGATCGAAACGCGCTGCAGCCATCGCATTAATCAATGCCATGTCATCACTTGGCTACATCGGTTCATCGTCAGTTCACAGTGCCTCTTACTCTGGTGCCGCTGACACCTCGCAGGTACTTTTGGCCGTCCCGTTGGGGGCCTTCATACGCAAACTCATATGCCATGTGCATCTTAACAAGCACCATGTCTATTGCGATGTTTTGGGTATTTAGGAGGCACCTCTCACGGTGCAATAAAGCTGCTGAAGCCGAAGAGCAGGCCCTAGGGCTGCTCAAAGGCTTTAGGATATCTCTTATAGCACTCATTGATCAAAGTGGCAATGTTCGGTTAAGATTTTATTGTGTTGAGTGAAGCTGTAGTAGTGGGTTAAATGTATACCATGTTGTACATAGGGGAGAATGTCTGCAGCCACTCGTCCTGTGTTTGAATAAATACATGATGTTTGCATTCATCATTGCACGAGCGCTGGTATTGTGTGCGGTAAGAACACCTCTTTACCCTTGTTTTCTCCATACCAGACCATATCATGTGCAATCAAGACTTGCACCCTCGGGACCTCTAATAACGACCTCATTCGATGGATGTTCTCCTCTGCGACTTCCTTGTAGTCGTGGACACATGTCACTGCGCCATCCACATCGACACGGTATGCAACTTGCATCTTTCCAGTGATCAGATCAGGGTGATGAGCTGAATCTCCGCCTAGTAAGATCCAAGCACCGTCTGTAGATGTACGCGCGAGGATATTGATATGCTCGTCAACGTGCCCTGCAATGAACAAGCCTAAGCATTCCTTCCAATCTCATGCATGAAGCGGAGAAGAACCTGGTGCATCAATGATATACATGCTGCCATCGCCGAAAAAGTCCATTGCACGCGGGTAGGGACCGATTGCCATGTTAAGGTCGGAAGCTGTGATGAAGCGTAGACGGTCTTCTGGTAGACGAATGGATGAAAAGAATGTAGGATTGATGGAGGAACCAGCCTCTAGACCTAAAGCTTTCTTCGATCCTTCCCCGAGGATAAACTCGGCAGTTGTAAATGGGGAGGGATCTCCGACGCTGAGGCAAGACGGGTTAGGTTATTTTGATCACATCAGACGCTGAACGGCTCACTGATCCCAATGGAGGTGACTTAGGACTACCAAGTCAACGGATGAAGGGGCAACACCACCAGACTCCAGAGACTCTGCCACCGTCTGCGTCACGTCAGGCAAGAATTGCTCTGTTGCAGCAGGCGCAAATTCTTTTATGTCTCTGTGAATTCCTAGGTCGAAAACGATTCGCTTATTGCTCTTCGAGTGACGCAACAAGAATGCAAGTGAGGGGCAAACCATCGGTTCGTCCGGTCGATCACCAGCCACAATTAAATCCCAAGGGACACTCAAATGTCCGGCTTCAAGGGCAGATACGTACATGTACGCCTGTTCATTAGACGGAGAGGGGAGTGAAGGCGCCTCTGACATTGTGTAAGAACCTGAGTGGCTCTCGCTGCGAGAGCAAAGGGGCGTGGAGACCGCTAGTACGAGGTAGATACACCGTATAGTTTAGATTAGCGTTCAACGAGAGCTATGCAACACGGATCGAAAGGAATCTGAGATAAATAATCGATAGATATGGCGATGCGTTTTAGAAGACGAGTGCGAGACTGAGACTTGGAGACTGAATATGATTGCCTGTAGTAAGGAGTGTACATGGGCTACTTTTATACTGTGAAACGTTAAGGGTCGGGTGTAGCTATGCCGAATCGATTAGGTGACAACGGACGCTGAAGGGAGTGGCGTCGCACCTGACTCGGACAGGGTAGATTAGACTGAAGGGGGATAGGGTACGAAACGATTGAGTGAATGGCGACATAAAAGGGTATGGTATTTGGGGCCGCGGCGGCCTGACAGATTCGGACACGGCGAACTGAGAATAGGGTGATGGTGACGAAGAATGGGAGTTGAAGGTCGAGAATGACGAGAGTTAAGTGCTGAAAGGAAGTCGAGGTCCGTGCTGACTGGGTTTGGCGCTGAGCTGAGTGGTGGTTGCGGTAAGCCTTTTTCGGGCGTTAACGTTAAACGGTTTGTAACCATTACAATTGGTAATCAAGTTCAAGTTGGAATGAACTGGATGCAAGACTCGAACCTGGTCAGCTGAATGTTCAAACGTTCATGTCTTCAGGAAGTTTCAATTATTGATAATACCATGTCACGCTGGTTGCATGTTTCACACCACACCGAGAAATCCTGATGACAGGTTAAAATTTCTAAATAGTGGAGTTGTGAACAGTTTTAACTTTTCCGAGACTCCACGAGTGATTAAGTGATCAATGATCGCCCCTGGACCAAGGCTGAAGCGCTGAAGGAAGTATCGGATGACAGATAACGGATGGACAAGAACAAAGACCAATATTTTGTGGCAACTTGAAGACTTTGTAAACGAGGTGTTGAACGTTGCACTCCACCGAATTTTAACAAACTTGCAGGAACTCACCCGAAATTTTTACATCATGGTTTGCTGAAGCGTCTGCACTCGGCATTTGCATATTCGTGCCATGAATGCAGCCTGGAAAGCGAAGATGAACAAAGATGAACGAACACGAAGTTCTAAACTGAGAGCTTGGTCAGTGAAGGTTTAATTTACTTCCACGTCCGCAGGACCGGGTAGATTGCGGTCATCGTCATTTCATCGTTCCAGCGGATTGAGACTCTCCGTGCCCGACATCAACTCCTCGAACCACAGCTTTGATGACCCACACACCATCACTCCACCCCCTTTATACAAACGCCTGAAGATCAGAACGGGCAGTACCTTGGCTGTGAGCTATGTTGACACTACGTGAGAACATACCAGGGCATACCTCGTTAAAAGCATAGCTATGTACGTTCTCAACACCAACGCAGCAAAGTCTACACACGAAAGCTCGAGCGCCGGCCAGATACGATTACCTCCGCAAGGAAGCTTTAATCAGGTGTTGATGGAAGACGACATGCGTATAGCAATATGATGATAGTATGCTCTGATATGCTCAGGCAAATCAATGATTTTCAAACACCGACAGTCACGTTGCTTCTTGACACCAATACCAACGGTGATGATGTGGCTCCGCTTATAGATCTCGTTTATGAACCGCTAATGTACGCAGAGAAATCGAACTCGGCTAGAGCCTATTGTGGGACAAGTCGGTATGGCTGTTGGCAGGCTAGGGCGCAGCTGCACTGCTCATGCCAACTCGGCAAGTACTACCTAAACCAGACTGGGTGTGCCACACTTGCCAAGTAGCAGATGGGATTTGTCAACTAACGCTGTGTTTTTAAATTTAGTGTGGTGCAGTACGAGACCGCAAGGGCTTCGGTTTGGCTCTCGGGGATTCCTTCTCTAGAGAGCTATCATTAGCATTGCGCCGAGCCCGGTTTCTACTGGATCTCTGAGTCATGATGGATGTCTTGAAACCACCTGAAGGCGTGAATGAGCTTCCAGTGGAGGCCCAGGTGAAACGTGTCAGTTTGCATGTAAGCGCCGATCAGTGGACTGGCGAGTTTGTGCTTGCAATTATGCTGATCGCGGTGCTTTTACATGGTACATATATTCCATATCAATATCTTCTTCTCACCATTCTCTGATCGGCACCTAATATGCACTATTTTCATCTTACGAGGTGCTGAACAACGCACAGGATCGGTTTGACTGGCCCGGCCCATCAGTGATTTGTTCCTTTCTCGTATCACCTATGCCTATGCAATGTGCCAATAATGCATCGGCATGTCAACGGCATCAATACTTGGTGTCCAAGGGTCATGCTCATAAGGTAGACATGACAGCTTCTCGATGCCCACGATAATGATCATGAGCAACTCTTCTGGTACAACGTTTCAGCTCATTGATGATATGAATGGATTCCAGAGTGCTCATTATCTAGAAATATCATGCTTCACACTTCTGGTTTACGATCTACTGACTACCTTCGGAGAAGAGGTGTGTGGCGGCTCATAGCGTTGTCAAGACTTCCCTCCATGTTTGCGTCTCAGGTTGAATACTTCTGGTCGGGTCCATGGAGCATATCGCGTGTTTTGTTTTTCTTGGTGGGCGCGGCTTTATTTTCTCTCTGAAGTGAGCCCTTATCTGACGAAGCTGCTTTAGAACCGATATCTTCCATTTGTCGTCATGATGTAGGTCCAATCAACTGCCGCTCAGGGGTTGTTCTGACATTTTCCTGGTCCCGGACGTCCAAGACCAACAAATGCTGGTGAGTATCACGATTCTTGGCTTCAATTGTTCAATGAAACGATCAAATACCTTAGCGATGTTTGGGGACGAGATGTCAGCTCAGGTTTGGTAGTTCGTTTTCTACTATTGAATGCGCTCACTAAGTCATATCACAATCAATGATTCTTAGTCGTAAGGCTGAATTTATACTTGTCAATGGTACATATGAACTAATCATTGTTAAAGGTGCACTCATTGGATTCGCACTGCATTTGAGCTTTCTATCATCGTAATCTGCATCAATCAAGGTCTCAGTGATCTCATACGAGCTACCGTAGATTGGCTAAAACATCACAATAACAGGAATTCTCTTCCTCCGCGTGTGGTACATGTACTCTCATAATGCCATTGCACGAGCGGTTGCATGCTTCAGCTACGCAGCATGTGCTCTATCATCCCTCATAATGATGGGCTTGAGTCTCCCTTTCCTGGAGTCAACCACGGAGTCTCTGCAGCTTCAGCGGGAGATATCAGCTATTCCAGGATGTTCTGCACCTTCCCCATCAATGATATGGACAGTTTTCGTTCCCAGTACCATCATCCACATGATTTTGTTTGGATTCACGATCGCACGAGTCGCGAAGGTCTCTCGTGACTTGCAGATGGATCAATTGATGCGACGTCTGGTACGAGAGTGAGTCCCATTCTGTGAGCGGTATCCTCAGCACGCTTACCAATTATTCAGTGGTGGCCTTGTCTTCTTCGTTTCGATGGGTAAATGATGAGCATTTCATGCACCAATCAGCACGCTAATTAGTACACAGCCACGGCTACATTTTCAGCAGTCGGTGCTCGTTTAACCACAGATCCTGTCGTATGTTGACTATCTTTATCTTCGCCTGCGTGGCGCCTAATACTCGGAGCTCATAGATAAACGCGCCAGCAACCTGGTCAAAGTGAATTTTCCACTCGCTTGTTTCACCAATGTTTTCTGAGCAGTGTTTTTATTCAGCTCACAGTTAGCAATCAACGCAGTTGCAGTGTCTCGGCTTATGCTCAGCATACGCTCCCTAGCTGGGAAGTTGAAAATTAATCAAGATTGGTTGTTCAACCCGTCTGAGCTCAGTAGGGTAAGGTGGAGGGCTGCCTCTGGTGATTATGGCCGCATCATCGTAGTCGAGATGGATACACATGAACCAGTAGCACAAAAAGTATGATGTTAGCTGTGACATAATAACTCGAGACTACCCTTGCCAATCCCAACCAAATATCATATCGTGATCGAGTAGGACTGAGTATCACCAGATATCGCAGTGATGTTTAGCACCGATCTCCGACACTCTAGATCTAGGTTGGCACGTAAGCACCTCGGGGATGTAAGTATCTTGTGTTTCTGAGACAACCCTCGCGAGGCGTGAAGGTGAATTCCTTTCCATGGACAGACTATCAAACATATATAAGCACGAGATCCCGCCGGAATGGCGTCCACCACGTCATGCTGTGTTGTTGCGCGTTCATGCACATGCTATGGCGACCTCTGCAGGCTCTGCTTCATTTCACGGCGTTGTTGGACCACAAACTTCAATGACACAATTGATTTCCTCTTCCCACTAATTCTCGAAGACCCTGAAAGCTGTCTTGATCGTGCATTCCTTTCCCCTCTCAACGTCTATGTCGATGGATTTTCAACGACAAAATTCTAGACAAATTGCCGGGTGATTTTTGTAAGTATCACAACTGATATCAATCACACATTTCACTGACGAAACTATGTAGGATCTTATTTTAGTTCAGATAGCCTGAAAGAAGCTGAGTAGACTCAGTTGAGCACACCAAAACACACTCGACTTCCTTGAATGTCAACCGATCCTGGGGTATGTAACCTCTCGGTAGAAATGGAATTGGTGAGAAACGCGCGCGTGCGCGTCGTCGCGCTGCATTGTCGCTTCCTTAAAGTCAATAGATTCGAAAGCCACTGCATCCCCCGCATTCCATTCAAACCGTTCGTTATGGACAGTGCGAAAAGACACTATCTATTTGCAGACGATGCTAATATAGTATTTCCTGAGTGGTTACTGCCAACACTGTATTGTCGTAGAGCCGACCGAATGGGAATCCTTGTCACATATAAAAAGGAGCTTCGGCACAATGGCTGGGCCTCCTAAGTTAAGATGGACCTCCGAGGATCTTTACATCGCAAAAATATTGTCCGCAGGTTTCGAACCAACTCCAAGAGAAACAGATTTTGACTCTGTTGGAGGAACCACTTAGCTAAGACCGGTTAGATGGACCTCCAAGGAAACCATCCATGAGTCAATGTCAAGGGTGTGTTCCGATAGAAAAAACCTTGTCATCAACAGGACTCGGACCTGCACATTCCGCTGTTGTGGTAACCACTTGGCTAAGAAAGCATCCATCATGAAGTGTTAATGTCAAGACGTGTTCCAATAGGAAAAAACTTGTCATCGGCAGGTTTTGAACCTGCGCATTCCAAGAGAAACAGATTTCCATTCTTGTTGTGGTTATCACTTGGCCAAGACCAGTTAAGACGAGTCTCCGTGGAACTGCCCATGAGTGAATCTTCAAGGCGTGTTTCTGATAGAAAAAAAACCGTTATCATCGACAGTTTTCGAACCTGCGTATTCCAAAGAGAAACAGATTTCGATTCTCTTGTGGTTATCGCTGAGCTAAGACCAGTTGAGAATCTGAGATGAGCCTCCGAGGAACTGTCCATGAGTGATTCTTCAAGGCATGTTTCAAATCTGCGCAGTTCAACAGAAACGGATTTTGATTCTGTTATGATAATCACTTGGCTAAGATAAGTTAAGATCTCCGAGGAAACCATCCATGAGTGAATCTTTAGGTGGGTCTTTCCGATAGGAAAAAGCCACGTTATCAGCAGGTTTCGAACCTGCGGAGTCCAAGAGAAACAGATGTCGGCTCTGTTGTGGTGGCCACTTGGCTAAGACCAACCGTGATGGGCCTCCGACGAAACCATCCACGAGTGAATGTCAAGGCGTGTTCCGATAGAAAAAAACTGGACACGACAGACAGGTTTCGAACCGCGCAGTCCAAGAGAAACAGATTTCGATTCTGTTGTGGCAACCACTCGACTTAGACCAGTCAAGATGGACCTCTGAGGAAACGATCTATGAGTGCATTTTCAAGGCGTGTTTCAATAGAAAGAAAAAACCTTGTCGTCAGCACGTTTCAAACCTGCGCAGTCCAAGAGAAACAGATTTTGATTCTGTCTGATAACCACTTTGGCCAGGACGAAGTTGAGAGGAACCTCCAAGGAACTGCCCATGGTTCATAAATCTTCAAAGCGTGCTTCCGACAGAAAAAGGAACCTGCACTATCCAAGAGATACATATTTTGATTCTGTTGACGAGTGAGTGTCAAGGTGTGTTCCGATAGGAAAAAACCCTGTTGTTGGCAGGTTTTGAACCTGCACAGCGCAAGAGAAACAGATTTTGATTCTGTTGTGCTAACCACATTGGCCAGGATGAAGTTGAGATGAACCTCCGAGGAACTGTCCATGACTGAATCTTCAGGACGCGTTTCCAACAAAAAAGCAGACCTATCTTCGGCAGGTTTCGAGCCTGCACAGTCCAAGAGATACAGATTTTGATTTTGTTGCAGTAACCCCTTGGCTAAGACCAGTTAAGGTGGGTCTCCGACGAAACCATTCATAAAAGCAGACCTATCTTCGGCAGGTTTCGAGCCTGCACAGTCCAAGAGATACAGATTTTGATTTTGTTGCAGTAACCCCTTGGCTAAGACCAGTTAAGGTGAGTCTCCGACGAAACCATTCATGAGCGAATCTTCGAGGCGTGTTCTGATAGACAAAAACTATTGTCAGCAGGTTTCAGACTTGCACAGTCCAAGAGATACAGATTTTGACTCTGTTGTGTAACCACTTAGCTAAGACGGGTTTAAAATGAGGCTCCGAATAATCCATCCATGAATGAATGTCAAGGTGTTATACTAAACAAACAACCTTGTCTTCGGCAGGTTTCGAACCTACACAGTCCAAGAGAAACAGATTTCGATTCTGTTGTGGTAACCACTTCGGCCACCCTGATGCTTCCCAAGATGAGATGAACTTCCGAAGAATCGTCCATGAGTGAATGTCATAAAAGGGGAAATGGCTAGGCAGAAATAACGTACAATTCTGGGGCGCAGTTTAGGATATGTGTCAGGCAGTCAAAACGGGAATCAAGATCGTGACTGATGGAATACAAGTATGCATGGTCCCAAATTTATGACTCTCGAAGTCAGTATATCGAAGTTAAACCTGGGTAAACGCGTTATTGCTGATCACGTGACCCAATAATTCGACGCGTTTGCACGAGGTTTTCAAGCTCTAGATTTTGACTGCGGGACAGAAAGAAATCGAGACTGGAGTCGGCTAGAAGAGGAATAAAGGCAACCGAAGCCTCGAGTGTGAGGTATTTGGATAAAGGTTTCAAAAGCACAACAGAACCCATCCCGAGCAAAGCTCACACACACAATCGTGCTCGAAACGGACGACTCCCAAATACGAGCAATTGCGCTGGATTATACAGAGAACGAAAGGAAGTGCAATAATTAACTGTAACGATGTGCGTACGGTGTCCATATACAAGCCCTAACCCTACCCTTTCCGCATACCTCGCTTCCCCAATGAATATTTGCCAACATACCACAACTAGCCCTGCCTATTCTGCTGTCTCTGCTTCACTAGCCCTCTTCCGTCTATCTTGGGTGATGTCGTCCAATATTGCCTTGGCACCGTTTGACTTCAATTTTATCGCAAGGTTTCTACCCAGCTCCTCCGCGCCTTGTATGCTCTCAACTTCCTGCGAAAGGGTATCTTGGACGTGCAAGGATCCATCAAGTGATGTGACGCTACCCGTTATCGTGAGGGTTGCACGCGTCAGTTCCCCAGCGCTTTTATCAATCTGCGATAGCGACGTAGAAACGCCAACAGGAACGCTACATCCACCTTCGAGTTCTCTCAGCAATGCCCTCTCTGCGAGGCACTTCCACTGCGTTTCCTGGTGGGTTAGCATTTTACACAATTCCCGTGCTTCCTGATCGTCTGCGCGGATCTCGACTCCCAAAGCGCCTTGAGAGACAGCGTGGAATAGGATTGGTGCGGTGAGATCGGTCGTGATACGATCCCCCATGCCTAGCCGTACGAGACCGGCTTTGGCCAGTATAAGCGCCGTATAAGGACCATCGGGAGCATCGAGCTTCGCAAGACGGGTGTTTCTGGGGTTGATATTAAGCTTAGCTTGAAAATAAACATATGGCTTTACAAATTCCCTCGCTGCAAACATGTTAGTATGTGCGGTGTGTTTATGGGCTGCGAAAACATACGACGTCGAGAAACACCAGGCCAGGGAAAGACCTCCGCAACTGCGCGACCCTCCGAACGCTACTCGTACCCACGACACTCCCCTCTGGTAAATCTTCCAAAGTCTTGTAAGGCAAGCCCTGCTTCACCACAAGACTATCAACAGGATTCTCTCTCTCTAATATCGCTCCGAGTTCGCAGCCGTGCGGTAGGGTCGTGGGCATATCCTTCAAACAATGCACCAGCATATCAACCACATTCTCTTTCAACGCAACCTCGAGTTCTTTTGTCCATAGCGCCTTCCCTCCGAGTAGATACAGCGCTTGGGATTGGTTCTTGTCGCCCTCGGTCGACATAAATGACGTGCCGAATGAAAGGGCCGGAAATGCAGCCTCGAGGCCATCTCTGACGAAGTTAGTTTGGATCTGTGCGAGTTTGGATGCCCGGGAAGCTAATACGAATGATCTTGAATTTGAGGCCATGGTGCGTATCGCATATGAAATTCTGTGTGGCCGTGGGTGCCGTTGAATGGTTTCGTTATCGGGCAATCAGTGTGATCTTCCGATAGGAGGCACACCAATTTCAGATCTCTGACTTCTGTTTTGTCCCCCACGGACGTCTTTCGTGACTCATGCTAGCTGGGTACTCTGAGCTCTACAACGTGAACATCCAAACCATCTTCATGAAAGACAATATCATTTCTTCTACATAGATCTGACATGATCCTCACATCCTGGTTAAACAAAGCGGAAATGCCAAAAAGTGATTGCCACTTCCTACCCACGTCGACGACCTGCTTACAGGCAGCAACTCACGAATCCACCGTCTCTATGTGATTTGCATTCATTTTATAGCGTAGTCACACCACTTACTTTAAAAGCGCCAGTTGTTGCGCCCGGGCATCTCAGTTCTTCCAAAAGACTGAGATGTGAGTAAAAATTCACTACCTCTACTAGTTACAAAGTCTAACGCGTACTAGTGTAGTTGTCCTTTAGTGTTTAGCGCCTCCCACCTTCGTCTACTCACCAGACCGTGGAGTAATCACGAGAATGTGAACGTACCAGTTCGAACTTCCAATGTATTCCGAATTGACCTAAACCTTGGTGTCAAGGCGTCGAGGCCTGCTACGAAAGATCATCTCGTCGTAAGTGATGATTTTGTTGAATGAAAGCTGAGACAGCACTGCACCCAGTAGCTGATCATGTCTTCACCTTCATCCATCGTAGGGAGGAAAGAGACATAGCATACACTCCGATGCCCACGATACGCCATCCCGACCCCGCCCTCTAATGACACAGTGAGGCATCACAAATTCAAGACAGAATATAAAAAACAAAATTTGAAGTGCCTGTGCAGTAGTGTGGGCAGCGCCACGGGTTGGAACCTGTATGTACACTGACACCTGAGGCCTGAGTTGTTATATACTAGGGGTTCGCCGTGCGAACTGATGACCTTGCTCCGATTGCAATTTCTCAAGGATATTTGTACATGTGTACGCTTATTGTTCCTCGCTCTTTCGCGCTGCTTCAACCAACCCAAAAAGACATACGCAATACATTCAATCGATAAGGCTTTCTTTGAAGCAATTTATTAGGTTGGTCTTCAGCTTGTTCGATGTTGTCTTCAGTTTGGTCGTAACAGCTTTTGATCGTGTTTGACACACTGATTAAAACGCCGTATCAGTACGAATCTTCAACAAAACCAAACACACAAACGTGGTCAAACAGACAAATGTGGCTTTGGAATCGCGGACTACGGTAATACATTCAATACTGCGTCCTCAGTTGTACTCAGTCTTTGGCCAAGCAGAGATGTATTGAACCCTATCGGTGTTGACACCGTGTTGATGGTACATGTTCAGTGGTATTCAGTAGGGCGTAAAGGTGTCTCTGTAATTTTGTACTTGATTGGTATGGCACGCATGATTGGTCAGGAACGCGTGAGGTTGGTGCAAAAACGCGTGATTGCACAGCATGATGTTGATGTCAGGTGACTGACAGATTAGCCCAACAACATCATGACCTTGCTCCGCAAGGTAATGGACCTTATGGTGCACGTCAGGGCTCAGGAGGCCCGTGACTCGTGATGCATGACTCAGCATGAGCTATATTTGTAGAGTCACAGATTGCACCTTTAGACATGCCACCTATCCCAACAACGCTAGATACTGAAGCTCTCTCTCTAATCGAGTCCATTGAACGGCACCATAACGACCTTTCAACTTTTCAGATTCCTCGTCTGAGAGCTTGCACCGGTCCTTTGACCACGCAACAAGCATGGGCTGCGGAGGTAAGGGAAGACATCGAAGGTCTGGCAAGGCAGATCGAGGTTTTGTCAGTTCGCGCATTGAGTTCAACCCATATTCACTATTTATAGGAGCTGGATGTCCTTGTTGATGACCACAGGACTGAACGGGCGAGGAGAGAGCTAAGGAGAAGAGTTGAAGTTTTTCGTGATTCATTAGTCAAGTATGTAGCCGTTTGACTCCAGTATTGTCTCCGGCCTCTGACAGGTCTTTCTCTCTTGATGTCAGTCTACGCAAAGACTCTCGAGCAGCATTACTAGCGTCGAAACATACAATTGACTCCCAAAATCGGTCACAGCGAGAGGAGTTGCTGAGGTCCCCTGCCATTCGGGAGAAAAGTACAAGTTCCTCGGCCGAGAAAGTCACGTTCGTGCGCGGCATGCACTTATACCCTTCGATATGGCTGAACCGTGAACTACAGCGAAGACGCACTCATGAAAGCCAATCATGATGTCACAGGAGCACTGCAACGAACAATTGGACTCATGCAGAAAGAGCTCGAGCGCAGTGTCTTGTCAAGCCAACTACTAGGCAAGTTCTTCACGGTACCTTTTTCTCTAATACCTACCGTCTGTTTCATACAGAATCATCTACTGCAACTCTCCAATCCGCGTCTACGACGCACGACACGCTCGATCTCATCCTCGGCACCTCCAAACAACTTATTACCACACTCGAAAAGACAGACTGGCTAGACCGCATCCTTATTATTTCAGGCCTCGTGTTTTTCGGCCTCGTGGTCCTCTTCATTCTGAAGCAGCGCATCATCGACCGCGGGCTACGCATCGCCTTTTTCTGGACGAGGTTATTGCCAAGTTCCGGTACGAGCACGCGCGCGGTGGTGCAGAAGGCTGGGGAGGTTGTAACGACTGCGTCGGCCGCCACTACTGCTGCATCGGCTGTGCTGGCGTCGTCTATAGGTGGCCAGGATGGCGGGAGCCGGTCAGTTGATACTACCCAGCATGGACATGTTTGAATCCTCTAGTTTCACAATATCGGCTACGGAGCCACGGACTACTGAACAGTATAGTGTCTCAGGAAACGCACATGTTGAATTATGATAATTTTGACGATTCCGTCGATAGACTCACAGGAAGAGCATGGACTTAAGTATTGAAGGACACGGGTGATGATATCGTTGTGTTGGTCCAAGGACGGTACACACATATTCTCCGGGTCAGGCGATAACATTATTCATTGGTGTCTTTTGCTCAGTTCATACATTTCGGCACATGCAAATGCATCCCAACTGATTGAGCAACAGTCCCGACATTGGAGTCTCAGCTTATTTTTTGGGGGGATTTCCAGACGCCTGGTCGAAGTTGCTCCTTGTCGCGAGGAAGATGTGAGTTGTTCGCCAACACTCCTCTTTCATTCCACTGAAACTCAATGCAGAGATACTGTATTGCCATTGAATCTGATGCGGAAGCAGCTACCGCTATGCAGCGAACGAACAGCAAACAGGCCAACAGTTCAACGCAACTAGGTCAACCCACAGCAGGTGCACAAAGGTCTCAGGCACGACCAACAGAAACACAACAGTCAACTGGTGGGACAGGAGAAATTTCCTATGAAGTTAGCTGCCGCGAAATTTTATCTTGTCGTTCCACTTCGCGTTAGTGATAAGATCACCTAGCATTTCCGTTACTCGACTGTGTCTCTTTGCCATGTATCTTACACATAGCTCGTTCCGTCCCATGTGAGTGCGCACGGCGTAATTATATTTGTCTAGATAACGCTATGCTATAATGGAATCAGTAAGGGACCTTAGTAACTACCAGTTGTCCACGAGCGATCACAAAGAGAAGTCAGGGTAACCCTCCTCAAATTACAGTTTTGTGGCTAATTCTTCCATCTACAAAGTAACGTCAACACCGAAACGCATCAAGACGGTGCATCAACTTACATCTTCACAGTCCGATCGCGGCCCCCGCTGACAACTTTATCAGCAACGAAATCCACGCAGTAGACCTCGTCAGTATGACCAGGAAGGTCCGACTTAATTTTGTACGTTTTGAGGTCCCAAATCTGATGCAACAGCACATCCATCAGATGAATATCTCGCTCGCGTGCACGTTAAACTTACTTTGACAGTTGCATCCCTTGCTGGCGCTTACCAGCATTCGTGAATCTGCACTCCACGCAAGTCTGTAAACGGGGCCAACATGCCGCGCAGTGTAGCTACAAACTTGCCCAGCTGCCCAGCACCTGCGAGGTGAGGAAAATTTTGAATCAAGTTGCCAACAGACATGCGGCAGCCGTCTAACGTACCTGAGCAATCCCATAGTCGCACTGCACTATCCCATCCAGCACTAGCTGCCCATCGACCATCGGGGGAGAAAGCGACGTGAGATACTTGCCGTTGGTGACCGGTTAAACGGGTCAAGGGCTTCGTCTTACCCCCTCCCGGTTCTGCGTTCGACGATGCGAACAAAGACCAAAGGAAGAGTGTGTGGTCGTCTGAACCTGAGATCAGTAGTTCTGGCGTTCGTGATACCAGTGTGGTATATCTTTTGAGAGCAAGTGCTTGAGCTGATATTTTGTATTAACTGAGAATCTAACGGAAGATAACTTGCGCAGTTGAGGATTTACCTTCCTCGTCTGACGATGGGCGCTTTCCGGTGTGATCGAATGGTCCAGTACGAAGTACGAAATCCGTATTGAGAGCTAGAGTGGTGACCCAATGTGCATGATCTTTCAAAATATGAAGTTGTTTTCCCTGGAAAAACAGCATTCAATAATTGAGCGGTGATGGAAGGATATGCCTACCCCTCGTGCATCCCATACTCTGACTGTACGGTCACTACTAGCCGTGTAGAGTACTCCATGACCATTCAAACCACCGCCTCCCCATTTGACAACATTTACGCTGGCAGTGTGACCCCCGAGTGCGTATTCTAGTTTTCGTGTAGCCGTCGACCATACTCGCACAGTTCCGTCCTTAGACGAGGATGCCAACCGTGGGGTAGATGGGTTTCTAGTAGGTCAGAAGTAAATAACTTCGAGAAATATAATAGACAATAACGCACAAGTGTAGGGGCTCCCATGCCAAGGACGTCACCCATTTTGAATGGCCCTTCATTGCATCGCCCAGCGGTTTTCCAGTCTTAGGATCCCATAGCCTTACATGGCCGTCGTGTCCACCACTTGCCAATTTGCGTTCTAGTGGATCCCACTCCACGCACAGTACCCACCCAGTGTGGCCGGTCAACGTGTGCGACGGTGTTTCAGTATAAAGATCCCATAGGCGTACATGCGTGTCGCCTGAGCCAGTCGCAAGTAGATTGCCGGTAGGGGAGAATGAAGCACATAATATCGGCGAGGAATGTCCTGATTCCACAATTACATTAACAATTATTGATGGGACCCAATGAGCAATCAACGGACCTGAAAGTGTGGCAGAACACCGAGTAGCCGGGCGAACTTTGAATACAGACTGTGGAGCGCAGCGTATTACCAGAACGTCTTCTTCTGAGAATGCATGAGATGCGTGTGCGAGAACATCCACTTCTATTGATTTTGATATCACGATTCGCGTTGGAGCATTTGGTTTTGTCTCCTCCTCGGGTAGAGCAACGTGAAAAGCAAATGGTACATGCTCATCGTCGTCCTGGAACACCAAAATCATTAGTAGACAGAAGACGGAGGGCAAGTGTCTAACCTTTGTGCGTAACTGATTGACAAGTATTTCAAGGCCTTCGCGTGCAATGTTTGCTGGGAGGTTCACAGCAGGTGCTATCGGTGTGCCATCATGCTCGTTCACAAATTGAACTACGACATTGGGCGATGGTTTCAGAGGCTCGGGCTCGGGCTCTGCGACACCGTGATATAGTTTTGGTCTTTTCGGAGGAGGAAGAAGTGTCGCCATTATTATCACCTTGCTTGCAAGGTCATATGAAATCTGACGGTGACTGATAGAGTAACCAAATATATACAACACGACTTTTTGATTTTATTTCCTAATGTGTTCGGAACATAGCTGTAAATAACAACGATTTCAACTCTAGATCTGAACCGTCACGTTCGACATATATCCATGTTGATGAGTCTATGGAACTTGATGATGCTCTGGTGCACCTTACCATGAATAATATGTCAAGACAGTTTTCATGGAGCCAAAAACATAAACGAAGCGACTTGTTGGATGCTGTCCGCCATTCAGTAGACTTGCATTCAAGGCAGCGACGCGGCTGCACAATAAAAGTCAGTTGATCGCATGGAAACCGTCTCTAAACACTCTTCAGAACTCTTATCCATGCTCGACGAAGCTTTGCTTTCTTCTTCACCACACTTATACATGCTGGACCACGCTTTTAAAAACAGTTGACGGTTCAGGAAATCTTGACGGCTGCAGGTACAAGAAAAATTACAAGATTGGAGCGACGAAATCGGAGCAGTTCGTTAGATGCAAATTGCAATTCGACGATCTGCTGAACTCCAAGCTGATTTCCACCGCAGAGAGTAAAATTGAACGGTTGCGAGAAGAGGAAAAAGTATTGAAAAGAGCTTGCCTGCAGCATGAATGGTAACCAGAGCCATTCAATCAATCTGTGTTTCTAGAAGAAGTCAACAGCTCGGTACGAGATCAATGCCTCACGAGTTTTATCGATCGTACAGGCAATGCAGCTACAGAACAGATCATTTGTGTCGTTTGCGCTGACGAGTTTTTCGAATCCGAAATTACCGACATCGCTCTGCATGATATCCGCAACAAAGAAGTGCTCCAGCCATATCAAAGACATTTTCATCAAAATCTGGTTGATGGGATACTGTTGCATGATTCAGCAGTGGATATTCATAAAGACGACGGTCGGTATGGACATTTGTGCAGTTCTTGTCTCCATGAAGTCAATGCCAACAAAACTCCGATGTTATCTCTTGCCAATCATCTTTGGGTTGGTGACGTGCCAGACGAACTTGCAATGCTCACTTTACCGGGGCGTATGCTCGTTGCTCTATCGTATCCTGCAGCATATATTGTCAAGCTATATCCAAAAAGCGAAGTGCTGTTCATTGGGATACTGCAGGACTTAACAGTGGCTTGCGTGGTAATGTCTCGACTTATTGGCTGAATACAACGGGCATGATTGCTATGAGCGAAGGCAATTTACCTCCTCCGAAACCAATCACATTGGCCACAACCCTTGGAGTTTCAATTATTGGACCCAACAACTTTTAAAGCAGACCAAATAGAAAGACAGTCTTTTCTTCTTTATTATGGACTAATTCAGATGCTGTACGAGACTTGCATGCCATCTTATATACGAAAACGAACGGGTAGGAAATGAGTGGAATGTGCAAGTGAGAGGCAAGATTTAAATGAAGCGGCAATGACTGTAAGTGCTGTGCTAATGCTCGTGTCCTGCACGAGCTGAAATGGAGTGGCGTAGTGAGTGATGAAGAAGAATTGAAGAAAAAAAGGTGGGTGTCTCCGAGTCCCAGCGACACATCGAGTGGAAGAGGAGAAGCTTTTACACCAGTAACACGTATGCCACAATATTAATGTTTTCGATAGTGGTCGGCCGTTAGAGAAGTTATGGTCATTATACCATCTGCCGCACTGGGTGCACACCAGGTAATCTAGTTGATGGTCAAGCTGTAGGCGGACCTACAGATGATACACAGTCAATTCATTCAGAGAGTGCCGATCCAAGTATCACTTACGTGGTGAATTTCGCTGTTCCAGACGTAGCTTCCGTGCCCGCCTGAGCAGTAGTGAGGGTACTGTGACGAGCTCATGCCCTCGTGATCAATCAGGTACTGAGAAACGAAAAAAAAACACTGTTCACACGTGTCCACGACCACATGACGACTGATGTGACTTACCGAAAGGAATGGGTAAATGTCGCCCTTGAATGATTTGACTGTACCACTCGTCAGGAGAAAGGAGTAAACCTGGTTATATCCGTTGGATCCAGAGTACAAGTTCCTAAAAATTCATTAATACGGCGTAGGTAATTATGCAGATGCAAATCAGCACCAGGTGTGACCTTCAATCGGGATGTTTTTCAAAATCGGGACAGCTTGACCCGTAGCGTTGTTACTGCGCAGCGATTGGTCCAGAGTTGACGTTTGCAAGCCAGATCATGATTTCGTTTACATTCGAGCCGCCAGCTGTGTCAGATGTGAACAAGTCATAGGCGACGTCAGCTACGACCACTCCGGTGTTTGACTGAGACCAGTGCCAAGTAGACTATAGTGCCAGAAAAATTAGTCTCATGTGGTCTGCGGTTTCGACTCACTCACAGGCATGTTGGAAATGGCACTTAGCTGTTGATTGATGCCGGTATTAAGCTGGATATTGGCAAAGCTCTTGACCTGATTTCCGCCGGTCCAAGTCCAGTTCGTCTTCCAGGCAATAGTACTACTGCCTTTCATCGACGTAATCTGAGTGGTTTGGGAGCCAGAGGTAGCATCATGCTCGCCCCAAAGATTATTAAGTAGTGAGTACTGTCCCACATTGACAGAATCGAATTGTCCGCTGAACGGCGTGGTGTCGACAGCTCTTACATGATGCTTGTGCATGCGGGGCATGCTGGAGACGAGAGGCACACATAACAAGAGCAGAGAGAGAGAGAACATGTCGATGAAGATTGAAGCGAGAGCATGCAGGTCACACAATTTGTACGCTGCTCGATACCCAAATACCAGCAAATGAATGGCCATGGTTCCCCGCCATTCGGCAATGCATATTGACATGATCGAACACGCGTATTGCGACGCCCATTTTCAAAGGTCATATTTTGTTTTATACTCCGGTAGTTATGCTGGCAGAAGCGAGGAAGGAATGCTATCTGAGGCTTGAGCGCCCCACAATGTCAGGGTGTTTATAATATATGGCCAGACACACTGCAGATCTTTAAATTTCAAGCTAGAAATTATGGTAGGTTGGAAGGAGCTTACCCTTGTAGATAATTTAAGGTGACTGCTACCACCCGTTCGTGGTTCAGATATTCCCTGACGCTGAGCGTGCCTGCCTACCGTTCCCTAGTAGCCAGTTTATTTTGCCGACGCAACTGTCCACAAGTACCCATGAGTACCCGATCTAGCTGCATAATAAAATTTGTTTTAGTATGCAACAGTTTGCAACCTGTTTGTTGTTGAGATAAGCCGCGGGAGTACCTAGGAACACCAAAGTTTTAGGTCGACAACAGAGCAGTGAGTGCCACCGGCACCTGCTAAAATTTAAACTCCTTGCTTCGCCTGCCAAATTTCTTTTGAGATCGACCAGCCTAGTAGCTAGCTTCGCTCGGCTTGTCCGTGGTGTATAAGCCAGCTGGCTGGTCACGCGCACGAGCCTAAGATATGGCGCGAAGCCTGTAAAATGGTTGTGACAGGTTTGTGATGAGCCAACAATTTGTGATGAAAAGAGCGGCCCGACGCTTGGTTCCGGGACTAGCGGACTTTCAACATATGATTACCACTCGGTAGTTTTATTCTTTGTTGTTCTACCACCGCAGTACTAGTACTTATAATATTAATCTACTTGGTTTTTTCCTTCTGAAACTTCGCCAGAACTCTCAGATCTAGGGTGTTACAGGGTGTTGCTGAGACAACTAGTCACGAATTTCATTTCTACACGGTGAGCAGCTTACTCATGATCTTGCCCTAGTCCTAGTGGGAGGACTTTAAAGTGTCGGAGTCGGGGATCATCACCCAGAATCACCCATTTTCACATCCAGCTCCTCCCGGGATCCATCACTGTGTCGAGAGAGATAGACGACATACCAGGGCTGATCGATATCACGGACTCAATAGAACCGTAGCTGGTCACTAGCCAGCTCATGTGTTTTCCGTCAACGCAATGAGCTCGACTTGGTCTGCTCTGCAGAGCAAGGAACACGCGCGACTGGAAAGAAAAATCCGGGACGAAAGCCACTGTCCAGCTACCAGTTCAACACCATGTTCTGAATCTGAACCATACCATATACTGGATTACCGCCCCACCCGCCTTCAATGGTCCCACATTTGTCCTAGGGAGCCGGTGTGGTGTATCCGCGACTGTGTTCCTGCGTATCGCGAGCAAGGCAAGAAGTGGTGAAGAGCACTACGCTACGACGAAGCCCGAAGGACTGACTAAGCTACGGTGCTACACGGGTGCTACTCCGCCTCTCGCCTAGGGATCCCCCACTCCAGAGCGAAGATAATGTGCTGTAGCAACCGATCCTAACCTGACGCCCAGCTCCTACTTACTGCTATTCCATCAGGCCCACTTTTTGACAATAACAAGGTTGGATTTCCGATATGTTAGGTAGCCTGAGGCATGCTAATTTTTATGTTTATGTTTTCAGCTTACATCATTAGCACAGACGCTAAGTTAGACTTATAGAAGTCACGGAATCCAAATGGAATGATCACGTTAGCCCGGATAGCTTGGGCATACAAGCTTGTTTGTGAGAACAATAGCGCTCAGTCTCAACATACCGAAGTTGCGCAGTTATGATCCTGACGACACGCGTTGCGCGACTTGCGACAGCTCCAGCCCTAAGGAAGATGCGCGCCACGCAAACTGCGGAATGCGTAAATAAAGAAATGTACTGATTCAACGTCATCGATAACAGATATGGCGTTTGGCCCTGAGCCACGAAGTCTTAGGTTACCCACGAAATCGGTAAGCTGCATTCAGTCATGGACAGCTGGGTCTCAATGTATCGTTATGTTTTCATCGCCCCATTGGCCTACTCCAAACAACAGGAATTAGACCGATAGTATCACTGCTGCGGCCTGCTACCACAAATGCGGTACATCAATCTTTACACTGTAAATCCGCGTGACTGCAAGTACCTGATGGATCACGGTCCTTGGAAGGTGCCGCCGTGCTGTACGGGTGTTTGTGTGATGCACGGTGAGTTTTCTTCTTGTTGCGCGATCGATGTCATGTTTGCAGTGCCTTCGTATATATGAATGTCTGGAAGCACCAGCCTTCCTGCGGAGCAGAAGTCACTTCAAGCACTGCCGAATGGACGGTGTGCAGTATACCGTAGTTGCCGGTGAGTTTCGAAGCCATACTTGACAGAGGATCGGGTGGCAGTGCATACCGGACACGACATACGCACTCCCGACCGGTATCCCGCACAGCATATGCTCGCAAGGCAATGCCTCGTATTTCATTGTGAAGGTCCAATGGCATGCTGTGAGTTGTGATTCTGCTGCGGACAATCACTCACATGGACTAGAAAAAACATATTGCATGACCGCAATCACTGTCAAGTGGTTTCAATTAGCGCCAGCGAGGTATTTTTGTTGCTCTCAAAATAGCGATTTTCTCAATTCTCCTTTGAATATGGACCAATGATAATGCCCCGAGATTCCCATCATTGGGATGCTTCAAAGATTGTGTTCGTCTTTGATGTGACGCTCTGATTGGCGGTGCCCGGACTAGCGCTTGCATCCCGCGTCTGATGTTATAGCTCTGCATAAGTGCTGTGCTGTTTTTCAATTTCAATTTTACTGGCGTTTATCGACTATTTTGGTCATCTGATGTCTGTTATACGCCAATCAGGTGATCAGCTGTTAGGTTATCAATTCAATCGGTATTCATTGAATGAACTTCGTCTTCTAATGGGCCCCTATGGGTCCCACTGGGCCACATTACGTCCACCGCCCCACCCACCGGCTGATCGGTGACCTCAAATCTAAGAGGAATACTGCAGGCGACTAAAATAGGTTGATGGCGTCTCTAGATGGTGCCCCGCATAGTATAAGTATAGGACCACCAACCACAGCGCCAAGCAACGCTCTATCTACCTACCCTGCTAAGCATGTCTACTGTGAACAATGACAGGAGTGACACCCTGCACATTGGCAAGAGTCGCAAGAAGCTCTCACAGCGACTCTACCGTTCAACCGAGGCAGAAGACTTTGAACAATTGCGACAGATCATCCAAGAAATAACTAGAGAGAGTCCCCCCACAAGACACGATGTTCTGATCAAAGGTTTGTAAGTTCAAAAAACTTGGGATTGAAGAATTTACTGACTTAAGTGAAGCTATTGAGATCATCAGGCACCTTGATAGAGAGTACCGCGCTCTTCTTGCAGAACATGTTGCGGCTTTGACCTCTACTTGTTCCCTTGGCTCCTCCACGCAACACTCTGCTTTCTATCCTGCAGGTGAGTTTGTCGCCTACCAGATCTCAGAAGATGTTGCTGACGACCCACTATCACCATTTCCAGCTGAGAGCTGGTCAGGAAACCATGGCGTACAAACGATGCCGATGCACCCACATATGCTGTCTTCTGAATCGTCAAACAACATCGCATACAGCACGTATGATGGTCAAAGCATGGGTGCCATCCATAATTACTACGTTTTACCTACCAATCATTGACATCGCTATCTTTCCTTACAGTACCTAATAGATCTGATAGACAAAAATGTAGACACTGCGGCTCGGTGGCAAGTACCATCACATATGTATATAGCGTTTCTAATATGGAATTGTGAGTTTCATTTTCAAGTACCAGCTCTAGTCTCGGCACCAGGACATTCTAGGAACACCGGCCCGGGAAATCTGCACGGGTGCAGAGTTTTGTGCTTCTCAGACTTGAGCGCTTGAGGTTGAACGCTTGGTTTCAACTTTCGAGGCTACTGACTGACTCTGCTTATTTTCCTGCGGCCGGCCTGGCAATCAGCCATCTTCCTCCTTTCCTTTACCTGCACAAATACCCAGGCTCTGACTCCCCCGCCGCTAGATAATATTGCCGTGACTTGAGAGGGAGGAACCAGGGGAGTAAATCACACATGTAAGGATTACCAATCGTTTCGTACCCTCTTCCCTTTCAGTCCACTCTAGTACCCTGTCAGGCGCGACGCCACTCCCTTCAGCGTCCGTTGTCACCTAATCGATTTGGCATAGCTATACCCGACCCTTAAACGTTTCACAGTATAAAAGTAGCCCATGTACACTCCTTACTACAGGCAATCATAACCAGTCTCCCAGTTTCATTCTCGTACTCGTTATCTAAACAGTATCGCTATATCTATCATTTATTATCTCAGACTCGTCTCGATCCTTACTGCATAACGTTCGTTAACGCCAATCTAATTCTACAGCGCATCTACAGCGCGCTAGTGGTCTCCACGCCCCTTCAAACTCGCAGCGAGAGTCACTACACTAACTTGAAGCCCCGAATAGCAGATCCATTTCAAGTGAAGCAACCTCTTGACTGGTTATAATTAACCGGAGGTTAAGTTATAAATGAATCAGGTTAGTAACAACATCGTGACGGGTCTAGTGACCTAGTAGGGCGATGCTATAGATTTCACGCGAGCACGGTCTGATTTCACTTGTTGCATCTATATTATTAGCTAGCCACCAACAGCGAACACCAATAACGCTCTTTCAAGTTGCAAGAACTTACAGATGACAGCGACAAACATCATATTCCTGGACATCCCAACTGTCCTCCCAGTGCCTTTCTCACCAAACACATGGAAAGTCAGGTCAGTGGTGATAACAGTCAACACCTCTCACCACCTCATCTTCGATTCCCACAGACTCGCATTGAACTACAAGAAACTCACCTATGTCACAAGATGGGTCGAGACGACTGACATCGCATCTGTGTGCAAATCGCTGGGAATACCGCCTACGAGCACATCACCAGATGGAACACCAAAATACACACTCCCCGCGTTAATAGATCACACCACATCCCCTCCTGCCCTTCTCTCGGACTCAACGCCTATAATCGAGTACTTAGAGCGCACATACCCAGATCCCGATCCCTCCCTCGCACTCTGCGCACCTGCAAGTCGCGCCCTCCACGCCCTCTTCGAATACCACGTCGCACACTCCATAACAGCACTGTTACTACCCGTCATGGTCATGCACATGCACGACAGGAAGACCCCACGAGATCGCATCCATTTCCGTAAACGTACCGAAGCGGCATTTGGGAAGAAACTCGAGGATATAGAACTCAGGGGCAAGGAGCGCGAGGAACACTGGAAGAAGATCGAAGGCGCGTTTGACCTCCTTGCAATGTTTATGCAGGCAGGGGGCACTGCAGGAGAATTATTCACGGGATCGAATCTATCTCTGGCGGATTGTACACTTGGAGGTCTTTTGTTAGCTTTCCGCTACATAAGCCCGGACGAAGCCTGGATTAAGGTTTCGGTTTGGAACGATGGGAAATGGATGCGTTACGTAGCCGCCTTGGAGGAATGGACTGGCTGTAGTATAAATAGCTTATCGATCGATGGCAAACGTTTCTTACAAGGCTCCGACCTTTCCATTATAGGTCTGCTACAGCGATTCAGCAACTATACGAGCTCAAATAGGAAGAGTGAGGGATAGGAGTACAAGCATTGAACATTGATCGGTAGTTATCGACGATGATTTATATAGGCTTCGGACCTGGTACTCTGGGGTTCACTCTATGCAGATTCGAGCTTAATATCATTTGAAACACGGTGTGAATTCCGTTACTGTAGTCACTAGGCTATATGACATCTATGACATACACGGAAAACGGCTATCAAAGCGAACGAAGGGAATATTAATGGGAAAACGAATGGCCAAAGGGGTCAGCGATAGGATGCTGTTCGACACTTCAAATGGATATACGTAGATACCGTTTTGTATACCGAAACCGGCTTTCAAAGCGAACGGGTAGGAAATGAGTGGGATGTTTAAGTGAACGGCAAGTCAAAAGAGTGGGATGTCTACAAGACAAAGTACTGTGCTAGTGCTCGTGCACCGCACAAGGTGAGACAGTGGGATGGGATTGATAAAATAAAAAGAATAAAAAGGTGTCTCCGGTGACGCACCGAGTGTAAGAGGACAGGCTCCTACACTAGCGATACATATTAGTGTTTTCGATGGCGGTCAGGGCGTAATATCCTCACACTATGTAATCGAAACCAGTACAACAGGCACATCAAATCATTTTAGTTGATAGCCAAACTGTAGGCATACCTGCAGACAAAACACATTCAGTCCCATACAGGCCGCCGATATATGTCACTTACGTAGTGAATTGTGCTGATCCAGATGTGGCCTCTGTGCCTGCCTGAGCACAGGTGAGATACTGTGTTGAGCTCACGTAATTGTTGTCAATCAGGTACTAGATACAGAAAAAAAAATCAGTCCACACGCGTGCATGAAGACACAAAGACTGGGACACATACCGAAAAGAATGGATAAATGTCACCGCTGAACGATTCGACGGTACCACTGGTCAGGAGATACGAGTAAACCTTGGTTGACTCCGTTAGATCCAGAGTATAAGTCCCTGAAATCAAACAAAAAAACATTAATGCTGCGCAAATGATGGCGCAGACGCAAAGCTAACCAAGTGTAACCTTCCAACGATATGTTGGTCACGATAGGGACAGCATGGCCCTCGGCATTGTACTGCGCAGAGATTGGTCCAGAGTTGACGTTTGCAAGCCAGATCATGATTTCGTTTACATTCGAGCCGCCAGAGCTGTAAGACGTGAATAGGTCGTAGGCCACGTCACCTACGACTTGTCCGTTGTCCGACAGACTCCACTCCCAGGTAGTCTATGGTGTCAGAAAAATTAGCCTTGTGCGGTCTGCGGTTTCGACAAACTTACAGGCATGCTAGAAATAGCATTCAGCTGTTGATCGACGCCGGTATCAAGCTGGATATTGGCGAAGCTCTTGACTTGGTTGGGTGCGCCTTCCCAGGTGTATGTGGTCGTCCAGGCAATATTACTACCGCTCAATGACGTGAGGTGAGATTGCTGGTAGCCCCAGGTAGCAGTTTGCTCGTTCCATAGATCATTGGACAGCGAATACTGTCCCGCATTAATAGTGTCCCATTTGCCAGAGATCACTGTGGTGTCAACAGATCTAGCATGCATCTTGTGCATGCGGGACGTGCTGTGGCGGGACGTGCTAGAGACGAGAGGAACCAACAAGAGGAGGAAGGAGAGAAAAAACATGTTGAAAGTAGCGTGTGTTAACTAAGAGTAGAGCATGTAAGTCACATAATTTATAGGCTGTTTGAGTATGCCAGCAAATTGGTGACTACCATTAATCCCCCACTACCGCCGCGTGGTGCATAACGACACGGACGACGACTTGAGGACATATTGTTGTCGTTACAATGTCACTGGCACCGGTACGCCAGCTCATGGTCATGTATGGATTCGAGGTGGCCTGCGACGCAAGAGTTCCTGCTACACACTGCAGTATGTTTGAATAAACGATGAATGGGAAGTAAGTGCTTACACTTGATTTCGAGTCGCCTGGTACGCCCAAAGTTCAGAGTGATTCCGGCGAATTTCGCGCTTGGCTACGGTTCCCGTGGTAAGCAAACAATGATTAATGATTGTCCGAACGGACGGATATTGCTTGGCGCGACGAATCAGCATAGGGTCCTGCCCTACTCCATAACAGTTTATCTGCTGTTTAATGCAAGATAGAACGCTTGAGGAAGGGGTGCCGCGATGCCGGGTGTCATTTCGTTACCGTTTGAAATTCAACAAGGGTTGTATACTTTAGGGGGTATGAGGGGGGTACAAACTATTCTAACGTGAGACTCACACTGAGTTTCTTCGTCCAGCGCCATTCATCCCTGCACTTCACGGGATCCCTCGTATACTTGTTTGGACGCTTTATGATGAGCCGAATCTCTGAGTCTGACTCTAGTAGCGCTCGCCACAGGGAAGGAGTTGTGCTATCATGGTCGTCGTGGTTGACTCATCTGTCGATGTGTTCTTGTTGAGTCCGCTCGGTTCCGTGGCACCACTGCAGCAGAGTGCAATTTCTTCTTGCACTTGACAAGTACTGATAATAATATTCTTCCACGATATTCTTCCGTTATTGGATTTAAAAGTCCGGTATGCATTATTTTGCCTATGGGAAGTCATCCAGGGTGATATGTCCTTACTATACTACCGATATCATGGTTGGGTCGCCTGGGTTTCTTCAAGTCGTGGTCCTCGCGACACGTAGAACTCTATAGCGCTGGCATGGGCGGTTGTAAATTGTTAATTGAAGCCGCGGGAACAAACCAAGTTTAGGTTTCAGTGATTTCATACCAGACGGGTCGGGCGGTGGGTGTCCGCGAGTCCCAAGGCGTGTCCCAGGCTATTCCAGCCTGGTTTGCAGCTCCTTCTCCAATGCAACAGCCATGACACCAAGAGTTTCGTTTCCAAGCACTGATTCTACTAATCTTCCAGCTGCCCCAATCACTCATCTTCCATTCCGACGAATCTCACTACCAAGCGTACCGAGCTCGAGCCTCTTATCCGCCCAACACCGTCAATCTGTCGCCAGTTTTGCATCATTTGATTCTCTGCCCGAGGAGCCAGTCGTCAGGCGTCCTAAACGTCGTTCACTTAACCGCAAACATCCAAGACACCTAACACACCAGCAGATATAGCACGAGAGGCAAAACGAACAAAGGTAATAAGAGAGTTTTGGGATACAGAAAGAAGTTATGTGCAGGGACTGGATCTCGTGCATGATGTGAGTAATAATGGTCCCAGATTTGAAGTGAACTGATCTTTTGCGCAGCACTTTTTGACACCAATCATAGCGTCGCTCGAAAGTCCCCGTCCGCTTCTTACACGCACGGAATTGAATACCATTTTCTCAAATTTTATTGACATTTGGAACTTTCATCATGCATTTTTCAGTGCACTAACTGCGCTGCTGTATCCCTCTGTGTCTCACCTTGACGTCCCACACCCGCCTCCAAGTCCTAATCCAGCACCCCTTTCAGCACTTCTTCTTTCGCATTTTCCTTACCTCTCTCTTTACACCCCATTTATAACTGCATTCCCATGTTCTATATCCTTCCTTGCCCGTCCACCCGCGCCATTTGCCATATTCCTACGAACCCAAGAGCGCGATCCACGCTGCGGGCACCTGAAACTTACGGATTGGCTCTTGAGCATCGTACAAAGGTGCCCGAGGTATGTATTATTACTCAGGGAATTGATAAATGTAGAAAGGAGAGAAAAGGAAGGAGAGGGAGAATGGGATAGACTGGGAAAGGTTCTTACCCTTGTTGAGAAAGGCAAGTCTTGCTTATTAGTCCGTGTCCCTAAATTAAATGACCACCAGTGACATCATCTCTCAATGCATCTCTTAACGCGCACGCGCACACACTCGCGCTCCTCTCATTGCAACGCGCTACCCTCGGCCTCCCGCCTACCCTACACTTCGTCCAGCCAGGCCGCACCTTAATCTTCCGCACTCCTCTCGTGATAGACTCTGGCGGTGTAGCCATAGAAGGCCCAGCAATAGGAAGAGGCAGGCGAGATCGTATATGCGAATTTCTACTATTCGACGACATATTAGTATGGCTAGACTTCGAGCCGTCCACTCTGCGTGATTCCCACTGGTTCACTCTCGCCGCAGATGCTACTGCTAGCGACGAGCGGCATACATACACGTACAAGAACCACCTCTCCCTCGTCGATATCGAGGCAGTGCTCGATCCGTCGCATCACCCGCCCCGAATGGAGGTGTTGAGCCCTGGAGGCTCGTTCGCGGTATATGCGGTCCCGTCACAGTCCCCGTCGCCGAAGCGTCTTTCGTCCTCTGCTTCGGAATCTGCATTGACCACTCGTCGTATAACTCCCTTAACCTCGACATCGAACGATACTACTCTACATACTTTTCTCCATCTTTTGCGCCAGGCCCGATCTGCGCTCCTGGCACGCGATCCGTCAGTTGCGCTCCGGGGTGTTAGGATGCGTGGGGTGTTGTGGGCGGAGGCATATGAACCTGAGGAGAGGGATGAACGTGTGTCTCAGATGCAAGAACCCGAAGAGCCTACTCCGGACACCCGACAGCAGAAGCTCCCCGATTCAGCATCTCAGCAGGCACCAAATGTAACAACTCCAGATCACGTAGAAGGGCTCCCTCCCTCCGCCCGACCCCAACGCGCACCCTTGCCCTTCCTACCCCCGGTCTGGGTCCCAGATGCGAAGACAGAGGCATGTATGCGGTGTGCGCGCCAGTTTGGGTTTGTGAGGTTTACAATGCCTCTACCGATGTCTATGTCTTTCTCTTTGCCGTCGTTTCCCTCGTTTGAGTGGGGGAGGGGTGCGAGTCAAGATCAAGGGGGAAAGGGCACGGACGAAGAAGCATTAGGTGAGGGCGGCGAGGGAAGTGCACAGGAAGGTGGGGGTGGTGGGGGAGAAGGAAGAGCTGGGGGTAGTGAAGGGATGTGGAGAAGACGGCATCATTGTAGGCTTTGCGGAAGGGTTGTCTGCGCTGATTGTTCCGGACGGGTAAGTCTTACATTTCATTCAGTTGTATTTCACTGTTCTCTGTCGTTCGTTCGCTTTTCTTGCTACTGTTGATCCTTTGGTTCTCTCAACTTCTCCCACCGCAAACTAACACTTCCAAAACCAGACATTCTACATTACCGACCCATCCTCCCAATCCCCTTCTGGCAAAAACACCAAAGCGAAACCTGCACGCGCATGCAACGAGTGCTACGAAGCTGCCTTTCCTCTCGTCTGTTCCATCACTGGTGGTTCTAGCACTCCATCCACATTATCAGCAAATCCGTCTTCACACCACACCGGTCCATCCCCAACCCTTTTCGGTATTCCAGCCTGGCTCTCTACGCCTATTTCCACTGAAGGGAGTAGTGGTGCTCATGCGTTGATGGCGATGACGTTGAGCCCTAGTAGGGGTCGGATTACGTTGGGTGCGAATCCGTCGAGGAGGAGATTGAGTTCTAGTGCGAGTAAGCAAGGGTTGGAGGGAAATGTTGGTATGAGTGCCAATCCGTTGTATGCTGGTCATGCATCCGGAAGAAAGGCAAGCCCAGGACCGTCCAAAAGCGAGCTTAGCGCAAGTCCAAGCAAGCGCAGGTTCACACCTAGTCCTGCCCGTAATCTCCCGCGGATCTCATTAGCTGATGGCGATTCCCCCCCGTTGTCTCCTACTACGCTCTCTCCTTCTTCATCCCGATTTACGGCCCAAGACGATATATACGAAGACGAAGACACAGACTCGCCGACTGTGCGCGTGCATGATCGAGACTCTTACGCAATCCCTACTTTAGACCAAGATTGTCAACACCAAGAAACTCCACCAACCCTCCGCGCTCCTATATCCCGCCCTATCCGCATCCGCCATTCCACGCGCCCGCGCCCACGGAGCTACCACGACATATTGGATGATTTCGAGGTTCATGCGAGGGGTGGGAGCATGGCTAGTTCTGTGGCGACTTCTTTGGGTGCTGTGGCTGAGGAACGGGCGTCGAGGATTGATGATCGAAGGTACCATGAGGAGGTGCACGGCGTGCATGTGGGAGGGGATGTGCGCCACAGCAAAGGGGGAGAGATTCATGATGGGGTCCAAGAAGAGGAAGATCACGACGAGATACACCCAACACAACCTCGCGAACGCGAGCCCATACCGAGATATGCACACGAAAAGAGAGAAGATACAGCCAGGAAGAAGAAACGGTTCTCGTTACCTGCGGTAGCGGTGCAGACAGTGCCTGTCGTAGCGCGCTCTGCTCCTGCTGGGAATTCGCATGGTAGGTGGGGGAGGCGATTTTCGCTTGTGCTTGGTTCGCGAACGAGGGGAAGGAATGGAGAAAGTGGGAGTGAGAGGGAGGGGAGCATGCACTCTTCTTTATTGTCCTCTCGGGATGATCAAAATGTACGTCCGCCTTCTCGGGGGGATAAGGTTGGGAAGGGTGGTAGGGAGAGCTCGGCGGCGAGGGCGTTGATGGATGTATTAAGAGGGAGGCGGGGGAAGGAGAGAGCGTGACGAGCGGGAAATGGGGTCTTTAGAAGGACATACGCATCTGTAAAACTTATGGCATTGAACACACGGCTTGGATTCGCATATCGTGATACCAATTGGGATCGACGGTCGACTAACAGCGTTGTATTTATGTACGTGCATGCGCAATTATATAAATGAAGTCATGCAAACTACAGTGTGAGGTGCCCTCAGAGGAGTGCAGTTGGCGCTCATACGGCACTGCAACAAACATTGCCTCGAGGCGTTAATAGCCTGTTATTTTACATGTGGGAGGTATGCAGTGATAAGACGAGCTAGACATCAGCAAATGTGCACATGCTCTGGCAGCATCTGGAGTGGCTGGATACAGACTCTCCAGAGCGCCAGCCCTGTCTATGGACCCAGATAGAACCCGTCAGTAACAGACCAACATTTCTGGACACAGGCCAGACACAGTGACCAACCAGACACTAACCAGACACTAACCGGACATCAACCCAGATCATGAAACAAGCCATTACACGCTCGATACCATTTGCGACATTCTATTAGCAGACATCCTCTGTACCTAGCTAGGCTCACGCTTATCGTGATGACAGGTGAGCAAACAGAGAGAGAGGGAGCTAGAACAGAAAGGTACGATCTCAGTTTCAACTTGAACTCAATACATTCATCAGTAAACCGATGAGACCTTGATATTGTGGCCATGCGAACTGTAGAAGGATATAATTCTGCTCCTGCTAAATATCATCATTTATACCGTCAAATTTTTGGGCTATAGATACATGGCCATCGATGCCCGTAAATCTAAAGCAACATGAGCAGCCCACGTAAATGTTAGGGCATTGCTCCACTGCAGCAGGTGAGGGGTGGTTATGTACTGGTGCCAATTATTTTGAGCATTGTCATTTTGCTATATTTATGTTTTGAATTACGACCTTATTCAAGACATTCTCGTGCGAAGTACCTTTGGCACTGGCCAACAGATGTATAATACCGTTGGACTTCCTAACAAAGTTGTGACATACCGCCATTGCAGCAGGCAAGAGGTGGCAGGGCACTCCCCTCAACCATTTTGATTGCTCCTGCACTTTCTCATCCATGCCTTGAATTAAGATGCCATGGAACGCCTTCTCTCAGGAATTACCTCTGGCACTCATCGGCAAATGTATAATGACATTAGATTTCATAATGCAGCCGTGACATGGCTCCATAGCAGCAGACAAGAGGCAGCAGTGCACTCCCCTCAATCACCACCTCAGCGCTTGATCTGCCTCATATATGCTTTGAATTAAAGTGTCATTCAAGGCCTTCTCTTGGAAGGTACCATTTGGCATAGGTCAATGGATTTACCACAACTTTAGATTTAGCGACACAATCATGAAACCCCGCCTTTGCAGTAAGCATGGAACGGCAGCAACCTCCTCTCAGGTTCGGCAATGCTTCTTGTTGGTCCTCCTATTTGGCTATCTGCCTCATATATGCTTTGAATTAAAGTGTCATTCAAGGCCTTCTCTTGGAAGGTACCATTTGGCATAGATCAACAGATCTACCACAACTTTAGATTTAGCAACACAATCATGAAACCCGCCTTTGCAGTAAGCATGGAATGGCAGCAAGCTCCTCTCAAGTCTGACAATGCTTCTTGTTGGTCCTCCTATTTGGCTTAGGTTTCAAACATTTCCAAGGCCTTCCCAGCAAGTTGCTAACGTGCCTCAGGGTTTAGTACCAGTACTACTACTATGGTCACGGTCATGGTTGGCCGCGCCGCGAGCTTCCCTACCTTTTTTCTGGGGGGAGCTTTTTTAGATCCCAAACTTTGACCGCTGAGGCTAACCAGCAGCTGTACTACCGTGACATCCACAGAGTCACTGACATGAGCAGTTTTTTTCTCAAAATATAAACTGCATGCCCAGCGGGCTGGCCTGACTCGAACTCAGAACAAGTGACTGGCAAGACTTGTGCTAGTGGCCGCTTCCCTAGGTTTTGCTGAAATCGCAGACCGAACGGCACTCCAAAATTCAGGCTGCAGGGCACACAAAGATAGCATGAGTCTGAGCACGCACAAGTATCTGAGTAACAGGAATGTCTGGGACCAATGGAAATGGATTGGCGCTTATCACCAGATGAGAGTGATAAGGTGCAGATAGTCCAGACGTAGTGGCCTGAAAACAAAGTTCTGGCAGGTGAATTTTGACGATCAGAAAGACCCATAGTCTTCTTCCTGGTCCCTACCATCTTCCATCTCCCAGTCATCTGCTTCGTCTACCCCTTCATCTTCATCTTCATCTTCATCGCACTGATCTGCATCTTCATTCTCATCTTCTCCTTGGTCTTCATCGGCGTCTTGGTCTTCTTCGCTGCTATCATTGCCTTCCCCCCTTCCTTCACCATCACTGTCGCCATAACCTGTCGCCCTCGTAGGCTTCAACCCAGTCGCTGTTGTCGTCATTCTCGTCTTCCTCCGATGCTGGGCTGTCCGCGAGTCCTTCGTTATCTCCCGCAGGGCTGCGGGATGCCCAACTCCATGGTGCGTGTAACGCATGTGCATATCTCTGTCAATGAATCTGAACGGTCCACAGATTGAGTAAGAACAGCGGAATGGCAGGTTGTGCTTACATGCCAACATAGTAAGCCTCCCAGTCATCTAAACTGCCGCACTGACGTGCAAATGACTTTCCATGGCGAAGGGAGGTGGTTCCATGCCCAGAGGCAAAAGCCGGGATCAGATGTGCACCCCGGATGACCTGACCAGGGTCAAGAAAGCCAAAGGCATCGCGGTCGGACTCCTCAATGAAAGCGACCTTAGGAAGCCTAGCACACCTCATCCCCGACCGGTGGTCGCTCAAGGGTGCCAGCCATCTAACGTAAAGCACCTCGATTTGGTGCCTTTTGATCGGACCTTCAACATTCAACCATGCATCCATGTGGTAGATGCCCAAACCTTGGGCATGCCAGTAAGGATGTTGAGGACTCGTTTCCCCAGATAGCACCATGACATTACAGTGGGTCCGAGGATTGACCGTGTCATACTCCCGTCTGAGGTCGTAAGTCGTATAGTGGACCTGTAGGAGTGAACAACAGTAGGCCAGCAAAACTCACAACATGGGTTAAGTACCTGCATAGTTTGCACAGAATATAGCCTGCTCTCTGATATTATGACTGAATTACGCTCCTCGTGTGTGAAAGCGTGGTCGCAATAGCTGACATCTAACTTGAGAAGCCGATAGAGCACATGGTCCTTGAGTTTTGGTACAAAATCCTGTACCCTCATGAGCAAGATGAATCACAACGGAAGAATAAAACCTATAACCCACCTCCTGAACTCGCCTGAGGACACGACAACAGTGTTCATGCTTAGCGAGTTGCGCTGAGGTATCTAGTTTGTTGGTCAATGGATAGAACACTTTCAGTGCTCTATGGGCCAGCTCTCCCTGGCCTAAAATCAGATTGGCACGAAAATGTGTAAGTAGCAGGGGTTCATGCACGATTTGGGAGATATATGAGTCTATGGTTCCGAAGAGCTGGATTGACCGTGGATAGTCACCCATAGCATGAAATTTGTAGGTATTCAAATTAAATTTCTTGGCCTTTCGGCCGCCGCTCCCCACACCTGGGTTATCAGAAGCTGAACGTTCGTGGGCAGCCTTGTGCTCATGAGCAGCTTTTTCTCTGGGCAACTCTAAGGTAGCAAAAGCAGCACAGGTAAAGTCGCAGAACCTGCGTAGTTTACCGGAGAGGTATTTGAAGGTTGTATCCAAAGCGGACAGGGTTGTTTTGGAATGCATCCTTAATTTCGCAAGGGCATGCCATTGGGCAAATCTATACAAAAGTGATTGTACAACGTTGTCGTGGTCTTCTGGGAATAGTCCTTTGAAGACCAGTATAGCGCACTGGGATATTTGTAAACTGCATGCACAAGCAAACGAATCAGCAGGACAAACCTGCAAAATGTCCTCAAAGTCTCTTGCTGCGAGCCTCTTCATTTCTGAAGTGTTGTTGGCAAATTTGCGTATGACCCCATTGCCGTATGATGGAAGTTGGCGAAATCTATGCTTAACACAATCACTTTCAAATAGGCGAGAGTATGGCGTGATAAAACAAACCTGCTGTCAAGAGTTGCAACCAGGCAGTCGCCGCCCGGGAGGGCATAGAGCAAACGGATCAGAAGAGTAAACAGCGCCTTCCACGTACCTAGCTCGCATTCGTGCATAAAATCAACGACGAGCATGCGAAAGGTGTCAAATCCTAGGGGTCCAAGATTTTCTGCAAATGTGTTCTGGTCCAAAGTCAGGCGCTAACAAAGACTATCGATTCCAAAGGCACCCACCTTGGTAGGCACCCACAATCCTCCTCCAAGCGCTGCCTGCACCTTTGAGCCATTAACAGTATTTTCCCGACCATATATGAATGTGCGAGCACTTGTTACACTGTCCAGGCAGTAGGTCCTGAGGTTAGCTACATGGCCCTGCATGTCTTTGAATAGGCCCAGGAAATCAAAGGAGGCCTTTGGAGTGAGACAGCGCGGACAAGGGCGAGAGCCCGTGTCCTTTATTGTCGCTATCAAGACCCTGGAAGATTAATTTGTAATTTGTATTTTAATAAGAAAATGAAGAAAGAGGAGCACACTTCTCTGGATAATCGGTGGAGTAAGTGAATATGCGTGGAAATACCCTTCTCCATATGCCGTCCGGACACTGAAGTACAATTCCATGGGGGTACACTTCCAGGAAGTCAGCATCCAGTAGATACTTCCAACATGTGTGAAACAAATCCTGCCGACAATGGGTGTGAAGGGTCGCCATGCCAGATATTGACAAGATGGCACGCACCAGATTTGGGTGCTGAGCGCGCGTACTTGGTTAAATTTCCAAAGTACATGTAAAGAGGCCAAGCCTTGGCTGTTCCGAAGGTTGCTAGATGGGTCGCATCAGAAAAGAACATTAGTCCAGCAATGACACGCTCAAGTGAGCAGTTAGGTTCCCTTGGCTGTCTCTGCAAGTCATCCTGAGCCTCTAGCCAGGAATCAGAGGTATACAGCTCGTTGAATAAGTGCTCTTGATGGCCGTCCAGAGGATTCTTCCACAGGCGCTTGAAGGGGAGAAGATGGAATGCATTGGCCTGAATGTCAGCAAATGTGGAACGAATCACTCCTACGAGTGGCCTGTAATGAAAGCCTGGGACGTTAAACAACCTGGATGGCTCGTCCTTAGACTTCGTAGGTATGTCAAGGGTGATACCTGTCTCTAACCAGTCATCCGGAAAATTGGCTGTCCCCTCTCCTCCGCTATTGTCCAACGTATGCAAGCTCTCCCTAACAAAAAACCCATCCAGGTCCCTAGGATTGAACTCCTCTGCCTGAATCACATCTTTAATGAGGCGTGATATTTCAGCCTCCGATTTGTGATGACTGCCGGAGTTCATCCACGACATAAGACGGTAGACGGTCATGTTGGGGAAGGGATACGGTGGTTTGAGAGATGGTTCGGGCCTCTGGGCATTGGCAGTCGTTGGACTCGAGATAGCCAGCAGCGAAGAAGGGATGTATTTGTCAGGCTCAAATGAGGGTCGCCTAGGATATTTTCGACAGAGTCCAATTATGTTGAATGAGGTTTGAAGAGAATCATGCAGAGTCAAAAGGACTCTTTGAATCTTGCTGCGAGGTGGGTTCTGAGTTTCCACCACAGAAGACAGATCATTCCCAGAGGAATCTGAGGGGTTGATGTCTTCGTTGGGGGGTAGAATGTCCTGGAAATCTCTTGGGACTGGCCTAGGCTTGCGCTGCGAAGGGCGCTGACCTGTTACCGCTGGTGGTTCGTAAATGCCATGAAAACAGATACAAAATGTAGCAAGGTGCGCACTTGGGATGTCATGATCTTGTTCATAGGTATCCTCCATTACAATATCCAAGATGCCGGAGCTGGAGTTCAACGAATAAATCAGTGTACTGGCATGAGTGGTGCTGGCTGGGTTGATAGGCTGAGGTAGGGTGCTAAGCGCCCTAAGCTCACAACGGGCTATAGGTTTCAAGCAGCTGTGAATACTCTTGGTAAATCGGATTGGTCTGAGCTATCATAATGGGTTGGAAGGTAGCGGTGACATGAGGATGTTGGAGCAACCTATGAAATTAGCAACTTACCCTAGGAGCATCAAGAACTGTGAGCTGCGAAGACCTTGGCAAAGTTTGAATGGACTACTGTGCTTGGTTCCACCTTCTTTCTGCAGCCAATGTGCTTTCCTTCCGGTAATACTTGTAAGTGGAGCGATGCCTGCTAAGGCCACAAAAATCAGTATCCCTCTCCCAAGAGCAACGCGGTGCACCACATGACACCATTGAAAGGATGAAGACAACAAACAGAATCCAAGGTAGTGGAAAAAGACGCATTATTACCCTTGCAGGGACTCGGAAGCAGCAATCATGAAGGTAGGCCGCAGTAGTACCTATCAATGCATCATAATCACAAGTATATCCTATCCGTCACTGTGTGACTACGTTATCCTCGTTAGGCATTGCCATATATATACTCTGCACAGTGGGTACTAAGGGGAAGGGATACGACACATCACAAGCAAGGGATACAATTTCAAATCCAGTAGTAGGTAGTTGACGGGGCAATGTCGATGGGTGGAACAGTATTTTAGGTGGAACATACAAAGAACAAAAATACGAGTGAGTTACTAAAACAATATGATCAGAAACCAGGAAGTGCAGAAAGATTCGAGTAGTGCAACCGTCCTCAGATCACCCCTAGGCTATCCATCCTGCAGGCTTGTACTCCGGCATTAGATAGCTTGCCTTCACAGCTCTTTGTGCCCATGCATCTTCCTTGCGCTTCAAGAGCATCAAGAGTTTGGTGTACTGGTGGACGCGATTCCGTGCTGCAAGATAGCTTGAATACACGGAGTCGATGCTGTACATGGTGAATAGATTATCCTGCTCGTCATCATCGGTCTCAATTCTGTCGAGTGCCATCTAACACAGACTGAGTGCTCGCCACTAAGGGAAACTAGGAGATTCTCGTACCACATACATCTGCATCTCTTGTTTTCGCCCTATATCTTGTATGTTTGTACATTTATCAGGTACTTCAGGTGTATCATTTGTGCTGGCATGAAGAGAGCCCTCAGAACTATGCGGTGATGATGGCGGCATTGACAATAATGGCATAATGTGAGTTCAAAGAACTGCTAGAACGTAAGTCATCTATTTAAACATTTAATGAGATTTTAGATCAGAGCATTCGGTGTTTAAAATTGCCACTTGCAACGATCATGAACTCAGCACGAATTACCTCCACATTCATTTTTATGCAGATGCAACCAGTGAGCTCGGGAAGACGATCCATAGTGACTACTGCTGAGGTCATCTCATTTGGCTTCAACGCTGAAAAGTAATGGGTGCATCAGGCCTAGGATCAATGATTGATGATCTCCTTCGAGTTTGCAGAGAAGGTACAGACCTCTGAGTCATGTACAGTACGGTATTGGTAGCATACGCGAGGCCTGTGCCACGAGTCCATCTATATGGCATCAGCCAATGGGCAGCGGGAGAAAGTTGGGCGCAGAGAGAAGTCAGATGTGTCAAAAGAGGAAAGTCCTGGTGGCAGAGATGGCGGGAGATCAGTGCAATGAAAGCATACTAGGGAGTACAGATGTGAAGGGAAAGATGTCGAACCAATCCCCACTAGTACTACCGGAGGCAGACATACACTATAGCCATATATTAGACAAGTACTCATGACAACAGCAAGCCATACTGTTCACCTTGGTCGTCTTGAAACTTGACATGCTCGACATTGCTGGTCTGCCATGGGTAGACGCGAGAGAGACAAGGCTGGGGCTGTAGTCTGTGCCAATTGCCTGACCAATCTCCAAGGAAACAGAGTGGGAGTGCAAAGAGCTAGAACGGACCAAGTTCCTCTTCTCAATGGAAACACCGGTAGTTACGATGGTCAAATTACCATCTTGCTTCTCCAGCGATGCAGGGACAACCACTGTAGCTGTGGGTGCAGAATATTGCCTCTGGGCAATGATAATTCTTGAGGCGAATTCAAAACCTGACATTCTCGACTGAACTGACTCCTTCCTCATTCTCCCGCACTCCACAGACTAGGGGGCATTGGGGAATGCAGAAGTGTTAGATGATCCAGACTCGGTCTGCATTGGCAGAGGGGGCATCATCTCCCCATCTCCCTTTTCTTCATCAGGAGGCAGTACAGTGAGGCGCGGGACAGGGCTCATGAGACCAAGTGCCTGGCTAACTTTGCCTCCCCGTCCATGACATCCCCTTGTGAGAGCCAGGTATCTCCAGAGTGTCTCCCTTCGACAACTGTGGCTGGCCCAAACCGACCAGAGATGGGGCATGCATGCAGACAGAGGGAGGTTCCCCAAGAACGTCAAAGAGACTGGATGGGCAAGCGCATAACGATGTCCATGGCAAGGAGAGGCAATGGCAGTATGACAGAGAGGACAAGAAGAAGAGGTGTGGCTGAAGATATGAAGCCGTTTCCAATGAAATATAGGGCGTGTGGCGGGAAGAATTCCTGACAACCAGCTATCAAAGTCAATTATGACATCAGACAAGGAAGACTTATGAAGGTACTCAAGCTGCCATCATACAACAGGCATACCAATGAATTGAGACAGAGAAGCAATGTCCCTTTCTGAGTCACTTTGATGTCCGTATCCTCCAGGAGCTCGAGCACTTGGCAGAGCAGGCAGTCCGTGGGGAAGAAGCTTATCATTAAGATCAACGTCATTAATGATGGCTTGTGGAATAGAGTCATGCAGAGTGCAAAGTCTGGGACCCACTGGCAGGCAGCAAAGTCAGCCATGAGCTCTGCAAGCTGGCCAACTCAGAGATCACGACGGAAAGGGTCAGGATCAGAGCCTCAAATTGGTGCGTAAGTGGGCGATGAAAGGAGGCAGTAGCCTGAGTGAGACCATTGCCGGTCATACAGAATGAGGATGCATTTGATGAGTCAAGAAAGACCAGGTGAGCCACTGGCAGGAGCCACCATGACCTTCCCTGGGTGTGTAGACATCTTCAGTTGTGAACGAGGTTTGTCCTTGACTTCTTTGGCGGGTGGCCAGCTGTCTGCAGGGTCATTGAGTGGAGAGAGATTGCGTCAGATCATAACAAGAGTATACATGACTACCAAATGCTACACCGCTCAACTTGAAGGTGGCAGCGGGTAGTGCAATATGCCAGCAGTCCATCAAGAAGTTTAGGACACCTCCGAGTCCCCCAGTGATAACGCCAGAGAGCGCAGCGGATGTGAGCCCAAGGAGCAGGGTAGGCACCAAAATGAGTCAGTATTTAGATCTGACTCAGAAGGACAGCCTGAGCCTGAGTGACCGCCCGATACGAATGTGAATCAACGTGAGTGCGCACACAGTCACTGAAAGAGACACTGGCAAGTCTGCTTGATGGGCCTACTAAGTGATTGCCAAATGAGTCAAAATATCGAAAAAGTAGCGCTGCCTACTGTGACACAGATAGAATTTCCTGTGCGAACCCCATATATACAGCGCCTGTCTTAGTAAAGAGTGCCTTGCAGCCTGGGCCGCGGCTGCAGTAACATCAGGAAGTATCTTGGTGTCGCGTAACCGTGGGAGATTCAGATATCCCAGACCTTGCCGAGTCCTGCCGACCTCTGAATTGCGGCTGCCTGCAAGCATGTACTACCGTGACTAGTACTTAGCAACTTTCATTAGTATGACACCCCCGCATACCTAACTATGTCATCGCTCGTAGACGAAGTGGAGCCTTGCCAGTGACTCGGACTCGGAATCAGAATCAGAATCGGACTCGGAGCGCTTCAAGTTCCATTACCGTGACCTTATCCTTTGCTACCCCCTCCTGCAAACTTCAGAATCAGAACAGCCATGTCCCACCCATTACCCCTGGCAAGCATGTTAGTCTTTTTCTCGCACAGAATCAGTTGGTTCATCTGTCAGGCACCAACTTGAAGTTCTGGGATTCTTATAACAATGATGAGACCTGACAACTTCCGAGTCACTGACTACAGGATTTGCTCACCACTTGTTCTGATAGCTCCTTCATTGCCACTACTGCTTATGGCAGAATGTGTGTAGTAGGGTACACTGCCAGTGGCAGATGCTTATGCCGGGCACTCCAACACATCGACTGGGCTTACTGCATTGCAGTCTCTCTCAATGGTCATTCTCTTCCGGTGCATCTCTATCATCTAGTCCTATAATGCTTTGTATACTTGTGTGCTGGTAAGTGGGTTTTTTATGTTGATACCATTCGCTTCTAATCAACTTATGTACCAATCATCTTGCTCGCAGTGACATGGAGGAAAACTCTTCTCCGAAAATTCCTGTCTATCTGCTCTTTCGCATTACGCTGTAGTGTAGCCCACAGTCGCACTGGCAGCTTCTTGCGATCACATAGCCTCAGGAGCCATTCCTCGGAAGTTGTCGACATTGTTAGGCATCGCTCTAAATGCTTACTATTCGACATGAGCTGTTTCAATTTGATGTGCTAATGGTATATTCGCATCCTACTAAGTATCCACAACCAAGATAAGTATTCAGCCCAAGCCCTAGGGGCAATGGGATGATTAAATGTGAGACAAAGATAAGGAACTGGTGAGATTTTTCAGCTTCTCATCTAGATCCAAACCCTTAACTGGTCGGTGATGCGCCCAAATCAAAGCTTGACAAAGAACAAAAACACGTAAACGGCATGGGTGAACATTCGCGAGGCTGTATATCTCTGAGTCCTTTGTAGAAGTTGCGGTACACCATCGTGTGGTCAGCTTTCCTTTGCTCCCACATTCTGCACATACTTACACATCATTTCAGGAAATACATATATACATCACTTCATTGTCGAAGCCCTACTAGTACGTGACACCATCATTTTACGGATGGCATGCTGACACCCATAAGGATCAAGGGATTGGACTTCAGCAGTGGGATCTCAACTTGATGTTGGCCCCTCCTACATTCGCACCTGGATTCCTCGCAACGTCACAAACTGATCTGTGGCGAACTAGCCCCTCACAAGCTGCCTGAGGCAGGAATTTCACAATACCCCATACATTCACCATTGCCGATTCTGATGAGACAGCATGATGCGGCTCATCGCCGAACATGTCTCCAGCTTTTGACATCCTTCACGGTATCATTGTGGTACCATCATGGCTCATCAAGTAGATATATGTTCCTCATAGACTCATTAGACTAGTTCAGTTCTACTAGTTACTAGCTCTAGCCTGAGCATGTTTTAATACTTTACTGCCAATTAACTGTTTTTGGCGGTTTTTGCTGTTCTCTGTGATGCCTTTTTTTTTCCTCTCCGAATTAATTTCAATCCTTTGAGATTAATTTTCAGGTGAACCATACACCTTTCGCCCATATGAAAGCACAAATGATAAATTATGAAAAACAAGACCTTGATTCTAAGTCATGTTATCATGGTGCTTGGTGGGGCCGAGGTGGGGTGAGTCACTATCTTTGCTTTGGTACGTAGTATTATTATGTAGTATTATGTATGAGTACGGCCAAGGTACAGCGCAACATACATTTTGAGCATTTCCAAATTCGGACAGCCTCAGTGGCTGATCGGATCAGGCCTGCATGATTGAAGCTCAGAGAAGACTCCGAAATTCCGAATCTACGAATTATACACCAACTGAAAATCCTTAAGGCTGAGCGCACTCAGGCTGGCTCAGCAGCACCAGTAGAAGTAGAGTGAGGTATACAAGCTAATCAATGATATGCGTCCAATTCATCCAAAGGTACTCGTGCTTGAAGTCCCACAGTTTATCGAGCTCCTTTGCCAACAACTCCAAGTCCGTATCTGACTCTACCTCTCGCGACAGCCTCCATCGACTCCAGAGGCTTGCATCAGCCCCAGGCTGAAAACATAATGTGTGCATGTTGTGTGCAACGGGAGATGGTGGCACAGATTTTGCTTCCTGCAGGGGAGATCCTGGAAGTGATAGTGGCGTTAGGACGGGTCGAGGAGACATTGGAGGTGATTCAGGCATCAGGGGTGAGTGGGAAGGCTGTGGCAAGCTACTAGATGGCTCTGGCAAGCTAGATGGCTCTGGAAAGCTGGGGTGTGAGGGGGGTTGGTAGTGGAGAAATGTGCTAGTGTTGTCCGAGTTGCTCATGGAGACATCCTTACTAAAATTCTGCCTTTTTTGCCTCTGAGCCTTTAACTTTTGACCAGATGCATGCAGATGGTCTACTGCAATAAAGGTGAGGTCTCTCAGGCTGTGGCCTTGAGTGTGAACTAGTTGAGGCGGTGGAGATTGAGTTTCATTCCTTGACTTTATCCAAATCATGATAACATACCTGGAGGCATCTGAGTCCAAGTCTGGGTCTGAGTCGCTCTAAATTGAACACTACTACCCTGAGGATGATCACCTCAAAGTCCAGGTTGTAGTGGTACTCCAGAAAAAACCAGTGGTAGAACGCCTTGAGGACATTTAAGCTTACCTGCATCATTACCAATTACATACTACATTGCCTGTCTAAACCGTAACAGCGCCCTATTTAAATTCAATCACATTAGGCTGGATATCTTGAATTTTCTTTTCGTGTGCCACGGTGACTGAATATACTCTACTTACCTGCCAAATGGACTCTCAGCTGGAGAGCCTTGACTCGGAAGACTAGTAGAGGCACGCACTGGATGGTAGCCGAGGTGGAGCCGAGGGTGCGCCCATGCTTGACTCGGAGGTTATCATCAGGGAACACTCAAAGATGGCATTTCACACATGGTCAATGGACGAGTTTCATAGCATCTGTGATTGCCTCCACAACATGCGTGACAAGGCATCAACCAATAGTATCATGCTATGGGTACTACGGTAGGGGATGACAGTCATGGTCACGGTGAGGGTGGAGCTCCCACTGGCACTGGGGTGGGGAGGTGCTAATGAGGTACAAAGGACCCAATCTATCAAGCTCAACAACCTATCTTCATTGATCGGCAAGGCCGCAGGTGCCTTCAAGCTCTGTGACAGACTCGGAGTCTTGGTGCTAGTAGTAGTGGAGGGTGACCGAGGGTCACCCACCGAGGTCACGGTTGGGTGCAGGATTGACTTGGAAGTGGCTTCAAGTCGGCCTGCCCTTCAACTTTTGTTGAGGATGTACCTTGGTAGAGGCGGACGGTGTGCGTTGAAATTTGAGCAAGTGGCCAATGCAGTGAGCAATGGGCAACTTACTAGTAGTAGTACTGATGAGACTTGGACTCTGGCCCGGGGAGGCACATCTCAAATAGCTCAGCCTAGGTCTCTGCAGTGAATTTACCGTGATCACATTTTCCCATGCTGCGGATATGTTGCTTTGACTTGCTTGCTGTTAAGTTTTCCCACTAGTGTTTGTCAGTGCTTCAAGTTATTACTGTTCCTATACAGAGCCAATGCATACTATAGCACTGCATTCGGCTCCTTCAAAGCTTCACCCACCACCCCTCATCAAGCGTCAATGCAGGGCGGAGGACTCAGAGGTAAGCAGCCCTGGCCATGTCATGCCATTGCGAGCCCCGACTTCCTC